ATCTCCGCGTTGCCCCCCCCCCCGCGCCCCGTGAACCTCGCGCGCGATACGTCGCGACCGCGGACCGCGCGCTGACCTCCCCGCCCCCCCCCCATCGCACCATTTATTTTATCCTCACGCAGGCTCGGAAGGCGTCGCGTCGTTCGGCGTCGAGGCGGGCGGAAAGTGGTTCATGATCTCTCACGGGAAGAAGGTCGCGCGCCTGCACCGCCCCGCGGACCAGAGGAAGGCGCTCCTCCGCAACCTCACCACCGACCTGCTCAGGTACGGACGCATCACGACGACGATGGCGCGCGCGAAGGCGATGCGTAAGCCCGTGGAGCACATCATCAAGCTCGGCGTGGACGGCGGGGAGCACAAAAAACGCCAGGCGGAGGCGTACGTGTTCGATAAAGATCTCGTCGCCGCCGTGTTCGAGGCTGCCCCGGGGAGGTACGGCGATAGGCCGGGCGGTTACACGCGGATCGTTCGCACGCTGCGCAGGCGCGGGGACAACGCGGAGATGGCGATCATCGAGCTCGTGTGATGGCCGTCACGGTAGCGCGTCTGATTTGAAGTAACGATTCGATTCGACGCGATTGATTTGGCGGGGGTTAATTAATTAGAGCGCGTCCGGGGCGGGAGGTGGACATCTCTCGTCCCGGACGCGACGAGTGCGCGGCGCGGCGTGTGTACAGACGAGGTAGACGCCGAGATGAGATGATTATTAGAAGGCTCGTGCGCGATATTGTATTAAACAATCGAGACGGCCTGTTGCTCGTTCGCGTCGTCGTCGAAGAGGGGGGAGCGAGACTCTAATAAACCAGCGTTCGTCGTTCACTTTCTCGTCTTGGCCTTCTTCGACCCCTTCTTCGCCTTGCCGCCGTCGTCCGCCGCCTCCGCGGGCGCGTAATCCTTCCCGTACTTCCCCTCCGCTTTCAGCCTGCGCTTCGTCTCCTCCAGCGCGGCAGCCCTCGCCTCTTTCTTCGCCAGCCCGAGCTGAGCCGCCTTGTACAACTCGCGTTTTTTCCGCGGCAGCATGACGTACCGCATCGCCTCCGCCTCGGCGTCCTCGCCCATGGCTTTCAGCCTGTCGCGGACGATGACGTCCTTCTCGCGCATCGCCATCTCGAGCGTGAGGCGCGACTTCTTAGGTTTCTTCTGTTTGGTGGAGTCCTTCTTCGGTTTGGAGTCCTTCTTCTTCGCGTCCGCGTCCGAGTCTTCGTCCGAGTCGTCGTCCGAGTCGTCGTCGGAGTCGTCGTCGGAGTCCTCCTCTGACGCGTCGTCGTCCTCGACGTCGTCGTCGTCGTCGTCGTCTTCGCTCTCGCTTTCGCTCTCGCCGTCCTGCAGCGACTTCGAGTACGGAATCCCGCGAACTTCCTTGCTGAGCTCCTTCGCGTACGCGCGCTCTTCCTCCGCCGCTTCCTCCGCGGCGGTCAGCATCCGCGTCCCGTCCTCTTCGCTGACGTCCGCGAGCGACCGCCCCTCGCGCGCCGCCCTCGCGAGCGCCTTCAACCGTCTCAACGTCTTCTCGTAATCCGGCGTGTACCCCTCCTCCTCGGAGTTCACGAACGGCGATAAGTGCGGCGGCGGCGGCGTCCCGGGTTTGTACTCCTCCGTCGGGATCAGCACGCGCCAGTTCGCGCAGTCGACGACCCACTGCGGCACGACGTACTCTCGGTTGGACGCCATCTTCCCGTCCATCGGTCGATCCGCGACGACGTGCGTGATGCCTCCGTCGGACGCGTCGTGCGGGCTCCCTTCGCCGTCCCACGCGACGTCGCCGCCGAAGGACGTGATGACGAAGATCATCATGTCCTTCGGGCACTCTCGCTGGATGAAGAACACGCTCCCCTTGAACAGCGTCGAGCAGAGCTTGTCGTCCTCGCGTCGCGCCGGGTCCGCGCCCACCGCCGCCGCGATGGCGTCTTCGAGCGCCGCGTCGTCGGGATCACCCAAGGTGTTCGCGCCGTCGCCCGCGCCGCCGCCGACCCCGGGACCCCCGGCTCCGTCCGACTCCTCCTCCTCCTCCTCCCCGTCCCTCGCCGCCGCGAGCTCTCTCGCCGCGAGCTCCTCCTCGTCCATCTCCTCCCCGCGCGTCCCCGCCGCGAGCTCCGCGAGCTTCGCGCCCAGCGTGTCGAACCGCGCCTCCGTCTCCCTCGCCTGCGCGCTCTTCTTCCTCGCCGGCGCCGCGACCGACGCTTTCGCGTTCGACCCGGACCCGACCGCCTTCGCGCCGTCCTCGAGCGTGTGGATCACCGCGACGATCCCGCCCGCGTTGTCCTCGAGCTTGGAGTCCAGAAGCGGCGGGTACCGCAGCCCGCGGTCGTGGTACAGTTTGTAATTCACGAAGCCCGTCATCGCGACGTAGAATTCCAAAAACGTCAGCATGACTCTGTAGTCCACGTCCTCCGGCAGCGTCTGCGCCAGCGCGTGCGGGGTCATCCACGTCAGTTCCTCGCCGTACACGACCGCCTGGTAGTATATCCCCTTCACGGAGATGAAGCACTTGCGCAGCGCGTTCGTCTTCACGACGTACGACTCGAACTCGAGCGCGAGCGTTCGCGACCGCTGCACAACCTCGGACGGGATCCCGTGTCTCTTGTCCGCGGGGAGACGCGCGAACAGCTGCACGAGCGTCAGCGGGTCGTCCATGTCCCGTAGCGCGTCCTGGAACGTCGGGTACCGCTCCTTCACGAGGTGGTCCAGGCCGTACTGCGGCTTGCGCTCTTCCAGGCGGTCCACCGCGTGGTACGCTTTTTTCGCCTGATGGGGTCGAGGGTCCACGCGAGCGATGACGTCGGGGTGGATTTGAAAGGCGTCAGAAGCGGAGTTGAAAGGCGTCGAGGGGCGTGTGTCGGGATCGAAACCGAGGGACCCTGGGCGGAGAGATGCGCCGGGAAGTGAAGTCCTTAAGAATCGGCGTTCACCACGCCGACGCGGTCGTACGGGGACCGGCGTGATGAGAACGCGCCTTGGCCTTCTTGATCTTTCGCTCGTACGCGCGCAGCGCGCGGAACTTGTCGAGGAGCGGCTCGTGCGCGAGGAAGTTGATGTCCTTGACGTGGTAGTACGTCTTCCCCTGGCCCTTGTGTTTCTTTTTCGGTTCCCTGGACGCGCGAGAGTGCGCGGCGGGGATGGCGGGGGGAGGGATCGCGCGTCGGCGGAGGGGGAGAAAAGACGGCGGCGGCGGCGGCGAGCGATGATGATTCGATGGTCGTCGTTCGTCGCGGCCGCCTTCGACGCGCATCGTCGCCGCGACGAAGGAGAAGAAGAAGAAGACGCGGAAACCATCGCGCGAAGCGACGCGACGCCAAAACGCGCGCACCTCGGGTGGATGCCCTTCAGGATGCACAGACGACGGAAGTCCGCGAGCTTGAGCTGAAGACGGTTCAGCGCCGCGTTGCGAGTCGTGTATCGCGACGCGACGCCGCCCTTCGCGCGCAGCTGCTTCTTCGTGGACTTGCCGCCCATGTTCTTCGACGGCTTCACCATCGCGGCGGGCGGGCGCGGCGCGGGGTGCGCGCGCGGGGAGTTCTCGGGTCGCCGGTGGTGCGGCGAGCGTCGACGAGCGCGGCGCCGCCTCTTCTGACGCGAACGCACGATTGCGCACCCGCACCCGTGGAAAACAGTGCGCGAGCGACAACGACGACCGACCGCGTCACGCGTACGTGTACGCGCCAGATACTATACCTGAATGGGCTCCATACAGATTTCTGATCACCAAGCTCTGTAAACGCGTCACCGTGCCGTCACCGAACTCACTGCCGCGGTTCGGGCGGGACGCGTCGCACTCCCGTCCGCGCCGCCGCACGCTGCCCGCGAACATCACGCGCGCGATGCCCACTCACGGTACGCAACGCGCGCGCGCGTCGATCGAGATCGCGCGTCCTCGCCGCGTCGGACGCGCGCCGCGTCGATCGATATCGCGCGTCCCGTCTCCGCGACGTCGGTTCCGCCGCCGAAATAAAATGAACGATCGAGAAGCCGAAGAGACGCTCGTCCGTCGCGTCCGCCCGCCGCTCGACGCGCTCACGCTTCCCCCGTCCCTCTCCTCATCCTCCTCCTCCTCGCGCCGTCCCCAGGCCCGCTCCTCCCAGAGCTCTCCAAGCCGCTCAAAGCCGGCGAGTTCGAGCTCAAGAACCGCGTCGTCCTCGCGCCGCTGACGCGCGCGCGCTCGGGCGAAGATCGCGTCCCGAACGCGACGAACGTCGAGTACTACCGCCAGCGCGCGTGCGCGGGGCTCGTCATCACGGAGGCGACGACGGTGTCCCCGATGGCGAACGGCTGGGCGGACTCGCCGGGGATCTACACCCGCGAGCAAGTCGCCGGGTGGAAGAACGTCGTCGACGCCGTGCACGCCGAGGGCGGGACGATCGCGTGCCAGCTGTGGTACATCGGACGACCCGGGCACTCGACGTACATGCCCGACGGCGGGCCCGTCGTCTCCGCGAGCGACGTCCCCATCGACCCGAAGCACGACGGCGTGTGGGGCGCGGACTTTAAGAAGCACCCGCACGAGACCCCGAGCCCGCTGACGCTGGAGCAGATCGAGACGCTGATCGAGGAGTACGGCGTCGCCGCGGCGAACGCCAAGGAGGCGGGCTTCGACGGGATCGAGGTGCACGCCGGGAACGGGTACCTGCTCGATCAGGCGCGTTCTGTGTACTGTATCATGCGCAGAGCGGTCCCACGCGTCGCGTCGCGTTTCTTCCTCGAGGACTTTAGTCACTTCCCGGCGGGCGTGTGTTTCTCTCCGCGCGCCACCCCTCGGTTTCAATCCCCGCTCGACCCTATGACGCCTTTCAAAACTCGACCCTATGACGCCTTTCAAAACACATCCACTGACGCGCCCGCGAACTCCGCCCAAAAAACGTCGCCTCGCGCGGGGCGACTAACCCGCAGTTCCTTCAGTCGTCCACGAACAAGAGGGACGACAAGTACGGCGGCGACTTCGACGGGCGGTTCACCCTGCTCAAAGAGATCATCGAGAAGTGCGTGGAGAAGGCGTTCCCCACGTCCAGGATCGGCGTGCGGATCTCCCCCAACGGCGTCTTCAACGGCATGGGAAGCGCGGACAACCACGACGCGTTCGTGCACTACGCCAAACGACTCCAGAAGATGAACCTCGCGTACCTCAGGTGCGTTCTATACACTGGTCCCCATACGACCGCGTTGGCGTGGTGAACGCCGATCCTTAAGGACTTTGCCCGGCGCATCTCTCCGCCCACCCCTCGCTTTCAATCCCCGCCCTCGACGCCTTTCAACTCCAACTGACGCCTTTCAACTCCACCCCGACTTCGCTTTGTATGGAACGACCCTCAGCGTGATGGACGGCCTCGGGTTCGGATACCACGACGTGAGCCCCGTGGTCGACCTGCCGTGCCTGCGCAAAGATGCTGGGTACACGAACGCGTTGTTCGGGAACGTCGGGTACACGGGCGAGTCCGCGAACGCGGCGATCGAAGCCGGCGACGCCGACGCGATAATCTTCGGGCGGCCTTTCATCGCCAACCCGGACTTGCCGTATCGCCTCACGAACGGGTGGGAGCTCGCGGAGAGCGACGCGAGCAAGTGGTACACCGCGGGCGAGGAGAGCAGGAAGACGCCGGAGATCGGGTACGCGGACTATCCCGCGTACGAGGTCAAGTGAGCGACGCGCGACGACGATCCATCCTCTTGCGGGCTGCGAAAGTCCGCTCTTTTTCTTGTAACGCTAACGACCGGTTTTCGCCAAAAAAAAATTCCTCGAGTACACGTAGTTTTTTGTAGGGCCTACTCGTATATATATTCTGTCCAATTGCTCGTACCGATTGGCACGCGTACGTGGTACGCGTAGTTTTTCGGCAATTTCCAGCGGGGCAAATCGGCCAGGAATGCGGTGTCAGCTTTCCGTGGTCCTCGTTGGCTCTGAAAGTTTAGATCGTTTAGAGCCTGTTTAGATCACTCGGCTGGTCGTTGGTGACTTCTTTCACCGCGGGTCGCGGGCAAGTTCGACCGAACGTACGCGCGACCATACTAAATACCCATACGCGTCGCTCGCGACCGCGTCACCCCGGCGCGAGGTTCGACTCGCGTTTTTCCGAACTTCCCGTCGTCGCTCGCGCGCGCGGCCCGGCGCGCACCTTGCGACGCGCCGCGCCCGTCGCACGCGTCGAGTCGTCGATCGGTGAATCGCATCGACGTCTCTCGTTCTCTTCGCGCGAGCGTCCGCGCGCGGGTTCGGATCGCGCGCGAGGGAGCGTTCTCCGGACGCGAAGGCCCGCGCGAAGGGTTTCTCGCCATCGCGCGAGGTGCGAATCGTATTTCGCGCGGAGCCACGACGTCCGGCCCCGGAAACCTCACGCGCGCGTCCTACGCGAGCGCGCGATGAGGAACGCGAACGGCGCGACGACGAGCGCGCGCGATGAGGAACCCATCCCTCTGAAGTTCGCGGATTACAAGCGCTTCGACGACCTCTTCGGGGCGTCTTCCATCTTCACCAGTGGGACGCCCGCGCAGAGGAAGCGCGAGACGGAGTCCTACGTGAAGGACGCGATGGAGCGGCGACTGTACGGGTACGTGCATCGCCTGTACATGCACGGGACCCCCATCGAGCGGGTCGCCGTCGGGAAACCATGCGAGGAAGAGGATACGATCGGCGCGGACGTGAACGCGTGCGTCGCCGCCGCGGACGCGCGCGCGGAAGCGCGCGCCCCCTCGGAGGCTTTTGGAAGCGTCCCCGCGAGCGGCGGAGGACGCGCGGGCGCGGGCGGCGTCGTCGCGCGCGCGAGCGTCGACGACTCGCGCGCGCGAGCGCCGGGCGCGCCGAAGGTCATCTTCGGGCCGGGACATAAGGGGTGGAACGACGACGAGGGCGGCCTGTGGGACGCGATGCGCCATCTCGAGCCGCAGAAGCAGACGCCCGCGCCCGATGGTGGGTTCGTCGAACCCGCGCAGCACGCGACGCAGCAGCAGCAGCAGCAGCAGCAGCAGCAGCAGCAGCAGTGGGGAGCGGATCTCGTTCCGGCCGGGTTCGCGGGCGCGTCGTTCACGCCGCTGCCCGCGATGCGCGCGCAAGGCTTCGTCGCCGCGCAAGAGGACGAGTTCACGGCCGGACGCGATAGGTTCGAGGAGATCGAGGTGCGCGTCGTCGATCGCGCGCGGCCCGGCCCCGCGCGGGGCGGGGCCGCGTCCTCCTCCGATCGCGCTTTTCGCCCGTTCGTCGCTCAGATCTGTCCGTCAAGAAAAATTGAATTTTCCCAGCTCTCTCTCTCTCTCTCTCTCTCCTTCGCGCTCACCTCCCCGTCCACCTCCACCTCCACCTCCGTCATCAACAAACAGGAGCGCGTGCGGCAGCTCGAGCAGAGCCTCGCGATGAGCAACGCGAGAGAGGCGGTCGCGCGCGCCGCGGCGAGAGAGGCGGCGGCGAAGGAGGAGGAGACGCGCGCGTTGCTCCTCGCGGTGAGCGAAGACGATCCCATCGCGACCAGCGGGGAATACGAGCAGACCGACCGCGTGCGGCGCCGCGCGCCGGAGCGCCACAGCGACGTCGACGCGCTCGCGTTCGTGCAGTCCGCGGTGCGAACGCTCGGGTACGACAGCGGCGGCGGCAGCGCGAAGGGGGGGAACGAGCACCACGAACGCGCGCAGAGCGATCCGAGCCGAGGCGACGGAAACTCGCCCAAGTCGCCGTCGCCGAAGAGTTTCGCGCCGCGCGACGCGTCGCGGTCCAGGTCGCTGTCCGGCGGCGGGAGGAACGATGGAAAAAAACAGAGCAGGCCGTTCGAGACGTGGGCCGGCGCCGCGGGCGCCGCGAAAGACACCCCGAGCGTGGAGAAGCACGAGGGCGAGAGAGTCGGGGATAAAGACGCGAGCGGCGGCGGCGCGGCGGCCACCGCGGCGGCGGCGGCGGCGGCGGCGGCGGCGGCGGCGGCGGCGGACGGCTTGCTCCACACGAGCAGCCTCACGTCCTACGGCGGATCGGGCTCGAGGAAACGCGCGCGAGAGAGCGGAGGATCCGGCGCGGACGCGGACGCGGACGCCCTCGCGCGGCGCGGGGGCGCGTCCACTCCGCGCGCCCCCGACGCGGATTCCGAACGAGATTTCCTGCGCGCGCGCGCGACGCACGCGACGCAGCAAGCGGCGCTCTTACGCGAGAGCAACGCGCGCTACGAAGCGAGGGTGGAGCAGCTCGAGTCGCTCGTGCGCGCGTCGAGCGCGCAGGCGAGCGCGCTGAGGGCGGAGCTCGCGAAAGTCGCCGCGCTCAACGCGATGATCGACGGCGGCGCGGAGGACGAGGCCGAGGCGGCGCGCGAAAATGACTTCGCCGAAAGGGCTTCCGACCCGCAGCGCGCGTCCTCCAAGTCGAAGTCGATGCGCGGGGGGTTCGTCACGCCTCGAGGCCTCGACGCGGGAGGAGCGGGACCCCGGGGGTACGATGAGAGGGAGAGGGGGGACGACGACGGCGCGAGGCCCGCGAGGGCGGCGTCTCGACCCGCGCACTCGCCCGTGGTGAGCTCGGTGGAGCAGAGTCCGCTGCCGCGCGGCGGCGGCGGCGGGGGGATGGAGCAGCGAGCGGCGTGACGGCCCTCGCGACCGACGCGGTCGGTTCTTTCTTCTTTATGAGTAACGCGCGTTCGCATCGAACGAAGGCACGACGTACGTTATGAGTCATGACGATGTAACAATGGTACTATTCTTTCATCTTACCACGCGCCCGACGTCGGCGACGCCCCGCGCACAGCTTGCACACTCCTGTGATCGTATTTGAACGAACAGAAAGACCTGAGAAAGACGCGCTCTCGCCGCGTCGTCGTGGTATTCTCCCGCCGCTCGCCGTCGCATGCACCGCGCGCCCCGGACCGATCGCGGCGCCGTCCCGCCGCCGGCGTCCGCGACGGCGACGGCCGCGACGCTCGCGGAGCGCGCGGCGATCGCGGCGCGCGACTACCCCGCGTTCGCGGCGCTCCGCGCGTCGAGCGTCGACGAAGTAAGAGGCGTCCTCGCGGAAGAAGGGCGGCAGTTCCTCGAGACGCTCGCGTCACGGCGCACGCTGTGCGACGCCGTCGCGCAGCTCCGAGGGATCCTCGTCGAGGGGATCGTGAAGAACCAGCTCATCTTTGGCCTGGACTGCACGACGACGTCGCTCGCGTGCCGCTACCTCGACAGGTTCTTGGGTGCGCAAAAAAGAACACGCGCGTCTCCGTCGTGGTCCCTCCTTTCGATCGTTTGCGTTTCCTTCCCTCGCGCGACGACGACGACGACGACGACGACGACGACGACGACGACGACGACCTCGCATCCTCCACGACCCCCCCCCCCCTCCAGGCGCGAATCGCTTCGACGTCCACCTCAGCGACGGCTGGATCTTCCACCTCGTCGCCAACGCGTGCGTCACCGTAGCCGTCAAGTTCAGCGAGAGCACGAGGTACGACGCGGACGTGATGCAGAGACACGTGGACATCGCGTTCGACCGCGCGTGCGTCCTGAAGATGGAGTCTCTGGTGCTCAGAGAGCTCGGATGGAAGCTCAACGACGTCGTCCCGTGCGCGTACGTCCCTCGCTTTCTCACGATCCTGGGCTACCGCCCGGGCGCGAGCGACGGCGACCACCTCCGGCTGTGCTCCAGGCGCGTCCTATTCTCACACTGGTTCCCATACGACCGCGTTCGCGTTGTGAACTTCATTCCTTAAGGACTTTCTCCCTCGCGCCGGTGGTCCCCATACGACCGCGTCGGCGCGGTGCACGCCGTTCCTCGAGGACGGACTCTCCTTTCCTTTCTTCGCCCGCCCGGCGTTCGTTCGTCGCGCGTTTCGCTCCTCGCGCCCCTCGGTTTCGATCCCGACGCGCGCGCACGCGCCTCGACGCCTCGCGACTTCGACCGACGCGCCCTCGAACGCCGCCCGCCTCGCGCGCGCGACGACCCGACCCTCGCCAGAGCGGAGGTGTACCTCCTGAGCGTGTTGTACGACCTCAACTTCACGCGGTGGCCGCCTTCCGTCGTCGCCGCGGCCATCGTCGGCGTCGTGCTCGAGGACGAGGGCCTCGATCGTCGCGGCGTGATCGACGGGTTGAGGAACGCGGGCGCAGAGGTGCGCGCGGAGGACGCGAGGGCGTGCATGCGGGACGTGGACGCGCTGAGGCGCGTTCGTTCTGAGAACGTTTTGTTTTGTTTTTCACCCATCCCTCGGTTTCGACGTCTGATCGCGTCGCCCCCTTTCGACTGACCGATGAACGTATTTCGCACGGAACGACCCTCAGACGGTCGCTCGAGACGTTGGGAGGCGGCGGGACCGGCGCGGGAGGAGGAGAAGGCGGAGGCGGAGGCGGCGGAGGCGGAGACGCCGCAGCGGCGGCGTGAACGAGCTGAGCGAACGAACGAACGAACGAAACGTGTACTGCCGCGCGTTCTGACTTGACTACTACGGAAGTACCTCGCGCGACTGCCGCTAGCTATCGACCGACGACCGAAGCGCGCGCGCGCGCGCGCGATCTGCATCCTCAAATCAGGTGCCGGACGTTCTCTTCCTGGTGCCGAGAGCTCGCACGCTTCTTGTGCGCCTCGATCTGCGTCATTCGGTGCTCCTTCTCGCGGTGCCGCCGCTCCCTCCGCGCCGCCGCCTCCGCCTTCTTCGCGCCCACTTTCTCATCCTGCTCGGTGATGATCCGGTACAGACTCTTCGACGTGCACGTCTCGCTGACAGTCATCCACGTGTTCACTTCCTCGAGCATGCGCATCCCCTCCACGTCCATCATCCCCTTCGTTTGCGCGTCGAGCGCCTTGATGTCCACGAGCTTCTTGCGCATCACGCGGTTCGCCCCGATCTGGTACGACATCGCCGGCGACGTCAGCACCTTTGCCGCGTCGTCGACGTAGTCTCTCAACGCCGCGCGCGCGCGCCGCGTGTCAATCTTCACCAGGAGCTCCTCCGGGGCGTCCGCGAGACCTATGATGTGCGATAGCATGTTGTTGTCGTCCTGTAACACCTGCGTCGCCATGGGGTAGCCCATGAGGCACGCGGTGAGGTGCGCGATTCTTCCGAACGATTCCTGTAAAATCAACGCGCGAACGATGCGGCATCGAATCGCGGCGAGATAGTCCATCTCCGACTCGAGATGTTTCTCCTCGAGCTGGTAATGCTCCGCCGCCGGGGCCGCGAGCGCGGGGTGGCACGGATCTCCCTTGTGCGCGTGCCAGTCGTACCACGCGAGCGCGTCCATCTTGTCCGTGAACACCATCGAGTACGCGTCTAAAGGCCACGCGTCGTCGTCGTCGACGGATCTTCTCTTCTCCTCTCCGCCGCCGAAGCGCGTGTTGATCGTCTGACGAAAGTCGAGCTTGAGGTTGACAAACACGGGGATGTACTTGTCCCCGAACTTCACCGTGAGCTGCGCGCAGCTCTCCGCGCCCTGCTGCGCGACTTTACTGATCATCTTCCTCACGCGCCGTTGATCCGCGTGAATCTCGTCCCACTGCACGCGCTCGACGTCGCCCTGCTGCATCGCGTTTTGCCCCAAGTTCCCCGCGGCGCCGGACGCGCGGAGCTCGAGCGCGATCGCGCGCTGACGCCGTCTCTGCTCTTCGAGCGCGCTGTCGGACGTGTGCGGTCGTTCGAGATTGGGCGGCGTCGCGACGCGTTCGCGGTCGAAGTCGCTCTCGAGGTTCGTCGCGACGCCGCCGCCGCCGCCGCCGCCGGTCCCAGGGCTGCTCTCGCCCTCTCTCTCGCCCTCCGCGATCGAACCCAGCGCGCTGGCCCGCGCGCCGCCGCCGCCTCGCGCGCCGCCATTTCCGCCGCGCTCGTACCCGCGGCTGTCCAAGCGGATCGCGTCCGCCTCCTCGACGAGCTTCTCGAACCCCTCGTCCTCGAGCTTAGGGCCGTTCCATACAAGCGAATGTCGGGGTGGAGTTGAAAGGCGTCAGGTGGAGTTGAATGACGTCGAGGTCGGGGGTTGAAAGCGTGGGGTGGGCGGAGAGATGCGACGGCAAACGTCCTTAAGGATCGGCGTTCACCACGCCGACGCGGTCGTATGGGGACCAGTGTATAGAACGCGCCTTAATCTTGAGCTTGGCCGCTCGCTCGGCTTCCTCCTCGTCGGGGGTCTGGAGTAAAACCTTCGGGAGCAACAGCTCGTGCACGAGCCAGGGCGCGTCGTCTTGCATTATGAGCAGCCGTCGAATGATGTCCGCGGCGTACGCGTCGCACGCTTCCTCGAGGTTCGGACCGGACGCGCGTGTGTGCTCCTCGATCACGGGCGTGAACCCGAGCTTGTTTGAGATTTTCTTCGCCCTCGTCTTGGCCGCCTTGTGCGCCTCCTTGTCCGCGTATTCAGCCTTGGTTTTCACGTCTTCGTCCTTGTCCGGCAGAGGGCCCAACCCCGCGGTGAACGCGGCGTCGCCGCCGAACGCGCTGACTTGCTCGAACTGGTACGAGCCATCCTGCCACTGCCGCGATCGCATCAAGTCCGGAATCGCGTCTCGAATCTTACACAGACGCACCGGGTCCGCGACGCACACCGCGGAGTACACGCCGAAAACGATCGGCCCGGAGGCCCCTCGCCCGCCGCCGTTCGCGCCTCGCTCCCGCGGCGGCCGCGCGGCGTAGATCGCCTTCTTCGCGTCCATGAGCGATAACCGAGGCCGCGTCGCGAATACGCCGACTTTATTCAGTCCCGAGACGCCGTCGACGGACTTCACCGAGTCGCCGCCGCCGCGCGTCGAGTCCTTCAACGCGCCGCCGTTGATCTTGAACGACACCTCCATCTGGTGACCCTGATCCCTCAGCCTTCGCACGACGATCGAGAACGGGTTGCGCGACATCGGCGGCTGCGACACTTCCGTGATGATCTCCTGGAGGGTCTCGTCCAGGCGCGCGTCCACCGCGTACTGTGGGCCGTTCCATTCAAAAAAAAGTTCATCGGTCAGTTGAAAGGGGACGCGATCGAATGTTGAAACTACCGTAACCCAGCGGTGGGTGAGAAACGTGTGCTCAGAAAGAACGCACCTGTAACAACAACGCCGGCGTGTGCATCCGCGGCGGCGCGTACCTGTGCCGCCGCACCCACCGCTCGCCGGCGTCCAAGTGCAGCGTCGCGATCGGGGCGACGACTTCGTAGACGCGGTGCCACACCTTGTCGATGTCCGCGAGCGGCGGCTCCTTCATCCGCGGGTCCACGAGCGGGATACCGTTTAACTTCGCGAGGCCGAGCCCGTCGCTCTTCTCTAGCATCTTGCGTTTCCGACGCGCCTCCTTCTTTTTTCGCTCGTTCTCGTCGTCGCCGTCGGATTCGTCCGTGTCCGACGCGTCCAGAAACGCCTTCGCGAGGAGGTGCCCGAAGTCGCTCATCTTCTGCGCGAACGTCTTCTTCTTCTTCTTCTTTGCTTTCTTCTTCTTGTGCGCGATGGCCAGCTCGACGTAATCCGTCAACGCGAACGCGAGCGAATCTTCCTCCTCCGCGGTGTTCTCCGACCGGTTGATCAAGTTGATGGAAAACGCGCCGGCTTCGATCAACGCGAGGTGCGGCTTCATCATGTGCAGCTCTTGCTGTCTCGTCAACGCCACGACGGAGCACAACAGTTTCGCGGTATACAGCGCGCGCTCCGCGGCGTGCGCGGCCGGGTTCATCGTGTCCAGAGCGGCGAGGGATAAGCCGTCCCTGCCGCAGCCTTCGATCGCGTGCTTAAACGCGCCCTCGCACATCTGCTGAAGCGGTAGAATCGCGTAATCTCGGTGCGTCGCGGTGATCATGAAGTCGTTCACGCGCCGCGCGAGATGTCGGAGGTGGTCGTGCAGCTGCTGCGCGTTGGCGGCGGTTCTTCTCAGCGCCGTGGGTCCGGCGAAGAGTTTCGCCAATATGTCGCACTCTTGCGCGACGTTGAAGATCCACATCGACGGCGAGCACGTGAACCGAATCATGTCTATGAACGCTCGGTCGCGCATCTTCGTCCCGGGCTCTTCTTCCCACCCGATGTCGCCGCGCAGGAGCAAGATCATGATCGCGACGCGAATCATTCGGCTGACGTTATCTTTCCGTTTCGCCTTCAAACCGAGCCCGAGGAGGCGCTCGGTGTTCGCCTTCATCACCATCGGCGACGTCGGCGTGATCGCCGCGCCGAACATCGCGATGTACGCCGACGCGGTGACCTGCTCGAAAAATACCCCGGAGTATAACGCCTCGAACGGGAGCGTTCCGTAATGCATCGCCAGCCCCGCGGGGCCCTCTTTCTTCTTGATCCGGTGATGAAACACGAAATACGCGCGCGTGCTGAAGTGCATCACCAGGTTGTCCACGCCCTCCTCCTCGGCGAAGTCCACCGACGTTCCGTACGCGGAGTCCAACAGCGGCGGCGGCACCGCCGCGCGCGTCGTGACCTGTATCGCGACGTGGTGATGCGACGCCACGCTCCTCTTGATCGCCGTCTCGAACCCGCGTCGATCGTTACGTATCTTCCTCCACGGCCACCACTGCGCGCGTTTTTCGCACCGCCGCTGAGGGTAATTGTCCATACGAGCGATGATATCGGGGTGGAGTTGAAAGGCGTCAGAAGCGGAGTTGAAAGGCGTCGAGGTGTGTCGGGATTGAAAGCGAGGGACCCTGGGCGGAGAGATGCGCCGGGACCCAAAAGTCCTTAAGGATCGACGTTCACCACGCGGACGCGGTCGTACGGGGACCGGTGTGGGATACTAGAACGCGCCTGCGCCGCCCACGTCCAGTTCTCGCTCGGCGACGACGGCGTCAGCAGCACCCCCTTCGTGCTGTTCGCCTCGGACGCCTCCACGACCCTCTCCACGGTGTCCACGATGTGATCCGCGAACGTTTGCACCGCGCTGACCATGTCCGGCGCGTCCACGAGCACGTCGTGCCTGAGCCCGATCCTCGACGGCGCGCCCTGCCATCGCCGGTGATGGAGGCACCCCTCCTGCAGCGACGTCATCACCGTGAAGACGCTGTCCGGGTTCCTCGGGTCTGGTTGCGGGTCCCCGCCCGGGAACAACGCCCTCGGGAACTTGGACAGCAGCGCGCGCATGTCCGTCAGACCTTCGCGGTCCGCGCCGCGCAGGACGTGCGGTAACCCCCACGCGTCGCCCCATCGCACGAGCTTGCAGCAGTGCGCGTTGCCGTCCACGAGCTCGACGTCCTCGAGCATCCAGTACACCTCCTCGTCGTCCCACTCCCACACGCTGTCGTTGCCGTGCGAGCTGTGCGCGGTGAGCTGCGTCGCGACGAAGAAGTACGGGTTCGCGGGGAGTTCGGGCATGCTGTACAAGCGTCGCATCGCCTCGAACAGCGCGGGGCCGAGGTTCGTCTCGCTCTCGCTCATGTAGCGCTTGCGGAGCAGGCGCTCGTTCTCGATGGCGGCCTGCACCGCGTCGGACGCCATGACGTCGCGACGACGACGACGACGACGACGACGACGACGACGACGACGACGCGCGGGCGCGCGAGCGTACGTGAACGACCGCGCGCGAGGAGGCGACGCGTGCCTCCTCCTCTCCCTGCGCGCGCGCCGCGGAGTGAACGACGACGACGACGATTTGAATCGTAGTCCCGTTGACCGCGGCCCGCGAGGTGCCGTTTTCTTGGAACGACCAGACCAGACACTGCAGGGAAGGCGAGGCGTGACGAAACAGAAAAGTGTTCACTCTCGTGTGATATTCAAATAGCAGTACAGCGTTGCGCGAACGACCGCGCGCGCGGTCGTCGCTCCCGTCTACGTCGCTTCTCGCGCGAGGGGGGGGACGAGACGCGCTCGTCGTCTATCCGCCCCGCCCCGCGCTCGCGCGCTTCCTCTCTTCGACCAAAAAATGAGAAAAAAATCAAAAAATGCATCGTCGTTCATCCGTCCATCCCTCCTCCGCCGTCCTCCTCGTCCCCCGTCGCGTCGTTCAGAACCCCGAGTCCGGCCCGAGCACGCCGAGAGCCTTCGCGTACCCGATCAACTGACCCATGATCCCGTTCCCCGTGCTCGCCTCCAAGAACACCGCGAGCGCGAACCCGAGCATCGCCCATCGTCCGTTGTTCATCTCTACGTCGAGCGCGTATCGCATCTCCGCGTCGACGCCGGCGCCTATTTCCATAGGCGGCATGCCCACCGCGAGGTCGCGCTCCATCATGGACGCCTCAGCCGCCTCGCCCGCTTCGGCGGCGGCGATCTTCATCGCCGCGGCCGCGGCCATCGCCTCCGCCTTGCCGTCCATGGAGAGGACCGCGTCCGCGGGGTTGCTCCTCCGCGCCTCCGCGATCGCGGCGAGGTCGTCGGGCGCGAGGAATCCGTTTCGCTCCATCTTTTTGATGTCCACCGACAGCGCCCTCGCGGCCTCGTCCTGGTCCGCGCCGAGGAGGTCGCACCACCGCTTGAACGTGCGCATCGTCATCGTGCCGTCCTGCGCGGACTTGAGCGTCTTCGCGGCGCCGGCGACGGTCCCGCCGACGAGGCCGAGGGTAAGGATCGACGTCGCGATCGGGTTCGGGCACGCGATCCCGATCTGCGCGAGGATCCCATCGCCGGTCCAGAGTTCCTCCGCGAGGCCGACGGTGAAGCCCATCATCGCGAGTCGCCCCGTCCACAACTCCGCGAACGGCGTGAACCCGAAGACGCCCTCGCTCGTGTCCAGGCCCATGGATCTCGCCGAGCGCTCGACCGCGTTCAGCGCGGGCGGCTCCTCCACCGCCCGCGCGCGGACGACGACGACGCCGCGCGATGCGACGCGGCGGGAGACGCCGCGGACGCCGCGCGTCGTCGTCGTCTTCTTCGCGGCGAAGGAGACGGTCGTCGTCGGAGAGAGCGCGGAGAGCGTGTGCGTGGTCATCGTCGTGTGGTGTGTGGGGGTGCGTGCGTGCGGCGCGGCGTGAAGTGACGCGTCGTGCGACGACGACGCGTGCGTCAACGAAACGCACAGAATGAACGCTCGGAACGCGTGACGTGGCGCAGCGAGAGTTCAGACTTCATCAGAGTAGTAGACAAGGAAAATTCAGACTAAAAAACCCATAGAGTACAGTGCATATACTTTCGTATGGAATCTTAGTTTGATGAGCCCGCGCCCGGCGCGCAGCGCGGATCAGTTTCGGTTGGCTGGAATAGCCTCTCGGATCTCGATTAGCGCGCTCGCTCCCGTCCCCGCACCACATCGCGCGTCGCACGGCCCGCGCCGCGCGGGTTCACCCAACGCGCGTCTCTCGCGTGATCCCCGAGACGATCGCGGACGTTCGCTCGCGCGGCGCGCGGCGCATCGCGCGAACGCCGCGGCGCGCGTGCGAGCGACCGCGAGGAATCGCCGACAACGTGAATTAATTTAATTTATCTCATCTGAGACCTCATCCGTCCAGCCGTCCCGCCGACCCGCGCGTCATGAGCTGCTTCGGCGGCGGTAAGACGAAGCGCACCGCGTCGGGCGAGTTCGGCTCTCAGCCGTCCTCGCCGACCGCGGAGCCGAACGAGAAGGACGAAAAGAAGCGCGAGGTCATCGCCGCGGGGGTGACGGACTTCGTCCCCGACCAAATCACGCTGCAGACCACCGCGCGCGAGTTCGCCGCCATCGTCGAGCAGACGATCGCGCGCGCGAAGGAGATGAACGCGCCGCGCCCGGCGCCGCCGCCGAAACCGCCGCAGAAGCCCAAGTACGCGCGCGAGGAACCGCTGCCGCCCGGGGTTCGACGCGCGCACGTGCCGCCGACCGCCGCGCCCTCGGACGTGACGTCGCCGGCGAACATCGCGACGCCGGACGGGCGGCCGAAGCACTTCAGCGAGCTCAGGCAAGCGCAGCACGCGCAGCCGCGGACGACGCCGCTCGCGAGCAGGGACTACGCGCGGTACGCCCCGGGGACGGGGCCGCTGTACGGCGGGCCGTCGTTCCCGGCGCCGAAGGGCGGCAGCGGCGGCGGCGGCGGAGGCGGAGGCGGACACTTGACGAGGACGCCGTCGAAACAACAGAAAGCCGCGGCGGCGGCCAAGGTGGCGGCCAACGCGTCCCTGGCGACGACGCAGACGCTCGTGTTCAGCGCGATCGTCGCGTCGCTGTCGCTCGCGCCGATCGCGTACAAGCTGTTCGCCGCGCTCGGTTTAGGGGATGGCTTTCGCCCCGGTCACGGGCTCACCGCGAGGGAGGCGGCGTCCGCGGCGGCGGCGGCGATTCGTCGATGGAAGGACGACGGGGAAGACTTCACGACGCTGCTGACGATGTACCTCAGCGTGATCTTCGTGTTGATGGGCCTCCTCGCGTGCGTGAGACAGTCGAGAGGGCCGATGGCGCGGTGGCTGATTCGCGTCAGGCTCGCGGTGGGCGTGACGAAGACGCAGGCGCACGTCGCCGTCGTCGTCGTCGCCGTCGTCGTCGGCGTCTTCGGCGGCGTCGTGTCGATCGCCGCGGGGAACGCGATCACGCAGATGCTGACGGGGAACCACGTGAAGACGTTCGCGCTGAGCGCGACGGCGGCGGCGGTGTCGTGCTGGTATCACGAGCGACGGAAGCGGGGACGGGAGATCGTCAAACGCGGCGTCTGCGCGCTGTACGACGCGGAGAAGGATAAGAAGGCGCTCGAGAGAATCATGGGCAAGTTTAATCGCGCGCGGGATAAGAACGCGTTCGCGATGGGGAACGCGTGCGCGCCGACGTGGGCGCGGTTCGCGTACGACGAGAAGGTCAAATTTCTGAACGACTTTCTCGGGAGGATGTGGCCGCACGTGAACCGAGCGGTGAGCGACATGCTCACGAAGATGCTCGATCCGCTCCTGGAGACGTACCGGCCGTCGATACTGTCGAAGGTCTTCTTGGATCAGTTCGACCTCGGGGACGAGAGCATTCAGATATCGCGCGTGTCGTTCGTCGGCTTGCGCTCGGACGACATGGGCCTCTCGTTGGATTTCAACGTCCAGTGGAACGGCAACTCGAAGATCATGATCGCGGCGACGACGCACATCGGGACCGCGATCAAGATTGGCGTGAAAGATCTCGAGATGTACGCCAGCGTGCGCGTGACGCTGCAGCCGTTCGTTCCGACGTTCACGCCGTTCGCGGGAATGACCATCTCGCTCACGGAGAAGCCGAAGTTTGACTTTGACCTGGAGCTCCCGCTAGGTCTGGAAGGGCGGATGAGCACGAAGATTCAAAACTGGCTCGAGGGGTTCCTCTCGGACGTCTTAGGGAATAGCATGGTGTGGCCGGAGCGAATCAACGTCCCGCTCGCGTTCGACAACCAGGAGATCACGCTGAAGAACGGCGAGACGATGCCGTACAAGAAGTACTACGAAAACGTCATGGTGAACAAGATCACGGGGATCGTCGTCGTCGCCGCGCGGCACGCCACGGACGTCCCGTCCGTGGACATGTTCTCGCCCTCGGACCCGTACCTGTCGTTCCAGCTGCGAGGAAAGAACAAGATCTTCACGAAAGTCGTGGACAACGATGCGAACCCGGTGTGGAACGAGCAGCATTTCATGCTCGTGGACGACGTCAACGCGAGAAAGTTGAAAGTCGACGTCATGGACGACGACGCGAACGGGCTCGGGAACGACGACGACTGCATCGGATCCACGACCGTCGCGCTCGACGCGCTGGAGCCGCAAGTCACGATGTCGTTCACGGTCGCGTTCCCGGAGACGGCGAAGATCAACGCGAAGAAAGGGCTGAAGCCCATGACGGTCACTCTGGATTTGACGTACGTTCCCTTCGACATCGCCGGCGGCGAGGGCTCCGCGGCGGAGGAGTGGTTCCGAGGCTGGGGGATGCTCACGGTGAAGCTCATCAGCGGTAAGGATCTGAAAGTGGGCGATTACAACGGCTTCAGCGACCCGTACTGCAAGCTCGCGATGGAGAAGGCGGAGCTGAACGTCGAGGACCCTCAGCGTTCCTCCGCGGACGCGCCGGGGGAGGGGGGCAAAGCGTCGACGAAGCGCAAGAAGGGCTCGTCGAAGAGGCCGGAGTTCATCCGGCACAAGAGCAAGGTGATCCAGAAGACGTTGGACCCGGAGTGGGGCGAGGAGTTCGAGTTCGTCGGCGTCCTCGAGCGGACGCCGCTCATCGTGGAGTGCTTCGACCGGGACGTGATGCTCCTGAAAAAGGCGCGTTCTATACACTGGTCCCCATACGACCCCGTCGGCGTGGTGAACGCCGATCCTTAAGGACTTTTGCCGTCGCATCTCTCCGCCCACACCTCGCTTTCAATCCCCGCCCTCGACGCCTTTCAACTCCATCTGACGCCTTTCAACTCCACCCCGATATTCGCTCGTATGGAACGACCCAAAGTCGAGAGATCCTCTCGGGAGCGCGGAGATCGATCTCGTCTCCGCGCTGAGGCTGGACGAGGGCGACCCGATGGAGCCGCGCACGCGCGAGGGCGACTTCGAGCTGAGCGCGTCGCACTCCGCGGCGAAGACGAAGGGCGTCAAGGGAAGCGTTCGCATGAAGCTTCACTGGCAGCCGTTCACGTCGACGCGGAATAAGTAAGTAGAAGAGAGCGTTTTTTGGTTGATGAGAGGACGAAACACGTCCCGTCGTCGACCCGTCCTACGAACCTCGCCTCGTTCTGTTCGCGTCTTCCGAGACCACCGCTCCTCGTCGTATCGACCCCGCGCGCGCGCCGTCGCTCGCGCGTCACATCACATCACGCCGCCGCGGCTCCCTGCTCGACGCGCGCCGACGATGCCTCCCTCCGCGCGCTCTCCCGCGCCCTCTCCCTCTCCCTCGCCTCGCGCCGTCGTCGCGCTCGCGCTCGTCCTCGCGATGTTCGCGGTCGCGCCGCGCGTCGCGGACGCGCGCGGGACCGTGCTCGACGTCGGACGCGCCGCGTTCGCGGCGAACGACGTCGCAAAGGCGACGCCGATTCCCACCTCGCCGACGCGCGACCTAGGCGCGCTCGCGGACGTCCCGCGCGCGCCGCTGAACATGTCGCGCGGGCTCGACTTCGACGTCGACGACCCGCGCGGGCTCGGCGTGCCCTCGCGCGAGTTCGGCCAGGTGCGACGTCGCGGGGTCGGCGTCGTGGCGTTCTTTCTTTTCACCCGCCGCGAACAGAACCAACTGCGCTCAAACCCGACCTGACCTAACCACGACCGACGCCGACGCCGACGACCAAAAACGTTTCGTCGCCCGCAGCTCCGTTCGCTGCGCGACTTCGTCACGTACGAGATGCCGACCGGCCTCACCGCGCGCGAAACCCCCGTCGCGATCCGCGTCACGCACGTCCTGCTCGTCATGGCGTGGAACTGCGTCGCGCGGCACCACGACGTCGCGCTCGAATTTCACACGTTGAAGCCGCCGCCGAGACGCGCGCCGAAGAGCGCGCGCGACGACGCCCACAGACTGAAGTGCATCGCTTCCGCGTGGGTGCACGCCGCGGAGGAGCTGCTCGGCGGCGCGGACGCGCGGGAGATGTTGAAGGCGCGCGCGATCGAACTCGGCGTGTACGACGACCCGGAAGGGGAAGCCTCGAACGCGACCGCCGCCGCCGCCGCGGGCGCGGGCGCCGCCGCCGCGGGCGCGGAGATCGCGGACGAGGTCATGACGTACGTCCGCGACGACGGTTGGAACGCGAACGGTCGCGAGAACGGCCGCGCGCACAACCTCCGACCGTACGCGGACTTCACCGGGTACGTCCCCGCGCCGCACAAAGAGGACGGCCTCCCGAGCGAGACGAACCCGCGGCGGTGGGTCCCGCTGCCGGAGACGAACGGTCTCGGCTATTTCAGGCGCGTTCATATTTACACTGGTCCCCATACGACCGCGTCGGCGTGGTGAACGCCGTTCCTTAAAGACTTTTGCCGGCGCATCTCTCCGCCCACCCCTCGCGTTCAACGCCCGCCCTCGACGCCTCACAACTCCGCTTCTGACGCCTTTCAACTCCACCCCGACGTTCGCTCGATCGGACCCTCGACCCTCAGTTTTCAAACGCACGTCACGCCTCACATCGGCTTCAAAGCGCGGACGTACCTCCTGTCCGAGGACGATCTGCGCGACCCGACGCGCGAGACGACGACGCCCGAGTACGACCTGAGAGCCGAGGCGCGCGACGTCGTCGAGCGGACGCGGACGTCGCTGAACGACACCGAGAAGATGCTGGTCGAACTCGCGGACAACAAGTTCGCGTTGTCTCAGGCGCGTTTTGATTCACACTGGTCCCCATACGACCGCGTCCGCGTGGTGAACGCCGTTCCTTAAGGACTTTTCCCGTCGTTTATCTCCGCCCAGGGTCCCTCGCTTTCAACTCCCGCCCTCGACGCCTCACAACTCCGCTTCTGACGTCTTTCAACTCCACCCCGAAATCATCGCTTCGTATGGACCCTCGACCCTCGGGCGTTCGTCGAGCCGTTCGCGTACCGCAACGGGTGGACGCTCGTCGAGGGCGTCTTCTTCGAGCTCGCGAGCAACACCGGGATCGTGGACGCGCTCGTCGTGAGCTGGAGGGAGAAGGTGAAGAACGACCACGTGCGGCCGACGAGCGTGGTGCACGGTCTTCTCGGCGACGAGACGTTGCTCGCGTGGGCCGGGCCCGGATCCGACGAGACCGAGACGTCGATGAAAGGTCGAGACTGGCAGCCGTACATTCGAGTGATGCCGCACAGCGAGCACCCGTCCGGGAGCTCGTGCATATGCTCCGTGATCTTCGACGTCGCGCGCCTCGTCGCCGGGACGGACGAGTACGTCACCGTCGTGGACTTCAAGCGAGGGTCGTCGACGGCGGAGCCCGGGAAGACGCCGAGGGAGGACGTTCGGTGGACCGCGAACACGATCAGGTGCGTTTTTCACCCACCCCTCGGTTTCAACATTGTATCGCGTCCCCTTTCAACTGACCGATGAACTAACTTACTGTGTATTCGTATGGAATCGCCCTCAGCGCGATGGAAGACGTGTGCGGGGAGTCGCGTCTGTGGGGCGGGATGCACTTCCCCGGCGCGGTCCCCGCGGGGAAGGAGATCTGTTCGGGGATCGGCGAGAAGGCGTACCGCCGCGTCGCGTATCTTTTCTCCGGCGGGGACGAGCGGTTTTGCGCCGCCGGCGACTGCGCGGACGCGCGACCGGCGTTTCGCAACCCGCACCGACCGGGCGACGGCGACCGGGTGAATACGCAGAGGACGGAAAGTTAGAGGACTACGGCACGGCACGTCAGTCCGCGGAGTGAGACGCGGCGGTGCGGTACGCAGTACAAGCGCGTTGTCGTCGCGACAAGGATCAGTTCGTCGTCAGCCGTCGTCGTCGCGTTCGTTCGTCCCCCCCTCCTTCCTTCCTTCCTTCTTTCCTTCTTTCCTTTCGTCGTCGTCACTCCGGAACGCGGTGATGCGGCGCGTGCACGTCCCCCCCCAGGGACCCCCACCCCGGAACGTGCACGGAACACCCGTTGACCTCCCTCGTGAGCCCCAACACGAACGGCACCGCGGCTCTCGCCCAATCGCACGCGGTCTCGTCGAACCCCGGCCGACGCGTCGGTCCGACGTCGGCGCCTTCTTTTTCAGTCCCGCGCAATCCGAGCAACGCGCCCGGGTCGATCTCCACCGCGTGCATTCCCGGCGGAAGCTCCGCGGCGACGCACCGCGTCAGCGCGCTGATCGCCGCGCGCGACGCTTGGTACGACGCCACGTTCGCGCCCTGCGGCGGGTCGAGCACGTGCGTGACGTTCACGATCGCGCCGCTGCCGCGCGCGACCATCGAGGGGAGGAACCGACGGAGCACCACGGCGACGCCCTTGGCGTCGTTCAAGAGACGGCTCCAGTCGGTCGCGCGCGTCTCCCACAGCCTCGCCGGGCGCCCGTGGTCGCGAGGCGCGTCCGAATCGTCGTCAAAAGCCGCGTCGTCGTCGCACGCGCAGCCGCCGACGACGCCGGCGACGCCCTCAGGGCCATTCCATACAAGCGATTGTCGGGGTGGAGTTGTGAGGCGTCAGATGGAGTTCAAAGGCGCCGAGGGCGGGGATTGAAAGCGAGGTGTGGGCGGAGAGAGACGACGGGAAAAGTCCTTAAGGATCGGCGTTCACCACGCCAACGCGGTCGTATGGGGACCAGTGTATAGAACGCACCTCGTCGCACTCCGCGGCGGCGCCGACTTTGCCCTCGCTGCGCCAATACGACGGCAGCGCGCCGACGTTGGTGACGACGACGTCCGGGACGCCGAAGGAAAACTCCGCGCCGGGTCGTTCCATAGTACGAAAACCGTGCATCGTCGGTCATCAGTTGAAAGAAGACGCGATCGAGCGTTGAAACCGAGCGATGCGATGGGTGATGAAAGAAATACATACAGTGCGTTTGCGATACGGTGAACGAACGCACCTCCACCCTCTCCGCCCACGCTCTAACCTCGGCGTCGTCCGAGAGCGACACGCGCTCGACGTCGAGCCGCTGCGCCTCGCACTCGGCCCAGTGCTGGTACCCGAGCGACGTCTTCAGGTCCTCGGACGGGGTCGCCGCCGCGACGGTGAGTCGGCAGTGCGGGTACTCCAGGAGCGTGTTCAGAAGCGCGCGGCCGACGCCGTGGCCGCAGTCGGCGAGGACGACGAGCTTGCGGCAGTCGTTCGGCGCGTCGGCGGCGGAGGACGCGAAAGAGGAGGAGGAGGAGGAGGAGGAGGAGGAGGAGGAGGAGGCGAAGCCTTCGCCGCAGCGCACGAACGCGGCGTCGGCGGCCGGCGACGGCGGGTCCGACGACGACGACGACGACGACGACGACGACGCGCGCCAGAACGGAGAGCGGGGGCGCGGAAGCTCGAGGCGTCCAGCGCGCGCGGGAGGGAGGAACGACGGCGCGGATGCGCGCGCGGCGGCGCCGGCGGCGGCGGCGCGCGCGGCGAGACGGAGGGCAGAGCGCGGCATGCGGCGCGCGAGGAGGGAAAGCAACGACGAACGACGCGCGCGTGCCAAAGGGTTTATCCTTTTACAGTAATTTCTCGGAAGCATAAAAGTCGCGAGCGACCGCTGGCAGACGCGTCGACGGCGGCGTCAGTCCTCCAACTTCCTCGGCTTCCTCGCCCGCGTGCTCTTCCTCTCCCCCGTCGCCGTGATCACCGTGCCCGTCGCCGCCGCCCCCGTCGACGAAATCTGTTTCCCGCGCGCCGGGAACCACGGCACGAGTCGGCTGGTCGTCTTCTGATACGCCGCGTACGAAGCGTACTTCCCCCGCGTGATGCTCTCCGTGAACGGCGTGCTTCCCTGAAACAACGCCACGAGCAACGCCGCGCCGGTCGCGCTCCAGTTGACCCACGCGCGCCAGTCGACGGGCGCTCTGAACAGCGCCGCGACCTCGGTCGGGCTCTGGCACGACGCCGCGACGGAGAAGAGGTAGAACGAGCACCACAGCGCCTGCTCGGCGAAGAAGTTGGGATGCCGCGAGAGCCGAAACAAACCCGACGTCAGGAACCCTCGGCGGTAATCCTCCTCGAGCGCGGCGATCCGCGGGTGCCCCCGCGCGCGGTGCTTGCTCTGCTGGAACTCCCACTGCTGTTGGTCCGCGACGGACTCCAAGATCCAGAACGACTGGAACAGGCACGTCGCGATGAGGTCCAACGCGTTCAACGGCGGCCGCGTCACGCGCCGCGACGGCAGCGTGACGGTCGCGGCGCGGTAGACGTAGCTCGTCGGCGCCGCGATCAGGAACAGCAGGACGTTCTGGTAGCTCGCGATGAAGCTCAGGTTGAAGAGCTGCCACGCGATCGGGTGACGCAGCACCGGGAGCTTCTGAAGCACCGGCCATCGGTAGTCTTGCTCCCCCGCGGAGTACCCGCCTTTCCGCGCGAAGTTGTACGACAGTCGCGCGCCCCACAGGAGGACGAGCGTCGCCATGAGCGCGAGGCGCGCGTCGAGCGCCTTCGCGCCGTTCGCGACGACGTCGTACAGCGCGTACACGAGGACGTAGACCACGGGGGTGATGGACCACAGGCGGTCGACGTGCGAGTGCGTCTTCGTGACCCAGGACGCGAGGAGGCACCACGCGGCGGCCGCGAGGACGACGACGGCGCAGATTTGATCCGGCGGGGTGAGGACGACGCCGGCGACGGTGGCGTTCTGGAGGAGCATCGCGCGCGGAGATGGCGTGGAGGTCGACGGATCGATCGATCGAGAGCAGCGCAGCGCAGCGCAGCGCGCGGAGGGGAGGCGCGAGGAGGACGCGCGCGTGCGCGGCCGCGAGTGGCCCGCGACGGTCGCGATCGATCGATCCGTTCGATCGATCCCAGGCTACTGTAGTAGTGTACTGTAGCCAGGGTTTAGGGTTTAGGGTTTAGGGTTTAGGCGCAGGCGGGTTCGCGGGCTTCGTCATCTTCATCCGGTTTCGGTTCTCAAATAAAAAAATGTGCCGCGTCGCTCCCGAGTCTAGTACACGTACAGTACGCCACGGTCTTCTCTCCTAGCTAGTGGTCCTCGCGCTCCGCCGCTCGGTGCGCTTCGTACGCGTCGAACATCGCGCGGACGCGCCCCATCACCCCCGGCAGCGACCTCAGCGCGTCCCACCGCAGTCGCATCCCGTCAAACGCGGTGACGACGTCGTCCCCCGCGTCGTCGTCGTCGCCGTCCGCGGCGTCCCCCCCGCCGTCCGCCGCTTTGACCGCCGCCGCTCGCGGGTACCGCTGACTGAAGTGCGTCAACACGACGTGCTTCGCGCCGGACGCGCGCGCGATCGCCAGCGCCTCCGCGGACGTGCTGTGCCTCTTCTTCACCGCGTGCGATCGCAACGCGTCCTCGAACGTCGCCTCGTGGATCATGACGTCCACGCCGCGCGCGGCGGCGGCGAACCGTTTGGAAGGCCGGCAGTCGCCTGAGGGTAATTGTCCATACGAGCGAACGTCGGGGTGGAGTTGAAAGGCGTCAGAAGCGGAGTTGAAAGGCATCGCGGTGTGTCGGGATTGAAAGCGAGGGACCCTGGGCGGAGAGATGCGACGGGCAAAGTCCTTAAGGAACGGCGTTCACCACGCCGACGCGGTCGTATGGAGACCAGTGTGAGATAGAACGTACCCGAGTACGCGACGCTCCACGCCGAGCCGTCGGCGGTCGTGCGCGTCGCGAGTACGCACGCGGCAGCCTCGGGGCAGTGCTCCACGGGGATCGCCTCGAAACGCGCGAGGCCGAGCTCGGCGGCGAACGACGACGCGGGAGGCGGCGGCGGCGGCGGCGGCGGAAATCCGTTCCCTCCGAGTCGCGGCGGCGGCGGCGGCGGCGGCGGGAACCGCGGCGCCGGCATCCGGAACGGCCCGCCCCCGCCCCCGAACAGCGACCGACTGTGTACGAACCGCCACGCCCTGACCGCGCCCGCGGGCGCGGACGGCGACGCGCGGAGCCACTCCGCGCACGACCGCGGCCCGACTACGGGCAACGGCGGCGCGTTCTTGAGGTTAGTCGGGGTGGAGTTAAAAGGCGTCAGTTGAAGTTGAAAGGCGTCGAGGTGTGTCGGGATTGAAAGCGAGGGACCCTGGGTGGAGAGATGCGCCGGGAAGTAAAGTCCTTAAGGATCGGCGTTCACCACGCCGACGGGGTCGTACGGGGACCAGTGTGAGGAACTCCACCCCGACTAACCTTCGGTCGCGCGGCGAGCACCCCGGGCAACCCGAGCATGTGATCCGCGTGGTGGTGCGACACCCACACCGCCTTCAGCTTGGACACGGCGCTTTGCGCGCCGTGCGCGCCCAGGTATCGCGTCATCGCGCCGTACGCGCCCTCGCCCGCGTCGAGGAGGACGTACCCGCCGCCGCCCGAGGGAGGGAGTCGGCATAAGACGCCGGACGCGCCGCGGTATTTACTCGGCTCCGCGGAGCCGGTGCCGAGGAACAGAATCTCGCCGGAATATGCTGAGCTGGCGGCGTCTGATTCGTCCATTCTATCGCGATCGCGATCGGCGAATCCCTCGGCGAATCCCTCGGCGAATCCCTCGGACGTCGTCGCGTCGTCGCAGCCCATGAGCGCGCGCGTCTCGCGTATCGTCGCGTCGACGTCCAGTTCCTCCGCGCGCGCGTCCTCGTGATTCACCTCCGACATTTCCCCGACGCTCTCCGACACTATGTCTCCGACACCTTGCGCTCTCACGCCACCGGGGCCCTTAAGCGTCACGGTCGCGCACAGCGATCCCGCGACGCCATCGCGCGCGCGCGCCCTCGACGACGCCGGCATCGGCGGCGGCGCGTACGGCGCGCGAAGCGTCGCCGGCATCGGAAACGCGCTCGCGTCAGCCGCGTGCAGCCGCGCGAGCGTCCGCGCGCCGGCGCGGTGCCCCACCTCCCCGGGGACGACGCAGTCCACGTGAAGCGGCGGCGGAAATGGCGGCGCGGAAGGACCCGCCTTCGGTCGCGATGGCCGGCGTAGGGCGTCGTACGCCGGGCGCGAGGACACGTCCGCGCGCGTGAGGTGGAAGACCGCCGCGCACGCGTGTTCGCCGCCGCCGCCTGCGCGGGTGAAGCGATCGGTCAGTCGAACGTCTTACCGGTCAAACGTTGAAAGGGAAACGCGGGTGAAGAATGACGACGGGAAAAGTCCTTAAGGAACGGCGTGCACCACGCGAACGGGGTCGTATGGGAAGCAGTCTCACCTCCGCCGCCGCCGCCCCCCGCGAGGCAGCAACGCACGATCGGGTGCTTCGCCGCGGCAATCGCGTCGTCGTCGTCGTGGCAGTCGAGCACGAGGAAGACCGCGCGGTCGTCGATCCGGCCGCGAACCGCGCACGCGTAGCCGACGAGCCGGGGCGGCGGTCGCGGTCGCGGTCGCGGTCGCGCCGGCGGCGCGGCCGCGGCGTCGTCCGACGCCTTGCGTTTACCTCCCCCCGCTTCCGTCGCGCGCTCGGCGTCGTCGTCGTCGTCGTCGTCGCGCGCGTCGTCCGAGACGTAGGCGTCCTCCTCCTCGGACGTTTCCCCCGCCTCGCCCCCCGGCCCCTCCTCCTCCTCCTCCTCCTCCTCCTCCGACGCCGATTTCGCCTCCTCCTCCGCGTCTTCTCTCGCGCGCTCGCACGCGTCGCATCGTCCGTCCCCGCCGGCGTCCGCGAACAGCGGCCACACGCGCACGGAGTCGTCCACGTAGCTCTGCGCCTGCGCGTCCACGGCGTCGCGAGGCCCTTCCCGTTCCCGTTCCCGTTCCAATAGTTCCTCTCCTTCCACGGGCCCCGACGGCGCGTTCGCGTCCGCGTCGATGCCAGGGTCCGGCGAAGAAGGCATCATCCTCAGCGTCGTCACCGCGGGGTGCCGAAACCGCACGAACCCCCTGAGCGCTTCCACGTGCGCGCCCACCCCCGGCGGGCCGACGACGTGCACGCGCTCGTGCCCGTCCGCGCTGAGGCGCAGGAGGAGCCCTCCGAGGCCGCCGCACGAGCGCGGGTGGAAGCTCGAGAGGAACGTCGCGCGAAGCTTGGCGCTCGGCCGCGCGCGAGATTCGAGCGCGAGCCGCGCGAATCCTTCCGCGCAGCCGAACAGGTACTGCCGCCGCGCGCCGGAGCCGCACGTGAGGAGGATCGACGGCGCGACGCCGTCCGCGTCCGCGGCGACGACGAGGCACGACGCCATGGATAGGGAAGGCGTCGTCGCCTCGCCTCCCCGTCGCGGGCCCCCGCGTCGTGCCCGCGAAAATGACATCGAGTCGCGTCGCGTCGTCACTCACAGCAACTGTTTGTTCAAAGCACCTCAAAGCGCGCGTCGCGTCGAGTCGCCCCCTCGCGGCACAATCGCGTGCGCGGTCGTCTCGAACGCGCGGGGATCATGGAGGACTTTTACGTCCGATACTACGTGGTGCGTGCGCCACCGGACGTCGCGCGAACCCGCGCGCGACGGCGCCCCCGCGCGCGCGATCGACCCGTCGACGCGCGTCGTCAGCCTCCGTCTCGCTCGCCTCGTTTTCTCTTCTCGCGCCCTAAATAAATCGAGATCGAACCGAATCGATCGATCCGTCGCCGACGACGTCCCCCCCTCCGTCTCCGCGTCGTCTCGTCTCGTCGTCGTAGGGGCACAAGGGGAAGTTCGGGCACGAGTTCCTCGAGTTCGAGTTCCGACCGGACGGCAAGCTGCGGTACGCGAACAACTCCAACTACAAGAACGACAAGCTCATCCGTAAAGAGATGTACGTCTCGCCGGAGATCCTCGCGGAGGTGGCGAGGATCGTCAAGGAGAGCGAGGTGATGAAAGAGGACGACCGCGACTGGCCGGAGGGGGATCGCGTCGGGAGCCAGGAGCTCGAGATCGTGTGCGGGGACGAGCACTGCAGCTTCACGACGGCGAAGATCGGGTCGCTGTTGGACGTGCAGTCGAGCAAAGATCCAGAAGGGTTGCGGGTGTTTTACTACCTCGTGCAGGATCTGAAGTGCTTCGCGTTCTCGCTCATCAACCTGCACATGAAGATCAAGCCGATCTGAGGAGTCGACGGGAGTGGCGTCGCGGCGGAAGAAGCGCGCGCGACAGGGGGGGCTACTAGACAGGGGAGGACCCGGCGCGGGGGGACGAGATACGTGCGGTGATGTACGATTGCGAGGTGTGATTGACGCGCGCGAACCGTCTCTCGGGCAAACGCTACTTATTACGTTTCTCGTCGCCGCTACTCGAACCTCCGGTGCGGTCGTCGTCATCGCCGGCACCGCGTGATGTCCGTCGTCCACACCAACGGCGCGGTCGTCGTCACGACGATCTCCCCCCCACCCTCGCGAACGGTTTCCTCCCCCATCTCGTTCGACGTGCTGATGAATCGCCCGAACGCGAGCGTCGTCTCGTCCATGTCCCACTTCAGCCCGCTCGTGGACACGACGGCGGGACCGTACATCGGGACGAGGCCGCACGCGGGCCCCTCGACCGCGACGCACGGGCGAATCGCCGTCCGCCCGTCGCCTCGAATCAACGTCGCCATGGAGCTGCGCCCCAGGAGCACGACCCGCGTCGGGGACGGCCCGACGTCGAACTCTCGAAGCGCAGACATGTGCGACAGCTCGTGGTCGAGCCGACCGCCCAACGCGCCGACGGCGAAGATCCGCCGGTTGCGGTTTCGCCGCCGCGGTACCCTAACCGAGTCCAACCCTAACCCTCCTCCTAAACCACCGTCCCCAACATGCGCCGCGTCCTCCGCCTCGTCTTCGCGCGTCATCGCCGCGATCGCCTTGTGTAAGTCCGTGCTGTCCTGGTCGTGCGACAGGTCCACGCACGCGCACCCTCTGTCGACGTAAAACGCGCGCACGTCGTCGCGGATGGAATCGAGGTCCCCGACGATGAGGTCCGGGAGATGCGCGTTTCGAATCTCCATCGCGTCCTCGTCCGGGTGCATCGCCGGGAGCTCGTCGTACAGGCGGTTCGCGCCGCCGTCCGCGCAGACGCGCCGTCGCGAGCGCGCCCACAGGTTACGCGTGAAGGACGGGAGGTGGTAGTTGAGGAGCAGCAGCGAATCGTCCGACTGCTGGGACATCTCGTCGGACGTCGACGCGGTCGGCGCGGTCGCCGACGCCGACGCCGACGCCGACGGGTCCGGGAGGAAGTCCACGACGAACCGCTCGTGTTCGACGATCGTCTTCTCCGGCGCCGCGGTCGTCGTCGTCGTCGTCGTCGTCGTCGTCGTCATCGCGCGCGCGACGACGGCGGCGGCGGACGCGGTCTCGCGTGATGCGCCGCGACGACGCGCGCGAGACGACGACGGCAGCGCGAGGGATGATGCGCTCTCGCGCGACGCCGACGCCGACGCGCGCGCGCGGTGACGGGACCGCGCCGGGTCGTTCCTCGAGCGGTTCGTGAACCGGACGCGAAGCGCGGGCGTGGACGACGCGACGCGAGCGCCCGCGCGCATGGACAGCGCAGCGGGCGGCCGCGCGAAGTGAGAGCGGAGGGGGCGGGGAGGATTCGACGAGGCAGTTGATGATGCACTTTTCGTCTGAAAAAGATAATTTGGTTTTGGTTTGGTTTTACAAAAGGTAGATACGACGCCGCCGCGGGCTGCGTGTGGAGTGAGACCCCTCCCGGGGGGGTCGTTCACAGCCCGTACGCGTCCACGTCCTCCGGCCGCACGCGGCTCACGGCCTCGGTCATCCAGCACCCGCGCGTGTCGACCGTGGGACCGCCGCGGCGCTTCCCTACGAGCCACAAAAAAATCTCTCCGCCGTCGCCGCCGCCGCCGCCGCCCGCCGCCCCCCCAGCCCCGCCGCCGCCTCCCCGCACCTTCACGAAGCACACGAACTGATCCGCGCACAGCTGCGCGGTCTTCATCATCTCCGCGCTCCCGCTCGGGTCGATCAGCGACCTGTACATATCCGAATTGAGCATCTTTTGGGCCGTTCCATACAAAGCGACGTCGGGGTGGAGTTCAAAGGCGTCAGTTGAAGTTGAAAGGCGTCGAGGTGTGTCGGGATCGAAACCGAGGGACCCTGGGCGGAAAGACACGCCGGGAGAGAAAGTCCTTAAGAAACGGCGTTCACCACGCGAACGCGGTCGTACGGGGACCAGTGTGAGATAGTACGCGCCTTTTCGAACAGCTCGATAGGCCCTCGCGACGCGACGTTCGCCGGCGACGCGAACGCCCTCGCGCGCGCGAAGTCCCCGCCTCTCAACGCGTCGAGCTGCGCGGTCACGACCGCCTCCGGCGCGTGCCGCGGCGACGGCGCCTCCGGGCTCGACTCCTCCAGCGGCTCGCCGGCGACGCTCTCGACGACCCACTGCTCCACGACGCGCGCGGACTTGTAGCTCGGCGTCAGTCGCTCCTCGAGCCTGAGGGTCGTTCCGTCGTTCGAAGCGACGCGACGTCGGGGCGGAGTTGAAAGGCGTCAGAAGCGGAGTTGAAAGGCGTCGAGGTATGTCGGGATCGAAAGCGAGGGACCCTGGGCGGAGAGAAACGAACGCCGGGAGAGAAATTCCTTAAGGATCGGCGTGCACCACGCCAACGCGGTCGCACGGGGACCGGCGTGAGATGGGACGCGCCTCATCGTCAGCGTCAACGCGATCTCTTCCCCGCCGCCGCCGTTCGCGTCGTCGCCCGCGTCGCCGCCTCTCACCGCGAACCGCTGGACGTAGCGCGAGTCGTCGAGCACGAGCGAGGAGAGGACGACGACGCGCGACGGCGGCGCGCGATTGTACAGGAGCGCGCGCTGCGCGGCGGCGTCGCATCGCCTCGCCAACGAGACGAGGAGCTGGAGATCGTCGTCGGTCGTCGCCACCGCGCGACGCGCGTCGCTCTCGGACGCGGAGGCCGAGGCCGCCGACGCGTCCGCCGCCGCCGCCGCGTCCGCCGCCGCCGCCGGGACGAGACCGAACGCGCGCGCGAGCGCGTCCGCGCACGCGAAGTGTGACGGCGACGACGACGAGCCCGGCGCGTCGTCGCCGCCGCCGCCGTCGCCGTCGTCGTCCGGCGAGAGAGCAGGTCCGATCACGTCGCGCATGGGCAAAAAGTCGAGGACGCCGTCCGCGACCGATCGCGACTCGAGCGCGACGCGGAACGCCTCCGCGCGTACCGCGCCCGCGGCCGCGAGGGACGCGGCGCGCGTCGTCGCGGCGGTCTTTGACCGCGCCTCGTCCGCGTCTTCCGCGTCGTCGTCGAACGACGCGTCGTCGTCGTCGTGGGTGTCGTTCTTCTCGCGCGCCCTGCCGTCTCCTCGGTTCGCCGCGCGCGCGAGGATCGCGAGCGCGCCGCGCGGACGAAGCGAGGACGCGCGCGATCGCGTCGCCGACGCGCGCGGGGCGAGCGCGCGCGTCGCGCCGATCGTCGTCGTCATCGTCGTCGCGGCGGCCATCGCGTCGCGGCGTCGCGGCGCGCGCGGGATGGATGACGGTCTCGTCGGAGCGCGAGCGTCTCCGAACTCGAAAGGGCACGGGATCGCGGGAAAGGGCACTCGCGCCAAAACGAAAAACAGCTTCATGTCAGCCAATCATCGCGCGCCGCGCGGCCGCGGGCGGCGTCCTCGCCATCGTCGGCTCGGCTCCCCTCCGCGAACAGAACAGAACAGAAAAAGCCCGCGCGCGGCTCGGGTCGCCTCACTCTCTCTCTCCCCGCCCTCGCCCCCGGACCCCGCGGCGGCGGCCGCCCCTGCCGCTTCTTCCGATCGTCCGTCGAGAGTCCGATCATGTCCGCGGTGAACGACGTCGTCGTGATGCGCGCGGAGCTCAACAGGACGCGCGCGGCGCTCGCGAGGAAAGAGGCCGAGCTCGAGGCTGCGAAGAGAGAGCTCGCGGAGCTGAAGGCGGTGCACGAGTTGCGAGGCAGGAGCGACCGCGCGAAGTGCGCGGCCGCGCTGACCGAGGAAGACTTCGAGGACGTCGTGGACGACGCGGAGGCGATGGAGTCTCCGCGCAGTCGACATCTGAGGTGGCTCTGAGCGGTGGGCGGCGCGGCGCCGGAGCGTCCAACCCGGCCAGGGCGGCGTCGCGTCGCGCGTCGACGAGACTGTTTTGATGACTTTTTCGCGCGTCGCGTCGCGTCGTGCGAAAGTAGAACTCGTACTTCCTTCCATGTGCGCGCCTCATAATAAAACCCTCCCTCTATCTCACCGCCGCATGTCCGCGACGACCGCCTCCGCGGCGAGCCTGCCGCTCATCATCGCGCCGTCGAACGTCGCGGGCGATCGATGATCCCCGCACACGTACATCCCGTTCCCCAACCGCACCGCGCGCTCCAAATCCGTCGGCGTCGTCTGACTCGGCTGCGCGAACGGTATCCGATACGTCCGCAGATGCGTCCACGCGTCCACGTCAGCGCCGCCGCCGCCCTCGCCCACGAACCAGCGCTTCAGCTCGCCGCGCACTCTCGCGGTCAGCTCGTCGTCGCTCGTCTCCGGGACGCCGATCAAGCTGACCGACAGAAGCGACTTCCCTTTCGGCGCGTACGACGGCGAAACCGCGGAGGGGAAGCAGCAGTTGTTGATGATCCCGTCGCCGTCGCCGTTGAGGTAGAGCACCGGCGTCGGCAGCGGCGGATCGCCGTCGATGCCAAAGTACAGGCACGTCGTCCCCACCGGGTCGCCGCTCGCGCTCGGGGAGTTCACGGTCAACGCGTCGCCGAGAAGATTCGCCGCGTTGGGGCCTTCGACGGGGTGGAGTTGAAAGGCGTCAGTCGGAGTTGAAAGGCGTCGAGGGCGGGGATTGAACGCATTGGATGGGCGGAGAGATGCGCCGGGCAAAGTCCTTAAGGAACGGCGTCCACCACGCCGACGCGGTCGTATGGGGACCAGTGTATAGAACGCACCTTCGACGGCGACGACGACGCCGCGCCTGGCCCTGATCTCGTCCCCGCCCGCCGTCGTCACCACCTTCCCGGTCCCGGTCTCGTCGTCGTCGCGCATCGCCGTCGCCGCGGCGTTCAAGCGCACGCTCCCGGCCGGGAGCTTCCTCCTGAGCTGCTCCGCGACCTCGCCGATGCCCTTCTCCGGAAGGCAATTCTGCCCCGTCGCGAGCATGCGCATGACGAAGACGAAGAGCCGCGACGACGTCGTGAGCGCGGGGTTGAAGAAGATGCCGGACATGAACGGCCGGAAGAACCGGTGGATCATGTCGTCGCTGAATCCCGACGACTTCAGCCGCCCCATGATCGTGTCCTCCGGCGCGGAGAGGATGTCGTAGCAGTCGCCGAAGAGGCTCCGCAGACGCGCGACGCCGACGAGGATCTTATCGACGGGCGAGCCGATCGGATGCGACGGGGAGAGCGACGCGACCGCGTCGATCGGGTGCCGCAGCGGGTCCGCGACGCGATGGAACGCGTCCTGGAATCGCACGTCCGCGCCGGCGTAGAATGGCTTTAAAGATAACGCATCGTAATCGAGCGTTTTCTGAGCCTCCGGGTACCCCGTCAGGAAGATCGCGAACCCGCGATCGAGCAAGAAGCCGTCCACCGCGTCCGTGCGAAGGCGACCGCCGACGCCGTCGGAGGCTTCGAGGAGGACGAACGACACCCCATTCTCCGTCAGCGTCTTCGCCGCGCACAGGCCCGCGAGGCCACCGCCGACGATGACGACGTCCGTCTCGTCGACGCCGCCGTCGGACGCCGCCGCGGCGACGCGCGACGACGTGGTCGCATCGCGAGGGGCGAATCTCGTCATCGATTCGCGGTGGTGCGTCGACGCGCGGACCGCGCGCGCGCGCGTCGGACCGGACGCTCTCGGCGCGCGGACCGCGCCGCGCGCGCGCGGGGCGGAGACGACGCCGCGCGACGCCGACGCCGACATCGCGAGCTTCGACATCTCTGGGAGGGGTGGCCGCGGTGCGTGCGCGCGCGGACCGAAGTGATAGTGCCACTTGTCGCGCTGACGCGCGTTTATTGGCTCATCCAGTGGGCGTCCGCGCGCCAGAGGCGACGGCACCGAGGGGACGGCGCGGGCGAGATGCGCCTCGGGAGCGTCGGCGCGACGACGCCCTCGCGCGTCGTGACGGCGACGACGACGACGACGACGGCCGCGAGGGTGCGGGTCCCACGCCGCGCGTCGGCGACGCCGCGCGCGGTTGTCGCGCGCCCCTCCGCGATCGGCACTCTCGCTCGATCGCGGTCTCATCTCGCGGCGACCTCGCGGAGGTCCACGCGCACGAGCGCGCCGCCGAGCGCGGTTATGATGCTCTCGAAGCAGCGCAGAAGCGCCTCCGCGTCGTCGTCCTCGTCGACGCGTCGCGCTTCCCCCACGACGCTCCTCCCGCCCTCGCGCTCGTGGCTCGAGAACGCCGCGAGCGCGGCCGCGCAGGGAGGATCGTCGCCGAGCCCCTCGAGCGCGAACCCGCAGCGGCTGCCCGCGCGACGACCGCGGAGGGGGCCGGACGACGACGACGACGACGACGAAGACGACGACGAAGACGCCGTCGACAAATCGAAATCGAACGACGACGAGCCGAGCTTCGTGTGGGATCCCCGCGACGTCGTCGGCGCCTACGGCGCGCTGTTCGCGATCCTCGCGTGCGGGACCTCGCCGTGGCTCGCGGAGCAGCGGTACGGCTACGTCCCGTACTTCCTCTCGCTCGCGTTCGCGTCCATATACCTCGGCGCTCACAGAGGGCTCGCGCGAGAAGACCGCGAGACGTTCTCGCTGAACCAGTCCGCGGCGGCGCCGTTCGCGCTGTCCGCGAGTCTCCTCGGCGTGTACCTGATCCTGAAGTACACGGACTTCGACCTCGGGACGCTCGTGAGCGCGTACTTCTGGCTCCTCGGGACCGTCGCCGTGGGAAGCAATCTCGTCTCGCCGATCGCCGCCGTCGTCGGCGACGACGTCGCGTCCGTCGTCGCGTTCGTCGCGCCCGTCCCCGAGGGCGTCGCCGTGGACGCGGCGACGGGCGAGCCCGTCGTGGAGCTCCCCGTGAGCGTCGCCGCCGCCGTCGCGTGCGCGCTGGGTGTCGCCGCCGCGACCGCGGACGTCGCGTGCGGGCACTCCAACCACACGCTGAACAATTTCCTCGCGTGCTGCATCGCGGCGGACTTTTTGTCGCTCCTCGGCGTGGGCTCGTTCGCCGCCGCGGGCGCGCTGCTGACGGGTCTGCTCGCGTACGACGCGTTCTGGGTCTTCGGCAGCGGCGCGATCTTCGGCGACGGCGGCGCGGACAGCAGCGTGATGATGACCGTCGCGACGAGCGAGTCGTTCCAAGGGCCGTTCCGGCTGCTCTTTCCGCGATTCGACGACGCGTTGAACCCGCCGCCGATGGACGTCTTCCCCTTCTCGTTGCTCGGTCTCGGCGACATCGCCGTCCCGGGGCTGCTCGCGTGCATCGCGCTGCGGTACGACGCGTCGAGGGCGACGGACATGCGAGGACGCGCGACCGCGGCGGCGGCGGCGTTCATGGGCGCGTTCGACGACGCGTGGGAGGAGGCGGACGAAGAGGCGGCGGCGGCGGCGGCGGCGCGCGGCGACGGCGACGCGTCGCTCGAAAGGGGGGCTCGGGCGGACGCGCTGGACGAGTCCGTCGCGGAGAGAGCCGCGGCGGCGGCGGAGAGGGCGTTCGACGACGCCGCGGAGGCGTTGGGGGACACCGCGTCCGGGAGGGGGGACGGGGTCGGGGACGGGGACGGCGGCGCGGGGAACGGCACCCCGGGGACGACGAAGAACATGGTGGTGCCGCGATCGATGGGCGGCCGCGCGATGTTCTCGAGCGTCATGCGCGGGTACGTCGCCGGGCTCCTGATCGCGATCGGCGTGAACGCGTGCACGGGGACGGGGCAGCCCGCGCTCGTGTACCTCGTCCCGTGTGCGCTCGGGAGCTTGGGGTACACCGCGTCGCGGCGCGGCGAGGTGGAGCGTTTGATGGCGTTTAAGGACGAGCGCAGCAGTTTCTCGGAGAAGCTGTGACGACGCCGAGGCGAGGCGAGTCGGTCGCGTGTCGTTTACGAAGTACCTTCGCACTACGAAGGTGCCTTCGGCGTGTGTGTAGCTATATCATGCCGTAGCAGCGCTGTGGTGGTGAACACTACGCGTGCGCGCGTTCGAGTAATAACGCGTCGCGCTGTCGTATTTCTGATCGTCTATGATGCGCGCAAGACGCCATCCATATCCAGGGCGACGTCATCGCGCCGGCTTCGTCGCTTCTTTTTTCGCCCCCCGCCCCCGAGCCTTCGACACGTCCGGCCCCGCCGCCAGAGCGCACTCGTGCACCGCGAGCGGCAGCCCCGGGAACAGGTGCAGCAGGTACGACGCGAGCAGATCGCGTCGCTGCTTCCGCGTCAGCCTGCGGTACGCCATCCCCGGGACGATGCCGGGCGGAAGGAGCGAGCGCGTCTTCGCTCCGTCGCCGTCGTCATTTTCGGGGCCCTCCGATCCGGATCCGGATCCCGGGGACCCGGCGAGCGCCGCGGACGCTTCCACGAGCGCATTCACCATGGGCTCGATCTCGTCCCCCGTCGGCGGGTGCTCGTACGCGTTCCTGCAGAACCGAAGGAGGTCCGCGAAGCCGTCGCCGTACGGTTTTCGACCGACGCCGCCGCCGCCGCCGCCGCCGCCGCCGCCGCCGCCGTCCGCCTTCGCGCCGCCGCCCTTCCCTCCCCCGTCGTTCCCCCCGCCCGCGAGCTGCGCGGTCGTCACCCGCGTGCGAATCACCGGGTCCACGAGCCCTTGCCAGTCCGTCAGGTCCATGCTCGCGGCCGCCAGCAGCGCGCCGCGCTCGCTGTTCCCGGTGCCCGCGCCGCCGCCGCCGCCGAGAAGCGCGTCCGTGGCGACGTTGGATAAAAACGTCCCCATCTCCGTCTGCATCGACGCCGAGCGCGCGTGCAACGCCACGAGCTCGCGCATCGCGCGCTCGTCGTCCCAGAACAGCGGATGCGCGACGACGCCTGCCGCGGACGGGCGCTGAGCGGGGTCCGGGGCGAGCATCGACGCGAGCAAGTGCCGAGCCTCGAGCGCGCGTCTCGGTTGTAACCCGCCGACGCGCATGAGCGATTGCAAGTGCACGCGGCCGTTGATGATCGCGGCGTCCGTCGGGACGTCGCGGCCGCTCTCGCTGAACGGCGACGCGCGTCCGGTGAGCACGAAGTAGAACACGACGCCCATGGCCCATATGTCCGCGGCCGGGGTCAGCGGCCGCCGCGTCAGCATCTCCGGCGCGCGTCCGGCGAGGACGATGTCTATGCCGTACTTTCGAAACGTCGACATCGTGTATTCTCTCCGCGTCGTGCTCGCGCGCCCGCTCCCTTGCAACTGCACGCCCAGGCCGACGTCCGCGATCTTCACGTTCCCGGTGCTGTCCACGAGCAGATTCTCCGGCTTGAGATCGTTGTGCGTGATGCACCCGGACGGCTTCGTGGGGTCGTGCAGCCACGCGATGCTCTCCGCGACGGACGCGAGAATGTCCATCCGACGCGTCGACGTCATCGTCTCGCCGTTCCGCGTGACGTGCTCGCGCAGCGACTCCGTGCACAGCTCGAGCGCGATGAACAGATGCGAGGACGTGATCCCCCAGCAGTGGAAAAACGGCACGCGCGGGGACTGGTTCAGCGCGGTGAGGAGCTCCACCTCGCGCTCGACGAGCTTGAGAAGTTCGCGACCCTCGTCCCCTGGCGGCCGCGCGATGCGCTTCACCGCGACGGCGTGCCGCGCCCTCGTCGTGTGCTGGACGTAGCCTCTGAACACGTACGTGCCGCTGCTGCCGACGCCGATGACTTCCTCTTCGTTGTATATGATCGCGTCGCCGACGCGGCGCCAGGAAGAGGTCGAGGAGGGGTTGTTGCGCCCGGCGCCGCCGCTGCCGCCGTCACCGTCGCCGTCGCCGTCGCCGCCGCCGCCGGCGACGGTGACCTCCTCCCCGGCGCTGCCCTCGTCCGGCACCGCCTCCGCCCACGCGGTCGCGGCCTCGTCCGCGTCCGCGCTGCTGCCACCGTCGCCTCTCTTCGCGTGCTGACCGGTGAACCCGCCGAACCCGCCCGCGGGGCCCACGCCGCCCTCGTACAGCTCCACGGGGTCGTCGTCCCAGTTTAACACGTACAGCTGCGTCGACGCGTCCGCCGCGCTCGCCGCGTCCTCGCTCGCCTCGAACGACGGCCCGCGGACGCCTCGCCCTTCGCTCCCCTCGAACCGCACGCGCGCGCCCGGGCCCCCGATCGAAACGCGCGCGGACCCGGACCGGGACCCGGAAGACGACGGCCCCAGCCCCGGCCCCGGCCCGCCGCCGTCGAGCGCCGCGTCGAGCGCGTCCAGCGCGTTCGCCTTAAAGCCATTCCATACAAAAATAGTTCACCGGTCAGTTGAAAGGGACCCACGCGATCAAATGTTGAAACCGAGCGAGCGGTGGGTCAAATTTTTTTGTATAGAACGCACCTTGGCCTCCTCCGCGGGCGTCCGCCGCCCCGCCGTCGCCGCGCGCGTCACCTGCTCGTGCTCCGCGTCCGTGATGTCGAGGCTCTGGCGTATCGTCGCGAGCATCGCCTCCGCCTCTTCGGTCGGCGACCCGCTCGCCCACGCCACCTTATTCGCGGCGAAGTACGCCTTGAGGCGCTGATCGCCACCCTCCAGCGCGCGCTCGGCTTCGAGCTCTTCGCACAGCTTCAACGCCTCGCGCAGTTCGATCGCCGGGTGCGCGGCGGACGTCTCGTCGATCGAAACGCGCAGCTTCGCCGCGTTCCTCGCCTTCATCGCGAGCTCCACCTTCTCGAGCGCTCGCCACCGCGCGAGGACCGCCTCCGCGTCGTTCACCGCGTCCTCGAGCTGCCACGGCCACGCCGCCGTTTTCGCGCGCGAGATGGCGCTCTCTAAATTCGCGACGGCTTCGCGTTCCAACGTCCCCGGCCGCAGCGCGCGGCCGCGCAACTCCGGCTCGAGCGCCTCCGACAGCGTCGCGCGCGCGAGGTCCATCTCCTGCAGCGCGGTCGCCCTGGAGAAACAACGCGACACGAGCGTGTTGAGCTTCGCCGCGCCCTCGTCCGTCAGCGGCGGCTTTCTCTCGGCAACCTTCGCGGCTCTCACCATCAGCGCCTCCAGCGTCGGCACGGAGGCCACGTTCAGGGACGCCTCGTCCGCGAGCGCGACGCGCAGGTCCGCCTCGAGAGTAAGCGCCTCGAGCGCAGCTTCCGCGGCGGCGACGGCGGCTCGCAGCGCGGATTTGGGTCTCTTCTTGGTCGCGGTGGTCGCGGCGTCCTCGTCGTCCAGGGAAGAATCGCCGCTGTCGCCGGCGACAAAGTCGCGCAGGGGGACGCCGCCGCGCGTCGCGCCCCGGTCGGTCGACGCGCCGTCACCGTCTTCCTCGGCCGCGTCCGATTCCGATTCCTCGTCGTGCGACAGAAGGACGTCCGCGCGCGCCGCGGACTCGTTCCACGCCTCCGCAGCCTCCGCGGCTTCTTTCTCCGTGAGCGGCGTCGGCGCCGCCGCCGCCGCCGCCGCCGCGGAAACCGCCGCGGCGGAAACCGCCGCGTCGTACCTCTGCAACACCACCTTCGCGCGCTGCAAGTTCGCCTTCAACCCGGGGACGTCCACCGGAACCTGCAGACACGCCGCGGTCAGCGCCGCCGCGAGCGCGCTCTCCTCCGCCTCCCTCGCCTGCGCGCGAATCTCCTCCAGCATCACCTCGCCCTCGCCCGCGTCGGCGCCCACCGCCCTCGCCTCCGCGAGCGCCTCCTCGAGTTCGACGAACCCTCTCCCCTGCGGCGCCTTCTTCGCGCGCGAATACGCCTCGCGCACCGCGTCTCGCGCCTCCTTGCGCTTCACGCTGCGCCCGAGAAGGATCCTCGTGCGCTTCTCCATGAGGACTCGGAGCTGGTTCTTCTCTTCTTTCGCGTCGCGGCCGGCCCGCCCCCCCGCGACGACGGAGCGCGCGAGCGCGTTGTCCTGCCACAGCGTCAACACCACGAACGGTATCCCGAGCTCGAGCAACGTCTCCGCGGCGTTGACCATGCCCTCGCCGTCGCTCTCCGCCGCCTTCTCGTCCCCGGGCGCGGACACGTTCACGATTATCACCAGCCGCTTTTCGTTCCTCTTCTTCTTCTCCTCGCCGCCGCCGCCGAACCCTTTGTAGTAGCTCTCGTCGCTGCTCACGCTGTCCCTGCCGTACGTCCCGAACGAGTACGGCGCGTTCGGCCACAGCGCGTTGAACGCCGCGCGAACGTCCCCGACCTCGCTGACGGCGCCGTCGCCGTCGCCGTCGCCGCCGTGCACGAGCGCGTCCGGCAGCAAAATCTGCGGCGCTCTCCGCCGGCGGCGGCTCAGCTCCTCCTTCGCGTCGCCGCCGCCTTCGATCATCGGCTGCTGCATCCCCGCCGCCGCGGTCAGCGCGCTCGCGGTCATGAGCACCGCGCGGAGCGTCAGCGCGACGGACGGCTGCGTCCACCCGCGCCACGTGGGGAAGGAGGCGAAGAGCTCGCGCTCGTTGTCCGCGGCGGTGACCTCCTTCCCTACGCCGGGGGTCTGCGTCGACGCCTGCGTCGCCGACGACGCCGCGTCGCCGCCGACGCCGGGCCGCTTCTTCCGCGCGTCCACCGCGGCGGCGGCCATCTCCGCGACGCCGCTCGGTTCGCCGTTCGGCGACGCGCGCAGCAGCGGCACGGGGACGTGCATCGCCACGGAGGGCGACTCGCGACGCGCCACCTTGTCCACGGGGAACGACGTCACCTCCGCGACGATGGCGTCCTGCACCTCTCGGAGGACGAGGTCCACGCCCGTGCTGTTGCCGCTGTGCCACTGGAGCATCGCCTCGAGGAAGTCCACCTTGCTCCCGGGCGCGACGGGGGGCGGCGCCGGGGCCTGCGTTGGGGCGAGCGGTGGGGAATTTGTTAGGCGGGGGAGGCGAGCGTCGGGGACGCGCGACGGGGCGCGATTCCGCGCGTCGCGCGGCGAGCACGCAGAGAGAACCATCATCAGATGAACCGTCGACGCGCCTGGTATATCGTCACGCCCATCCTCTGCGCGAGGCCCTCGAGCGGGCGGAACCATCCGCCGCCGCCGCCGTCGGACCCGCTCTCCGCGGCGCGCGGCGCGCGCGCGACGCGGCGTCGTCCGACGACGCGACGCGGCGCGGGAACGCCGCCGTCGCCGCCCGCCCGAAGAACACCTCGCGGTGGCGGTGTCGACGTCGTCGCGACGCCCGCGCGCGCGGTCGCGGCGCGCGACTCGACGCGCCGCGCCGTCGCGCGCGCGCCCGTCGCGCGCGTCGCGCTCGAGGCGGACATCTCGAGGAGAGCGAACGCGGCCCTCGCGCGCGTTCGCCCGCCGTCGTCCGCCCGCGGTTATGCGCGCGCCCTAACCCTCGACGCGTGCTGACGTCGTCGCGCCATCGAGGTCAAACTCCGGTCGCGGTCGCGGTCGCGATGCGCCTCATCAGCGTCCGACCGCGACCGATCGCTTCCACTCCGGGCGCGCGCGCGCCCGCTCGCCCCGCCCCGGCCGGGATGGCGACGCCGAGCGCCGAGGCGGAGGAGCTCAAGGCGGAGGGCAACAGGCTGTACCAGCGCGGGAAGTACGCCGCGGCGATCGACGCGTACACGCTCGCGGTGACGGCCGCGCCGCGGTGGATCTCTCCGTACGTCAACCGCGCGCTGTGTCACCGGAAGCTGAAGCGATGGGAGGGCGTGCGCGACGACTGCGTGAAAGCGCTCGAGATCGATCGCGAGAACATCAAGGCGAACTACATGCTCGGGCTGTCGCTGATATTCGAGAAGAAGCACACGGAGGTGAGCGAGCGAGGAGGAGAAGCGCGGACGCGACGCGACCGACGGGACGGAGGGATCGCGCGATCGAGCGTCTCTCCGTCCTTCGCGGTTGGTTGGCACCCCGAGCCGACGCGCGGTCGCGGTCGCCGGTCGACCCGACGCTCTCGCCTCTCCGCCGAACCTCTGAACGAGACCACACGTCCCCCTAAATATAAACCCCCACCCACCCCGCCCACCCCTCAACGCAGGCCGCGACGAAGCTGTCGAAAGCGCTCGAGAACGCGCGCGCGTCGGACGCGACGATGCAGGACGAGATATGGCGCGAGCTCGCGCGCGCGAAATACCTCGAGTGGGAACTCCACGCGGCGGCGCGCGCGACGCGGTACCAAAACGCGGAGCGGAAACTTCGAGCGGCGTGCGGCGTCGCGGGGACCGCGACGACGAGCGGCGGCGGCGGCGGCGGCGGCGGCGGTGCCGACTACATGGACCTCACGATGGAGGACGCGGACCCGTTCGAGGCGGCGTGGCGCGACGCGAAAGGCGCGGGGGGGTCCCGGTCCGGGTCAGGCGCGTCCTATACACTGGTTCCCATACGACCGCGTCGGCGTTGTGAACGCCGATCCTTAAGGACTTTGCTCGGCGCATCTCTCCGCCCACCCCTCGCTTTCAGTACCCACCCTAGACGCCTTTCAACTGCAACTGACGCCTTTCAACTCCACCCCGACTTTCGCTTGTATAGAACGGCCCTCAGGGAGCGCGCCGGCGACGCCGATGGCGGATCAGCTCACGAGGGACGATTGGCCCGTCGTGGAAGAGCTTCTCGCCGCGGCGCGAGGACGCGACGACCGAAGAGAGGACCCCCCGGACTGCTTCTGCTGCAAGCTCACGTTCGAGGTGTTCCGCGACCCGGTCGTCGCGCCGTCGGGGCACTCGTACGAACGCATCGCGATCACGACGCACTTGGAAAAAGTCGGCGCGTTCGACCCCATCACGCGAGAGCCGCTGTACGCGAACGACTTGCGGCCGAACATAAGCCTGAGGAACGCCGCGCACGAGTGGTTGAATCATCACGCGTGGGCGTACGCGGACATCATCAAGCCGGACGCGCCGTTAGAGTGAGGGGGAGAGTCGTTAGCGCGGAGAGGTCGCGGCGCGTCAGATTCAAGAGAGGAGAAAATCGAAAATCGAGGCGACGCGCCCAGCAGACCGCTCGCCTTCGTCGCGCGCCCCCGCCGGTCTCCCCGAAGCGGCGTCGCGTCGCTTCCGGTCCCCACGTCGCGTCTTATCTTCACACCCGCGCGCGCGCGGACGACGGCATCGCGCCCGCCCGCGCCGCGCCTCCTCCGCGCACGATGTCGACGCCTCGCGCGTCCGCGGCGACGCGGACGCGGACGACGCGCGCGTCGTCGTCGTCGTCGTCGACGACGTCGACGACGGCGACGGCGACGACGACGACGAAAAGGACGCTCCTCCTCCTCGTCGTCGTCCTCCTCGCGGCGAGCGCGACGACGCCCGCGCACGCGCGCCTCCCCCCGTCGCCGTGCTTCCACGCCCTCGACGAGCTCTCGAGCGCGGTGTACGCGCTCGAGGCGAGCGCCGCGCGCGCCGACGCGTCCGTCGCCGCACAGGGCGCGCGCGTAGGCGGCGTCGACGGCGGGTTCTACGGCGGCGCGTTCCAGGGCTGGGGCGCGCCCGGCCTCGAGTATGATGACTTCGACGACGACGCGAGCGGCGGGAACGCGACCGACGCGGGCGTCGTCGTCGCCCAGGGCGCGCGCGGCACCTACGCGGGCGTCCGCGCGACCGGCGATCGCGCCGCCGCGCTCGGGGACGACACCGCCGCGCTCGGGGACTTGTCGTTCGTCGCCGGCGCGTCGTCGCTCGCGCTGGGGGTCGCGTCGCTCGCGGTCGGGAATCGCACGACCGCGACCGGCGACGCGTCCGTCGCGCTCGGGAAGGGCGGACGCGCGACCGCGGAGGCGTCGAGCGCGCTCGGGATGTTCACCGAGGCGGGCGGGGTGGGGTCGGTCGCGGGCGGCGTGAACTCGATCGCGTCGGGGGAGGCGGCGACCGCGTTCGGGACGAGCGCGGAAGCCTCCGGCGCGGGCTCGGTCAGGTGCGCGCGCGCGACAGCGACAGGACCTCTCATCGCGAACGTTTTTCTTTGGTTTTGGCGCGCGCGACGGCTTCGGCTTCGGCTTCGGCTTCGGCTTCGGCTTCGGCTTCGGCGGGGTCGTCCTTTCTGATGAAAACGCACGTTCACGAACCGTTACTTACGGTATCTATGTTTACGCATCACCCTCCCCCCTCCCTCCATCCATCCTCCGCGCGCGCGTCGCAGCGCCGGCGTCTTCACGAAGAGCCAAGGCGCGGCGTCCTTCGCCGCCGGCGGCGGCGCGGAAGGATCGTTCTATCTCACACTGGTCCCCATACGACCGCGTTCGCGTCGTGAACGCCGATCCTTAAGGACTTTGCCGGCGCATCTCTCCGCCCACTCCTCGCCTTCAATACCCACCCTCGGCGCCTTTCAACTTCAACTGACGCCTTTCAACTCCACCCCGACGTTCGCTCGTATAGAACAGCCCTCGGCGACCTCTCCGCATCTTTCGGCGCCTACACCATGGCGCAGGGCGCGTCCGCGACGGCGATGGGCGCGGGCACGACCGCGTCCGGCGACGCGTCCACGTCCGTCGGCCTCCTCTCGCGCGCGTCCGGCGTCGCCTCGTTCAGCGCGGGCGACCGCACGCGCGCGTCCGGGGAAGCCTCCGCGGCGTTTGGCGTCGACGGCGAATCCTCGGGGCGAGGAAGCGTCAGGCGCGTTCTATCTCACACTGGTCCCCATACGACCGCGTTCGCGTGGTGCACGCCGATCCTTGAGGACTTTCTCTCCCGGCGTTCGTTTCGCTCCGCCCACCCCTCGCTTTCGCTTTCAATACCCGACCTACGCGACGCCTTTCAACTCCCGACTGACGCCTTTGAACTCCACCCCGACGTCGTCGCTTTTAACGATGGACCCTCGACCCTCAGCCTCGGTGTCCTCTCCAACGCGCGCGGGGAAGCGGCGTTCGCGCAGGGCCTCCGATCGTCCGCGACCGGCGGCGGCGCCGCGGCGTCGGGCGTCGGCGCGATCGCGTCCGGGCTCGGCGCGATCGCGCAGGGCGTCGCCGCGGTGTCGACCGGTTTATCTTCCAACGCGCTCGGGTTCGCGACCATCGCGCAAGGGATCGGCTCTTTCAGCGGCGGCTTCGGGTCGTTCTCCGCCGCGAACGCCGTCGGGTCCGTCGCGCTGGGCATGTTCGATCGCGCGGACGGCACCGGGTCCGTCGCGATGGGGATGCTGAGTCGCGCGTCGTCGAATCGCGCGGTCGCGATCGGGGACCGCGCGTGCGCGGGCGCCGAGTGCGACGCGCCGGCGGCGCGCGAAAACGACTCGGCGACGAACGACGTCGCCGCCTCCGTGGCGATCGGCGGCCGCGTCGTGGCGAACGGCGCGGGCGCGATGGCGTTCGGGTACCGCTCCGTCGCGAGAGGCTCGCACGCGCTCGCGGCGGGGCTCTACGCCGTCGCGGACGGCCCCTCCGCGGTCGCGCTCGGGAACCGAACGCTCGCGGACGGCACGGCGTCGTTCGCGAGCGGGGAGAAGGCTGTCGCGTCCGGCGCGCGCGCGATTGCGATGGGTCTCGAGACCGTCGCGAGCGCCGCCGGCGGCGTCGCGATCGGCGCGCGCTCCGTCGCCGCGGGCGAGGGCGCGATCGCGATCGGCGGCGGCGACGCGCGCGCGATGCGCGAAGGGTCGATCGCGCTCGGGGCGGGCGCGACGTCGGACGCGAAAAATGCCGTCGCGATGCCCGGCGCGACGGCGACGGAGGACGACTCCCTCGCCGTCCTCGGCGTCGTCTTCGCCGCGGACTTTCGAGTCTCCGGCGGCGGAGGCGCCGGCGTGGTCGCGCTGCTCGCCGCGGTCGAGAGCCTGCGGAATAAGACGGACGCGCTCGAGCTGAGAGTCGCCGCGCTCGAGGCGGCGGCGGCGGCGGCGGCGGCAAACGGCGACGGCGACGGCGACGACGACGACGAAGGCGGCGACCCCCCGCCCGCGAACGTCGTCGAGGTGACCTACGGCCTGTCCGGGTACACCGAGGAGACGTTCGGGGAGACAGAGCGCGCCTCCTTCCGCGGCGCGGTCGCGGCGTTACTCGGCGTCGACGAAGACGCCGTGCGCATCGTCGCCGTGACGAACCGGGACGCGACGCGACGACGACTGCTGCAGGACGACGCGGACGGCGGCGGCGGCGGCGTCGACGTTCAGTTCGAGGTGGACGTCCCGGACGCGTCCGCCGCGGAGACCGTCGCGGAGCAGGCGAACTACTTCGCCGCCGACGACGCGGGCGCGACGACGCTCGTCACGAGTTTACGAGAGAAAGGGCTCTCGAGCGTGAGCGAAGTGCGACTCGCCGCGAGCGCGGTCGTCGTCGTCGCGCCGCCGCCGCCGACGACGACGCCGTCGGCGCCGAGCCCGTCCGGCGCGCCGCCGCTGGACGACGACGACGACGACGACGGCGCCGCGGACGCGCCGGCGTCGTCGCCCGCGGACGGCGCGCGCTTCGCCGTGGACGCGCCGGCGTCGTCGCCCGCGGACGAGGACGCGGCGGCGACTGCGGAGGACGACGCGGCGTACGACGCGCCGCCAGACTATTAAACGAGTCGACGCGACGCGATGTGAATAATAAGGTTACGATGATGCCTCGTTCGGTAACCGTACGTTTCGTTTCACCGCGCGGTGTCGCGTCGTCGCGTCGCTATCTAAGCGCTCTAATGAATAGTTTCGTCTCGTCTCGTTCGCGTGCGCTCTATGTCGCACTGGTCCCCATACGACCGCGTTCGCGTGGTGAACGCCGTTTCTTAAGGACTTCTCCTCGTCGTCGTTCCCCGACGCTCCGCTCACGGCGTGCCCGGCCCTCCCCCCGCCCCCATCGGCATGAGCAGCGACTGAATCCCGCGCCACTGCTTCGCCGTCTCCGCGATCCACGGCCCGTTGAAGATGCACAGCACCGTGCAGTCCTCGGTGTACTCCAAGTTATTCAGCAGCTTGGGCGTGAGCAAAAACGTCTGCGGCGTGTCCTCCCTCGACGCCGCGTTGGTCATCCGCTTGAAAATTTTCCGCTCGTTCACCGGGTCCATCCCCTGGTTGATCTCGTCCACGACGCGGAACGGCGCTTTCGTCAGCTCCTGCAGCGAGATGAGGTATAGCATCGTCGAGACCGAGCGCTCGCCGCCGGACTGCCGGTGCGCGTCCAGGATGTGCATGTCCGTCGCCGCGCGAAATTTCACGTAGAGCTCGAGTCGATACGCGTCGAACGCGTCGCCTCTCTCCTCGAGCTTCACCTCCCCGGCGCACCCGATCGCGGCGAAGTTGTTCTTGAACTGCTCGTTGATGTTATCCACGAGCTCGCGCAGCTTCGGGAGCCACGCGTCCTTCACCGTCGCGATGTCGCTCTGCTTCTCGGTCAACTCTGCCTCCCCCGTCTTGAGGTCCGCCTCGATGGCGTCGATCTCCTGTTTTCGACGCTTGAAGTCCTCCAGCACCATCCCGTTCGGGCACAAGATGGCGTCCGCCTCGGTCTCTATCGCGTCGATCGTCTCGTCCAGCTCTTCCGTCGTCGCCGGGTACTCCAGAAATTTCTCCTGGAGCTCCGGCGTCATCGGCGCTTCGCTCTCCGCGGCTTGCTTCGTCTCGCGCGCCTTCTCCTTGGTCTTGACGCAATTCGACACGCACTCATCCTTGGCCGCCAAGAGATCCTTTTGATCTCCTTTCGCGGCGTCGAGCACCTCCTGGAGGTGCGCGGACTGAACCTTGCACTCCTCCGCGCGCAAGAAGCACGCGGTGCGCTCGCGCATGTGCTTCAAGCACGCCGCCGTCGCCTCCGTCACCGCGGCGACGGCTTTCTCCCGCTTCTCCGTGTTCTCCTTGAGCTTCGCGGCGACGGTCGCCTCGAGTCCCTCCACGTCCTCGCTCTTTCGGCACAGATCCAGCGCCTTCTCCGCCACCTGCACCTGCTGCTGCAGCGCGTTCTTCTTCTGGACCGCGTCCCTGCGCATGCTCGAGATGAAATCCCGTCTCTTCGTCGCCGCGAGGTACTGCCCTTGGAGCGCGTTCCACTCCTGATTCGCCGCCTCGATGGAGCGCTTGACCGTCGCCACGTCGTCTTTCAAGCCTTTGATCTCCTCCACGACCTCCGCGCGCTGGCTCGCGTTCGCGTTCGCCGTGAACAGCTGGCTGTTCTTCACGCCGTACGTGCTCAACGTGATCGCGCTCGGGTCGTAGCGCGACTTGGTTTTGTTGAACACCGTCCGCGGCGTCAGCGCCTTCGGGACGTCGTTCGTCTCCTTCAACAGCTTCTCCACTTGCGCGTCCGTGACTTTCGGGTCCATAACGAACGCCCTGTCGACGTTACCCGCGTCACACAGCGCCTGCTTCACGATCGGTTCCGCCTGGAAGCACTGGTCTAGCCGGTGCGTCACGCCCCACGAGCGCAGATGCGACACGTCCGGCTCTCGATACGACACGTTCGTGATGTTCATGACGTTGAGGCCGAAATCTTTAAACGCTTGCGAGAGCTTGTCGCGGTCGCGGTCGTCCTGCGTGATGTACGTGCCCCACGCCCACCTGGGGACGTTCTGCTCGAGGTAGTTCCGATGCGTCGCGTCCTCGCACTCCACGAGCGTGAGCAGCGGCCCGATGACGGGCTTGTGGAAGCCGTTACGATGTTCTCTCACGTACTCGTCGCCTCTCTGGATGTTAAACCCCCGGCTTCGCTGGTTCGCCCACTGCAGCCTCTCCAACTTTTGCCCGCGGATGGAGTCGATCCCCGCCAATCGATCCTCCATCGACTTCAGCCTCGCCTGCGGCTGTCGCAGCTGCGCGTGCAGGTCGTCCCTCTTGTTCTCCACCGCGCGCCACTCGAGGTTCTTATCGTTCGCCGCCTTCTTCGCCTCGGCGAGCTCCTTCGCGTTGTCCGGCGGCTCTGGCGCATCCGCCAGCGCCTTCTTCGCCCGCTGTAGCTCCCTCTCCTTCGCCGCGAGCTGCCCGCGCTGCTTCATGATGCGCTCCCTCGCGTTCTGGAGCTGCTTCGCCGACCGCGTCGCGTCCGTCGCGAGGTCTTCGAGCTCGTTCGTCGCGTTCTCTCGCCTCCTCGACGCGTCTCTCTTCGCCTTGGACGCCGCCTGGAGCCGCGCGTGGTTCTCCGTCGTCAACCGGTTCATGAGCGTCACGGGCTCCGTGAACTGCGCGAGCTCTCTCTCCTTCTCCGCGATGAGCCTGTTGCACTCCTTTAGGTTTTGCTTCGCGTCGCCCCACTTCGAGCGCGCCTTCTCGTGCTCCAGCCACGGCCGCTTCTTCTTCATGTCCTCCGCCTCCTTGACGAGTTTCTCGCGCTCGTTGAACCTGTCGACGTCGCGCTCGAGCGACGCGTTTTCGAGCTTCAACTTCTCCACCCTCGCGCGCTTGGAGCTCACGTCGCGCTCCAGATCCGCGATCCCTTGCTTCATCTCGATCAGACTCGCGTGCTTGTCGTGCAGCTGCCCGTTCTCGATCGTCTTCTCCGTCTCCAGGAGGAGCTGCTCCGGGGTCATCTTGGCGAACTCGACGACGCGATCTTGCGGGAGAAACTGACACAGGTTATCCAGCTGCACGCCGAGCGCCTTCATCTCTCGCTTGACGCGCTCCTGCGTCACGATCACGCCGTTGACTTTCCACACGCTGCTCGCGTCCCGCCGTCTGATCTCTCGCTTCACGACCATCGTCCCACTGTCCGACCCCGTCGCGAGCGTGATCTCGGAGTAGCCGGACTCTTCGCCGCGCTTGACGAACTCCGCGATCTTGTCCGCGCGGCCGAGGAGTCTCGTGCTCCCGGCGAGGCCGATCGCGAGCGCGCACACGAAGGAGGACTTCCCCGTGCCGTTCGGGCCGAGGATGACGTTCAGACGCGGCCCGGGCTCCATCTCGACGTCGCCGTACGTCATGAAGTTGTGCAGCTTCACGCGCACGACCGCGCCCTTGGGGTACTCGGAAGGATGATGCCGCGGCCCGGCGCGTCGCCGCCGCGCGCGCGCGGCGGCCGCGGCCTCATCCTCCGGGGTGTCCGGGCGCGGGCGGATGTCGTCGATGACGTTGGGGTTGGCGGCGGCCTCGCCCTTCACGATGCGGGGCATCGTGGCGCGGAGGGCGAGAGCGCGGCGCGATCTGGTGCCAAGTTTGAAACCGCGAGCGTCCTTTGCGTCGCGACGCGACAGCTGGCGACGCGCGAGTCGCCGCACACCGTCGCGCGCGCTGACGCCGCGGCGGGCGACGATGCCGTCGCTATGGTCCCGCGTGCGGATGCTCGACGCGTGTCCGGGGGCGATGACGACGCCGGAGCACATCAAGCACGTGCGTCGCCGGATCCTCGCCCGCCCCCGCGCGCCGTCTCGCGTCGTCCTGTCGATGTCGCGGTCGTCAATCTCATTCGGTTTTTCTTCGCGGGAGGGTGCCCACAGCTGCCGTCAGACGCCATTCCACGTCCTCACGTCGCGTCCACGCGCGCCGCTGACGCGTCCACGCCATCTTCGCGCCCCCCCCCACCCCCACCGCGCGCCTCGCACGCAGTGGGTCGTCACCGAGACGGTGTTCAAGCGCGCGCGAGACGAGATCGACGCGAAGGGGAAATTCGACCCGAGCTCCCTCGCGGTCGACGACGACGGCGTCATCACGGGGACCTGCGCCGGGTCGCGCCCGACGGACAAGTATAAAGTCCGCGTCCACGTCCGCGAGCCGCGCGAGGACGACGACGACGACGACGGTGGCGCGGGGGAGAGGGAGAAGGAGAGGGCGAAGGACGTCGAGGTGCGCGTCGACGGGGCGCCGCGGTGCGTCGTCGAGGCCGAGTGCGGCTGCCCCGCGTCGCACAACGCGGGCGGGTTCGCGCAGCCCGACGTCCCCGGGCAGCCGCCTCGGCGGCGGCAGCCGAAGCGGAGCTGCAAGCACAGCGCGGGGCTGTTGTTCTGGCTGATGAGGCAGCTGACGGCGGAGACGGACCCGGAGGAGGGGACGACGACGACGGGCGGCGGCGGCGGCGGCGGCGGCGGCGACGGCGGCGGCGACCGCGCGGCGGACGCGGCGGCGGTTCGCGCGTCCGTCGGCGCCGCCGCGGTGACCGCGCCGCCGTCCGCGCCGCGGCCGCCGCGGCCGGTCCCGCCCGGGGGGAAGAAACGGCGAGTCCCGAGCGCGCTGTTGCAGGCCGCGGCGGCGGCGGAGGAACAAGACGTGGCGAAGCGAGCGAAGGCGGCGAAGAAGGCGGGGGCGAAGTCGCCGGCGGCGGCGGCGGAGAAGGTGACCGCGGCCGCGGCGCCTCGCGGTCAGGGCGTTCGGCTTCGACGCGCCGCGGCGGTGAATATCAAGACCGAGCCGGGTTTGGAGGAGGATGACGACGACGGCGGCGGCGGCGGCGGCGGCGGCGGCGCCGGGCCGACGACGACGACGGGCGGGGACGTCGTGGACAAGGTGAAACGCATCACGGACGCGCGTTTACTCGCCGCGGCGATGCGGGTGTTAGAGGGAGACCGTCCACGCGAAGACGAGGTCGCCGATGGCGTCGCCCCCGTGGGCGCGGAAGACGGCGACGTCGGGGGCGAGTCTGTCGTCGCGCCGGCGGCGACGGTCGCGCCGGTGAAGCCGCCGGCGCCCGCGGAGGCGCCGGCGGGGCTGGACGACCTGTTCTCGTCGTTCCTTCCCGCGGCGTTTCGGGCGGACGGCGGCAGCCAGAGCACGGCCGGGACGGCGGCGCCGGCGCCCGCGGCCGCGGAAGTCCAGCCACGCCCCGCGCCGGCGCCGGAGCCTCCGAGTTCCGCGGAGGAGACGGAGGGGACGGAGAAGCCGCCACCGACGACGACAACGACGGACTCGGAGCCTCCGTCGCAGGGCGAGCAAGGCGCGACCGGGCGGAAGAAGATGTCGTTCGCGGAGATGATGGCCGGCGCGGGGCTCAGCGGGTACTAGATTAGGCGAAAGATGCATAACATTAGCGCGGCGAGTCGCCGTCGACGCGACGCGCGAGCGACGGCGAGATTTCAAACGAGAGCAGGAAGGGAGGGGAACGACTTCATTTTTTGAAAATCGCCGCGAGTCTGCGTTCGCGCGATACGCCGCGCGCGCGAGCGAACGAATCGACGTGTGCGTGTGTGATGTATCGATAGTTTCTCGTGAGGTAGTGGTGATTATTTATCACCATTGGTTGAAACGCGCGTCGCGAAGACGGCGCGAGTGTTGGTTTTGTTTTTTGAAGGATCGCTCTCGTACGAAGTTCGGGGGGCTGTTTAGCCGCCGAAGCCGTAGAGGGTGCGGCCCTGGCGCTTGAGCGCGTAGACGACGTCCATCGCGGTGACGGTCTTGCGGCGGGCGTGCTCGGTGTAGGTGACCGCATCGCGGATCACGTTCTCGAGGAACACCTTGAGGACACCGCGGGTCTCCTCGTAGATGAGACCGGAGATGCGCTTGACGCCACCACGGCGTGCGAGACGGCGGATCGCCGGCTTCGTGATGCCCTGGATGTTGTCGCGAAGGACCTTGCGGTGGCGCTTGGCGCCGCCCTTTCCGAGCCCCTTGCCTCCTTTACCTCTGCCAGACATGTTGAGTGAGTGTTACGAGTGTGTTCGTAAATGTGGCGGCAATGGCGAGCGAGAGCGGCTTTTACGTCGATTCCGGCGACATCACTGACCCATTTTGCTCGTAGGGAAACAAAATGTACACACGCGAGAATAGTGGCAGCGTTCAGCCTTTTTTTTCAGTGCGCGGGGAAGCCGTTGGCCAATCACAGAGCGGTAAATCGTAGTACAATTATTACGTGTTGCTGCAACTGCGCCGGTCAACGAAAGACGACGGACGCCGCGAACGAACAAGATGGAAACGGCGTGCCGTGTCGCTCAGTCGTCGATCGATCGCGCGCCGCGCCGCGCGCACCTCGCCCGCGCTCCGTCATGGACGCCCTCCTCAGCGGCGGCGGCTTCGACTTCGCCGCCGCCGCGGGCTTCGCGTCGTCGCAGCAGAACGGTTTCCTCCCCGCGCACGAGGCGGAGCGCGTCGTCGAGTCGTTGAGGGAGTTCACGATCGAAGACGTCGGATCTCCGGCGTGGTCGTCGCAGCGGCAGTCCCTGGAGCGCCTCAACGTCCAGGCGCATCACAACGCGGTGACGAACAGCGACGAGTTCGTGAAGGAGTTTCTCGTCTCGCACGACAAGGTGGCGACGCTCGTGCACGAGCTCCTCGTGATCGAGGCGTGGAAGGCGAACGTGTTCAGGCGCGTCCTGTGCACGCACCGGTCCCCACACGACCGCGTCGGCGCGGTGCACGCCGTTCCTTGAGGACTTTACTTCCCGGCGCACGCATCTGTCCGCGCACCCCACGCTTTCAATCCCGACACACCTCGACGCCTCACAACTCCGCTTCTGACGCCTTTCAACTCCACCCCGACGTCGCTTTGAACGATGGAACGACCCTCGTCAGTCGGTTCCCCGAGGACGCGCTCGAGGCGTCGACGACGAACATGAACGCGTACCTCGCGTGCTACTTCGAGGCGACGCTCGTGAACTTGCTCGAGATCGCGTTCTATCACCAAGACGCGTGCGAGGCGGCGGGCGACGACGCGCTGTTGGAGCTGACGGACTACTGCGCGCGCGCGCTCGTGTATCTCAACGCCGGCGCGAAGAAAGACGCCGAGGACGCGATGCGAAAGAAGACGGCGAAGGAGCTCGTGAACCAGACCGCGGCGGAGGAGCTGAGGGAAAAAGTCAGGGACGCGCGGTTCGCGACCGCGTGCTGCGCGCTGACGGTGCTGCGGTACCTCACGGACTACGTGAACCAGGTGCCGCTGTGCGTCATGGCGCGGCTTTTAGGCGCGTTCTCCTCGCGCTGATTCCCGCGCGGCGCGCGCCGTTTTTCTTACGGACTGGACTTTTCTTCCCGGCGTCTCTCTCCGCCCACCCCTCGCTTTCAATCCCCGACCCACGCGACGCCTTTGAACTCCAACTGACGCCTCTCAACTCCACCCCGACGTCGTCGCTTCGCACGGAACGGCCCTCAGACGCGCACGATGCGCCCATGCTGCTCGTGCCTCTGCTCGAAGAGCGGCCGTGGCTTCGACGGCGGTTCGAGGACGGCATGGAGCGACCCGTCGCGGAGGTGTTCAGCGACGGCGCGTGGGGCGAGCAGGCGAGAGAGGACCGGATGCAGCTCACGAAGTGCGACGGGCAGGTGTGGCTGGCGCTGAATAATCTCACGGTGGACTCGAAGTGCCGCGCCAAGTATCGGTACGACGACCATCGAAAGGCGACGCTCGAACGCGTGAAGCGCTTCTTCAACGACGTCCTGTTCGATCAGCTCCCGATCTTGAAAGACCTGCAGAGGGTCGTGGACGAGGTCTTGCTCATGGTGACGCCGTCGTCGCACGAGGTGACGCAGGGGCGCCTCATCTTGGAGGTCGTCCCGGAGACGCGAGAGGCGCTGCTTAACAAGACGGAGGACGAGTGGAAAGCGATCGCGAGCGGACACCTCGCGACGCACTTCGCCGACACCCCGGAGAGTCGCACCGCCGCCGCGATGAAGATGGACGACATGGCCGCGATGTTCGAGTTCATGTGCGAGATGGACGACGCGAAGAAGGCGACGGCGAAGGCGGCGAGAAAGCCGGAGCCGCCGCCGCCGAAGGGGATCGTGCGCGTGGACTTCTCGCGGCTCTCCCCGGACGACGGCGAGTACTACCGCTGGCACGTGTACGACATGGAGTTCGACCCGCGCGGCGACGCGAAGGAGGTGGAGGTGAAGCTGACGGACGGGAACGTCGCGCGCGGGGATCAGTACAAGCTGTCGCCGCCGGCGCCGACGACGCCGGCGCCGGGGAAGACGGAGCGCGCGCGCGCCGCGCAGACCGCCGCGGCGGCCGCGAGCGAGCGCACGCCCGTGCCGCACGACGGGAAAGTGGCGGCGACGTACGGCGCGACGAGGGCGGAGGCGACGCTGGATCTGCCGGCGCCGGGACGGCCGCACGCGGACGTGTACGGCGCGGGGGGGAGCGGCGTCGACGGCGCGGCGTCGGACGCGATTCGCGAGTTGTCGGACATGCCGAACGGCGTGTGGGTCACGATCGGGCAGCTCAGCAGGGACGGGTTCGCGCTGCAGCTCAAGTTGAAGAAGACGAAGGGCGTGCACGAGGCGTACCGGTGCGGGAAGAGCGGGAAGTATTACGTGTACGAGCCGTCGGGGGGGGCGATCACGGTGCTGAGGAAAGAGAAGAAGTAGATGAGCTCAGTTAAATAGATTAATATCCAGCTACTGTATTTTTAAATCCGCGCGAAGCATCAGGTGGTCGGACGGATGCTTCTCGCACGGCAGTCCTTTCGGCCCGATGTCATTTTCATCTGGTAGCGCGCCCACGCTCAATATTCCGCACTCTCTAGGCACGAATATGTAATCGATGCACATCTTCGCCTCGCCTTTTTTGTAATTCCCCGAGCGAATCTTCCACGTCGTGAACGCCGGGTGAATGCCGTTTATTTCTTCGTAGGCGCTGCGTAACCCCCCCGCTACACCGTTCCTGACCCTATCCACTGCCGGTTCAGATGGGACGGCGTTGAAGTCACCCGCGACGATCACCGGTAAAAAAAAATTAGTAGGGCTGTTACTTCTCATCTTTTCTACCGCTTGCATCATATGGAACGCTTGATTTCGCCTTTTCTTCGCGCCTTCTTCGTCCTTCTTCGAGTCCAGGTGCACAGTTGCGACGACAACCTCTAAAGTCGAGTTCTGATACTCTTCCCACCGCGGCCCGTGCGTCTCCTCGCGCGGTGGTAACACGCGGAAGCGCGCGACGATGCACTTCCCAGCGTCGATACACTTACCTAATAAAGATTTGTCGTCGTCGACGTCTTTACTCCTCCGAGGCACGCCCGGGAGGTCCATGCCGCAGAGCTGAAGCTTCTCGCGCTTGTAAAAAATCGCGACCCCGTCCCGGAGCATCCCCCCCGACAGCTTCCTGCACGGGCTCCACTCGTCCTCGCGGTAGATTCCGTCGTACCCCGCGGCGTCCATCGCGGGCTTGAACGCGTCGTGGTAGTGATCGACCTCCTGAAGGCACACGACGTCCGCGTCTTCGGCGATTATCTTTCCGAGGAGCTTCGCGCGTCGCGCGCCGAACGCGAGATCGCACGGCGGCATCGACGTGAACCCCGCGTCCGGGCCGGAGAGCGCGTCCGCGAGGACGTTGTATTGTATCACGCTCAAGGTATCGGTGGAGCGCGACATCGCGCGCGCGTCGTCGTGCCGCGGGGGCGCGACGGTCTGAGGAGAGTCGCGGGTCGGATCGGATTGTTGACTTGACTTTTTGCCAAACTGTTTCTCTCTTTTCGCCAAACGTCGTCTCGTGTCCTCTCGCGCCGCGTCGTCTCTCATTCGCGTCCGTCCGGGTAAGCGTCGCTGCCGACGCTCCACACCCCGCTGCTGCCGTCGTCCGAGCCGCCTAACCTTCCCATCAACACCTTGCTCGCTTCCTCGCTCATCGCGGGCACTCGCGGCGGCTGCCACCCGCCGCCGCCGCCGACGACGCCGCCAACCTCTCCCTCCTCCGCCGCCGCGCCGCCGACGCCTCTCCCCTTCGCCGCGCTCGCGCCGTACCCGAACCCGGCGCCGTCGCTGTAGTCCGTGCTCGAAGCCGTCGTCCCCGCCGCCGCGGCCGTCGCGCGGCTCACCGCCTCCCTCGCCCGCGACGTCTTACCGCCGTCGCGTTCCCACGGCTTCTTCTTGACGCGCTTCCTCGACTTCGGGAGCTTCGCGTTCGGGTTAGGGGGCTTGTCGTCCACGTCCTTGATCCCCGGCGGCGTCTCCCCTTTCTCGAGCATCTCGAGAATCTTCACGTAGCTCGGCGGGTGCGGCGGGTCGTCGCGCGGCGGCTCGCTCACGTCCGCGGTTGAAGACGGTTTCCTCGAAGGGCTCGCCCCCGCCGCCGCCGCGCTCGTCGTCTCCGTCGCGCCGCGCTTCCCCCCGCGCCCCTCCGTCGCGCTCCCGTACGTCCCGAGCGACGCGCGCGTCGCCACCTCGGGCGGCGGCACGATCACGTCGTCGTCGTCCTCCTCCTCCTCCTCCTCGTCCGCGCGCGAGTACCGCTTCGAGTGTTTCCCCGGGGACGCGACCGCGGGCGACTTCACCCGATCCTCCTCCTCGTCGTCTTCGTCGTCGTCTTCCCATCGCGCGTTCGCGCCGACGTCCTCCACGCCGCGACGGTTCGCATCCCGCCGGTTCGAACCCCCCTCTCGCGGCGACGTCATCGTCGTCGTCGGCTTCGCCGGCGACGTCAGCGGCGACGCGTACAGCAACGCTTTGATCTGCGCGAGCTCCTCCCGGACGCTCTCCGGGACGTCGCCGGCGCCTCCGTTCGGCGTGGTCACCGCGCTCCTCGCGCGGACGTCCTCGACCGCGTTCGCGACGACGCCTCTGAGTTCCTCGCGCAGGTCGTCGCGCAGAGACGCGATCGCGGCGGCGACGGAGGACGACTCCGCGGCGGCGGCGGCGCCGCCGCCGCCGCGCCCCGCCGCCATCGCGTTGACGCTGGCGGCGTCCGCTCTCGCTTTCGCGACGAGCGCGCGGACGTCCTCCACGGAGTGCGCGAGCTCGTCGGAGCGCGCGCGGAGCGCCGCGGCCTCCTGCGCCGCGGACGCGGACGCGGCGGCGGCGGCGGCGGCGGACGCGGCGGCGGCGGACGCATCCGCCGTCCGCGCGCGCCGCTTCGAGAGCGATCGCGCGACGTACGACAGCGCCGCGGTCGCGGCGACGGCGCGGGCGACGACGCGCGTCCACGGCGTCGACGTCTGCGGCTTCGACGTTCCCGGGGGAGGGCCGACCCCGGGCGGCGGCGGCGGCGGCGGCGGCGGCGGCGGCGAGGTCCCGCCGAAAGCGCCAGAAGCGATCGGCGCGGCGGTCGGCGTCGACGCGGTCTCTGCTCGCGGCGCGCGCTTGAACGCCTCCTCGATCTCCGCGGTCGTGAGCCCTTTCTTCTCTAAGAACGCGCGCTTCGTCGATTCGGGCGAGGACGACACCTGCGGGGTGATGGTCGAAGGGTGGGACGCGAGGGAAGGTCAGGACGCGTCATCGATCGGAGTTTGAACGACGCGGCGTCGTGGAGAAGGGCGAACAACGAGAGACACGCGACGCCCGCGCGCGAGATCTGACGCGCCTGCGGGTGCTTGAGGAACGCGACCGCGTTTAAGACCATGTCCTCGCGGACGACGGCGTCGTCCGCGGCGTCGTCGTCGTCGTCGCCGACTCCCATCGCGGCGACGGGACGCGTTCGAGGCGGCCCGCGCGCTGGAGATGTACTGTCGTCGTTCGAACGCGTCGCCGAGGACTACGACGACTTTTGAAGGCGCACCAGCTCAAAAGTTTTTCACCCATACATCGGTTTCAACATTTGATCGTGTCCCCTTTCAACTGACCGATGAACTTTTTTCCCTGCAGCTTGCTGCAGAGAGAGATCAGTCAAAGACGAGGCCGCCTTCTTCACTCTTCCTCGCGCCACAGCGACGCCCACGTTCGCAGGCGCTCGCCCGCGCACGAGCCTTCCGCGTGAACACGCGATGATGGCGTCGATGGCGACGCCGGCGACCGCGCGCGCGCCGACGCGCGCGCGCGCGCTGACGTCCCGCGCGTCGAAATTCGCCCACCACGCCGCCGCATTCGACCCGTTCGCGGCGAAAAGCGCCCGCAGCGCGTCCTCCTCCTCCTCCTCCTCCTCCTCCTCCTCCCGCCGCGGCCGCGGCTCTCTTCGCGTGCGCGCGCTCGTGAACGTGGACTTGGGCCCCGCCGCGGTCCTCGGCGCGAGCGTGATGACGTCCGCGATCGCGCTCTACCAAGTCCGCGCGTCGAGGCCGGAGGTGTCGAGAGACCAAGACGTCTTCTTCTCCTCCGTCGGGCTTCTGTGCGGCGGCATCCTCGTGTTCCAAGGGTGGAGGTTAGACCCGCTGATGTTGTTCGGGCAGCTCCTGACCGTCGGCACCGCGGTCGCGTTCGCGTCCGAGACCGTCGGGCTCCGGCAGGAGATCTTGGACCGCGAGCGCGCGGGGATCGACGACGACGACGGCTGGGGTCGAGAAAAGATGCGAAACGGGTCCTCGGCGCGATCCTCCCGCGGTCGCGGCGGCGGTCGCGGCGGCGGACCCGGACCCGGCGGCGGACCCGGACCAGGCGGCGGCCGGCGGCCGATGCCACTGCCGCCGCCGAGCACGCGCCCGGCGTCGTTCGAGCGGTGGGACGCGCCGGCGTACGATCGCGGGGAGCCGGCCGGGCGGGACCGGGGCGCGGGCGCGGCGTTCGATCGACGCTTCGGCGACGGCGCGGGCGCGGGCGCGAGACGAACGCGGGACGAGTACTCGTACGACGCCGGCCGCGACGCGGAGGACGCGAGGTACTGGTCGTCGCGAGACGCGGGACCGGGACCGGGACCGGGACCGGGCGGCGGCGGGTTCATGGACGGGTTCGAGGAAGGGAGGGGCGCGGCGCCGGCGCCGGCGCGAGGCGCGCGCGGCGGCGGAGAGAGAGACGCGCGAGACCGCCGCGCGCCGCGCGCGCCGCCGCCGCCGCCCGCGGAGGACGAGTTCGGGCCCGGGCGGTACGGCGACGCCGCGGACGACTGGGAGCTCTGATTCGAGCGAGCGATTTGCACGATTTGTAACGACGAGCGCGCGCGCGACGCGACTCACGCGACTCGACGAAATCAATCTGTCAAAGCAGAAGCACCGCGGGGGAGACGCCGCCCCCTCGCAACGTCACCGGCAGCGCGTGCCCGCCCGCGACGCCGCCGACGCCGATCTCCGCGAGCAGCGTCGCCTCCCCGGCGAGCGTCCCGACGTCGGTGTCGCCCGCCCTGCGTTTCACGGCGAGCGGTCTCGAGACCGCTTCCCCCCCGCCGCCGCCGCCGCCGCCGCCCGTCGCGTCGTCGCCCGTGGTCACCGCCACCGCGTCGTCCGTCCCAATCGCCCACCACAACCCCCGCGGCGGGCGGTGCGTCCCGCGGTCCTTACTCCAGCTCAGCACGCGCCCGGTCGCGACCGCGGGCTCGCGGCTGACGTCGACGACATCGAGCTCGCGGACGTCGTGCGCCGTCGCCGCGCGCTTCGCGGCGGCGATAAACTCCGGCGGGGACCGACCGTCGTGGTGGATCACCAGACGCGCGATCGGGACGCGCGCGGGCGCGGCCGCCTCGTGCGCGGCGACGACCGCCGCCGTCGCGGTCGCCGCGGACCTCTCCGCCCACTCGCGCGCGGGCGGGGCGTCGGCGTCGGCGTCGGCGTCGGCGTCGGCGTCGGCGTCGGCGTCGTCCTCCGCGCCGCCGCCGCCGCCCGCGACCTCGCGGGACGTCCTCGACCACCGCCCCAGCATCGTCCCCGTCTCGTCCGTCACCGCAACGACGCCGCGCGCGAACGCGCCCGCGCCGCCCCCCCTCCCCCGCCGCGCCGCGCCCGGCCCCGGCCCGACGCCGACGAAGACCGTCCCCGCCGGTGCGAGGTTTTCGTATCTCGTCGCCTGACCGCCTCTCAGCGCGCAGAGCTCAAACGCGAGCCGCCGCGCGTCGCCGCCGACGCGGCGCGGCTTCGGCGCGCGCGCGCGCCGCGCGCTCGCGCGCACGACGTCGTCCTCCCCGCCGTCGATCACGATCACGTCGTAACGCTCTTCGATGAGACGTTTCAAGCACGCGTCGAGCTCGCCGGGCGTCGCCGCGTTCCCGACGCGGAACGCGTCCGCGGCTTCTAGGTCGCCGAGCACCGGCGCGATGGAGGACGCCTCGTCCGCGCCCCACGCCCGCATCGCGTCCTCGACGCCGCGCATTATTCTCTCCTTGGAGTCCTTAAACTCACCGCGCGCGATCCCGCGCCAGGTCTCGCTCCCGCTCTCGCTCCCGCTCCCGCTCTCGACGGTCACGACGGCGACGCGCGCGGGATCGCTCTCCGCGTCCGGAAGCGTCGCCGGCCCCGTCGTCAGCGCGCCGGTCCTTCGCCGCGCCGCCGTCGACCCGGCCGGCGGCGGCAGCCGCCGCATCTTCTCCCCGAGCGTCGCCCACGGCGCGAACGGTTGCCCCAACCCGGCGCGCATCTCGCTCACGCGCCGCTGCGTCGTCGCCGCGTCGACCGCCAGCGTCGACTGAGGGTCGAGGGTCCACAGTACGAAGCGACGAACGTCGGGGTGGAGTTGAAAGGCGTCAGAAGCGGAGTCGAAAGGCGTCGAGGTGTGTCGGGATTGAAAGCAACGCGAGGAGTGGGCGGAGAGAGACGATCGCCGGGAGAGAAAGTCCTTAAGGATCGGCGTTCACCACGCGAAAGCGGTCGTATGGGGACCAGTGTGGTAATATAGAACGCGCCTCGTTCCCGCCGCGCGCCGACGGCGACAACAGCTCCGCCGGGTACGCCATCGCGCGCGCCCTCGGCCCGCGCGGCACCAACCACACCGCGGCCGCGTCCGCGTCCGCGCGCTCCAGCAGCGGCACCCGCGCCGGGTACCGCTCGCGGTGGTACTCCAGGAGCGACGCGCCGCCGAGCTCGGGACGCGGCTCGCCCGCCGTCCCCGCGCGTTCGCCCGAGACTTCGTACTGAAGCGCTCCCTCGAGCGCCGGCCCGCCCGCGGCCGCGACGGGCGTCCCCGCTGGCGGGTCCGGGACGTTCGGATCGTCCAGGATCTCGCGGATCGTCCTCGCGCTCCTGAGCTCGCGTCCGGGGGAGACGACGACCGACGCGGCGCCGATTCCGCCGGGCGCGATCGTGAGCTCGAACCTCTGCGCGGCGCGATTCCCGCCGTCCGTCGCCGTCGTCGTCCTCGCGGTCCCTTCCCTCGACGTCAGCGTCACCGCGCGGAGGCCGCGTCGGCTCACTTCGAACTCGCGCCCGAACACCGCGAGCGCGTGCGCGTACAGCGCCTCTCGGAGCAGCGACCAGTACGCGTCCGGATCGGCGGCGTCGCCCGTCGCGGCGAGCGGACGCGACGCGCCGGACGCGAGGATTCCGTCGCCGAGGCTCTCCGTCATCGCCGCCGTCGCCGCGCCGGGCTCGCCGTGTCGATACACGACGCCGCCGGCGCCGCGAACGAAGAGCTCGACGCGCGGCGCGCCGAGGGGTTCGCCCGCGAGCGCGAGCGCGAGCGCGTCGTCGCCGTCGCCGCGGCGGACCTCGCGCGCCAGCCGCGCGCGTCTCCAGAGGTCGCCGCCGTCGCTCGCTCTCGACGCGCTCTCGCGCGCGTCGCCCGCGAGCGACAGCGGCGTCACCGCGAGCGGCGGCGTCGCGGAGAGTTCGTACGCGGTGATGACGTGCGTCGCGGGAGCGGACGTCGGCGCCGTCGACGCGTCCGGGCTCGACGCGGACGACGACGACGACGACGACGTCGCGCGGCGGAGGAGTCGTTGAATCGACGACGACGACGACGACGACGGCGTCGTCCGAACACCGCCGGGGACGATGTCGCGATGTCGCGCGAAGAGCGACGCGACGCGCTGGACGCGCGACGCCATGACCGCGCGCGCCGGCGTCGGCGCCGCCCGCATCAAAGACCGCGCCCGGGCGGACGCGATCGCGGAGCCGTCGTCGTGGTGCGCGCGGCGCGAGTGCGAGCGACCCGAGGAGTTTGACGAGCGCCCCGATGAATAAAACCAAATTGGCAACAGCCGTGTCAGCATTCAGTCATCCGACGCGCCCCCACAGCACCTCCCCACCCCGCCCCGCGCGCCGCCGCGATGTCGACAAACAGCGACAACTTCGACGAGGACTTCGCGTTCACGCGCGCGCACGTGGGCGAGTCCTTAAACCTCGCGTGCGCGGTCGACGGCTCGCGGGTGAGCATGAAAGCGCTCGAGCTCGCCTTCTCGCTGATGCGACAGAAGGAGCGCGGCGACACGCTCACGCTCGTGCACGTCCCCGACCGCACGTCCCGGGCGCCCGCGTCCGCGTCCCCGGCGCACATCCGAAGCGAGTGCGAGCTCAAGTGCGCCGACGCGCGTATCGACGCCAAGTTCGTGCTCGCGGAGCCGGAGAAGGGCGGGAGCGTGATCACCGCCATCGCGGATGCCGCGGAGCGGGTGCGTTCTATCTCACACTGGTTCCCATACGACCGCGTCGGCGTGGTGAACGCCGTTCCTTGAGGACTTTTGCCGGCGATCGTCTCTCTCCTCCCAGGGTCCCTCGGTTTCAATCCCCGCCCTCGACGCCTTTCAACTCCGCTTCTGACGCCTTTGAACTCCACCCCGACGTTCGCTCGTATGGAACGGCCCTCATCAGGTCCGCGCCGACCTCCTCCTCGTCGGCGCCACCGGTCTGCACGTCGAGCAGGGCGAGGTGCACCGGCCGTCGTTCAGCGTCATGGGGTCCACGTCGGACGGGTCGCTGCGAACGACGAACGTCTCCGTGGCGGTCGTCAAGAGCACGAGCTACGACGTAAAGCGGGGCGGCGCGAAGACGTTCATGCTCGCGACGGACGACTCGCCCGCGGCGCGCGTGGCGTTCGCGCTGCTGGTCACGAAGCTCGCGACGCCCGCGACGAACGACGCGATCAAGATCTTCACCGCGGTGGGCGGGGAGCGCGGGGAGGACATCGTCGCGAAGTACGCGGCGGAGTGCGCGCGGCTGGGGTTCGCGAAGTGCGAGACGAGGGCGGAGTGTCACGAGAAGAGAGTCGAGGCGGGCGAGAGCGTGTCGGACGCCATCCTGAAGGCGGCGAGGGCGTGGGAGGCGGACGCGTTGCTCCTCGGGACGAACGCGTTCTCGAGTAAGACGCTGGGGAGCGTCTCGGACGGGTGCGCGCAGGAGGCGCGGTGCACGACGATCGTGGTGAAGGATCCGCGGGTGTAGAGCGCGGAGCGGAGCGGAGCGCGCGAGGCGACGAGCGCGTCGAATGCTTTTTGTATTTTACCTTCGTAGTGTCTTGTACTTAAGTGTCTTGTCTCTATGTCTCGTCCTAGTGCTCCCAGGTCTCGTCCTAGTGCTCCCAGGTCGCGCGTCGAGCTCTCAACGCGCGCGCCGGGAAAAAAATATGTTCGTCGTCCGTCGTCGAGTCGCGCGGGCGCGATTCGGAACGCGACTCGGAACGGGGAATCGATCGCCGTCCGCGCGAATAATCAAAATCGCCCCCGTCGCCCGTCACAGCGCGTCGCCGTCGTTCATCTCCGGCAACCCGTCCTTCAGGAACATCGTCAGGACGTCGTCCCCAATCTCGTCCGCGTCGAGGCTCCCGTTCGTCGGCGGCACGTCGAACGCGCCTCCGACGCCGCCGCGCTGCGCGCCCTTGCCCGCCGCGCTTCCGCCCGCCATCCCAGCGCCGCCACTCGAATGCTTCCCTCCGAGTTGGTGCTGCCCCATCACCACGCCGGGTCCCACGTGCACGCCGACCATGCCCCCTCCGCCGTCCGGCATCATCCCCGCGGGCATCATCAGCGACCCCCCCGGACCTGGAACGAGCCCGGGCCCCGGACCTGGAACCATCCCGCCGTGCTGCATCATCATCGGCGCCCCGCCCGGGCCCCCGCCGTGGGGGCCTCCCATCACGACGTACCCCCCCGGCGGCGGCTGGCCCGACGCGCCGTTTTTGCTGTCGGCGCCGCCGGGCATCCCGCCGGGCATCCCGCCGCCGTACACGACGGTCATCCCCGCCATGGGCCCGCCGGGTCCCATGTGCATCATCCCGGAGCCGTCCATGTGAGGGCCGCCCATGTGGCCGGGTCCCATGACGAGCCCGCCGCCGGGGCCGCCGGGGCCGTTCATCGCCGGCGAGCCCGTCGTCGGCGGGCCCATGACGCCGCCGACGCCGTCGATGGCCAAGCCCGTCATGAACCCGGCGGCGCCGGACGGCACCGTGCCGTTGTTGTTCACGCCCTGTAAACGCTTCAAGTAGAGGCGGTACTTCTGCAGGTGCGACGCGACGTTCTCTCTCGTGAGCCCCTGCACGCCCATGAGGTCGAGGATCCTCTTCGGCACCGCCTTGTCGATCCCGAGCTGATTCACCGCGGTGACGAACTGCTGATGCAACTCGGGCGACCACACCACCCTCGGTTTCTTCAGGCCGGACGTGTCGTCGTTGTCCTCCACGCCCGCGCCGCCGGCTGTCTCGGTCGCGTCGTTTGATTTTCCTTTTTTCCGTTTGTTATTGTTCCCCTTATTGCTCGCGTCGCCGTCCTTCCCGCCCGACCCGCCGCCGTCCTTTCCTCCGTCGTCGCCGCTCTTGCCGCTCTTCCTCTTCTGCGACCCGCTCCCTTTGCTATCGGTCGCGTTACCGTCCTGCTTATCGTCCGTGTTGGCGTGCGTGTCGCCGCTCACCTCCGGCGCGCCCGACGCGCCGCCGCCTTTGCCCGCCGCCCCGTCTTTGCTCGGCTCGCGCTGCCGCCGGACGACGTGCTGCCAGATGTTACGGAGCTCCTCGAGGCGAACGGGTTTCAAGAGGTAGTCCACCGCGCCGTGAATGATCCCGCGGAGGACGACGTCCGTCGCGCAGTTCGCGGACATCACTGCGGTCGGGGGGGGAGGGGAGAAGAGGGAAGCGAGAGAGGGAAGCGAGCGGACGTCAGCGACGGAAGAGACGAGACGAAGACGACGACGACGACGACGACGACGACGACGCGACGCGGGCGCGCGCGCGGGGTTTAGGTCATTCCCGTTCCGAGCGCGACGCCGCGCGCGACGGGAAAAGTCCTTAAGGATCGGCGTTCACCACGCCGACGGGGTCGTATGGGGACCAGTGTACGGGACGCACTCATGACGGGGACGTCGAGCTCGAGCGCGATGTGCTCCAGGAGTTTGAATCCGTCCATGTCCGGCATGTGCACGTCGCTGAGGACGATGTCGAAGTCGTCCCTGCGCGCGCGCAGGGTCTCGAGAGCCTCCGCGCCGCGCGAGAACGTCGTGACTGTGAAGAGGCGAGAGGAGTGAGGAGGAGAAGTGAGTGAGTGGACCCAATCGGATTCGGTGCGTCGCCGCGCGCGTGGGACGGACGGAAACGGACGCGGGGCGGGCGCCGGGGGGGCACGTCGCTGAGAACGCGCGCGCGGCGGCGTCGAGATACGCGGCACGATGTGGACGTCGCGCCTCGCGACGACGCGCGCGCTCGCGCGAGCGCTCGGGGCGTCGCGCGACGAGGCACCTCGCCGCGCGAAACTGAAGATGCGGTGTGAAATCCCGCGCGTTCGCGCGCGCACCTTCGTACTGGCACCGCTTCAGCATCTTCTCGACGATTCGCAAGCAGAGCGGATCATCGTCCACGACGAGCACGCGAAGGCCAGCGGGGAACACTTTGAGCTCCTTCTTCTCCGCCGTCATCGCCTCCCGCGCTCGATCCGGGCCGTAGGGCTTGTGGGTGACGCTCGAAAAAAAGATTCGTCACCGCCGCGCGCGACGAAGTGAAAGCGGCAACTCTCGCTCCGCGCGCCGCGCGTCGTGCCTCGCGCGCGAGAGCTCGCGACCGTCGAAACTTTCGTTCAGCGCACTCGTTCGATCACGCCGTGCCCTCCTCGCTCCTCTCCTCCGTCGCGCTCCTCGCGCGCGCCACAGTGCCGGACCGCGCGCCCTTGCGGTTCATCGCATTCCGTGCACATTTATTAAAAAAGATGTAGATCTAACCAACGTTAACGAGATCCTTTCGGAACCGTAAATCACGGTCTAAAATCTCTCGTTGCGATTATGCGAGAGCACTTGGATAGGGTTTTTTCAAGACAAAATACTTATGCTCGTTCGTGTACAACGTTGTAGTAAACGTCGGCGCAATTCTCCGCCGTCCCACACACGTGCAAACCGCATACCCTAAAGTATCCCCCTTTAGGGTTGCAATTGTTGCCATTCCTCGACGCGGCGCTTCGCACCCGCGCGCTTCCGCGCTCGCGAACGCCCTCGAACGCCCCGCGCGAACGCCGCCCGTCATGCCCCCTCGCAAAGCCCCCGCGGCGGCGAAGAGAAAGCCCGTCGACGACGCGACGCTGTGGGTCGTCGAGCACGCCGCGGCGGTGGGAATCGACAACGACGTGCTGCTAGATCTCCTCGACGCCGCGAAGGGCGCGACGCGGAGCGGGGAGATGCCCGCGCGAATCGCGCAGCGTCTGTCGCTTCAGATGCTCTCGGACGCGGTCGAGAAGAAAGAGCCCGTGAGCGCGAAGACGTGCAAGCTCCTCGCGAAGCTGGCGCCGCTCGAATCGCTGACGGACGATTCCGAGGAATTGGAGCCCAGAGTCCGCATGTGCGCCGAGGCGGCGTGCCTCGCGAGATCGAAAGGCTGGCCCGCGTTCAAGCTCGCGATCGACGACATGTTTCCCCCGCGCGTGAATCTCGCGAAGCTCGCCAAGGCGGCGCGCGACGACCTCCTGAGCGCGCACAAGAGGTGTAAATCTCCCGGCGCGAGCGAAAAGCCGTTCAACGCCGCGCGCAAGAAACACGGCGCGCACAAAGCCGACTCCGCCGCGGCGCGCAAAGACCTCGCGTCCGTCGTGAGCGCGCACGCCGCGACGCTCGGGTCGACGTCGCTTCAGCGTCTCATCGAGGACATCACCGCGGGGGCGTACATTCCTCCGCCCGGCGTGCCCAAGGCGACGCTCGCCGGCGTCAGGGTGGGTTCCCCGGGGACGAGGCGCGCGGCGGCGGCGGCGGACGACGACGGCGGCGGCGGCGCGACGGGCGGCGAGCGCCGGAAGTCGATGCTTCGCACGCCGACGAAGAAGACCAAGAATAAGCGCGCGCGAGAGGAAGAGGAAGCGGTCGAGATCGAGAAGGCTGACGACGACGCGGGGGATGAGGACGACGTCTACGCGCCGCCCGCGGACGACGCCGGCGACCCGTGGAACCGCCTCGCGATGGCCGCGGTGTCGCCGTCGCCGTCGCAGAAGAAGAAGCAGAAGGAGGCGTTGGCGAAGGTTGTCGCGGCGTCCCCCGCGGCGAAACGCGCGAAGATTGGGGCTGGCGAGCCGAAGCCGAGCACGCCGGTCGGAAGAGTCGTGAACGCGCTCGCGCCAGGGCTGTGGCGTCGACGCGCGTTGGGGCTGGCGAAAGAGCCGGAGCACAAGCGGTTCAACTCGGACGGCGAAGAAGAAGAAGAAGACGACGACGACGACGACGCGTTCGGGATCATGCCCACGCAGGCGGCGCCGACGGAGGAGGACCTCGAGGCGGAGGCGAAGTCCAAGTCGGCCAAGCAACCCGGGTTCTTGAGCCGGGTGTTCGGCGGACGCAAGAAGGACGCCGACGCCGCGGGGACGCTGGCCGAGGACGCGGACTACGCACCCCCCGGCGGCGGCGGCGGTTCATCTTCCGACGACGACGATGACGACGACGACGAATCCTTGAAGAAGCGGCTGTTGGCGAGCCCCGGCGGCGGGTTCTACGGCGGCACCCCGCGGAAAAGCCGCGGCGGCCCGCCCCTGATTCCGAAACCGCTCGGCGTCGCGAACCGACACTCCAACGCGCGCGGGGGCACGATCAAGGCGGCGAGATCGGCGGGCAACACGCCGGGCGGGTCGACGCCCGGCGGCGCCGGCGGCGGCGCGGGGATCGCGCCGCAAAAGAAGGAGAGGACGCCGTGGGCGGAGGAGGACGTGGACTTTCTCCTCGAGGGGTACGAAAAGTTTGGCCCGGACGGAGAAGACTCGAAGACGATGTGGGCGGACATCCTCATCGCGGGCATGAAACAAAACCTGTTCAAGGACCGCACGTCCATGGACTTGAAGGATAAGTACCGGAACATAAAAATCAAGAGAGCGAGAGAGGCGGCGAACGCGCTCGAGGAGGAGGAGGAGGGCGGCGGCGGTCTGTGGACGCTCATCGCCGGGAAGAAGAGACGCCGACGGAGCATGAACAAGATAAAGAACGCGATCACGGGCGAATTGGAGAGGCGGCCGGGGAAGGCGAACCGGCACTCGAACTTCGCGCACACCTCCGGGGTCACGCAGGAGGGCGTGCGGAAGATGCGGCAGCGGTGGACCGCGGAGGAGGAGGACTGCCTGCGGAAGGGCATGGCGGAGTTTAACCCGCCGGGGAAGGAGGGCCCCACGGATTGGATCTCCATCCTGGACAAGTACGACACGGTGATGATCGATCGCACGTCCATGGACTTGAAGGACAAGTGGAGGAACATGAAGAAGAAGATGGACAAGGAGCGCGCGGATCGCATCGCCGCCGCGCTCGCGGACGCGGGCGAAGAAGCGTCCTCGTGAAGCGACTGAAGCGGCGCGCGGTAGTACCTGTATTCGTTTGGTTTCGTTGTATGATCTTATAGTCTAGTCGTCGACGACGCGATGATTGTGAAATACCCACGGAAGTACTGTACGTCACGAACGCTCCGCTCCGCGCGCGATGAAACGCTAACGCGCTACTCTTTACCTACTACACGTGCCCATTCTACGCCCGCCTACCTATGCTAATCGAACTCGAACCACCGCTCGCCCACGTCCTCGAGCCTCGGCACGCGTTCCTCCGCGCGCGCGATCGCGAAGACGTCCAGCTTCACGTCCTCCGTCTCCTCCTCCAACCCCGCGCGAAGCAGCGCGCTCGCGACGACGCGACGCTCGAAGACCAGCCCGGCCGCCGTCAACAGCTCCGGGATGCGATCCGCGCCCGCGCGGTGCTCTGGCGCGGGGTTGACGATCACCCCCACGCCGTGCGGCGACCGCATCGCGCGCGCGAGGGCGGAGACGACGCCGTCGGCCATGCCGTGGTCGTGCACGACGTCCGCGCCGAGAACGACGTCGGCGGTTCCGTCGACGTCGCGCACGTCGCGCGCGTCGTTCCAGTCCAACGCCTTCGCGACGCACCTCGACGCGATCGCCGCCGCCGCCGCCGTCGCGTCGTCGTCGACGACGCCGGCCTCTCCCTCGCGGCGGCGCGATCGCGCTCTCCGCACCCGCACGCCGCCGCCGCGCGCGATGTTATACCGCATGTTCGCCACCGCGTCGTCGTCGACGTCGGTCAACGTCGCCGCGTCGGCGCCGAGCGCCGCGGCTGCCATGCCGACCGCGCCGAGCCCCGCACCGAGCTCGAGCACGTCCTTCCCGCGCACGAGCGCGGGGTGCAGCGCGAGGACGCGCGCGAGGACGATCGCGCTCGGCCACGCGATGTTCGGCACGCGTCGCTTCTCGCCGCCGCCGAGGGCGGGGTCCTCGCGCGCGCGACGGAGGATCAGCGCGAGCGGCGCGTTTCGTCGCCCGACGTCGCACCGCGCGTACGACGGCTCGACGCTCGCGTCGCCGCCGACGCTCGGGAACGGCACCCCGCGCGGGCATCTCCGCGCGCAGAGCTCCGCGAGGTCGCCCGCGGCGGCGGCGACGTCGGGGGAGGGGTGCGTCGTGAGGCGGACGACCGCGCGGTGGGCGCGATGGAAGCCGAGCGCGGCGACGAACTCGTCGTCCGCGTCGACCGCCGCGGTCGCGCGCTCGAGCGCGTCCGCGAGCGCGTCGGGGGAGGAGGACGGCGCGAGGAGGACGGACGCGAGCTCCGCGGCGGCGTCCGCGAGGACGCGCCACGGGCCGTCGTCGTCGTCGCCGCCGCCGCCGCCGCCGCGCATCGCGGACTGATGCCGACAGCGACTGGACAGGACGAGGCGACGCTGACACATCAGTCACTTCGATCATAACGGAGTCGCGCGCCGTCGCCATGGCCGCGCTCGTCGCGGTCCCCCCCCTCGCGCGCGCGCGCTTCGGGCGCTCGCCCGACGCGGAGGTCCCGTCCTCCTCCTCCGCGCGCGCGTCGCCGCCGCCTTCCGTCGGCGCGCGGTCGCGGCGCCGACGATCGGGAGCGCGTCTTCGCGCGCTCCCGCTCGACGCGACGACGCTGACGACGCTGACGACGACGACGGCGACGACGACGTCCGCGTCCGCGTCCGCGCTGTTCGACGTCGCGCTGTTCGGCCTCGGGAACCCGTTCGCGGACGCCGCGAAGGACGCGAACGGCGGCGACCTCCCCGGCTGGTTCCCCGCCGCGTCGTTCTTCGCCTACGTCTTCATCACGCGCGAGGTTGGGAAGATCCGACGCGAGCAAGAGCGGAAAGCGATGGAGAAGGCGCGCGCGGCCGCCGCGGAGAGCGCGCAGAAGGCCGTGGAAGGGATCACCCCGGAGGCGTGGGCGAAGCTCGTGATATGTCTCCTCATCGACGGCGTCGGCGACAGCTCGTTCTTGCTCCCGGGAGTGGGCGAGTTCTCCGACGCGGCGTACGCGCCCCTCGAGGCGTTCCTCCTCGGGCAGCTGTTTCGCTCCAACGCGATCTCGAGTCTGGGGTTCGTCGAGGAGGCGCTGCCGTTCACGGACGTCTTACCGACGGCGACGCTCGCGTGGGTGATCGAGGAGTTCTTCGGCGACACGTGGGTCGCGCGGAGGTTAGGGATCAATGGGATCCCGCCGAAGCCGGCGAAGGATGCCGCCGCCGACGCGAACGACGGCGGCGGAGAGGAAAAGGAAAAGAAGAAGGGGTGGTTTAAGTAAGGTTAAGGTGTCCTATCAAAGAAGAAAGTCGCGACGCTAACTTAAGACGCGACTCGTCGCTCGGGTTCAGCTCTTCTTCGCGGCGGCCTTGTTCTTCCTCGCGAGGTACCGCGCGCGCGCATCCTCCACGGCCTGGTCCGTGTTCTTCCGCCCGCTCGCCTCGCGCGTCCTCTCCGCCTCCGCCTCCGCCGCCGCCGCCGCCGCCTTCTCCGCGTTCGCTCCCGTCCGCTCCTCCGCCAGCGCGCCGCCGCTGAGCCGCCCGACGTCCACGTCCCCTAACCGCGGCATCACCTGCGCGGCCCACTCGGGTTCGATCCTGCACACGCCCTTGATGAATGGCCGCGTCGTGGACACGAGCGAGTGAAACACGACCCACTCCGGAAGCAAACCGGTGACGTCGTCGGCGAGCGACCGCGCGACGGACGGGTGCGCTTCGGCTATCATGGACGCGTCCGCGCCGAAGGTTCGGAAGCCGTTGTGCCGCGGGAGCCGCCGCGCGAGCTTGTTCGCGAACCCGACGCAGATAGCCTTCCTGAGGTCCGTGACGTCCCCGCGTCTCTGGGTTTGGGTTTGGTTTTTTTCGACGCCGTCGCGGTCGCGTTTCCCGCCTCTTCCGCCGTCCCCGTCCCCGTTTCCCCCGTCCCTGTCCCCGTTTCCCCTGTCCATGTCCCTGTCCCTGCCCCTGTCCCTGAACACCCCCAACAGCTGCTTACGGACGTCCCTCGCGAACTCCATCCCGCGGTCGTTCAAACCGTGCTCCTCGCAAAACCTCCGCCGGTGCCCTCCGCGCGCCCACGCCTCGTACGTCCTCAGCAACACGACGTGATCGCCCATCTTCGTCTCGTCCGCGCTCGCGATCGGCGGTGGCCGGTCCCGGTCTCGACCGTCTCGACCCTGACCCTGACCCTGACCCTGACCCTTCCCACCGCCCGAACCACCCACGAACACGCGCTCCACGCTCAGCATCGCGGCGACGGTAGCCATCTCTTCGACGATGCCGCGTCGCCGCGCCTCGAGCATCGCCCTCGCGAGCTGCGGCTCCACGGGGAGCGGCGACATCTCGCGTCCCATCTCCGTGATCTCGCCGTCGACGTCGATCGCGCCGAGGACGTACAGCTGTCTCAGCGCGTCCGTCATCGCGGCCCCGTCGGGCTTGTCGAGAAAGTCGAAATCCAACACGGACAAGCCTTTTATCCTCAGCATCTTGAGGTACAACACGACGCCCACGAGCGACGTCCTCTGAGAGGCGTTCCCAAAAAAAGGTTCATCGGTCAGTTGAAAGGGGACGCGATCAAATGTTGAAATCGAGCGGTGGGTGAAAAACGTTTGTATAGAACGCGCCTGAATCTCCGGCACGGTGACGATCGGCATGTCGTGCTCGAACGCGTCTCTCGTGTACAGACGGAAACACCGCCCGGGCTGCGTCCGCCCAGCGCGTCCCGCGCGCTGACGCGCCTGCACCGCGCTCACGGCTGTGATCTTCAACGCGTCGCACCCCGTCTCCGGGTCGTATACGTTCTGCTTCACCACGCCTGGATCCACGACGAAAACCACGCCGGGCACCGTGAGCGACGTCTCCGCGATGTTCGTCGCGACGACGATGCGGCGGCACGCACGCGGCGGCGCGCAGAACACCCTCGCCTGCGCCTCGGGAGGCAGCGCGGCGTACAGCGGAAGGATCTGCGCGTCGTCGCACTCCGTCTCGTCCGCGTCTCTCACGCGCTCGTTAAGCCGCTTACACGCGCTCTCGATCTCTTCTTGGCCGGTGAGAAACAGCAGGATATCCCCGGGGCCCTGGCTCCTGTGCAGGTCCCACGTCGTCTCGATCGCCGTCTCCAAGTACGACCGCGGGCGTTCGCTCGCGTACGCGATGTCGACCGGGAAGACGCGACCGGGGACGTGGTACACCGGGCAGTCGCCGAAGTAGGCGCTGAGGGTCGAGGGTCCGTCGTACGAAGCGACGTCGGGGTGGCGTTCAAAGGCGTCAGTCAGCTGGAGTTGAAAGGCGTCGAGGGCGGGCATTGAAAGCGAGGGGTGGGCGAAGAGAAATGCATGCCGGGAAGTAAAGTCCTCCAGGAACGGCGTGCACCGCGCGAACGGGGTCGTATGGGGACCGGCGTGATAAGAGAACGCGCCTGAACTTCTCCGACTCCAGCGTCGCGGACGTGATCACGAGCTTCAGCGTCGGCTTCCGCGTCCGCACGAGGAGCTTCAGGAGGCCGAACAGGACGTCCGTGTTCAGCGAGCGCTCGTGCGCTTCGTCGAGGATCACGACGCCGTACTTCGAGAGGCTCGGGTCTTCGAGGCACTCGCGCAGCAGCGTGCCGTCGGTGACGTACTTGATCCGCGTGTCGCGTCCGGAGCAGTCCTCGAACCGGACGGTGTAGCCGACGAGGCCGCCGACGGGGACGTTCATCTCGTGCGCGACGCGGCGCGCGACGGACACCGCGGCGACGCGCCTGGGCTGCGTGACGACGATCCCGGTGGAGGAGGACGACGGCGGCGCGTTGTTGTCCCCCGAGGACGACGACAGGTTCGCGCGGTGTAAGATCTGCGAGATCTGCGTCGTCTTCCCCGAGCCCGTCTCGCCGATGACGACGACGACCGGGTTCGCTCGCACCGCCTCGACGATCTCGGACGCGTACCGCGTGACCGGCAGGTCGCTCGCGGAGGACGCATACGGGTCGCCGCCGTCATCCTCGCGGTCGCCCTCTGGCGGCGGCGGCGGCATCCCGTCAACAATGCGAAATGCGAGCGCGTCGTCTCGCGTTTTAGTCGCAACTTAGAATTCGCCATCACGATCAACGCGCGCGCGTCCTCTCGTCAGTGCGAGCGGCGCCGGGATGGGTCGCGGCAGGCTCGAGTCCCTGCTCGGCGTGAAGCCGGGCGGCGGAAAGGCGAAGAGGCCGTCCGCCGCGGGCGGGAGCATCCTCCAGGCGGCGAAGGAGGCGAGCGCGCGAGCGAAGGCGGCCAAGAGGGGGGGAGGGAACGACGATCGGAGTAAAAATCGCGGCGGCGTCGCGTCGACGCCGCCGCCGCGGAGGGACGAATCGCGCGCGGCGCCGAAGGAACCGCCGCCGCCGCAGCGCGCGTCGAGATGGACGGAGGAGGAGGAGGAGGATGAGGACGACGCGCCGGCGCCGGTCCGACCCGCGGAGAAGTCGCGGTGGGGAGACGACGCGGCGTCGGAAGACGACGACGACGACGACGACGACGACGACGACGAGCGACACCGAGCGCGCGACGCCCCCGCGGCGGAGCCCGCGAAACCGCCGGCGCCCGAGTCCGTCGCGGAGCGCGCGATACGCGAAGCGATGGAGTTCAAGATCGCGAACCTGGAGCGCGATATGATGGAGGCGGACGAAGACGGCGAGATCCCGACCGCGGACGCTCGCGGGAGACCGGCGGCGGCGACGAAGGAGAATCTGCTCGACACCCCGAGCGACGACGGCGACGGCGACGACACCCCGGGACGTCCCGCGCCGCGCGAGGACGACGCGCGCGCGCCGCCTCGCGGCGGAAACGACGAGGAAGACGCGCGCGCCGAGCCGAACCCGAACGACGTGGACCCGGACCTGGACGAACTCGACGACGCCGCCGCCGCCGCCGCCGCGCCGCCGCCGCGTCGCCGCCGTTCGCCGTCGCCGTCGCCGCCGCCCGCGTCGCCGACGCCGTCGCCGTCGCCGTCCCCACCCCGCGGCCCGCGCGTGTTCGACACCATGGCCGGATGCAGGTCCGTGTTCGAGTACCAGCAGCTGAACAGAATCGACGAGGGGACGTACGGCGTCGTGTTCAGAGCGCGGGATAAGAACACCGGCGTCGTGCGCGCGTTGAAAAAAATAAAGATGGAGAAGGAACGCGAGGGGTTCCCGCTCACGGCGCTGCGCGAGGCGAACATCCTGCTGTCGATGCAACATCCGAACATCGTGGACGTCACCGAGATGGTCGTCGGGCACACGTTGGACAGCGTGTTCATGGTCATGGAGTTTGCGGATCACGACTTGAAGGGACTGATGGAGACGATGTCGAAGCCGTTTAGCGTGCCGGAGGTGAAGTGTCTCATGCTGCAGCTCCTGTCCGGGGTGTCGTACTTGCACGATAACTGGGTCCTTCACCGCGACTTGAAGACGTCGAACGTTCTCGTGAACAACCGAGGCGAGCTGAAGATCTGCGACTTTGGTTTAGCGCGGCAGTACAGCGACCCGCTGCGAGCGTACACGCGCGTCGTCGTGACTTTGTGGTACAGAGCGCCGGAGTTGTTGCTCGGGACGAAGATGTACGACACCGCGATCGACGTGTGGAGCTTAGGGTGCATCATGGGCGAGTTACTCGGGAAAGAGCCGCTGTTCCAAGGGAAGACGGAGACGGACCAGGTGGACAGGATCTTCAAGCTGTTGGGCACGCCGAACGAGAAAATCTGGCCGGATTTCCCGTCTCTGCCCGCGGCGAAAAAACTGACGACCGCGCGCCAGCAGCCGTACAACCAGCTCCGCAGGAAGTTCCCGAAGATATCCCCGAACGGCGGCCCGTGCGTGAGCGACCTCGGGTTCGATCTCCTGAACAAACTCCTCGCGTACGACCCGAAACGACGCGTCACCGCCGAGGACGCGTCGACGCACGCGTTTTTCGCGGAGCACCCGCCTCCGAAGGAAAAGCGGGATATGCCGACGTACCCGTCGAAGGCGTCGGGGGAAGGGTACGCCGCGGCGAGGCGCGCGGCGATGAAGAGGGACGAGGATGTCGCGAGGCGCGCGGCGATGGAGGCGGATCCGCTCGAGGCGCAGAGGATCAGAGAGGAAGCCGCGGCGGCGCGCGGGGCGGGGGGGGGCGGGTTGTTCTCGCAGTTTTGACGGCGGCCGCCGTCGCCGTCGCCGTCGCGTTCATTAGGGTGATGTTGGCATTCGCATCGTACATCACGACAGCGCGCATCGTATACATCATATTTATACATCGTGCAGTCAGTATGTGCACGTCATCGTCGCATCCCCGGCAGCGGCGGGTCGTGCTCGGGTATCGCCACTCGCCACGTCACGTCGAGCTCCGTCCCCGCCGCCTTGAGCGTATTCGCGACCGGGCACCTGCTCTCGACCGCGCGCTTCAGCTCCTCTACGCGCCGCGCGATCGTGCTCGCGCCGTGCGCGTCTTCGCTCAGCCCCAAGTGCACGATCGCGGTGCCGGTCACGCGCGCGAGCTTCGCGTCGCACGGGGGCGTCTTATCGATCGGCAGCGCCGTCGCCCCGCGGTCGTCCCTGGAGGCGACGTACTCGAAGTGAATCCCTTTGAGCTTCATCCGCGGGGACATGTGCCTGGCGACGTACGCCGCGGTCGCTTGCTCGCACCCGATGAGCGCGGCGACGAGGAGCTCCACCGGCTGCGGCGCGGCGTCCTGGCCTCCCATCGACGCGGGGACGTCCGTGGCGATGGAGTGGTTTCGAGCGGTGACGGCGCATCCGGTCCGGATGCCGACGCCGGAGACTTCGTACGTCTTCACGCTGCCGTCCACCGCGGAGGACGACGCCGAGGAGGACGCGGAAGCGGACGTCGAGGACGCGACGCCGCGGCGCGACAGCGCGGAAGAGACCCACGTCGGCGCCCGCGCGAGGAGGGAGACAGCGCGCGACATGTTAAATGAGAAGATGTGAACTGTATCTTTGAGAGATCTTCCAATCGCGCGCTTCGCGCTTCCGAGAGTTTCGGACGTCGACGAGGACGCCGACCTGCGGCGCGTCCGAAACGGCGCCGCGCACACGCGCCCGCGCCCTTCCCGGGACGACACGCAGCGCGCATTCTGATTCTCGTCGACGACAAGGTACGCCTCATCGCGATCGCGTCCCTCGAGAATCGTCGCGCGCGCCCGCGCGCGTCGCTCGCCGGCGCCGCGAATCGTCGGTCCTCGTCGGCGTTCGCTCCGCGTGGATATCGCGTCGCTTTTTTCTCGCGTCGCCGCCGTCGCGCCGCGGTCGCGTTCGCGCGCACGCGACGCCGCGGCGACGCCGCGGCGATGCGCGACGTCGTGATGTGACCCGTACGACGCAAACGATATCGCCGGCGGCGTCGTTCGCGCCGTCGTTCGCGCGTCCCCGCACGTCGCCGCCGCGCCGAAACCCTCGATTCCAGGGATCCGGTGGATTCATTCGACGGGGCGATTCGACGCGAACGATCGAATGAATCCTTCCCCCGTCGCCGACCCCTCCGTCCACCCCTCGTCCACCACTCACCCACCCACCCACCCCTCCCTCCCTCCCTCATTTCATCGCAGAAGCGCTAAAAGCTCCTCGTCAGTAAAGAAGATGGGCGCGAAAGATGCGGCGAAGAACGAGATCGCATCCTTCGCGAAGAAATCCGACCGCCTGAAGGAGGAGGGCAACGTCCACTTCGTGGCGAAGAACTGGAAAGAAGCGCTCAACTCGTACCAGAAAGCGCTCGAGATGACGATGGCGGGCACGGAAGAGCGCGCGTCGCTGTACAGCAACCGAGCCGCGTGTTTCCTCATGGAGAACAGGTACCGCGAAGCCATTCGCGAGTCGGACGCCGCGCTCGAGTCCAAGCCGGATTTCAAACCCGCGCTCGTGCGCCGGTCGCGCGCGTACGAGCAAATTAACGAGTACTCGAAGGCCGTGAGCGACCTCGAGAGCGCGTTGAAAGTGGACCCCGCGGACGAAGGCCTCAAGAAGAAACTGAACGCGATGAAGTCGAGGGCGGCGAATCAGAAGGCGTCGAGGCGTGGCGCCGGCGCCGGCGTCGCCGGCCTCGGCGGCTCGTCGCTTCGCTCCGGCGCGTTGAACCGCAAGAACACGCGACTGACGCCGCAGCAGCAGCAGACCGCGGCGGCGGCGGCGGCGGCGGCGAACCAACCCGGTCGCCCCGGGCAGCAGCAGCAGCAGCAGATGCCGCTGTTGACGCTGAACTGCAAGCTCGGCGAGGTGAAGAAAACCGTCGTCCTCCCCATCTCCGTGCGCTACCGCGACATCGCGGAGGCGGTGAAGAATACCTTTTCTTCGTCGTGCAAAGAGCCGCTCGCGCTCAAGTACGCAGATCCGGAGGGAGAGCTGATGACGGTGACGTCGCGAGCGGACTTGCGGAACGCGCTCGCGAGCGCCGTGAGCGCGCACGAGAAGCGCGCCGCGGCGACGGGCGCGCCGGGGCTGCCTCAGGGGACGCTGCCCCCCGTGGAGATCGAGTGCGTGATCGTCGCGTCCGCGGTGACGGAGACGCCGGACGTGGTGACGCCGCAGAACGTCGGCGCGGCCGGGACGACGCCGGAGGACGAGGAGGAGCCGGGCGAGGACGTCATCGAGATTGACGAGTGGCTGCTGACCTTCGCGTCTCTGTTCAGGAGACACCTCGGCGAAGCCGGCGAGAAGGAGGGGCCGCTCGACTTGAGAGCCGTCGGCCTGGAGAAGTGCTGCGAAGCGCTCGAGGCCGCGGTCGGGACGGACGAGGCGAAGGACCTCCTCGCCGCGGCGGCGGATAAGTTCCAAGAGGCTGCCGCGGCGGCGATTTTGAACAAGGGCAACGTCCACGTGTGCGCGGCGAGGAAACTCGTCGGCGGCGACCCCGACGGCGGCGGCTCTCAAGTCGTCGAGGAAGCGACGAAGCTCGCGATTAAGAACCACATGAAGCGTCTCGATCAGGAGTACGACGACGCGGTCGCGCGGTACGTCGAGTCCCTCGCGATCAAGCCGGACTTTTACGAGACGACGATCGCGTGGGGGCAGCAGGCGTTTGAACGCGGCAAGCACTACCACGTCGCGAGCAAAGACGCGACGGGGGCGGCGGCGGCGGAGCGCGCGAAGGAGTGCGACGAGATGTTCGAGCTGGCGGAGAAGAAGTTCCAGGAGTCGCTCGACATGCTCCCCGCGGAGGATAAGGACGCCGCGGCCGCGGCGGAGACGTCCACGTCCGGAGGGGAGGAGGGCGGCGAGGAGAAGGCGAACGAGCTGAGCGTCAAGTCGCAGATTTTAGTCCTCTGGGGGAACGTCCTGTTCGAGCGGTCGCAGGTGCGGCACGGACGCGAGGACGGAAAGTGGGAGGAGGACACGCACGCCGCGGTGAAGAAGTTCAACGACGCGGGGTGCAGCAAGACGGACATCACGCGGGCGCTGATGAACCACACGAGCAAGAAGTGGGCGAACGAGAAGGACGCGATCGCCGCGGCGAAGTGACGACGCGACGACGCGACGGCAAGGGGAGGCGAGGCGATTTTTTTTTACACCGCGACTTTTCGAGTCGAGACCGCGAACAACGAAACGTTTCATCGGTGTTCAATATTACAGCGCGGCGTCGCGACGCCCATCCCGCGCCCCTAAAACCCCCCACCCCTCCTCACGGAGCCTCGCCTCGCGACACGCTCACGCCGCGGGGATTTTGCCGCTGATGTCCAAGTCGTTCAGCGTCTCGCGATCGGTGATCTTCAACCCGTGCTCGTTCGCGAGGTGAAGCAAGCATATGAACGCCATGTGCACGGAGATGTCCTCCGTCGCCCCCGCGGCGTTGTCCTCCGGAAATTTATCCAGGAGGTCGTGGAACGACTTCGTTCCCTCCACCGCGTCGGCGTCCGCCTCGCCCGCGTCGGCGTCGTGGATGTTGTCCCAGAGCGTCGACTTTAGCTCCTTGACGTCAACCTGCTTCGACGATCGGTCGTAGTTGACGCGAATCTTCTCCACGCGACGCGGCGCGTCCACGAGGTCGCCGTTCGCGCCGATGATCGGTGACGGCGCGGCGTCGTCGAGGTTGTTCTCGTCGTCGTCGTCGTACTCCGCGAACCCGCCGGAGCCAAAGTCGCCGTCGTCGCCGCCGAAAAAGTCCCCGCCGCCGCCGCCGCCGCCGCCGGAGACGCCGACCGCGCCGCCGCTCGACGCGCCGGCGATCCCAAAGTTCGGCCTCAGCGACAGCTTGATCAGGTCGCTCGCTTCGTACCCGAGGTCCGGAGGAAGCAGCGTGTCCGTCGCCGTCGGCGCGGTCACGAGCAAGAGCTCTTCGCCCGTCGCGCTGAGCGTGAAGCGCGTCTCGTCCGGCTCTTCGAGGTTTTCGAAATCGTACGTCAGCTCGCCCTTCTTCTTCTTCGGTTTGCCGTCGCCGTCCTCGCCGTCCGCGGACTTCTCTCCGGACGTCCCGCCGTCGCCGTTGGAGGTGGACGGCTTCGACGGCGCCTTGAACCGCCAGTGGCTCGGCCCCGCCCATGCCATCTTCCCGCCGACGCCAGAGTTGACGACCCACTCGAGCCCGGCGCCGCCTTCCTCGTCCAACGCGTCCGAGTCGTTCGCCGCGCCGCCGCCGCCGCCGCCGCCGCCGCCGCCGTGGTCGTCGTTCCAGTTTTCTCCCATCCCGAACGGAGCGTCGTCGTCGAACCCGCCGCCAAACTCGTTCGCGTCCGCGTTATCGTACCCGGTCTCGTCGTCGTCGTCGTCGTCGTCGTCGTCGTCGTACTCCGCGAACTGCAAGCCCTCGCCGGAGGAAAAGTCAAAGAGCGACACCGGCGCGCTCGAGTTTGGATCCACCGCCGCCGCCGCCGCCGCCGCCGCCGCGGACGGCGCGACGCCGCCCACGAGCTCCGCGAGCGTCTCCTCGATCACGGCGATAGACGGCGTGATACGGTTCGTCGTGGACGCCACCTTCCTCGCGGCGTCGATCGCCGGTCGCATCGAGCTGAGGTCGACGAAGACGCCGTCGAGCGCGCGTTCGTCGTCGTCGCAGCCGACGTCTTCGTAGCACGGCACCTCCTCCGAGTCGAAGCAGATGTTACACCCGCGATGCACGGACAGATTGCACAGGAGCAACCCGCTCGCGCCGCCCTCGTCGAACAGCGCAGAGGTCTTCTGGAACAGCGGGTCCACGGTCGCGGTCGCGACTTCCTTCACCGTGTGCGCGTCGGGCTGCTCGAGCGTCGCCACCGCCCTCGCGGATCGCCTCTTCGGCTTGCCGCCGTCCGCGCCGTCGTCCATCGCGTCGGAGCCATCCGCGCCGTCGCCCTTCGCCCCGGCGCCGTCCTCGTCTTCGCACTCCTCGCTCTGCGTCACCTTGTTCATCCCGCCGAGCATCTTGAACGTCTCGTTGTGGAACGAGTCGACGCGCGACGCGTAAATCTTCACGCCGGCGTCGAGCGTGCACGAGCTCTTTTGAAAGTTGGTCTGGCCGTCCTCGTCCTTGCTGTCGCGGACGATTTCGGAGATGTGGTCGATCAGCGCGAGCGACCACGTGTTCTTCGCGTTGATCTTGTTCTCCGACGCGAGCTTGATGCAGTTGCTGTAGAGGTTTAACACGTCCGACGCGTTGAGCGTCGGCGCGCGTTTTGTCGTCGCATTCGTCTGGGCGCCGTCCGCGGAGCCTGCGGTCGATCTCGACAGCCCGCTCTTCTTCGGCGCGGCGTCGTCGACGTCGTCGAGCGCGTCCGCGAAGCCTTTGTCGCCCCTGTCGCGCGATGAGAAGGTCGTCTCGGACGTCAGGACGCGTCCAGGGGGGCGCGACGACGCGCGCGACGACGCGCGCGCGGCGTCGCCGCGGGGGCGGCATCGGGGGTACGACAGACTGCGGAGAGGGAGCGAAACGCGCGAGGAGCGAAAAGACGAGACGCGGCGCGCGCCTTCGCGTCGCCTCCGACTGCTGCTTCGCGAGCTTCGCGCGGCGCTTCTCGAGCGCGTCGTTGTTCGGGGACATCGTCCCGATCGGCCCCGGGCTCTTGGACTTGAGCGGCGTCTTCGCCTTGGGTCCCTTGCCCGCGGGCGTGTTGTTGAGCTCCCCGAGGACGCCCATGGTGGACTTACCTGCGCGACGACGCGGATTGGCGCGGTGAGCGAGATCTCTCGGAAGAAACCGCCCGCGCGTGCGGCGTCGCGCGCGCGGGTATTCTACGACGCGGTCGCGGTCGCGACGGCGCGGTCTCGCACCTGAGTGTTCTCCGATGCGCGCGCGCGCGGAAGAAACGGCGGCGGGACGGACGGAGTCGGTCGCGCGCGTCGGGAATGCGTCGCCGGCGTCCCGGGAGCGAACTGGCGTCGCGTCGCGAAACGCCCGCCGACAACGGTCGAAATCGCGGTTTTGTTACCCCCAAAACTACGCGCTTTCGTACTCGTACTTGTAACTGATTGCGCATACGAACAATCCCGTACTCGGCTCCCGAAATCGGTCACGGCTTCGATCGAGGTTCGAGGATCGACCCGGCCCGGAGCCCCGGGACACGCGCGAGCAACTCCCCGCCCGGAGGTCCATCAGATAAAAACCCGAGACGGGCGAGATCCCACCGACTCGGACGCCGCGCGCGCGTCGGATACCGCGCACGAGTCGCGCGCCGACCGACCGAGGATGTCCTCCTCCGGCAGCCTCCGCGCGCTCGCGGTGGAGACGACCGCGGACGAGACGACCGTCGTCCTCCCGCCGTCGTCCGTCCCCGGCGCGTCGTCGTCGCGGAGCAAGAATCTGCGCGACGGCAACATGTCGTTCCGGAAGTCTCCGGACAGCTGGCGCCTCAGCGCGGACGCGTTCGACACGCACAAGAAGACCGCGGAGGAGTTCCAAGGCTTGCGCTCGCGGAAAGCGAAGAGCGGCGTGATGGCGTACTACCGCAAGCAAAACGCGCTCGTGGACCAGTTCGGGGAGATCGAGACGCTCATCGCGGCGACGGACGCGACGGGCGCGCCGATCCTGGCGTCCGACGAGGACGCCGCGGAGAAGACCCGGGGCGACGCGAAGCGAGAGAAGCGCGAGGAGTTCGCGCTGCAGATCTCGTTCTGGGCGAACGTCCTCCTCCTCGGGATCAAGACGTACGCCGCGGTCGTGAGCGGCTCGCTGAGCATCATGACCTCCGCGCTGGACTCCTTCTTAGATCTCGTCTCGGGCTTGATCTTGTACCTCACCGAGCGGAACATGAAGAAGAGCAACAAGTACATGTACCCCGCGGGTAAGTCGCGGATGCAACCGTTAGGAATTATCGTCTTCAGCTGCATCATGGGCACGTTAGGGTTCCAGATCATGATCGAAGGCGTCCGGCAGCTCGTCGGCGAGACCCACACGCACCACCTCGAGGATCTGTGGGCGGTGCTGGGCATCATGGTCTCGGTCATCGTCGTCAAGTTTTGCCTGTATTTGTTCTGTAGGAACAGTCAGAACGAGGCGGTGTTGACGTACGCGCAGGACCACAGGAACGACGTGATGACCAACTCCGTCGGCCTCGCCGCGGCGATCGCGGGCGACAAGTTGTACTTCTGGATCGATCCGCTCGGCGCGATCCTTCTCGCGTCGTACATAGGTGCGTTCTATACACTGGTCCCCATACGACCGCGTTCGCGTGGTGAACGCCGATCCTTAAGGACTTTACTTCCCGGCGCATCTCTCCGCCCAGGGTCCCTCGCTTTCAATCCCGACACACCTCGACGCCTTTCAACTCCATCTGACGCCTTTCAACCCCACCCCGACGTCGCTTCGCGTGGAACGACCCTGAGTGTACAACTGGTCGTGCACGGCGCTGGAGAACGTCAAAGCCATGGTGGGGGTCAGCGCGCCGCCGGAGTTTCTCACGCAGCTGACGTACCTCGCGTGGAACCACCACGAGGACATCGTGTGCATAGACACCGTGCGCGCGTACACTTTCGGCCCGAATTATTTCGTCGAGGTGGACGTCGTGTTGCCGGAGGAGATGCCGTTGCGAAGGGCGCACGACATCGGCGAGAGCTTGCAGAATAGGATAGAAGAGATGGAGGACGTGGAGCGCGCGTTCGTGCACATCGATTTCGAGACCGCGCACTACCCCGAGCACGCGGAGGCGACGAGGGCGGACCGCGAGAGGCGGCGGGCGGCGGCGCGGGCGACGGCGATTTCGCCGGGGTAGAACATCGAGACGCGGTCTCTAGCTTTGTGACGTACGTACGAAAGGCACGCGACGACGACGACGACGACGACGACGACGACGCCAGCTGTACGTGTAGTCTGGTATCGGGGCGTTCAAACGTCCGCACGAGGCCTCGGTGCCCAGATTCCGAGATCTCACTCCGACGCCGCGCACGGCGGGCGCCGGCACGCTGCTTCGATTGTTCGCGCGCGAGGCGTCCTCGCTCCTCCGCGCGGTCCCACTTCGCGTCGTCGCCCGCGCGCGTCGCGAGCCGTCCTCGCTCACCGCGCGCTTCGCGTCGTGGCCGGGCGCGGCCGTGGGCGCTTCGACGAGAGTGAAGACGATGGGCTTCGAGGTCGCGGACGACGACTGGGACGACGCCGCGCTGACGGACGCGGTCGTGCGCGCGGAGGTCGACGCGAAGGCGTCGATCGCGTCCATGACCGCGGCGGCGCCGCTGATGGACCGCGTGAACGCGTCCGTCGACTCCGTCGCGGGGCGAGACTCGAGAGGCGCGCCGGCGAAACCGCCGCCTTCGATGGTGCCAACTTTGACGACGACGCGCCCGGCGCCGCCGCAGCCCGCGTCTACGGTGCCCCCTGACCTCGCGAACGCGCTCAGGGCGACGCTCTCGGAGTACTTCGGTCACAGCGACTTCAGAGAAGGCCAGATGTCCGTCATCGCCGCCGCGGTGAGCGATCGCGACTCGTGCGTGTACTGGTCCACGGGATCCGGGAAATCGCTGTGTTACCAACTCCCGGCGTTACACACGGGGAAGACCACGCTCGTGGTGTCGCCGCTGATTTCGCTGATGAACGACCAGGTCACGCATCTGAACAACACCGCGGGCGCGTCCGGGATGGGCAAGGGCGACGCCTTCCCGCTCGCCGCATTCTTAGGGTCGACGCAGACGGATCGCTCCGTCGAGGAGAACGCGTTGCGCGGCGCGTACAGGGTCGTGTACGTCACGCCTGAGAAGCTCGTCGGGTCGTTCGGCGACGACACCGGCGGGAACGGGTACTTCCTGTCGCGCCTGAAGGAGATGGTGCGATCGAAGAAGCTCGGGCTCGTCGCGATCGACGAGGCGCACTGTCTCTCGCAGTGGGGCCACGACTTCCGAACGAGTTACCGCGGTCTCGCGCGCGTTCGCGCCGAGCTCGCGCCGAACGGCGAGGTCCCCATCATGGCCCTCACCGCGACCGCGGTAGACGCCGTCAGGGAAGACATCGCGTCCGTGCTCGAGTTGCGCGCGCCGTTCGTCGCGCAGAACAGCTGCGACCGACCGAACCTCGCGGTGAGCGTGATCAAAAAAAGAGGCGGCGCAGCGGACTTGAAGCACGTCGTCGACCGCGTCGCGGGCGTCGCCGGCAGCGTCATCATCTACTGCCCGACGGTGCGAGAGGTCGAGCAAGTGGCGTCGCACTTAGGGAACGTATTCGCGAGCCGACCGGACGGCGCGAAGAACGCGGTGGGGACGTACCACGCGCAGATGTCCCCGAGCGAACGCGAACGCGTGCACCGCGAGTTTCTCACGGGAAGGCGCAAGGTGGTCGTCGCGACCGTCGCGTTCGGGATGGGGATCGATAAGCCGGACATACGGCTCGTGATGCACTACGGCGCCCCGAAGACGATGGAGGAGTACTACCAGCAAGTCGGAAGAGCCGGACGAGACGGGCTGCCGAGCAAGGTCGAGATGCTCTACGGCGACGGCGACTTTTCGAAATACGGAAGCGATTTCTACGTCGGCGGATTGTCCGAGACGGTGCGACGGACGCAAAAGGCGAGCACGGACGCGCTGGAGCGCTTCTCGCGCGAGCCGCTCGCGTGCCGCAGGGCGGGCATTCTGGCCCACTTCGGCGAGTCCCCGCCGGAGTCGTGGCCCGACAGCCCGGACCCCGCGGTCGCCGGGAAAGTGTGCGGGACGTGCGATACGTGCGTCCGCGTGCGTCGCGCCGCGGAGGACGGCGGCGTCGCGAAAACGCTTCGACGGGACATGGCGTTCGAAGCCGCGCCCGTTCTCATCGCGCTGCACCACGGCTTCGGCGGCGGGCCGGTGCCCATGACCGCGCTCGCGTCCCTCGCGAAGGACGGCGCGGACCCGAAAACTGGTCGGATGCCGAACCCGGCGGCGAGGACGGCGATTCGCGCGATCCGAGCCGCGCTCCCGGCGCCGTCCAAGACGGATTCGTTCGTCAAGGAGATGACGCAAGCGCTCGTGCAGGAAGGTCTGATTCACAAGAGGACGGAAAAGGGCCCGTACTCGGCGTACGACGTGTACAGCATCCCGCGGAACGGTCGCGAGGCTGCGATCGCGACGCGGTGCACGCGCGCCGCGCTCGCGGCGGCGGCGGCGTCGCCGGTGACCGTCGCGCACGGAAAGGCGGCGAGGGACGCGATTCGCGCGCGCGTCGGCGCGCTGCCTCCGATCGTCCTCCCCGTCCCCGAGGGCGTCGCGCGCGCGGAGGCGGAGGCCGCCGCGGTCGCGAGCGCGCGCGTCGAGGAGCTCGTCAAAGCCGGCGTGGACGTGTCCGCGGTCCCGCAGCACGAGCTCGCCGAAGGCTCCGGTCCGTGCGTCAACGCGGAGCTGCAGTGGTTCCGTCGGTTGAAGTCGCTGCGCGACCGCGGCGACGTCGCCAAGGCGCGCGCGTGCGAAGAGCTCCTCGCGCGCGTCGAGAGATGGCGCGACGACACCGCGGACAGGCTCAACATGGCCCCCGGCGCGGTCCTTCCCTCGCACGTCGCGAAGCGCGTCGCGTACGCGTTGCCGCAGACCGTGGACGGGCTGCGAGGCGCGGGTGTGCGCATCGCCGGCGTGGAGACGCTCGCCAAAGTCGTGCGCGACGCCGCGGAGGAGCTCGGCCTCCTCGGCGGCGGATCAGGCGGCGGGGCGGAGTGCGCGTCTTCGGGCGGCGGATCAGGCGGCGCGATGCGACTCGGCGTCGTGAAGGGCGCGCCGTGGGCGTTCGCGGTGTACAAGCCGAAAAAGAAGAAGGGCTGCCCGGACGAGCCGCCGGCGTGGGAGGTCTCCTGGACCCGGTTCGCGCGCGGCGAGTGCGTCGAGTCGATCGCGATGACGCAGGCGAGCGGGAAGAGCCTCCAGCCGAGCACCGTCGGCGGGCACGTCATGGAGGCGCTCGTCCACGGCCGCGAGGTGGACCTCGCGCGGTTATACCCGAACGCGGGGGACGCGCGGTATCACTTCGCGTCCGAGCGCGAATGGCGCGAGCTCGACGACGCGTGCGCGGTGGCGGGCGCCGATCCCGTCGGGGACCCGGCGGCGTTCAGCGCGCGGGAGATCGTTCGCGTCCTCGTCGGCGCGGACGTCGCGGATAAGGACCGCGCGCTGAAGACGCCGGAGGAGCAGGCAACGCAGACGCGGTGGTACTGTAAGATAAAGACGTACGCCGCGCTGAAACGCGCGGGGGTGGCGCCGAAGTGGGACGGCGACGGCGGCGGGGGAGGTCCGGACGCGAAACGCCGGCGGGTCGACTGACGACGACGACGCGCGACACACTGAACGACGGAACGCGCGCTGCGCTCGCTTTGTTATTACTTCCAACGCGCGACGGACGCGACGCGTTCTCTCTTCCGCCGTCGCGCGCGCGCGCGGCACGTCGTCATCCCCTCACCCTGGTGGGTCCCTGGACGCTTTCGCGATCGCGTTCGCTCGCGCCTGCACCTCCACGTACGCGGTGAACGCGTCGCGTCGTCGGCAGTGCGTCTTGTCCACGGGTTCGATCTCCGAGGGATCGTACACGTAATCGGACGCGCTCGTGGACCGCGTGTTCATCGTCGTCGCGTCGTACGCCGGGTTCGGGTTCTTCCAGATGTTCTTCCCCATCTCGTTCAGCATCCTGTTGTCCTTCTGCCACGACGTCAGCGCGTCCGGGTCCCACGTCGTTTGCTGTCCTCCTCCTCCTCCTCCTCCTTCCGTCGCGGCGTCCGGCGCGTCCCCGGACGTCGTCGCGAGCGCGGCCGCGGCGGCCTCATCCTCCGCGCGCAACTCCGCGAGCTCCTTCGCGAACTCCTTCTCCATCGCCTTCGTCGCGTATCTGAGGTTTTGGGACGGGAAGTGGGTGGAAAAGACGCGTGAGCGAGGCGCGGGAAGGGAGAGGGACGGGCTCGGGCGTTCCGGAAACGGCGCGCATTCATTTCATTCCCCCTCCGAAGTGGAACGCGCGGGCGCGGGCGGGACGAAGGACGCGCGCGGACGCGCCTGGTCTCCTTGTTGATGAGCTCGGAAATCGCCTGGTTCTTGGCGTTATCGAACCATCCCGCCCTGCCGACCTCGGTCATGGCGAGCGAACGCGCGTGCGAGCGAGGTCGCGCGCGCGGATCGAAGTGTGTGCCAATTCCGGACTCACGCGCACTCGGTCGGCGCGCGTCGCGTCGCGTCGTCGAGTCCGAGTGTTCAAAACGAGTGCCGTCTCTTCCTTCACTGCCGCGCGCGCGGATATGGACCTGAGCGTGAGCCCGCCCACGCACGACGCCCCCGCGGTGACGCTGTTCGGCAGCACCGGCGGCGTCGGCGCGAGGCCGGGCCCGCCGGTGAAAACCCGCGGCGGCGTCGGAGGCGCGGACGCGGAGGCGCACGCGCTCGCGGCGACGGCGGACGATTTCGCCGCGACGGAGGAGAAGAGGACGGAGACGGAGCGCGAGACGAGGAAGGACGTCCTCGGGGAACTGCGAGCGCTCGAGAAGGAGATCGAGAGGGACGACTGGAAGTTCGAGAGGCCGCGGCATTCGCGGTGTTGACGAGGGTGGGAGGGAAGAAGACGTCGCGGAGGCGTCGTAGATCTGTAGCTTTGAAAAAAGAGCCTGATAGATGAGAAACACGAAACGAACCCGCGAGTCGGTCGCGGCTCTCGTCGTCACATCACGACGCACGTGCTCTTCTTCTTCTTCTTCTTCCTCCCCTCGATCGGCCGTCGCTCCCCCCTCGTCTGTTTCGACAGGTCCCTCCCCGCGCCGATGGCGTACTTGCTCCCCGGGTGCGGCGTGTCGCTCCGTCCGATGCGCTTCTTCGACCCCATCGCGCGAAGCGCCCTCACGGACGGCTCCGCGCTGAGACTCTTCCCGACATCCTCCTCCTCCTCCTCCTCCTCCGTCCTCGCGGAGTACCCCGCGGACGACGCGGAGACGTCGTCGCGCGCCGATCGCGATTCCGCCGCGGCGCGTTGCGCGCGTATGTACGCCGTCGACCCCGGCTCCGGCGGGCGGTTCGCTTTGATGTACGCCGTAGACCCCGGCTCCGGCGGCGGCGGAATAGGCGGCGAACGTTCTTCGCCCGGCGGCGGCGTCGCGTCCGCGAGCGCGTCCCCGAGCGCGGACAGCCTCGAGGGCCCGCGCTCGAGGTCGACGTCGTCGAACTTCACGCGCGACGCGCTCTCGCGCGGCCTCGAGACCGGCTCGGGCGGCGGGGTCGCGTCCGCGATCGTTCTCCCCACGCCCGGGGTGCGCGCCGGCGTCGCCGCGCGAAGCGACGACAAATCGAGCGTCGGCCGCGGCGGCGCGGACGCGTCGATCGCGTTGATCGCGTTGAATTCCCCGCTCGCGATCGTCTTGATCGGCGGTAGGGCCGGGTGCGGGGAGAACGACCGCGGCGGCGGCACCGGCGGCGACTCCGGCGGCGACGGTTCGAGTTGGGGTCGATCGACGAGGTCGATCGCGCGAGGGCCGTACTTGTTCGGGCCGACTTCCACCGTGGACAGGTCGAGCTTCGGTATCCCCGGCGGCGGCGGCGTCGACGGCACGGGCGCCTCGTCGTCCGGGTAGTACAAATTCCCGCTGTCCGAGCCGCGATCGCCGTTCGCGTCGTCCGAGCCGCTGCCGCTGTCGTCCGTGTCCCACATCCCGCGCTCCATGAACATCGTCTGCGTCGTCGCCGGGTCTACCGGCGCGTCGCCCGCGTCGGCGTCGCGCGACGGCGGCGGCGGCGGCGAACTCGACCGCGACGACGACCGCGACGACGGCGGCGACGACGGCGCGCGCGCCAGAATGATCGGCGGTTCGCGCCTCACCGCCTCCCTCGCGCGCTCGACCGCGTTCGCCGCCTTCGTGTTCGCCTCGTTCACGAGAAGTCGGCTCTCTTCGATCATCGCGCGCGCGTTGGCCTCGGCTTGACGCGCGCGCTCCTCCACCGCGGCGATTTTGTCCATCATCCGCGCCTTGTACTTCGCTTTCGCTTCCTTCGAGCTCTGCCGCGCCGCCTCCGCGGCTAACTCCGCGTCGATCGCGCGCTTCTCCGCGTCCGCGACGCGCGCGCGAAGCTCCTCCGCGACCTTCAGGGCTTTGTTCAGCATCGCCGTCGCGTCCGCGGCGGCGGTTTCTTTTTCGTCTTTTTCGTCGTCGTCGTCGTCGTCGTCCGAGTCGTGTAGCCGCCGCTTCACGCTCGACGACGCCTCTTCGAGCTCCTCCACGCGCCGCGTCATGTCCACCAGCGCGCTCTCCGCCTCCGCCGCGCGCTTCAGCGCGTCCGTCAAGACAGCCTGGTCGGTCGCGCTCGCGCGTCCCCCGTCGCGCGAGCGTCGCGTCGCGGGCGTCGTCGTCGTCGGCGGCGGCGTCGTCGCGCCCAACAGCTTCACCTCCGACGCGGACGCCGTGTTCGGCGGCGGGGTCTCCTTCTCGCGCGGCGGGGTCTTCTTCTCGCGCGGCGGCGTCTGCGTCGGCGTCCGCGCCTCCTCGTTACCCGCCAGGCTCGCGTTCTCCTTGTCGTCGTCGTCGTCGTCGTCGTCGTCGTTCGCTTCCCCGTCCCCGTCCCCGTCTCCGTCTCCGTCTCCGTCTCCGTCCGGCATCGCGCGTCGCATCGCGGCGCACGCGTCCCTCGCGGCGTCGCACACGTCCTCCAAACGCGTCGAGATCTCGTCCGCGCCGTACTCGCTCCTCCGTCCGACGACATAAAACGGGTCCTCGCGCACGTCGCCGTCTCGACACGCGCGTGCGACGGCGCCGAGGACCCACGCGTCGTCGCCGTTCCTCGCGTACGCGTCGCGCGCGTCGCGCAAGACGACGAGCCGGTCGTAAAACTCCGTCGGGGTGAACGCGCCGACGTGCGGCGCGCCCGCGGCGGCGACGCCGGAGACGGACGCGTCGGCGTCGCGCGACTCCCCGTCCTCGTCGGCCTTTGTCGTCAAGACGAGGATCACCTCGAGGAGGACGGAGGACGAGTTCCACGCGACGGACGCGTCCGGCCGCGCCCATCGCGCCGCGAACCGCGCGCGCGCGCCGATGGACCGCGCGAGCGCGTTCGCTTCGTCGACGCCGCACAAGAGGCGCAGTGCCTCGGCGCCGATCGCGGCGCGCCACCGCCGCAGACGCTCCGCGGAGTCCGAGTCGTTATGCTTCTCGCCGCCGCTTTTACTTTTACCGCCGGTGGACCGCGCCTCGATGAGCTCGCTGCCGTCGCGGAACCGCCGCGGCGGCGCCGGCGCGGAGGACATCAACAGGCTCAGACCCGCGATGCGAAGCTCCTCTTGCGCGGACGCCCAGTCCGCGGGCCATCCACGTTTTTCGTTCGCCGCGGCCGGGTCGTGGTACCTAAAGATGGCGCACCCGCTCGCGCGCGCCATCGCGACGCGGTCCCCGTGCGTCAACCGCGCGGCGTCCCCCTTGGGCACGCGCTCGCCGTTGACGTACACGTCCGCGATCGCGCTGTGCGGCCTGATCTCCACGATGCCGTGTCCGAGCCTGGAAATGAGCTCGGCGTGCGATGGAAGGACGCCGACGCCCTCGACGACGACGTCGGACGTCGTCGCGTCGGAGCCAACCTTTGTGAGTCCCGGCTTGACGACGAAAAAGTCGCGGCAAGTCAGCGAGGGGTCCGGGAGGAGCCGCAACAGCCGCGGCGCGCGCGACTTCCCGCCGCCGCCGCGGAGTTCCGCGGCGGCTTTGCGCTCCGCCGCGGATGACGCCGCGGGGAACGCGTGCCCGGCGGCGGCGCGTTCGTACGCCCTGAGGGTCGTTCCATACAAGCGAACGTCGGGGTGGAGTTCAAAGGCGTCAGAAGCGGAGTTGAAAGGCGTCGAGGTGTGTCGGGATTGAAAGCGAGGGACCCTGGGCGGAGAGATGCGCCGGGAAAAGTCCTTAAGGATCGGCGTTCACCGCGCGAACGCGGTCGTATGGGGACCAGTGTATAGAACGCACCTGACTTTCGCGAGCCAGTCGCTCTCCGCCGCCGCGCGCCGCTTCTCCATCGCGTCGACGCGCTCGCGGACGTCTCGTATCTCCTTTCTGAGCGCGAGCTGCGCTTTGCCGCTGACCGGGGACGAGCGCGTTCCGTCGTTGTCCTGAGAGGCGGCGTGATTCCCGTGACTCCCGCCGTGACTCCCGCGTTTCACGCGCGCCATCGCGAGGTCTCGCTGCAACCGCCGCGCGTCGTCGTTCAGCTCGCGCGCCGCGCTTTTCAACGCCGCCGGCGCCGCGGCGTCCGGGTCGACGTTGATCACGACGGGGCCGGTTCGCGCGTTTCGAAACGCGCGCGCGATGCGAAGCGTCGCGATCGTCTCAGAGCGGTCCTCCGCCGTCGGCGAGACGACCGCGAGCGCGTAGAGTTTCCCCCCGCCGCCGAGCTCGCTCCGCAGTAACGTCGTCAACGCGGCGCCGCGCGCCGTCCTTTTGCTCCCTCTCGACGTCCCTGAGCCCTCCGGCTCTCTCGCGCCGCCGCCGTCCTGGGACCCGCCCGTCCCACTCCCACTCCCACTCCCACTCCCCGCCGCGAGCTTGAGCAGCGCAATCTCGAGCTGCCGCTGCGACCTCCGCAGCGAGCCGTCGTCGTCGCCGCGGCGGTCGCGCTTGCGCTTCCACCGCTCGTCGGAACGCTCCGGGAGGACGCGTTCGAACCCGGCGAGCTCCGCGAAGGTGACGACGGACACCGTGTTCGAAGGCTTCGCGTCCGTCCTCGCCGCGTCCGTCCTCGCGTCGTATGCGGCGGCGTTCGAGCGGCTCTTCGGTCGGTCGCGGTCGCTTCGCGCGTGGCTCGGCTTGTACCGGCGCACGCAGACGCGAATCACGAAGTGTGCCGCGTTCGCGTTGGGGTCTCCCGCGCGCATCTTCGCCGCCTCGGCCACGGCGCGGTCGAGCTCTGTCGCGTTCGCGACGTGCCGCGTCGTCACCCCGCGCGCGCGAGGGTGCCCGTGGGCGTCCACCTCCAATCGGAACCCCGAAGACGCGCTTCCATTCGCGTCGTCGTCCGCGGTCGCGGGCGCGGTGGTCGGTCTCGTCGTCGTCGTCGTCGTCGTCGTCGTCGTCGTCAACCGATCGAAGACGCGCTCGCGGTGGATCGCGAACGCCTCGACCGTGACGTGCGCGCCCTCGGTGGTGTCCCGCTCTATCTTCTCGAACAGCGCGTCGCCGAACCGCGACACGAGCGCCCTAGTAGCGGAGTCGTCGTCCGCAGAGCGCGTCTGCCTCGCCCCCGGCGCGGGCGCGGTCCCGAGAAGCGCGTCCGCGCGGCCCGCGCCCGGGGATCCGACGACGCACACGCCGACGTTGACGCCTCGCCACGCGTCCTCCAGCGCGGGCGCGCCGATGTCGTGGAATATCGACGCGTGCGAGGACGACGCCGCGCCGGCGTCGTCCCAGTGCGCGCGGTCGAGCGCGAACGAGAGCTCGTGGCCGTCGTCCAGGACGGCGACGCCGCACGCGCCGACGCGTCGAAGGTGGCTCGTCGTCGCGCCGCGGTTTTTCTCCCGTCGCGTCAGCGCGCGGACGCGCGCGCTGACGCGCGCGCGCCCGTCCCCGGACGACATGATCGTCGAGCGTGGGGTCTGAGGTCTCGGCGCCGCGACCGTATCCGCGCTCTCGACGTCGAGAGCGCGCGGAGCGACCGCCCCAGGTGCAGCTGCGTTTGGATATATTCAAATGGCGACATCGTTTACTTTTGTCCGCGTCAGTTGTTGTTGTTGCATCGTCCCGTCACCTCGGACGCCGCGAAACCACACGCGCCCGCGCGGCCAGCTCGCGTGCGTCGCGCGCCTCTCGCCTCCGCGTCGATCGCGATGCCCCCGTCCACCCCCCCCAACCTGGACTCCCTCGGCGCGTGGCTCGCGCTCCTGACGCGGTCGTCCTACCTCCTCTTCGTCGCGGTCCTCCTCGCGTGGTTCGGACGTCTCGCGTGGTTCGACCGCGAGACCGACGGCGCGGTCTCGTTCAACTACCACCCGCTCTTCATGGGGCTCGCGTTCGTCGTCCTCATGCCCGAGGCTTTGCTCGCGTACGCGGACCTGGAAGAGCGCCGCGGGTTCGGTCACGCCGCCGCGAAGAAGATGCACGCGTGGGCGCATATCGCGGCGAGCGTCTGCATCCTCCTCGGGTTGATCTTCGTCTTCGCGAACCACTCCGCGAAGGGCATCCCTGCGCTTTACAGCGCGCACAGCTGGATCGGTTTAACCGCCGCGATGTGTACGTTTCTGCAAGCTATCGTCGGGTGCGTCGCGTACGCGCTGCCGACACTGTTCGGCGTGGGAGGGGAGTCGCGCGCGCGGCTGCTGCCGGCGCATCGATTCGCGGGCGCGGCGACGCTCGCGCTGGGCGCCGCCGCGTGCGTCGCGGGGTTCGTCGAGAAGCAGTCGTTCACGAAGTGCGCTCCGGACGCGTCGGATAAACGGTGCGCGGCGCTGAGTTTGGTGAACGTCCTCGTGTTGCTCGTCGCGTCCACGGCGACGTGCGCGTTGGGGACCGTGTACGCGCGGTGGGTGGGGGGGGGGGGGAGCGGCGGCGGGAGCGACGGCGCGAATCAAGGGTCGTATCAGACCCTCGGGGAGGACTTCTGATGACATCATTGAGATTTTTTCGCGCCGAGCGTGCCCTCCTAGCCTTATTACGTCGCTACTGTACCTACCCCTAGCTAGAGTCTATCCGTTCTATTCTTCGGCGGCGCGCGCGCGTCGTACTGCGCGATCAGATCGTCCACCTCGTCGCGCGTCAGCGCTCGCGCGTCGCCCGGGTCGTCGATGCCGCGCGTCGAGACGCCGCCGACGGCGGTCCTTCGCAGGTGCCGCATCTTCAGACCGGCGCGCTTCACGAGTCTCCGGACGAGATGAAACGCTCCATCCGTAACGGTTATCTCGATGTCCACGAACCCGTCCTTCCCATCCCGACGGCGTTCAATCTCGGGCGTGACGTCCAACTCTTCGCGTCGCCGCGCGCGCCACGTCTCTCGCGCGCGTCGCGTCTCGTACCGCGCGCCGTCGGCGGCGCCGCCGCCGCCGTCGTCGTCGTCGTCGCTGTCGTCGTCGTCCAGGCGCCACGTTCTCACGACGCGCGCGGTCGCGGGCGAGCTCCACCGTTTCTTCTTCCTCACGTCGTCGTCGACGATGCGCCCGTCGCCGCCGCCGTCGTCGTCGCCGCCGCGCCCGTCGTCGCCGCCGCCGTCGCCGTCGTCGCGCGGCCGCAGCGACAGCGGCTCCGTCAACGACGACAGCGCCCTCGTCAACGCGCTCTCCTGGCTCGGCGCGGCGACGGTGGCGACGTAGACTTTCTTCACGCCCTGCCCTCGCACCGCGCGGTGCAGCTCCCCGCCGCGCGCGAACAGCAGAACCCCGGACGTCTCCGCGTCGAGACGACCGATGGCGGTGAGCGGCTTATGCGACGTCTGGTTCGGAGCCTCGGACGACCCGACATCGTCAACGTCCGCGCCCGCTTCGCCTTCGTCGCGCGGGATGAGCTCGTACACGGATCGCCGCCCGGACGCGTCCGCGACGACGCCGTCGGGGAAGCGCTCGGACACGTACCCGCGAGGTTTATGCACCGCCAGCGCGACGACGACGTCGTCGTCGTCGCGCATGGGGAAGTGGGGAGTGGCGACGAGAAGTGAAGAATCTCGTTGAGAGAAGAAGTCCATCTGTTGGTGCTAACCTACAGCCCCCCACCGCGCCCCTCGCGCGGAGATCGCGCGCCTAATACCCCCCCCCCCGTTCCCCCCCACGCGTCGTCCCCGACCGCGCGCATCACGACGCGACCCCTCCCGCGGCGGCGGCGGCGGCCCCACCCCCCGCGCCTCGCTCCCACATCCCCGGTCGCCACTTCCCCTGCACGCTCGGCGTCTTCGTCATCTTCCGATCGCCGCGGATCGAGTTCTTCGCCGCGTTCTTCATCCCCTTCTCGCTGACGATGTACCGCAGCTGAAACAAGATCTCGGACTCGTCGAACCTCCTGAGCGACACGTCCTTCGTCTCGCCGCTTCGAAACTCCCCGCGCATGTGCGGGTGAAGCCCCCGGCGCGTCTCCGTGGTCACCTCCACGTGCGGGTATCGCGCGGCGAACGCGGCGAGCTTGCCGTCCTTCACGAACGCCCTGAGCGCCCGAGACGAGCCCTCGACGTCGCAGTACGACACGTTCAGTCGCAGGAGCTGCCACACGCCGCGGATGGACATCGTGCGCGCGTGCGTGCGTCTGCGCGCGCGCCGCGACGCTGTGACGCCGCGAACGATCGATTTCGCGATGACGAAAACATCGAGTCGTCGAGGGCGTCGATCGTTTTAGGGTTAGGCGCACACCGTCGACGCGCGAGCCCTCGCGCGCGCATCGCGATGGCGTTCGTCGCCGTCTGCCGCCGCGCCGGCAGAGCGCTGACGCACGGCGGCTCCCTGCGCGCGTGGGTCCGGGACCCCGCGCCGATCGCGTCGCGCGCGCTCCACGCCTCGTCGCGCGTCGCGTCGAGCGACGACGACGAATCATCGTCGTCCAAGGGCGACGACGACGGCGCGTCGACGTCGACGCCGAAGCCGAAGATCGACCTCGCGGACATCGAGCTCCTGACGTCGCAGTTCCGCCACGCGGACGCGGGCGGCGCCGTCGGCTCCGGCGTGGGCTCCGCCGCGGCGGACGCCGCGGAGGACGACGCCGCGGAAGGAGGAGGACCGAGCCGCGAAAAGGCGGAGCCGAAGGTGCGGATCGAGCGGATATTGAAACACCGCATGTTCTTCCCGGGGCAGAGGTACGAGACGGACGACCTCGCGCCTCGCGACGCGTCGGACGGGCCGATGTTCACCGAGGGCCTGCTCGCGAAGCGCGGCACTTTCGTGAAGCCGCCGAACCTGAAGGACGAGCGCTCGACGAAGATTCTCACGGAGTGCCTCGACTTTAGAGACGTCAAGGTGTTGTCCAATTTCGTGACGGACACCGGGAGGATCATCCCGCGGAGGAAGACTGGGGTCCGGCAGAAGGTGCAGAGGAAGATGAACCGCGCGATCAAGACCGCGAGGCAGATGGCGATCATGCCGTTCGACGAGCGCCTCGTCCCGATCAGAAGGCGGACGTGACGCGATCGAATCGGATCGGATGGGATCTTCCTTCGCGAGAAGAATAAAATGAATGAATGTTTTCGCTCCGCGCGACGAGGAGTAGCCTCGCTTCGCGGAAGCGTCAGTAGTAGCGTGTTAAAAGAACGCGTCGCGTTAGATTGTTTTCCTACATGATATCATATCGCGCCCGAAGCTTCCACCTCGTCCTCCTCCTCCTCGTCGTCGTCAGTCCTTGCTGTTGAAGAACCCCGAGAGCTTGTACCGGTTGTCCTCGCTCTCCGACTCGCTCTCGCTGCTGCTGCTGCTGTCCGAGCCGCTCTCGCGTCGAGACCTCTTGCTCTTCTTGGACTTTTTCTCTTTCTTGTCCTTCTTCTCCTTCTTCCCCTTCTTGGACTTCTTCGACTTCTTCTCCTTCTTCTCTTTCTTCTCCTTCTTCGCCTTCTTCGCCGGGCGGTTGTTCAGATCCATGAGTTCCTGCTCCGCGTCTCTGAGCTCGTCGCCTCGCCTCTTCTTCTCTTGCATCAACTCGTACTCCCGCTCCCTCGCCGCGAGCGCGTCGGACGCGCGCGCGTCGCGCCGCGCCGCTCCGTCCATCGTCTGATACACATGTTTCCCCATCGCGTCCTGGCCCATGTGCTTCTTGTCCCCGTGCAGCCTGGGGTCCGCCCACATCTTCTCCATGAGGTTCCCGTCGACGCCCTTCGCGTCGGAGGCGTACGGGTCCGAGCCGACGATGGAGGACCACCGGTCGCTGACTTTGAGCGCGTTGGACGTGATCACGCGGTTGCCCGCGGGCATCGGCACGCGGCCGGCGGTCGCTGGCATCGCGGCCGGGGTGCGCGCGCGCGGTGAGACGGCGGGGCGCGGCGAGGACTGAGAGAGATAGATCCAGTGGAATCGTGCGCCCCCAGAAATTTTTCTTCGGCGCGGTTGCGGTTCTCGAAGACGGTGCGGGTGTTACCCCGACGCGGTCATCACTTCGAGCGCGCGGGCGGCCGCGGCTTGACGCGCATCGAGTCCAGAGCGCTCGCGCGTTCCTAAAGAACACCTCGGGCGAGGGGAATCGCGAGGGCGCGTCTCGAACCCCGCGCGGGCGCGGCGGCATGCGCGCTCCGCGGCGCGAGCCGCGGGGTCGAACGACGAGATTTCGCCTCCCCGCCCCTTGGATCGCGCTCGCGCTCATCACGACGCTCGCGCGCGTCTCCGGCGCGGGCGCGGAGCGCTGGGTCGAGGACACCGCGACCGCCGCGCGCGTCGCGGGCGCGACGGACGCGAACCCGCGCGTCGTCGAAGCGAACCCGATCGAAGCGACGAGCGCGGCGGGGGATCATCGCGCGAGGCTTAGGGCGACGATTTCGGACGACGCGCTCGTCCTCGACGCCGCGCGCGAACGATCGAACGAACGCCCCGTCGCGTCGGCGTCGCCGCCGGCGACGACGCACTCGCCGCGCTTCGTCGAGTTCATGGCCAAGCACGCGAAGCACGCGACGTACTGCCCCGACGGCGACGGCGTCACGCCGTGCGAGGAGTCGCTGTTCCGCGAGCGCGTGTTTAAAGAGAACGCGCGAAAGATCGACGCGCACAACGCGCGTCGAGACCGCGAAGGCGGCGGCGGGATGAGGATGGGCGTCACGAAGTTCGCGGACTTATCCCCGGAGGAGTTCTCGAAGACGCACGGGTACGTCGCGGGGGGTGGGGTTGGCGCGACGCCGCCCTCGGACGACGACGCGATCGAGAAGGAGGAGGCGGCGGAGGCGGAGGAGGCGGAGGCGGAGGCGGAGGCGGAGCGGGAGGTGGACGTCGACGTCGCGTCGGAGGGTTCCCCCCGCGCGTCGGTCGGGTGGCGCCCCGCGGCGGTCGGGATCGAGACGCTCGGGTCGGCCCCTTCTCGGCGCCGCCTCCTGGCCTCGGCCTCCCCGTCGAAAACCAACGCGGCGGCGATGCCCGCGCATCTCGTCGAGGTGGCCAAACACCGTCTCGAGAGGGGCGCGCCGCACGCGGAGACGTTTATGAATTTCGTGCGAAAGTTTCACAAAGCCCCGGAGTACTGCGGCGGGGAGGTGGACTCGGACGCGTTCCCGTGCCTGACGTCGTACGAGCGCGAGCAGATCGTGTTGCACCACGAGCGCGAGATAAACGCGCACAACGCGGGCGCGTTGGGAACCGACTCCGGGATGCGAAAAACCGTCACGAAATTCGCGGACATGCTCCCGGAGGAATTCGCGGGACTGCACGCGAAGTATTCGTCGTCGCCAAACTCTGGCGGCGCGCGCGCGCCGTCCGAGAGCGCGGCGGGGTTCGAACCCGTGACCGTCCAGCCGCTGAGTTCCAAGCCCGCGGGAGTTCCAAGCCCGAGGGAGACGTCGAGCGCGAAGTTGGGCGCGACGGACCCGTACAACAGCGACGACTCCACGACGACGACGAAGAAGCAGTCGTGGTGGGAACGACTCAAGAGCAACCTGTACTACATGTTCACCGATCCGATCGGTTTCTTCACCGGGAAAGACCCGAACACGGACGGCACGTTCACGCTCGGCGCCGTGGTCTACCCGTCGCTGTCCGACGTCCCGGGTTTACCGACGTCTCAGGACTGGACCAAGAGCGTCGACACCGGGAGCGTCTACTCCCAAGGCGACTGCAGCGGGTGCTGGGCGTACACCGCGGTGGACGCGCTCGCGGCGTCCAAGTCGATCGCGACCGGGACGCGTCCGAACCTGAGCCCGCAGTTTTTACTCTCGTGCGACACCCTGGACAACGGGTGCGACACGGGCAACATGGCCACCGCGTACGCGTGGATTCAAACCTCGGGCACGGGGGTGATGACCGAGGATCAGTTCAGCGCGAACGGCGGGCGGTGCGAGTGGACTACAACGTCGGACGCGGCCGCGGGCGGCGCGAGCGCGTCGAGCGCGTTGGGATGGAGTTGGTCTTCGGCGGCGGCGGCGGCGACGCGGGCGTCCGCGGCGGCGGCGGCGGCGAAAAAACAAACCGGGGTCAACATCGACGGGTTCTGCGACGTCGTCCCGCTGTCGGGCAACCTCACCGTGCACGCGATATTGAAAGCGCTTCGAAAGCAGCCGGTCGCGATCGGGTTGAACGTCAAACCGCTGCAGCTCTACGGCGGCGGGATCGCGACGATTCGCGACTGCCCGCCCGCGTCGAGCGATAAGATCAAGGCGATCAACCACGCCGCGGTGCTCGTCGGTTGGGGCGTGGACTCGAAGAGCGGGCGGCCGTACTTCATCATGAAGAATTCGTACGGCGCCGACTGGGGCGAGAACGGGTACGCGCGTCTGGACATGGGGTTCGACGAGGCCACGGGGATGGGCGCGTGCGCGCTCGGGACGGAGTCGAATTACCCTCGGACGGACGACCGGGCGTGCGCGGACGGGAGCACGACGAAGTGGGCGGAAAAGAGGAACGGAGACGTGTACTTGATGCCGGACAACGTCGTCGTCCTGCCCAACGGCGGCGGGATCGTCACCCCGAGCAGGTTTGTGATCTTCGGGTACGACTGCGCCGGGCTCTTGAAGATTCTCGCCATCGCCGCGTTTTTCTTGTGCGCGTACTTTCTCTTCAGCGAGTGTCTCCACTGCCTGTGCGGTCGGGACGACGACGAGTACTACGACGCGGAGGAGGGGAAGATCACGGTGAGGCCGCGCCGGGGGAAGCCGGGGGCGCTGTTACAGTCCGACGACCGCACCGAGATTTACGGGAGCAGCTCCTCGGATCGATGAGTCGACGACGTCGGGCTCTTTTAGCGCTAAAATATCCTCGCGCGGAGGTCGGTCGCGTTAGACGCGGCCGCCGCGCGCGCTGCTATATCACTATCACTCACTACTGTAGGTATCGAACGCCGCCTCGCCTCACCACCGTCCGTGCAGGAACTTCCGCTGCAGCAGCTGCGTCCGCAGTCGATCCATCCCCACGAGCAGCGCCTCTTCGTCTCGACCGTTCACGCAGCACAGGAACCACCCCGGCTCGGCGGCGCCCCGCAGCGCCCCGGGCGCCAAGAGGAGGCCGTACGTCTCCAGTAGCGACTCCCACAGCTCCGCCTCGCCCGTCCAGTCGTCGGGCGGGTCCGTGAACGGCGAGAGTCGCATCCAGACGAACCCGCCGCCGCCCGCGCGAAGATCGCCGCCGTCGGAAGGGAACGACGCTACCGACACCGCCGCCTCCGCGACGACGCCGCCGACGCCGAACAAATCTCGGAGCTCGTCCAGCGTCGCGCGCCTCAGCTCGTCCGGGGTCAGGTCCGGGGCGTCGCCGCCGTCGTCGTCGTCGCGGTCGCGCCCGCCGGGAATCGCGCCGCACTCGGCGAGGTTCACGATCCCGTTCGCGTTTTCGTACGCCACGAACGGGTCCGAGGCGTGTCGCCGGAGCGCGACCTCGTATCGGTTCGACAGCGGGATGGACACCGACGGCGGGCACGGCGGGGACGAGGACGAGGACGCGTCGGACGCGTCTTCCGACGACGACGACGACGACGACGCGCGGGGGTGGCGGACGCCGCGGGGACGATGACGCGCGCGCGGCGACGCGGCGACGCCGTGGACGGCGCGCGTCGCTCGCGCGGACGTCATGTCTGACCCTTCCTCCTCGGAAACGGCGAACGGCACCCTTTCGTAAACCTACCCGTCAGTCTGAGGAGTGCCACTCTCACTCCGCTCCCTCGTCACAGCGCGACGCGCCGCCTCCCGCGTCGTCGCCGCGCGCGCGGATCCGCTTCGCGACCGCGCTCCCACCGCGCGATATGCCGCGCATCAAGGTGCTGTACTTCGCGCGCGCGAGGGAAGTCACCGGCGGACTCGCGGACGAGACGCACGACCTTCCCGACGACGAGTGCCACACGGACGCGCTGAGACTCGCGCTCGTGGCGAAGCACCCGGGGTTGGAGAGCGTCCTCAGGACCGCGGTGTTCGCGGTGAACCAGGAGTACTCGGACGGACGCGTGAGCTTGAGCGAGCGGGACGAGGTCGCGGTGATACCGCCGATAAGCGGCGGGTGACGACCCTGGTGGACGATCTCATCGTCGTCGATTCGGTTTGGTTTCATTTTCGACGGCGACCGACGGCGCGGCGGAGCCGTCGGAGCGCGCGGGACGAACGATTTCGTTTGTAATACCTTCAACGTTCAACACGACAACCAATCACGCGAGCGCACGTCGCGCGGCGCCGCTCCGACCGCGCCGACGACCGCACCGCCGCCTCTCGTCCGTCCGTCGCGTCGTCGTCACCTCTTCTTCCCGGCGACGGCGTTTACGGCGGCTTTCTTCCCTCCCCCCCCCGCCACCGCCGTGGACAAGATGTAATTCCACACGATGCTGCAGCAGGACATGTACAGCACTTGGAACCGCACCGGAACCACCGCGAAGTTTATCGACGCCGCGGGGACCCAGAACACCCACCCGCGCCGCAGCGTCGGGAAACAACGCTCGCGCATCTGACGCGGGTACTCGCTCAACTTCCCAGTAAACGCGGCGCTCCACGCGAAGAACGTCGTCACGACGACCGGCCCGAGCACGGCCTGGTTCAGGAACACCTTGATCGCGAAAGGGGTCAAGTTCGTCGCGATCGACGCCCCCGCGGTCATCGGGAACCACCTCGCGAGCGCGCCGTACCAGAAGTGCTGCGCCGGGCCGTAGAGCAGAAAGTTGAACGCCGCCTGACGCGTCGTGCGGCCGAAGTCGTGCCCCGCGGGGGCCTCCGCCGCCGCCGACGTCTTCTTCTTCTTCCCCGCGGCGGACGCGGCCGCCGCGGCCGCGGCCGCCGCGTCGTTCCTCTTCGTGAGCCCCTGCGCGATGACGTCGCCGACGACGCCGAGGCCGGCGCACGTGTACGCAGCCTTGAAGACGACGCCCCCGAGCGAGGAGGAGGAGGAGGACGACGACGACGTCGCGCTGCCGCTGAATCGCGCGCTGCCGCTGCGGCGGAACCGCGCGATGCCGCTGCGGCCGTCCCCGGGGACGCGCGGCGGCAGCCCGGCGGAGAGAGCGATGGGGCCTCGCATCGTCGGTAGCGGGTCCGCGGCGTGTCACTGTGAGCGAGCGATCCGTCCGAGCGATCCGTCCTGCCAGGTGACGCCTGGCGTTTGAACCCGGTTTGAACCGCGCGGTCGACCGTCGCGTGAAATCGCGTGGTTGCCGACCTCTCTTGATCGACGCGCGCGATGAAATCGGCGAAATTGAAAGCGCGGTTGTTACTCCCGCGACGCGATCGAGAATTGCGGCGGGCTTCAAGAGAAAAGCTCCGGTTCTCCCGGCGCGACGTCACACATCAGCGACCACCATGGCCGCCATCACCGCTACCCCCGTGGTCCTCTCCGCGCGCGCTCGCGTCGCGCCCAGCGGCTCCGCCGTGCGCGCCGCCGCGGTCGTCCGCCCCAAGCTCTCCAAGCGAAGCGTCACCGTCTTCGCGAAGAAGGGTGAGTGCGCGGATCTTTTTTTTCGCCCGCCCGCCGTCGCAAACAAGGAGGTTTTGAAATGCGTCCGCGAGATCGCCCTCGCGTCCCCGACGCGATCTCGATCGTCTGAACGCGCGTCGAGGGCGTCCCCGCGCGCGCGTTGGTCACCCCGAAGACGCGCGCGCGGCGTTTCGCGGCGTCGAGCGCGTTGTCCGCGCGTCTCGAACCCTCCCCTCGCTCGTTCGGCCACGACATCCATCTTTTCTCTCTCGCGCGCTGACTCGTCATTCGTTTCAAACCCCGAATCGCGTCGACGCAGGTCCCGAGCCCCCGAACGCGGGCGCTGTCGCCGCGGAGACGATGCGCAGCGCGCCGTTCGCAGACACCTCCGTCGAGGAGCTCGACCCGGAGGTGCGCTTCTCGCGTCGCCGTCGCCCCTCGCCCGCGCCGCGGAGATCTCGTCGCGACCGAAAGAAACTCTCAAAAAAACTCTCAAAAAAACTCTCATTCTCACGTTCTCGCGGTCCCCGCCCCCCGCGCGCGCTCTCAGATGTACGCGATCATGATGAAGGAGAAGACGCGCCAGAGGCTAGGCCTCGAGCTCATCGCGTCCGAAAACTTCACCTCGCGCGCGGTCATGGAAGTCAACGGCTCGTGCCTCACGAACAAGTACAGCGAGGGTCTCCCCGGGAAGCGGTACTACGGCGGCAACGAATTCATCGACGAGACCGAGAGGCTGTGCCAAGACCGCGCGCTCGCGGCGTTCCGCCTCCCGTCCGACGAGTGGGGCGTGAACGTGCAAGTCTTGTCCGGCTCTCCCGCGAACTTCGCGGTGTACACCGCGCTGCTCAACCCGCACGATCGCATCATGGGTCTGGACCTGCCCCACGGCGGCCACCTCACGCACGGCTTCTTCACCCCGAAGAAGAAGATCTCCGCGACGTCCATCTTCTTCGAGTCGATGCCGTACCGTCTCAACGAAGAGACCGGGATCATCGACTACGACCAGCTCGAGGCGAACGCGATGCTGTTCCGCCCGAAGCTCATCATCGCCGGCGCGTCGGCGTATCCGCGCAACTACGACTACAAACGCATGCGGGAGATCTGCGACAAGGTGGGCGCGTACCTGATGTCCGACATGGCGCACATCTCCGGTTTAGTCGCCGCGGAGCTCGTGGACGATCCGTTCCCGTACTCGGACATCGTCACGACGACGACGCACAAATCCCTCCGCGGCCCCCGCGGCGGGATGATCTTCTACAAGAAGGAGTTCGAACAGCAGATCAACAGCGCGGTTTTCCCCGGGCTTCAAGGCGGCCCGCACAACCACACGATCGGCGCGCTCGCGGTCGCGCTCAAGCAGGCGATGACCCCGGAGTTCATCGGGTACCAGAAGCAGGTCATCTCCAACTGCGCGACGCTCGCGAACAGGCTGACGGAGCTCGGCTACACGCTCGTCTCGGGCGGCACGGATAACCACCTCATCTTGTGCGACCTTCGACCGATGGGCGTCGACGGCGCGCGCGTGGAGTACATTCTCGACCAAGCGCACATCACGCTGAACAAGAACTCCGTCCCCAGGGACACGTCCGCGCTCGTCCCGGGCGGCATCCGCATCGGGACGCCGGCGATGACGACGCGCGGGATGTTGGAAGATGATTTCGTCAAAGTCGCGGACCTGATCGACGAGGGCGTGAAGATCGCGATCGACTGCAAGGCGCAGGCGGGCGGGCCGAAGCTCGCTGACTTTAAGCAGTACGTCCAGTCGACCGATCGCGCGGACATCGCGGCGCTCAGGGAGAAGGTTGAGTCGTTCGCGGGCGACTTCCACATGCCCGGCGGCCTCTTCTGAGCCTCGGACGAAAAAAAAAGATCGACGAGACGAACGAATTCGGCGACGGACGGACGGACGGACGTCGAGGATGGAGGACGGTGTTGTGTACGCGCCGCGTCCCCTCCGCGCGCGGGGACGGCGGCACGCGAGTGCGAACGATTTTTATAGTATAGATAGGAGCCGCGAGGAGGCCTTGCGTTGGATGAAACAAAAAAAAACATTTGTTTTCGCATGTTGTTTTCGCGGAGGCGCTTGAAGGACCGGGCCAACTCGACCCACCCACCTCGGAGAAAGCCGTTGACGAAGATTTTGAACGCGCCACACCCTCGCATCGCGCGCGCCGTGCCGCGCGTGAGGATCATGGCGAGGTCGCAGTCGGAGCTCGCGGCTCGTATCGCGCGCTTTCGCAACGCCGGCGCGGACGACGGGTGCGTCCGCGCGTCCACGCCGCCGTCCTCGCGCGTCCGCGCGCGGAAGAAATCGACCCATCATCCGTCCAGCGTCGTCGCGTCCCCGTCGCGCGCGAACGAACGAATGCTTTGACCGTTATCGCATCCCCGTCGCCGCGCTCACCGCCCCTCCCGACCCTCGTTCAACCCGCGCGCAGCCCCAACGACGATGGCGTCGCCGCAGCGGACGGCACCTCGGGCGCGTTCTGGTGGCAGAAGAAGCCGAAGGACGCGGGGAAACCCGCCGCGGAGACGCCCGCGGCGGACGCCGGCGCGGCCGATTCGCGCCCCAACTCCGAGATTCGACCCGCGCCCGCCGCGGAGTCCCCGAAGACGCGCTCCCCGAAGACGCGCTCGCCTCGCGCGTCCATCGGCGGTGGCGGCAGGACGTCCTCCCCGCTCGCGCGACGCCGCGAGGCGAACGACGCCGCGGAGAAGTACGCGAGCATGAGCATGGAGAAGGCGCTCGCCGAGCTCGAACGCATGGCGACGTCCAACCCGACGCTGAAGAGGGCGCTTCAACACGTGCACAGGGAACCAGACGGGACGATCACCGTCGGGTCGCTGCGCAAGGCGGAAGCGGCGCTGAGGGAGTCGTACGATACGAGCGCGCGCGGACGGCGGCCGCAGACGGCGGGAACGAAGAAGCACGAGAGAGAGACGCTGCCGCCGCCGCCGCCGCCGCCGTGGCAACGAGAGAGCATCGACTCGCTGCCGCCGTCGCTGACGTCGCCGACGAAGCCGACGCGGATGAACGTGAAGGAGAGCTCGACGTCCACGGACGACGCGCCGAAGAGCTCGGAGGAGGAGCCGGTGAGGACGTCCCTCGCGCAGGAGCTGAAGACGGTTCTCGGGGATCAGTCCCCGCTGCGGCTGTCGTTGGAGTTCCCGAAGCGTTCCCCGGGGGCGTCGCCGATGAAGCCGTCCGCGCGCGCGCCGCCGGCGAAGCAACCGAGGCAGCCGACCGCGAGGACGCGGTCGCCGGGGAAGCCCGCGATGATGGCCGCCGCGGAGGCGGCTTGGGCGGACGATCGCGGCGACGGTCGCGGAGCCGCCGACGGAGCCGCCGCCGCGCCGCCGTGGAGAGACCCGAAGACGATCGCGAAGTACGTCTCGGATAACATGCCCGCGACGCGACGGTCGTTCGCGGGACTCGCGGGCGCGAAAGCCGTCGCGGACGGCGACGCCGTGATATTGTGGCTTCGGAAGTTTATACCCGCGGAGAGCGCGCCGGTGGAGGAGATCGCCGCCGTGGGCGCGGGGATACTGACCCGCTCGCGGACGAGAGGCCTTCGCGACGTCTCCTTCCCGGAATTTCTCGCGCTGCTCGACCTCGAAGAAGAAGCCGTGGAGGAGGCGGCGATGATGGCTGCGGGCGGGCAGTTCCCGATCGCGCTCGAGGAGGTGGACGACCGCGGAGAATTCGCGTCGACGTCGCCGCAGCGCCAGGGCGAACGCGAACGCGCGCTCGCGAAAGCCGCGGCGGACCACTACCCGTACGACGTCGCGCGCGCGCCGCCGCCGCCGCCGCCGCTCGCGACGGCGTCGCTGCACGGCGACGCGTGGGGACCGGACTCGGACTCCCCGCACGTGCACTTCACGCGCGCGCACGAGACGAGCCCGCCGCACTCGCCGTCGCGCTTCGACGAACCCACGAAGGGTATCCTCCGGAACTCGCGCGACGGCGCGTTCGGCGTCTCCGGCGAAGGGCACAGCCGCAGGGCGGTCGCCGCCGCCGTCGCGGAGCGCGCCGCGAAGGAGATCCACGCGGCGAGGATGCCGAAGGCGGTGAATACGCCGCCGCCGGTCGCCGTGCCGCCGCCGCCGAAACCTCTCCCCACGGGTGCGGGTGGGAAGAGCGAAGAGGACCGGGAGATCGCCGCCGCCGCGAAAGCCGCCGCGGAGAAGGTGCGTTCTATACACTGGTTCCCATACGACCCCGTTCGCGTGGTGAACGCCGTTTCTTAAGGACTTCGCCCGGCGATTCTCTCCGTCCACCCCACGGTTTCAATCCCCGACCTCGATGCCTTTCAACTCCAACTGACACCTTTCAACTCAACCCCGACAATGCTTTTAAGGCGATCGCGAACGTCCTCGAGAAAGCCGGGGCGCCCGGTCTGGACGACATCGCGGCCGTGCGAGCGGCGAGCGAACGCGCGGACGCGATCGCGGCGGCGGAGAACGCGCTCGCGGGCCACGCCGCGGCGCTGCAGCACGTCCACGACGTCCGACGGAGCGTCGACGGGATGTTCCCTCGGCCGCCGTCGCCGCCGTCGCCGCCGGGGAGGTCGAGCGAAGACGACAGAGGGACGGCGTTGTCGACGTACGCGCCGTTCGAGAATAAGAGCGCGTCGAAGCTCGAGAAGTGGACCGTGGAAGTCGCGCGGACGCGGCGGGAGTTGGAGCAGAAGCTTCTCGTGAAGGACAGCGAAAAAGCCGCGAAGCGCGCGCTCGCGGCGGAGTGGGACGCGTTCATGACCACCGGCGAGCCCCCGAAGGATGCGTTTCTCGTAAACCTCGCGAAGGACTACGTCGTCCGCGCGAAGGAGATCGAGCGCCTGAGGAAGGACGTCGTCGACGTCTCGTCGAAGCTCGACGCGGCGTCGAAGAGCGACGACGCGAAGCGCAAGATGCTCCAGGAGCTGCACGACAAGGCGGTGCAAGTCGCGAAAGCCAACGCGGAGGCGAAGGAGGCTGAACGCGTCGCGGAGGCCATCGCCGCGTCGCTGCCGCCGATGGCGAAGGTGCACAAGAGAGGGAGCACGAGGAGCGGCGCGCCGTATCACTATCACCCGCAGCAGCCGTGGAGTGGGTACCCGGGGTACGACGCGCCGCCGGCGTCGTCGTCGTCGGCCGTCGCGGGGGAGCGCGCGCCGGTGAAGCTGTCCGAGCTCGGCGCCATCATCGGCAAGGATCTGGACGAGTCCGTCAGGAGAGTGCGGTGGGCGGTGGAGCACGGCGGCGAGCCCGCGGCGGAGCCGAGCGCGCGACCGACGCCGCCGCACCCAAACCCGCACCCTAACCCGCCTCACCCGAACGACCGGTGGGTCCCGCCCCCAAGCCAGCCGCCCCTGATGTTCCCGTCGCACGACGGCTACGCGCTCGAGGCGCAGCGCGTCGCGCCGGCGGTGGCGAGGAGCGTCCAATTGCCGCGCGCGGTGGAGGTGCCGCCGTTTACGTTCCGCGCCACGAGCGGCGGAGGGTTCGGGGGCTCGCAGCCGATGCCGCCTCCGAGCGCGCCGAATCCGAGCGACGCGATGATGACGGAGCGACAGCGCAGGCAGCTCGCCGAGCAGATGGAGACGATGGAGCGGCTGCGGACGCAGCAGGAGCACTACCTCCGGATGCAACGCGCGCTGCAGGAGCGGGAGGACGAGGCGATGGCGCGACGGAGCGAGGAGGAAGCGAGGGCGGCGGCGGCGAGGTTGTTGGCGGTGCCGACGCACTGGCAGTCCCCCACCGCGAAGGCGGCGCCGCCGGCCGCGGCGGCGCCAGCGCCCGCGGCGGTGCCTCCGCCGCCGAGGGTCGTGCCCCTCGCCCCCCGCGCGCCGCCGACGCCGCCGCCGATCGCGCGCGCGCCGTGGGGCGCGCTCCCGCCGATGCCGCCCCCGCCGCCGCCGCCGCCGACGTGGCACGCGGTGGAGCCGTCCTCGAGGCTCGCCCCGGCGCAGGCGACCAGGGGCGGGTTCTACGGTGCGCCGGAGGTTGACCAGACGTTGCCAAACCTCGAGTTCGGACGGCCGGGCGCGCCGACGGGGGTCACGCTCACGGGTCTCACGCCGAGGGAGTACGTCAGCGACGCGGTGGAGAAGGCGTACGCGGACACCTTGGCGCAGCAGCGCGCGGTGTTCGGGGGGGGCGAGGAGGAGAAGGACGATCGGTATTAGCCCCCGCGCGAGAAGAGCGCGTGCGTTCCTATTTAACATCTGCGTGACTCGCATCGTAGAGAACGAAGAATTCGAGAGACGCGGCGCTCTCCGAGACACACACACACACACACACACCTCGCACTTCTCCGCGCGCCCGGGCGCGTTCGCGCGCGGGATGGCGTGCGCGGGCGCGCATCGCAGCGCGCTCGTCGCGGCGCGTCTCGCGCTGACGGATGTTCCGCGACGGCGCGGCGCGTCCGCGACGGGAAGCCGTCCGCGCCGTGGTATCGACGCGCACCGCGGATGGAGTACACCGACGCGCGCGAACGCGCTGGCGGACGCGACGCCGCCGGCGTCCTCGACGCCGTCGGGGGACCCGGAAGAGGTGCGCGGTCGATCCGCGTCTCTTGGCGTCTTCGCGTCTTGGCGGGAGCGCGCGCGCGTCGTCTCTCGTCCTCCGAGAGCGCCCGATCCCCCGAATCGTTCAGTACAACATTCTTCCGTGAACTAACAACGTCCTCGATTCCAGACTCTCGGCGCGGACGTCGCCGCCGAGGGCGTCGTCACCCGGCGCCACACGCTGGGAAGAAACTTGACGTTCGTGGACGTGACCGTGTCCGGCCCGAGCGCCGTCGCCGCCACCGCCACCGCCACCGCCACCGCGGACGCGTCGCACTTTGTGTTTCTGAAGTGTTGGGGCGTCGTGGACAAGCGCGCTCGGCTCGGCGCTCGCGTGTCGTTCACCGGGCGCGTGCTGACGAACGACAAGCCGCGCGAGAGCGAGGGCACGGTCGCGGGGAGGAGTTACTACGCGTCCGTTCCCGCGGGCGGGCTCGAGGTCGTGCGCGCGGCGAGCGCGGAGGACGTCGCGAACGCGACGACGACGACGACGCCCCGCGACCGCGGCGGCCTCATAAACATCTCCACCCCGTCCGCCCGCCGCGGCGCGTCCGTCCCCGTCGCCGTCGCCGCGCGCGTCTGCAAGTCGCTCATCGTCCGCGGCGCGTGCGGGGACCCCAACTGCGCGCGGCGGCACGACGTCACCGACGCGGAGTTGGCGGCGGCGATGCGAGCGCGCGACGGCGCCGCGAGACGCTCGAGGGACGCGCGTCGGAGAGAGCTCGACCCGGACGACCCGCACGCGTTCGAGACCAAGGCGAGTAAGGCGCGTTCTATACACTGGTTCCCATACGACCGCGTTCGCGAGGTGGACGCCGATCCTTAAGGACTTTTGCCGTCGTGTCTCTCCGCCCACCCCTCGCTTTCAATACCCGCCCTCGACGCCTTTCAACTCCACCTGACGCCTTTCGACTCCACCCCGACGTTCGCTCGTATGGAATGGCCCCAAGGCGGAGAGCGATAGGATCTTCGCGGACTGGATCGTGCGGACGTTCGGGCTCGCGTCCGCGGAGGATGGCGACGACGATCGCGTCGTTGCCGCGGCGTCGGGGCGCGGACGAGAGCGCGCGTCGAGGGAATCTGTGAGTCCTCAAGGAACGGCGTTCACAACGCGTGCGCGGTCGTATGGGGATCAGTCTCAGGAATCGGAGTCGAGGGATGTCGCGCCGGCCCGAAGCCGAAGGGCATCGAACGGAGGAAACGAGACGAGACGACAGGTCGCCGACGTCGCCGGCGGAGGGGGCGTGTTATCGTTCGAACTGCACGTCCGTCACGGTCTCGACGTCGTCCTCGTCGACCCCGCGCGCGTCGGGATGTCCCCGAAACAACGCGCGACGCTGCGGTGCTTGAGGAAACGCGGCGCCGCGCGCGGGGTCGGCGACGCCGCGCACGACGCGTGGCGACGGAGCGAAAATTGGGCCACCGTCGCGGACGCGGAGACGGACGCGAGGCGGTCGAGGCACCTCGCGAGGGTGCTGACGCACACGGAGATGGGCGAGGACGCGGCGAGGCGCGCGGAGGAGATCGCGATCGCCGCGGGGAGAGAGGAAGTCGTCGCGTCGACGTTGAGCGGCGGCGGCGGCGCTTCGTTCCGGCACGTCGCGCGCGAGTTTTTGGGCCCCGACGACGTCTCCGCGGCGGGGTTGGCCGAGTGCGACGTCTTCGTCGGGATGCACCCGGACCAGGCCACGGAGGCGATCGTCGACGCCGCGCTGGCGATGAACAAGCCGTTCGCCGTCGTCCCGTGTTGCGTGTTTCCCCGGTTATTCCCGAACAGACGGACCGCCGCCGGCACGGAAGTTACCGGATACGTGGACTTCCTCGAGTATCTCGTCGCGAAAGACCCGCGCATCGAGCTCGGATACTTGCCGTTCAAAGGTCGGAACCGCGTGGTGTACAGGGTATAGGTACAGTACGAGATACAATACAACAAGAGCTATGTAGGCTAGAGCTACGGCGCGTCGACGGCGACGTTCACGGCGACGAACTCGCCCACGGGGCGTCCGTCCGGCAGCGTCACTTGCCCGTCGCCGACCACCTCCCACCCCCCGCGCTCTCCGAACACCCCAGCCAGCTCGCCCACCTCGAGCAGGTCCTTATCCTTGCACGGTCGCCCGACCGCGGTGAGCTCCGCGCCGCGGTGAAAGTGGAACCACATCACCGCGGCGCCCCTCGGCAGCAGCCCGGGCAACGCGCGCGCCAACGGTCGATGAAGGAATCGAACCGCGAGCACTGCGCGCACCACCGGCCGCCCCTCGCCCTCGCCCTCGCCCTCTCCCTCGCCCTCTCCCTCCCCGTCTCCCTCGCCCCCGCCCCCCCCGAGCGTCTCCGCGAGCGCGAGGACGTCCGCCGGCGGCGTCTTCGCGAGGTCGATCTTCCTCCTCGCGACGCGGTCGCTCACGCCGTGCGACGCGGCGAGCGACGAGAGACGCGCTAAACCCTTCGCGTCGCTGTCCAGCGCGAGGACGCGCCAGCCTCGGAGCGCGGCGTAGACCGCGTCCCTGCCCGCGCCGCAGCCGACGTCGACGAGGAGCGGGCGGGACGCGAGCGGGACGTCCGCGGAGGAGGGGCGGTCGAACGCCGGCGCCGCGTCCCACGCGTCGCGCATTCGCTTTTCCAACCTCGGGAGCCATCGCGCGACGAGGTCGGACGGCTCCCACAGCCTCCCGCGGTCGATGGGCCGCACCTCGCCGGCGAGGACGTCCACGCCCGCCGCGGGCGCGGCGCGCTCGAACAGCGCGTCGGACGCGACGAAGAACCCCCAGACGTTCCACGGCAGGCCCTTGAAGTCGGAGCGGAATTTCGCGATCTGCGCGCGATGCGACGACGACGACGACGACGACGACGACGACGACGCGCCGTCTTCCTCTCCCTCGCGAAGGTCGTCCCCGCCGTCCTGTGTGACGCCGCCGCGAAGAACGATCGCGAGGGCGACGCTCCGCGGCGGGAGCTCGTGCAGCCGGCCGTCGATGACCCGCCACGGCACGTTCACCGCGCGCTCGATCCTGCGCGCGTGGAATTCGCTCGCGTCTCGGAGGTCGAGGAGCAGCGCCCCGGACGCCTTCCACGCGCGCAGCCGATCCGCTTGCTTGTCCACGTCGGCGTCGCGCGCGTCCGCGAGCATCCTCGCGGACGCGTCCGCCGCGTCCGCCGCGTCCGCGGCGTCGCCGTCGTCTGCCGCCATCGCCGACGCGCGCGAGGCGTTGTGATGATGAGGGTCGCCGCGCGCGAAAACGCGACGTCTGTCCGCGACTCTTCGTTCGACCTGTTTTACCTGTCTGCCTGTTGAAACTCCAGCGGGGTCTCGGGCGATCAGACTAGGAGCGCGCGGCGCGGCCGAGGGGTACGAGCACGCGACACCGCACGGTCGAGCGTCGCGTCGGGCGCGGCGGCGACCGCGAGAGGAGGGAAGCCGCGCGACCGCGCTCGGCGGCGCGCGCGACGGGACCTCGCGCGACGGCGCGTCCGTCCGTCCGTCTCTCGACGGCGAATCTGGCGTGAATCTGCGAGCGGCGAACGATGAACGCCGACGAGGCGGCCAAGTGTTTGCTGGTGGCGCGGCGGCTGCTCGCGCAGGCGCAGCGCGGCGAGGGCGACGTCCACGCGTGCTTAGAGCGCGCGCTGAAGTACGCGGAGAAGAGCAAGCGCCTGGACGCGTCGCTGACGTCCGCGAGCGACGACCTCGCGAGCGCGCTTCGACGCGCGAGACGGGATCCGACGTTCGGGCGCGGATCGCAGGGCGCGCGCGCGTCCGGCTCGGGGGATCGCGGCGGCGGGAGCGGCGGCGGCGGCGGCGGCGCGCGCGCGCGCGCGTCGCCGTCCAAACCCGCGGCGCCGCCGCCGAACGTCAAGGGCACGCCGGACCAGGAAGCGCTCATGGCGCGGGTGAGACGCTCGGACGATTACTACTCCATCTTAGGCATCGCGAAGGGCTGCTCCGACGCGGAGATCAAAAAGGCGTATCGAAAGACCGCGATGAAGCTTCACCCGGATAAGTGCCAGGCCACGGGCGCGGACGAGTGCTTCAAACGCGTCGGCAGGGCGTACGCGTGCCTCAGCGACGAGGACAAGAGGGCGGCGTACGATCGGTACGGGACGGAGGATCCCGGGGGGATGCGCGGCGGCGGCGGTGGCGGCGGCGGCGGCGGCGGCGGCGGCGGCGGCCCCGGGCGATCGTACGGACACGGAGGCGGGCACGCGTACCGCGGGTTCGCGCACGACGACATCGACCCGGCGGAGATATTCAACATGTTCTTCGGCAACGGCGGGTCCCCGTTCGGGAACGCGCGGTACCGAAGCGCGTACGGAAACGGAGGGTTCGCGCGGCCGACGCACAGGGGCGACAGACGACGCGCGGAGCGGAGCCGCGCCGGCGGCGGGGGCGCGGACGACGCCGCGGAGACGTTCCGGAACTTGTTCCAGCTCCTGCCCATACTGCTCGTGTTCTTGATGTACCTCCTGTCCCCCGCGCAAGAGTCGCACTTCGCGATGAACAGGACGCACGCGTACTCGAAGCCGCGAACGACGTCGCGGTTGGAGGTGCCGTTTTACGTGAAACCGACGGGGGAGTTTGAGCGGAAGTACCGCACGCGTCGGGAGTTGGAACGCGCGGAGCACTCCATCGAGATGAGTCACATGAACTCGCTGGAGACCAACTGCATGTTAGAGCGGTCGCAGCAGCAGCGGATGTACAAGTTCGGGATGAAGAGCGATCGCGAGAGGGCGAAAACGATGGAGCTGAAGTCGTGCGATAAGCTCCGGTCGCTGCGGGCCAAGTTGTCGTCGTCTGGACGCGACGGGGACCGGGGGAGAGGCAGTTTCTAGCGAGCGAAGCGCGCGTTCGTTCAAAAACCATCCGTAGCAGCGCTAACGTTCGTCGCGTCACTCGCGCCACGCTGCCACGGCTAAACCACCACGCGCGAGTAACCCCCCAACCATGGGCGTTAACACGAGGTACGCCGCCTGCAGCGCGGTCAGCAGGTACGCGACGACGACGGCGAGGACGGCGACTCTAAACGCCCGTACGACGACGACGCCCGTCCCCCGGGGGCCTTTCCCCGCGCCGACCATGAACACGACGTCGCGCAGCGACAACACGAACGACCTGACCGCGGACGCGACGCACGTCCCCGCGACGTCGGTGATCAGCGCCCGGCTCTCCGGGGCGACGATCAGTCTGAACGCGTGCGGGAACACTCCCTTGAGCATCGCGTTGGTAAACGCCGCCGCCGCCGCCCCCGCCGCCGCGGGGTCCCTCTCCCGGTACCTCCCTCGCGCGTCGTCGCACACGATCGCGGCGGCGCTGCCGTCGGATGACGGGGACGACTCGTCCATCGTCGCGACGTCCATCGTCGCGTCGGGACCGGGCGTGGACGTCGCCGCGTCGGGGGTGCGTCCGAGGCTCGACGCGGCGGCGACGCGCGGCGGCGCCGCCGCCGTCGACGCCGACCCTCCCCCGCCGCCGACCCCGCCGGACCCGCCGACGACGTCGAACCCCGAGAACACTGGCGTCGGCATGTCGCGCTCGATGCCCCCCGCGCGCCGTCGCGCGCTCTCCCGCGTCCGCGCGTCGCGTCGCTGCGCGGACGTCATCATCATCCCCGCCGAGGCGCCCGGATCGAACGTCGCCGGCGACACCACCTCCACCATCGTCCGCACGGCTTCGCCGGTGACGCGTCCCGCGATGTCTTGAATCACGTCCCGCGTGTCCTCCGCGCCCGCGGCTCGCGCGGCGGCGCCGAAGAAGTCATCGAACACGTTCGACCCTTGCGTCCGGTCCAGATAAATCCCGACCGCGTTCGAGACGAAGCACGAGCACAGGTCCAACAGCACGCCCTTGCCCTCCTCGCTGGACGCCATCCTCAACAGCTTATCCAACGCGTCGTTCATCACGTCGCTCGCGCCGCTCCCGCGGTTCGCGCCGTCCTCCTCGCCGCCCGCGTTGGAGTCGCGCATCTGCTGCTTCACGACCTCGATGATCGCCTCCAACGTCTGGCGCGTCGTGGACGCGACGAGGACGGAGACGAGGCCCCAGTTTCTGGAGTCGAGGATCTTGTCGAGGATCCGTTCCATCGCGCTCGGCGCCGCGTCCGCGTCGCCGTCGGATCCGCCCCCCGCGGCGTCGCCGGCGGCGGCGGCTCGCCCCGAGGACGTCGCCGCCGCGACGCCGCGCGCGACGCCCGCGGTGACGCGCGCGGCCATCGCCTCGAGCTCGGGGGTGTCGAGCAGACGCGCGGCGTTCCGAAGCGTCGTCGGCACGGGCGCGTCCTCGTCCTCGTTCACGAGGAAATTGCTCACGTCGACGGCGACGCGCGAGACCGTCTCCGACGCCGCGATCGCGGCGGTGGCGTACCCGAGCGTCGCGTGCGCGAGCTGTTTCATGCGCTCGGACGTAGACACGCGCTGATACACTGTGTGGTCGGAAGACGCGGGCGGGGGGACGGCGTCAGCGTCGGGAGACGACGGAGGCGGACTCGAGGAGGCGGATTTTTTTAATTGCGAGGAATCGTCGCGCGCGACCGTCCCGTCGCGCGGGCGCCGCGACGGGCGCGATCGGATCACCGAGGCGCGCACCGTAGTATCCCGCCCCGGCGGTGACCGCGTAGAGCGCGAGCTTTCGCTTCCATCGCGAATCGCTCGACATCGCGCGCGTCGGACCGGACGGGCCGGCGACGCGCCGTGAAGTCTGACCCGACTTTCGCGCCGCGCTGGCGAAATTCGACGCGAGAAGAGTCGACCGACGGCCTGCCGACGGCCGCGCGAGAGCCGTTGGGCGCCGCGTTGACATCGCTCTCTCCCCACAACGCCCCGCGCGTCCGCGTTCTGCCGAAGAACGCACCCGCCATGACGTCATGGGGACGAGGCGCCGCTGACTCCGAGAACATGTACAACATGGTGCGCGCGCGGCCGCCCCCGCCCCCGCGTCTCTCGTCGACGCGTCGGACGACGCGCGCGGAAAACGCCGCGGGGCGCGCTCAGATTCGCTCGCTCGCCTCTCCCCTCGACCGACGGCACGAGGACTCGCGCGCTGACGTCCGTCCTCTCCTCTCGCCCGACCCCAAACCCCCACCCAGACCGGCTTCGGGCGCGACACCTCGAAGTGGCTGCACTCCGCGAACGACATCCCGGTCCGCGCGGCCGCGCCGTCGTCCACGACGTGCCACCACACGAACAGCGCACAGGTGATGCGCCTGCTGTGCCCGACAAACTCGATCCGCGAGAGGCAACGCCGCGCGGGGCTCACGCCGGTGAACCACCACCGACACAACCGCCTCGCGCTGAAGGAGCAGTCCGCGAAGAACGCGGCGAGGAAGGCGGAGCAGCTTAAGGAGGAGGCGACCGCGAAGAAGAACGCGTTCCGGCCGAACAGCTCGCGGGGATCTGTTCGGCCGGCGTCGGCGCGGCCGGGAACCGCGGCGTCCTCCTCCGCCTCCGCCGTCGATCAGTACGGCGTCGATTACGTCTCCATGAACAAGACCGCGGTCGTGAGCGCGGCGGCGCAGCGAGGCGCGGCGCTGAGGAAGAAGCTCGAGGAGCGAGATGCGCTGAAGAACATGACGTGGACAGAGAAGAAGCGGTACCACGTCGGCGAGGTGCCCGGGTATCTCCTCGCGAGAAAGGCGGAGCTCGCGGAGGCGGCGCGCGTGAAACGCGAGATGGAGGAGCGGTCGCACATCCCGGTCGGCATGAGGGTGCTGCCGGAGGAGGAGCGCGTGAAGACGCTTGAGATTTTGCGCGAGAACCGCGAGGACACGTACGAAAAACTGCGAAGCTTGCCGTTCAAGTGCGAGACGCCGTCGTCCAAGCGAACCAAGGCGGCGCTCGAGTTTCGACTCGCGGAGATCGAAGACGCGCAGAAGGTCTTCTCCAGGAACCGCGTTTTGGTGCGCGAGGTGCCGGAGGAGGACGAAGAAGAAGATGCGGGCAGCGCGTCGGATTGATGCGTCCGTCGTGTTGACGATGTGGCGGCGTGATGATGTTGTCGGTTAGCGGGTATCGTAAGTGCTTAGGTGGAGGCGGCGGTGTACATACAGTATCATAATTGCTCAAATGCCAGTCGTCAAACGCGGCGTCGAGTCGTTCCGATCCCGTCCAACGCTCACGCGAACTTCCCGCCGTTCTTCAAGAACGCGACGGCGTACCCCGCGTGCATCGCGACCCCGCGGTGAAGCACGCTCTCGTCTAGGACGTACTTCGTGCTGTGCAGCGCGTGCGTCGCGCCCGCCGACACGTTATACGAACCCAACCACATCATCGCGGACGGCCATCGCTCCGCGAAGAAGGAGAAATCCTCCGCGGGCATCACCGGCTCGACGTCGACGACGGCGTCGGCGCCGAACATCGCCGCGCCGACGCCGGCGGCGAACTTCGCGGCGTCGACGTCGTTCACCGTCGGCGGGTACTCCTCGTGCCTCACGCCGCCGCTCACGGGAAAGTACTCCACGTTGACCGCGCACCCGTGCGCCGTCGCCGTCGACACGACGATCTTCGTGATGGCCTGATGCAGCCACTCGAACGTCTTTTTGGACAACGCGCGAAACGTTCCTCGCAACGTCGCGACGTCGCCCATGACGTTGCTCGCGGCGCCGCCGGCTTGAAACACCGTCACGCTCACCACCGCGCTGTCGAGCGGGTCCACTAACCGGCTCACGATAGTCTGTAACGCGATCACCGCGTTGGCGCCGCAGACGACGACGTCGACGTTTTTGTGCGGCACCGCCGCGTGCCCCCCCGCGCCCGTAAACGCGATCTCGAACGAGCCGCTGCCGGCCATGATCGTCCCGCCTCTCGTGCCCACGACCCCGCTCGGGGTCTCCGGGTACGGCCAGTTATGCAGCGCGAAGGAGCTCTGCGTCGGGGGTCGCAGGTCGTCCAGGCCGTCCTCGAGCATGCGTCTCGCGCCCGCGCCGCCCTCCTCCGCGGGTTGGAACGCGAGTCGCACCGTCCCCGGCGGCAGCGACCCCATCTCAGCCATCTGCGTCAGCACCTTCGCGGCGCCGAGGAGCATGGCGACGTGGCCGTCGTGCCCGCACGCGTGCATGACGCCGTCCCTCGTGCTTCGCATGTTGGGTGGGATGGCGGACTCCTCGCGCATCGGGAGCGCGTCCATGTCCGCGCGGAGGAGGACGACCGGGGACGCGCCGTCGCCGATCGTCGCGACGACGCCCGGAGGGGAGATCTCGACGTGCGACGCGCCGAGGAGGTCGAGCTCGCGCTTGACGAGCGCGGAGGTTTTCGTCTCCGTCCACATCAGCTCCGGGTGCAGGTGGAGCTCTCTGCGGAGCTTGATGACGTACTCCGACGTCGCGCGCGCGAGGTCGTACACGTCGACGAGCGACGCGAGGGCTTCGGCGGACGACGACGACGATCCCTCGGACGTCGGCGCGGCGCACGCGGCGTCGCCCGCGGCGCGGCTCTGCGCGCTCGCGGGCGCGATCGCGGAGACGACGCACGCGAGCGCGAGGAGGAGGGGGCGAGGGAAGGAAACCCGGCGGGAAGAGCGCGCCATCGCGGAGGCCGCGGCGTGGCTCTCGCGCTGGGGCGAATGGAAGAGAGGCGTGTCGGAAGTCTCGTCACGCGAGCAGAGTTGAGGCTCGGCGAGGAAACAATTGCGTGCGCTCGCTTTCCTCCCAACCCTACGGGTACTGTGACTAATTCGCGCTCGAGCACTTCACCCTGACTGTGATCCCCTCGTCCCTGTACGTCCGCAACAGCTCCAGCGCGCTGCTCCGGAGCTTCACCCGTTCGCCCTGGTCCCCCCACGCCTCGATCGCCGTCGCGGCTTCGATGAAAAAATCGATCAAGCCGAGCTTCATCTCGAACAACCTTCGCGCGTCCACGTCGCCTTTCATCCCGATCCTCCGCGCGATCGCGGGCATTCGAAACGCGATGTCGCTGAAGTCCTGGTGCTTCGTCCCTTTCACCTCGACGTCCAGCCACGGCGAGTCCGCGTGCCGCGTGAACGGGCTCAGGTCCGCGTTCCAACGCTCGGAACGCATCACCAACGTCGGCACCGCGTTCGCCGCCGCCGCGCGCAGCGGGTGAAAGGCACACGCCTGGTCCGTTTCATCGTAGATCCCGAACGGATCGATCCACGGGTCGAGAAGCACCGCGCGGGAGATCGTCCCGGGCTTCGCCGCGGCGATGGACGCCAGCACGGACGCGGCGCCGAACGAGTGCCCGGCGGCAACGACGCGCCGGTGATCGATCAAATCCGCGAAGTGCGCGCTCGCGTCGAACGACGACCCGGGGAAGACGTTCTCCGGGATGGTCGCCCTCGTCGCCCTCTTCTTCCCGCGCCCCCCGCCGATGCCCGGGCACAGCGCCGCGATCGCGGCGTGGATCTCTTTCGTACGCACGCCGAGCTGCGTCGTTCGCCATTTGTAGTTCCCGTCCGTGTGACGGTACAACTCGTGCTTCACCTCGCCGGCGCTCTCGTCCACGTGACTCGCGCACGACGCGGAGCCGTCCCTGTGTTCGATCGCGGCGACGAGGTACCCTTGCGACGCCAACGACGTGCAGAGCGCGGCGTACATCGTGCGCGTCCCCGCGAGCCCGTGCGAGAACACGACCAGCGGCATCTTCGTCTCCGACGACGACGACGACTCGGCCTTCTTCTTCTCCGCGGCGACCGCGCGCGACGGCGCGCGGTCCATCGACGCCGGAATCGTGTCCCCCAGCAGCCGTCCGAACGCGTGCGCGAAGACGCAGAATCCTCTCGCGAACGCGCGCTGCCACCACCGTCGGTCCTCGTGCTCCAGGTTGATGATGAAGTGCATGAGGCCGTGCAGGTACGTCGCGTTCGGCATCCAGCACGGCCTGTCTCCGAACGGCGATCGGCGCCATGACGACGGCGGCGCGACGTCGGTGGGGAAGTACAGGCGCATGAGCACGCCCGTCCCCGCGGGCTCGTAGTCTGCCATGGAGACGTGCCGCGGGGACCCGGCCCATCGCGGGTGCGGGGGGATCACCGCGCGCGGGTACGCCATCGGTTGTGACGACGCGCGACGATCGAGGCGCCGCTCTCGTCCTCTCTGAGCTGATGCTGTCACGGTGCCGACCGACGTCTCCCGCCGGCGTCACTTCCGTCGGCGCCGCGGCCGCCTCCGCCGCCGCCTTCGAGATGGCGGAGGAAGAGACGGCGTACGCGTACACGGAGGGCCAGGCGACGCTGCGATCGAGCGCGCACAGGGCGGTGTACAGCAAGACGCGGAAGGACGACCCGGGCCCGCGCGTCGTCGTCGGCGCGCTGCCGTCGCGGCTGCGAGACACCGCGGTGTTCGGCGTTGACGGGCCCGCGCTTCGCGCGTTGCGAGCCGCGGTGGTGAATCTCCTCGATCGCGCGGGGGCGGACGTCGGGTCGTGGCCGGCGTCGGCGTCGGCGTCGTCGTCGTCGGAGCGCGACCTCGAGGACTTCGTCGTCCCCGCGGCGTCGCTCAAGGATCTGAGGGGCTCCGCGCGAGGGAAGAAATTCCCGCGAGGGCCCGCGAACGCGACGCTGGCGGAGCTCGTCGTTCAAGACGCCGCGTTCCTCGCCGCGTTCGACGCGCTCATAGACGACGCGATCTTACCGAACCTCCGCTCGAGGCTCGCGGCGTGCGGCGTGAGCCTCGACGTCGCGGAGGAGACGAGCGCGAAGGACGCCGTGGGCGCGAGCGGAGGAACGATGAGACGGAGACGCGTCGGGTACGTTCAGCGCCCGCCCACGCTGCGGATCCAACCGGGGCCCTCCACGCGGTACGTCCGCCCGCACAGCGACGACGAGTACGGGCACCAGGACGGGGAGATTAACTTTTGGATGCCGTTCACGTCGTCGCAGAGGACGCGGACGACGCTGTGGGTGGAGAGCGAGAGAGGGAGAGAGGACTACGCAGAGACGGGCGTCGACGCGGGCGAGTGCGCGGCGTTTCACGGGACGTCGAAGCGACATATGGTGCCGGCGAACGAGAGCGCGTGCACGAGAGTGAGCTTGGACTTCCGGATCGGGGTGGAGGGGTTTTACGACCCGAAGTGGGTGATGCGGGGGACGAAAGCGGACCACGACCGCAGAGAGGTTTCGCTGTGACCGACGCACGCGTCGAACGACGGTTTCAGAACGCGAGTCGCGCCGCAATTTTTCCGCTCTCCGCTTATACTCGTACAACAGCCAAAGCGCAACAGATAGAACTAGTTGTAGCAGCAAACAAATACACAGGCTTCAAACAATAACCGGGGGCCTCGTCCCGAGTCCCGCTATGGGCGTCTTTCGCCCTCCCCAGCCTTTTATTATCCTCCTCAAATCGACTCGACTCGACTCACCGCGCCCCGAGCGCCGGGTGCACGGACGACGGCGCGTTCCACATCGACGCCGTGTCCAACCTCGTCGGCTTCCTCTCCGTCTCCACCCTCTCGGGGTAGTCGACGTTGTAGTGCAACCCCCTGGACTCTTTCCTGGACGCCGCGCAACGCAGCGTGCAGAGACCGACGGTGAGGAGGTTCCTGAGTTCAATCGACGCGAGGCGCGCGTCCGCGCCGCGAGACTTTTCCTCGCACTCCTCCAACATCGACTCCATCTTCGTCGTCGCCTCCTTCAGAGTCTCCGTGTCGCGGACGATGCCCGCGGCGTTCCACATGACCCTCTGCACCTCCGCGCGCATCGCGGACGTCCATTCCGGGGGCTCGTCGAACGCCGCGATCTCGTCCACGTCTTTCTTCGCGGCGTTCATTCGCAGCGCCGCGCGCTTCCTCGCCGCCTCCGCCGCCTGCTCGAACACGGGCTCGAGCGCGTCGCGCCCGGCGAATCTCACCCCGGACGCCTTGACCGCCCTGTTCGCGAACACGACCGCCTCTAACAGCGAGTTCGACGCGAGGCGGTTCGCGCCGTGGACGCCCGTGCACGCCGTCTCGCCGCACGCGAACAAACCTTCCACGGAGGTCTGGCCGTTCAAGTCCGTGGACACGCCGCCGCAGAGGTAATGCGCGGCGGGCACCACGGGGATCTTGTCCGACGTCATGTCCACGCCGCGCTCCGCGAGCTCCGCGGCGATCCCGGGGAAGTTCTTCAGGACGTCGTCCGCGGGAAGGTGCGCGACGCTGAGGTACACGCACGCCGCCTCGTACCCAGCCTCGCGCGCGGACTTGATCTCGCAGTCGATGGCGCGCGCGACGACGTCGCGCGGCGCGAGCTCCAGCCGCTCGTCGTACCGCTCCATGAACCGCTCGCCCGCGGCGTTGAACAGCCGACCGCCGTGGCCTCGCACCGCCTCGGTGACGAGGAACGCGTTCTCGTTCTCGCTCCGCTTCGCCGCGCCGCCCGGGCCGGTGTACAACGACGTCGGGTGGAACTGATAAAACTCCATGTTGGCCACGTCGGCGCGCGCGCGCACCGCCATCGCCACGCCGTCTCCCGTGGACACCCCCGGGTTGGTCGTGCTCGGGAAGAGCTGCCCAGCGCCGCCGCTCGCGAGCATCGTCGCGCAGGAGATGAAGCTCGTCCTCGCGCCGCTCCTGCGGTCGATGATCTCCGCGCCGACGCACTTGAACGACCCGTCTCTCGTCTCCGCCGTGATCAAATCCGTCGCGACGTGAAACTCGTAAAACGTCACGCGCGGGTGCGCCCTCGCGCTCTCCAACAGCGCGCGCTCGATCTCCTTCCCGGTCATGTCCGCCGCGTGCACGATCCTGTGCTTCGAGTGGCCGCCCTCGCGCGCGAGGTGTAGGTCGCCCGTCTGCTCGTTCATCGTGAATTTCGTTCCGAATTCGATGAGCTTCTCGATGGCATCCTTGCCCTCGTCGCAGACGACTTTTACCGCGTCTTCGTCGCAGAGGTGATCCCCCGCGACTTGCGTGTCCCTGACGTGCTCCTCCACGGTGTCGTCCAACGAGATGACCGCGCTGATCCCGCCCTGGGCGTAGTGCGTGCTGCCCATGTACGCGACGTCCTTCGTGACGATGGCGACGTCGCCGAGCTCCGCGGCTTCGAGCGCGTACGTGAGACCGGCGATGCCGGATCCGATCACGAGAAAGTCCACGCGATTCGGCGGCGCCGCGTCCGCGCCGCGGGCGTCGGCGTCGCGCGCGTCGCGCTCGATCTCGCGATCGACGTCGGTGGCGATGACCGCGCGGACGGCGGTGTCGCGCCGCGCCGCCGACCGGAGCTTCGACGCGCGGGTTCGCGCGCGCGGGATCGGCGCGCCGCGGATCGACCTCGAAGCGGCGGCGTAGTGGGGGCGCGTGGGCTCGCGTCGGCTCGAAGAGTCGCGCGGGGATCCACCGCGCGCCGGGGCGCGCGCGAACGCCGCGGCGACGCTCGAGGACGCCGCCATCATCCTTTGTGCTGCTAACGCGAGACGTGCGACCGGTTCACGCGGTCGTTATCGCCTCGGAAGCGCTCGCCGCGGGGGGATGACGTCGCCGTGGAAAGATGCTACGACACGCCTTCGACGTCGATTATCTTCCGCAGTCAATCCGCGCGGCTCGACTCCGACGCGACCCGCCTGCCCGCGTCGCGCGCGCGATCGATCGAGACGAGCGATTCGTCGTTCACCGTGGGTCGCACGTCCCCGCGACCGCAAATCCCGGCACTCGCACACGGCGAGAGGTGACCTCCGCGCGGTGCTATGAGCCGCCTCGCCTCCCGCGACGAAGGAGGGAGGGGTTGGAAAAAGGACCTCCCGAAATAAATATCGCGAAGCGCTCCTCGACCACAATTTCGTGATCCAGATCGTAGGGGCAGTTAGTTCGCGGTACGCGTACGTGTACACCGTGTACACGGTGGCGAAAAATACGTTCAAAAGGCAGCCCCCGAACCGAAAAGCGCTCACCGGTCGATCAAAATCACATCGCGCGGGGCGGAGGACGGCGCCGCCTCCCCCCCGCGTCGTCGCCATGCACAAGCACCTCGCGCGCGGGAGCGAGGCGATCACCTTATATCGCAGGTTCATCGAGCTCGCGCGGATGTTCCCGGATCCGTGCGGGAGGCACTACCTGTTCAACCGCGTCGCGCACGTGTTCCGACGCCACCGCGGGGAGACGTCCCCGGACGCGGTAGGCAAACACCTCAGCGCGGGCAGGCAGTACGTCCGGAAACTTCGCAGGGCGCTGACGAACAAGGAGGACTACGAGTACGTGTTGAGGCACTCCTACGGCGTCACCGGGCGGTTCAAGCATTTGCTGCACCGCGCGGAGATCGAGGCGAGATCGCCCCCGAAGACGTCGCGGCTGCCGACGACGCTGCCGCCGCTCCCGGGCCCCGCGAAGGAACGGTTCACGCTCGCGGAGTTGAACAGGATACTCGCCGAGGAGGAGGACGGCGTCGCGCCGAGCCCAGAGATTGCGAACTCGGTGAAGACGCAGCTCGCGGTGTTGAGGGCGTTGGTGCCGCGCGCGTGGGCGCGACGGGCGAAGTTTCAACCGGAGGGCGGGAACGCCGGCGGCGGCATCTCGGGGTGGTTCGAACGCGCGACCGGAGGCGACGCGGGCCCCGGGAGCGAAAGGGACGCGAGCGGCGGCGGCGAGAGCTCGAGCAGCGCGGGCGGCGTCGTGCTCAGCTCGGCGACCGCGCCGAGGCCGTGGGAGATCGAAGGCGAAGACGACGTCGAGATCGGCGGCGCCGCGGAGGGCGGAGAGGAGGGAGGAAGAAGAGGTCGGTCGCCCGTCGCGTACTTCGACGGCGATTCCGTCTCGGACTGGGAGGTGAACCATCTCGCGCTGATCACGACGACGTTCACGCCGGATATCAAGAGAAGAGTCGACGAAGGCGTCGGGATGATCCGGAGTTGGAAGAGGTTTTACAAGCTCACTTTGAGCGGCGGCGGCGGCGTGAAGAAGAGGATAAAGCCCGCGAAGAAACCTCCCGCCGGGGAGGAGGAGCGCACGCCTCGAACGGTGACGTTCGCGCCGAAGAAGAAGCTCAGGATATCCGGGATACCCGCTTCTTGGAGCGACGCCGCGAACGACGACGACGACGCGGAGGACGCTTCGTCGAAGAGAGTCGTTTTGACCTTCGGCGACGCCGTCGTCGACGAGATCGAGACGGGCGTTTGACTCGCGGCCGCGAGTCGTCTCGGCGTCGAAACACGCACCGTAGCATCGTAGTAAGTAAGGTATTAAATAGCGATTCCTCCGACGCGCGCGCGCGAGTTGAATTCAATTCTTTCGACGCCGACGCCGACGCCGACGCTCCCTCATCACTCGATCCCCAGGCGAAGCGTCACCGCGAGCCTGTGCGCCTCCAACCCCTCCACCGCGGCCATCGTCGCGACGGACGGGCCGAGGACGTCCAACCCCTCCTTCGTGAGCTCCTGGACGGTCATGTACTTCACGAACGAGTCCAAGCTCACGCCGCTGTACATCCGCGAGTACCCGTACGTCGGCAACACGTGGTTCGTCCCGCTCGCGTAGTCGCCGACGCTCTCGGGGGTGTACCGCCCCAAGAAGATCGACCCGGCGTTGTCCAAATCCGGGAGCAGCGCCTCCGCGTTTTCCACGTTCACGATGAGATGCTCCGGGGCGTAGGAGTTGCTAAACGCGCACGCCGCCGCGAGATCGTCCACGACGACCGCGTACGAGTGCGTCAGCGCCTTCGCGGTGATCTCCGCTCTGGGCAGCGCTGCGGCTTGTTTGGACACCGCGGCGCAGATGCCGTCGAGGTCGACGTCCGGGGTCACGACGAGGACAACCTGCGAGTCCGGCCCGTGTTCGGCCTGCGACAACAAGTCCGCGGCGACGTGGTCGTGGTTAGCGTCCTTGTCGCACATCACGAGCACCTCGGACGGCCCCGCGGGCATGTCGATGGACACCATCGCCTCGCTGTTCTGCAGCGTCATCTTCGCCGCGGTGACGAATTGATTCCCGGGTCCGAAGATCTTATCCACCTTGGGGCACGTCTCCGTGCCGTGGCCCATCGCGGCCACGGCCTGCGCGCCGCCGGCTTTCAAGATGTGCGTCACCCCCGCTTTCTTCGCGACGTACAAAACCTCCGGGACGATCTCCCCGTTCTTCATCGGCGGCGTCGCGAGGACGATGGATTTACACCCGGCGATGGCCGCCGGCACCGCGAGCATCAACGCCGTGGACGGCAGCACCGCGGTCCCACCGGGGACGTACAGACCGACGGCGCCGATCGGCCGCGACACTCTGCGGCACCGCACCCCCGGCATCGTCTCCACGTCCACGTCCGCGAGCTCTTTCTGCGCGGCGTGGAACTTGTGAATGTTCTCGTACGCGACGTCGAACGCGGCGCGCACGTCGTCCTCGAGAACCGGGTCCGGGAGGTCGCTCACGCGCACGACGACGTCCTCGAGGTCGACGCCGTCGAACTTGGACGTGTACTCTCGCACCGCGTCATCGCCTCTCGTCGCGACCGCGTCCACGATCGGCGCGACCGTGCCGAGGATGGAGGAGAAGTCCACGCGCGGGCGCTTCAAGATCTCGACCCGCTCCTCCGCGGAGAGGTCGTTCAGGACGTACGTGCGGATGCTCATCGCCTCCTTCGCCGGGTCCGCGATCGCGGCGTTGACGAGGAGGGTGGATCTGCCGGGGGCGGCGGCGGCGCGACGCGCGGCGGCGACGCGGCGGACGCCGGCGACCTTGCGCGCGGCGGCGGAGGACGCCCCGCCGAGGGACGACGACGACGACGATCCGCGTCCGCGCGCGGCGGCGGAGGACGACGCGGTCGCGGACGCCGCGCGCGCGAGCGAGGTCATGCGTGAGCGCGGGCGCGGCTTCGATGCGAAGCTCGCGGCGTCGGTGAAGACGAGCGAGACGAGCGCGTCGGCGTCTCTTCGGACTCCGCGGGCTCTCGCGAGGGAGAGGTCGCCGCAATCGACTGTGACGTGTTCCCGCGGGGCGCAGCGCAGCGGACTCTCTCCGAGATCAGAGCCGAGATCGTACTCGTACTCGTATGCGTTCTCAGTCACCGCGCGACGAGATGCGCTCGTACAAACGTGATTGCAATCGGCGATCTCTGAATGCAGCGCTGTGATTGGCCGAGATTCGGCTCGGGCGCGGTGGAAAGGGCGACTGCGCCCTCCTTCGCGCGCCCCTCCCTCTACTTCCGCGAGCGCGCGCGCCTCAGCCGTCGCGCCACACCCCTCGCGTCCACCACGATGGCGTCCATGTCATGCATGGCGGGCACGCCGCTCGCCGCGCGCGCGCGCGCGTCCGTCGCGAAGACGGGAAAACGCGCGTCTCGAGGGTCGCTCGTCATCCGCGCGAGCGCGGAGACCGACGCCGCCGCCGCGCTCGTCGAGCGCGGGTACCCGTTCGTGAAGATCGTCGGCCAGGACGAGCTCAAGCTCGCGCTCACGCTCAACGTCGTGGACTCCAAAATCGGAGGCTGCCTCATCATGGGCGACCGCGGCACCGCCAAGTCCGTCGCCGTGCGCGCGCTATCCGATCTCCTCCCGGACATCGACATCGTCCCCGGGGATCCGTTCAACTCGTCGCCGACGGATCCCGAGCTGATGGGCCCGGAAGTCTTAGAAAAGTTCAGGGCGAAGGAAGACATCCCCACGGGAGCGATGAAGATCCCCATGGTCGAGGTCCCGCTCGGGACGACGGAGGACCGCATCTGCGGCACCATCGACATCGAAAAGGCGCTCGCGGAGGGCGTCAAGGCGTACGACCCCGGCCTCCTCGCGCGCGCGAACCGCGGGCTTCTGTACATCGACGAGGTGAACCTTCTGGACGACTCGCTCGTGGACGTCGTCCTCGACTCCGCCGCGGGCGGGTGGAACACGGTCGAGCGCGAGGGGATCTCGATCACGCACCCGGCGAAGTTCATCATGATCGGCTCGGGGAACCCCGAGGAGGGCGAGCTCCGGCCGCAGCTCCTCGATCGGTTCGGGATGGCGTGCAACGTGAGGACGATCTTCGATCGCGAGCTTCGCGTGCAGCTCGTGAAGAACCGCATGGAGTTCGAGGAGGACCCGGAGGGGTTCGTGAAGTCGTGCGAGGAGGAGACGAACGAGCTCAAGACGAAGATCGCGGCGGCGCAGAAGCTCTTGAAGGAGGTCAAGATGGAGAGAGATTTGGCCATCAAAATCTCCGGCGTGTGCGCGCTCGTGGACGTGGACGGTCTGCGAGGCGACATCGTCGTCACGAGAGCCGCGAAGGCGCTCGTCGCGTACGAGAGGAGGACTGAGGTCACGGAGGACGACATCAAGCGCGTGATCGGGCCGTGCTTATCGCACCGTTTGAGGAAGGACCCCATGGACACGATGGACGGGTCTTTCAAGGTCATGCTCGGGTTTAACAAGATCTTCAAGGGGAGCGCGATGGCGGACTTCGCGGGCGCGATGGCGGAGGGCATCGAGGATCCGGAGGCGAAGGCGAAGGAGGAGGAGAAGGCGAAGGCCGATCCCGCGCCGAAGAAGGCGGGCGCGTGGGGTGGTCTCCCGGGCGGGAGGTGAGCGGCGCGCGCGAATCGTCGCGAAACGCGCTGTTTTTGTGAGCGAGTGAAAATACGACTTGCATCTCATTCATAACGAAACCAACGCGTCGCTTCTTCACTTCGTCCCCGGGGACTCTTTAATGAACGGGTGCGTCAGAGCCTGCGACACCGTGAGGCGCTTCTCCGGATCGAAGTTGAACATCTTGTCCAGCATGTCCGCGAGCTGCGACACTTTCCTTCGCTCCGCCTCTCCTAAATTTCTATCGTGCGCGGCGAGCGTCACAGCGACGTCCTTCGTCGGCTTCGCGTCTCGTATCAACCGCCTAATCTGCCGGTTCGTCACCGGGTCTTCCTCCACGAGCGAGAACATCCCGTCGTTGTCGTAGTGGTTCTCCCGGAACGCGGCCTTCCGGAGTAACTTCCTCGGCACCGGGCCTTTCACCTCGATGAACTTCATCATCATCTCGTTGTTCGAGCGTCCTTGAAACGCGATCGCGCCGGTGTAGAGCTCGTATAGACAGCACCCGATGCTCCACAGGTCCATCGGGTGCGAGTACGGCAGGCCTAGGATAACCTCCGGGGCGCGGTAAAAACGCGATTGGAGATACGGCGTGATCTCGTTGTCGCCGTCGAACATCGCGCTGCCAAAGTCGCAAATCTTGATGACGTTGTGCGACTTGTTCACCAGGATGTTATCCGGCTTGATGTCCGCGTGCACGACGCCGCAGTTCTTCAAGTGCTTCAGGGCGACGAGCATCTGCGTCGCGAACGACCGCACGCCGTGGACGTTGATACCGACGTTCCGTCCGTACTTCTTCAGGACCTCTCTGAGGTTCATGTGCATGGATTCGAACACCATGAAGACGTGGTCGCGAAATTCAAAGTGTCGCAAAAACTTCACGCAGTGACGCTTGTTCTCCGGGTCCGTGCCGCACAGCTTCCTGAGCACGGTCATCTCCAGCTGCGCAGCCTTGTACATCGTCTCGTTCGCGCGGATCACCTTGATCGCGACCTCGGAGTATTGCCCCTCGCCGACGACGTCTCCGTCCTCGCCGGTCGACGGCTCCGCCTTGAGATCTTTCGCTTTCACGACGGTGCTGAACACGCCTCTCCCGCTCGTCTCCATGACCCTGTACCGCTCGTCGAGAACCTCGCCCATGCGCGCGCGGTAGTACCCCTCCGCGTCGTCCCAGTTATCGCTCAGCCCCGCGGTCATGTCCGCGGCGCCGGAGGTCCCGACCACCCCGCCGCCGCCGCCGCCGCCGCGCGCCTCCCTCGCCGCGGCTTTATCCTCCGCCTCGTCGTCGAACAGATCCGCGTCGTCCGCGAACATGTCCGGCGCGCCGTCGGAGGACTCCTCCTTCTTCTCCGGGCTCGGCACTCTCGGCGTCGGCGCGGGGACGGGCGCGGGGACAGGCGGCGCGGGGACAGGCGGCGCGGGGACAGGCGGCGCGGGCGCGGCCGGCGCGGGCGCGGTGGACGCCGCGTGCTTCCTCATGATCTCCTCGCGGCGTTTTCTTCGCTCCTCCGCGAGCCTCGCGACGCGCGTCTCCTCGTCCTCCTCCGCCGCCTCCAGCGCCGCGGCGACGCGCGCTTGGTACGCCGCCTCCTGCTCCATCGTCATCTTCTCCTCGACGATGCCGGTCTCCGGCGGCGTCCCCTCCCGCGCGGGAGCGGGTTGGGCGGGTTCCCGCTCGCGCTCGCGCTCGCGGCCGCGACGATCGCCGTCGCGGCGCCGATCTCGATCTCGGGGCCGTTCTATACAAGCGAAAGTCGGGGTGGAGTTGAAAGGCGTCAGTTGGAGTTGAAAGGCGCCGAGGGCGGGGATTGAAAGCGAGGGGTGGGCGGAGAGACACGCCGGGAAAAGTCCTTAAGGATCGGCGTTCACCACGCCAACGCGGTCATATGGGGACTAGTGTATAGAACGCACCTCGATCTCGATCTCGGTCTCGATCCCGATCTCGGTCGTCGTCCCTCCGCGCCTCGTTCCCGCCGCGCTTGACGACGACCACCTTGCGCGCGGTCCCGGGCTTGTGGCTGTCCCGCGGGTCTTGCTCGCGCGGCTTCTCTCGTCCTCGCTCCCCGCCGCGGGCGCTGTCGCGGGGGTCCGCGCGGCGGTCGCGGTCGCGGTCGCGATCTCCGGGATCTCGCCGCTCGCGGTCCCTCCGATCCCGGTCGCGGTCCCGGCTGTCCCCGCGCCGTCGATCGCGGTCGCGGTCTCTGTCCCTGTCCCTGTCTCTTTCCCTGTCCCTGTCTCTGTCCCTGTCTCTGTCTCTGTCTCTGTCGTCGTCGCGGTAGGACGACGGATCGTCCATCCGCGCCGCGCGTTTGCTCTGATGCCGCGGGGGGGATCCGCTCCGGCTTCGTCCGCGCCGCTTGCCCGCGACGTCGGTCGCGGGCGCGGGCGCGGGCGCGGCCACGATCTCGCCCTCTTCGTCCGACGTGTCGTGGTACGACATCGCGCGCGATCCGACCTCGTCGTGCACCCCCGCGCGCGCGCGCCTCCGTCCAATGCGGATTCGCCCTTTCTCGATCGCGCGTTCGACGAAAATTCGACACTCTTCTGTTCGAGTGACCTCCGCTTTCCTTTCAGTCATCGTCGCGCGTCGAGATGGGCGCTCCAGGACCGCCGTACCAGGTGTTCGTAGGGAACGTCCCGTACGATGCCACCGAGGAGAGACTCGCGGACATCTTCTCCGAGGTCGGCCCCGTGCATCAGTTCAGGCGCGTCTCGAGACGCGTCCCGTCGCGCCTCGAGGATCGCGCGCGCGTTTTTCCTTCACGAGAGAGATCCTTCCCTCCTCCGCCCGTCGAAATCCATCCAACTCGCGCCACCTCTCCGCCTCTTATCGTCGCAGGCTCGTGACCGATCGCGATACGGGCAAGCTCAAAGGCTACGGCTTCGCGGAGTTCATGGACCTCGCGACCGCGCAGTCCGCGAAGAGAAACTTGAACGGCAGGGACTACAACGGACGCGCGCTGCGCGTGGAATTCCAGGACGGCGAGGACGGCGCCCCACCCGCGAAGAAGCCCGATCGCGGCGCCCCCCCCGCGACCGCGGTGGGGTACGACGCCCCCCTCGGCGCGGCACACACCGCGGGCGCCGCGGCGCAGATCGCCGCGAGCGGCGTCGCCGCCGGCTCGGGATTGGACGCCATCACCGCGCGCATCGCGGAGATGTCCCCCGCGCAGCTCTTCAACGTGTTCAACCAGCTCAAGGCGCAGATCCAGGTGCGTTCTATGCACTGGTCCCCATACGACCGCGTTCGCGTGGTGAACGCCGTTTCTTAAGGACTTTTCCCGGCGCATCTCTCGGCCTACCCCTCGCTTTCAATCCCCGTCCTCGACGCCTTTCAACGCCAACTGACGCCTTTCAACTCCACCCCGACGATCCAGTCGAACCAGTCGCAGACGCGGCAGATGCTCGTGCAGAACCCGCAGCTCACGTTCGCGCTGTTTCAGGCGCAGCTCACGCTCGGGATGGCGAAGCCGCCCGTCGGACCGGGGCACGACTTCAGCGCGAGGCAGGCGATGGCGCATCCGCAGGCGCCCGGGATGCGTCCGGGACCGCCGGGGCCGCCGCCGGGGCCGCCGGGGATGCGTCCCGGCGGGATCGCGCCTCTGCCGCCTCCGGGCCCTCCGGGGATGATGCATCAGCAGCAGTACGGCGTGCCTCCGCCTCCGCCGCAAGGGTACGGCGGCCAGGGGCCGGGGATGATGCCCCCCGGGCCGCCGCCGGGCGCCGGGCCGCCGCCGCCGCCGCCGGGACCGGGCGGGATGGGGATGGGGATGGGGATGGGGATGGGGATGGGGATGGGGATGGGACCGGCGGGAACGGACGCGGGCGGCGGCGTCGATCAGCAGCAGGCGCTGCTGCAGCAGGTGATGTCCATGACCCCGGATCAAGTCGCGCTTCTGCCGCCGGATCAGAGGCAGCAGGTGGAGATGTTGAGGCAGCTCGCGGGGGCGCAATGAGCGAGGGCGGTGATCGTGAAAGGTGCGCGCGCGGGTGCACGCGGTTGGTTTCGTTTTTTTTCAGTTTCTTTTCGCGCGCGACGCGATGGAGGTTGATGAAAACAACAGACAATATTGCACAAGCTCCATATTATCTACGGACGTGATTTGTTTGTTTAAACTCTGACTCTGCTCGACGCCACGTGCTCGCGTGCGTCACCTCACACGCGCGAAACGCTGACGTTTTCCTCTCAACCTCACGCAGGCGGAACGTGTCTGTGTTGAAATCTCGAATTCGTTCGTTCATAAAACGCTCCTCTACGCTAATACGCGACGACGCTTCATCGTCTCTCACAACATCAAATGTTCGAGCACGAAATTCTCAGACACGAGCAAGCGACCCAGCCGCGCAGAGACCACGAGCTTTCGACCGCCTTCCAACCGCACCGGTTGAACGACATACCCCGGCCAAAGACTCGCCCCTCCCCCCCCCGGCTCGCAGCATTTTTCTTCTCCTTTTCGGGGGTGCTCCTCGTACTCGACAATGACGTACGTCCCCGCTGGGTACTCGCCGTAAACGTCGACGAAGCGACAGGGAACATGCATGTACCGCCCCCTGAGCGTCTTGCCGCCCGGAATCTCCCCGCGCATCTCCCATTCCAGCCGTCCGTCGTCGTCGGTCTCGTCCCTCGGCGGCGGGCGCTCGTCCCTCCGTTCCTCGCGAGTAGTCTTCGTCCCTCCGAACGTGGCGTCGAACGCCGCGGCTTGGCGCTTCTTCCGGCGCAGAATCCGGCCCGCGTCCGCGTACCTCTCTCCCTCGACCGCCGCGCGTTCCGGTCGACGCGCCCGCACCACCACGGGAACGTCTAAATCCGGGCGCGTGAAGTACGGGTGCTTCAACGCCCGTCGCGCGGTGATCCTCTTGGACGGATCCAACGCCATGAGCCGCCACAACAGATCCGCGGCGCACGCGCCGATGTTCGGAAACACCGTGCTCAACGGCGCGGGCGTCCACTTCGGATACGCGTCCGGGGACCACCCTCGGTACGACATCGCGTCCGGCCACGTCTCCTCCGTCGGCGTCCCGAACAATTTGAACACGCACAGGAGCTGGTCTAGCGTCTGCGCGCCGTCCGCGTAGGCAAACTTATTGAACAGCGAGTGGCCCAGGAGTAACTCCGCGAAGACGCACCCGGCGGCCCACACGTCGACGCCGGTCCCGTACTTCGCCCCGCGGCGATCGTCGACGACGTTACCGTCCTCGTCCTCGAGCTCGTCCTCGTCCTCGTCCGCGTCTCGGTGGAGGAGGCCCTCGGGGGCGACGTAATACGGCACCGTGCACGTCCGCAGCGGCGACTGGTTCCCGACCGGCCACTGGTTCTTTCGCGAGGACGCCCAGGACGCGATGACCGCTCGCCCCTCGCCGTCATTCGCGCGCGGGTCGAGGAGCACGTGTCCAGCGTGGAGGTTTCGGTGGCAGATCCCTCGGGAGTGCGCGTAGTCGAGCCCCTCCAAGACTTGCCTGAACACGCTCCGCGCGCGTTCGGGTAACAATCGGCCATCCGTCTGGTCGATCCACTCCACGGGCGGGCGGCAGCTCGCCGCGTGCTCGGCGTCGCACGATCGCGTCCACTGCGCGCGCATGTTTACAGGGTAGTACGGGTGCACGAGCAGCAGCTTCGCGGCCTCGTCTTCTCTCTTCCGGCGCTCGCGCTCCTCGTCGGAGTCGTTCTCCCAGTTTTCGTTTTCGTCGTTTTCGTCGTCGCGCGGGAACAGAAGTTTCCCGGTGACCGTCACCGCCTTCGTCAGCGGCGTCACCGCGGTCCCTCCCTCGAGCGCTTTCAAGTTCGATACCTCTCGCAACTTCCTGCACATGAACCCCTCGTCCGGGCTCTCCTGGAACGGCAGCACCTTCACGGCGACGTCTTCGAAGGTGAGGACGTCGCGACAAAACCACATCCTCGACCGATGCGTCCTCCGCGGCTCGCACACCTCCCTCGCGTCGAAGGACGTGTAGTCCGCCATGTCCGCGTGGTTCGTCAGCTTCTGCCCTTTCGTTAACGACGGGTACGAGAACCCGCCGTACACCGGAAGCCCGGGCGAATCGTTGTCGCACACGTTCAGACCGAGCGTCGGCAGCGGCGATATGAATTTGTACCTTCGAAGCGGGTCGTCGCGGAGTTTCACGAACGTCCCCATGCCATGGTCGTCGTCCGCGCCCTCCTTGTCGAGCGCGTTCACGACGTCAGGGTCGGGCTCGAGACGGAGGGATAGCGCGCGGAACACCGTTCGCGACGCGCCCGCGCGCGCGAGGGCTTTGCACGCGCGCATCGCGCGCGCGATGTCCGCCGGCGCTAACAAACTCAAGATTCGCGAGTGACAGTCCTCGTCCAAGTCCAGGAATGTCGTCCTCGGCGCGGGCGGAGGAGGAGCCGCGCTCGTGGCCCAGCCGGAGAGCCGCCCGGAGCGCGTGCGCGTGCGCTTCCGCGGGCGCTCATCCTCGATCGAGCTCATCCCTGCGACCGACGCCGGGGAGATCTGGGGAGAGGCGCGCCTGAATTTCATATTTGACTCGCGTTTCCCGCCCAGCCAGCCAGCCCTTCACTGACGACCTGATACCTGACGGCCCGTGTCTGCCGACGACGCCCCGATCCGGGCCGCATCAGCCACAGCGCGACGGTCGAAGCGCGTGAACGAGCGGCGCGCGGGCGTGTAAGACGCGACAGGTTCGCGGCGTGATCTCCTCCGCGCGCGGTCGGTCGGGTTCCTCCGCGAGCGTCACCGCGTCGCCGCCGTCGTCGCGCGAGGACTTCGGCGGGGACGGGCGTGGATCGATCGATCGCCTCCAGTCCGCAGGGTTTCGCGCCGCGCGGGGGCATCAGGAGGATGAGCGGGATGGAAGTCGCCGGGCCGACGTCGGCGCTGACGGAGACGGTACGTCGACGTCCTCTGTCAACGCGCGATCGACGCGGGTCGCGGCGGGGGCGCGTCCTTCGCTCCGTCGCGCCCGACGCGCGTTCGATCGCGCTTCTCCGCGCGTCGTCGTCGCGCCCCCGATCCTCCGCCGACTTTCCAATCCGATCGATCATTTTTCGCACCGCGGCGCCCCCGTCCTCCCTCCCGTCTCATCGTCCTCGCCCCCTCCTTTGACTTCCCCTCCTCGCCCAGGGCGTCGATGCTCGGTCCGTGAACGTCGCCGGGACGACGAAGATCGAGCTCGAGACGCAGACGCACGCGGTCGGGATCATCCAACCGCCCCCGGACGTCAAGGCGATCGTGGACAAGACCGCGCAGTTTGTCGCGCGGAACGGCCCGGAGTTCGAGCAGAGAATCTTAGGCAGCGAGAAGAACAACGCGAAGTTTAACTTCCTGTTACCGAACGACCCGTACAACGCGTTTTATAAATCTCGAATCGCGGCGTTCAAGGAGGAAGCCGCGGGCGGAGACGCGGCGTCCGTCGCGGCGAAAGCCGAGGCGGCGGCGAAAGAGGCGCAGGAGAAGAGCGGCGTCGCCGTCGTCGCGGGCACGGGGGCGGCCGCGCCGAAGGTGTTGGTCGCCCCGAAGAAGGAGGAGTACACCGTGCACGTCCCGCTCGGGATCACGAGCTTGGACTTGGACGTCATCAAGCTCACGGCGCAGTTCGTGGCGAGGAACGGGAAGAGCTTCTTGACCGGGCTGACGTCGCGCGAGCACTCGAACCCGCAGTTTAACTTTTTGAAGCCGACGCACTCGATGTTCACGTTCTTCACGTCCCTCGCGGACGCGTACTCGAAGGTGCTCATGCCGCCGACGCACGTCGCGGAGCAGCTGAGCAAGGACGAGGACAAGAGCGCGCTGTTAGAACGCGCGTTGCAACGGTTGGAGTGGGAGCGGTCGCGCGACGCGGCCAAGGCGGCGGCGGACGACGAGATCGAGAAGGAACGCGAGGCGATGGCGTTGATCGACTGGCACGAGTTCGTCGTCGTGGAGACGATCGATTTCGACGACGACGAGGACGAGGACCTCCCGATGCCGCTCACGGTGACGGAGATCATGTCTCAGCTCCGGGACGCGGATCTCGGCGGCGGCGTCGACGGCGGCGACGGCGACGTCGGCGTCTCCGGCGCGGAGGACGCGGGCGACGGCGAGACGATGGACATGGACGAGGACGAGAAGGCGATGATCGCGGAGGGCGTCGCCGCAGGCGCGGCGACCGCCGCCGCCGCGCCTACGGTCGGGTTATCCGCCCCGGAGCCGTCGATGAAGATCGTGAGGAACTACAAAAAACCCGAGGTGCTCGCCGCGGAGGCGAAGGCGCGAGGGACGGGCGCCGGCGCGGACGCGACGAAGTTCGCGGTGTCGCCCATCACGGGCGAGCTCGTCGCCGTGGAGGACATGGCGGAGCACATGAGGATATCCCTCATCGATCCGAAGTGGAAGACGCAGAAAGAGGCGATGCTCGCGAAGTTGAGGGACAGCACGATGGCGAACGACGAGGAAGTCGCGACGAACATTTTGATGCTCGCGCGGACGCGGCCGGACGTCTTCGGAACGACGGACGAGGAGGTTTCCAACGCCATCAAGGACAGCATCGACGCGAAGAAGAAGGCCGTCCCCAAGGTGCCCGCGGCGGGGGCTCTGAAGGCTGCGGGAGGCGGCGGCGGCGGCGGCGGCGCGCTGCCGGCGGTGCCTCCTCCCCCGCCGCCGCCCGCGTTCGCGGTCCCGCCGCCGCCGGCGATCCCGGCCGCCGCGGCGGCGCCGCCGCCTCCCGCGCCGACGGGCCCGTCGCTGAAACCCGCGCCCGCGGGTCTTCCCCCCGCGCCGACGATCGTGCCGCAGGTGCCGGTGCCGATGCCCGCGCCCGCGGGAGCGCTGCGGCCGCTCGGGGCGCCGCCGCCGCCGGTCGCGCCCGCGCCCATGGCGCCCGTGGCGCCTCCGGCGCCGCCGCCCATCGCCGACGCCGAAGAGGAGCCCGCGACGAAGAAGAGGAAAATCGGCGAGGTCGAGCTCGACGCGGAGGAGGACTTCCTCGCGGCGAACCCCGGCGGCGGCGTCGTCAACGTGAAGCTCCCGTCCGTGGACGGGGACGAGCACTTGAACGGGAACGTCATCGCGCTCACCGTGGACGCGCTGTCGATGCCGCTGTCCGAGTTTAAGAAGCTCATCAAGGAAGCGGTCGGGGGGCTCGCGGCGAATAAGCAGAAGATCAGCGCCCCGGGGTTGGGGTTCTTGACGGATAAAAACTCTCTCGCGTATTACAACGTCAAGGCAGGCTCGACGCTGACGCTCGCGTTGAAGGAGCGCGGCGGGAGGAAGAAGTGAGTGAAGCGCGGCGACGTCGGTCTCTTTGAAACAAAAAACAATCTATGTAGAGACGCGAAACATCTCTCGCGCGCGCAAAAGACGTCGTCAAAACGCGGTGCCGCTTTTCCCGCGGTTGTCGAACTGCCGCATTCCCGGCCTCGCGAACCCGGGGAAGCCGTCGCCGCCGAAATCGCCGCACCGTTCCCTCATCTCCGCCTCTTTCTCTTTCGCCTCTTTCTGAACGTGCTGCATCTTCATCGCGTCTCGCAGAGCTTCGGACGCGGCGATCACGACGCTCGAGCCTCGGCGCGCGCGCTCGACGACGGCTCGGAAGTCGCCCGCGGCGCCCGCGGCGTCCTCGAGCGCGAGCTTGCACCGTCCGCGCGCGAGGACGACGTCGAGCGCGCGGAGCTCCGTCCGCGTCTGTTCGCTTCCTGTCGCTGGAGGGGGATGTGAATCGTCACCATCGGTCGCCCCGATCGCGTCCAGCAACTCCGCGGCGGAGGAGTAATCGTCGATCGCGTCGCGTAAGGAGCCGATCTGCGTCAGCGCCCTCGCGCGCGCGGCGTGCGTCGTCGCCCTCGAGCGTTCGTTCTCGGACCGCTCTCCGTACAAATCCAGCGCGCGCGTGAACCATCTCGAAGCGTCCGCGTGCTCGCCACGCGTCGCGCACGCCTCGCCGGCATCGTGCGCTTCCTCGGCGTTGAGAATAACGCTCGTGTCGAGGGTGTTAATGCTCGCGTCCTCGATCGCCATGACGTCGTCCGCGGGCGCGGGGAGCGACTTGGCGTGGAACCACGGCAGCTTCACCGCGAGCTTCCCTTCCCGCTGTTTGATGAGCTGCCGTCGCAGCGCGGCGAGGTCGGGAGGCGCGCGGTTCGCGTCCTCGTCGCGGGCGTCTCCGATCTTCGCGCGATCGACGTCTTCGGGCGCGCGCAGGGACGTCCACGGCCCGCGCCGGTGGCGCGGTTTCGCGAGAATCACGCGCGCGACGTCGCCGTCGACGCGCACGACGCAGTTCTCCGCGTCCACGTCGTTCGCGAGGCGCATGGTCAGCACCCACGTCTCGCCTTTCACCGTTCCGGTTCCGCGATCGACCGCCGGAGGTATCTCCAGCGTGAAGCGCCGCGGGTCGTCGCCGGCGAGAGACGGGGACGTCAGCGCCGCGCGCGAGACGTCGCCGCCCCGGACGTCTCTTCCGCGGACGTCCACGCGCGCGACGTCGCCGTCGTCGCGCCACGCGTACGTCTCGACGCTCCGCTTGATCTTCTTCGCTGACGTGGTCTCTTCGCTCGCGGCGTTCAGGAGGAGCGCGGGCTCGGTGACGCGCTGCGGCGGGGTGCGGATCACGCCACGCGCGCAGTCCAGACGCGCGCGCCGGTTGTGTAAATCTGGATCCGCGCGCGTCAGCTCGTTCTGCACGAGGTCGATCGCGCCCTGCGTCATGTGGTTCCCCACGAAGTTCGTCGTCGCGCCGGTGTCGGGCTTCTCGTACCCCGCGTCGACTTCCTTGTTCGTCCCGTCGGGTTTCTGCTCCAGCGCGTCGTACCCGAGGCTAGCGCCCGGTCCCGTGGAGATCTTGTACGCGCCACCGTGCGCGCCTTTGGTCCAGACGCGTTGGCCAATCTGGCCGTACTTCTTGTGTTTCTCTTCGTTCTCGAGCGTCACGGCCTCTTCCTCCGCGGCCGCGGCTTCTCTTAGGGTCCCGTCCGGGTCCCCCGCGGTGCCGTGCTCTTTGAATTCCTTCCATTGCTGCGGAGGGCGAGTCGCGAGACGGGAAGCACGTCACGTCGGGAGATGAGCGAGTTCCGTGAAAAACCATTTCGCGAGATCTGAAGGGGACGCGACGCACCTTCGCGTGTATCGCCCCGGCGGATACGTGATCGATCGTGGGATTGTACTGCGTAGGGTCCGACGTCGCCATGACGTTCGCGGGAACGAGCGCGCGCGCGCGCGTGCTCGTGTGCGCGATGCTGACGAGACGCGACGTTTACATTTTCCACTTTCCGAGAATGGGAGACGAAAAGCCACAACGCGACGAGACTGGCGAGACGAGACGCAACAGCCAGCGGGGGTTTTCATCGAGTGTATTTATCGACACCCGACCGTAGCAAATTTTGGCTAGAGGCGTTGAATAATGATACTAACTCCCTCATTCGATTTTCTTGCTCTTCGAACCGAGGCGAATCATGCGCACGCTCCGCAGGTGGCGGCGGTAGTACGCCCGCGCGAACGTCGCGCACGCGTACACGCACAACGTGCTCAAGGCGAAGTAGACGTGCGACCCCGCCGGGAGCGGGAGATCGACGAAACGCCCGCCGTAACTCGCCCAGTGAATCGCGTATACTAACGCGTGATGCAGGAACACCAGCGCGGCGATATCGACCCGGATCGCGGACATGGGCGCGTTCTCCGCGTGAGTGACCGACAGGACGGTCACGTTCACGGCGTGAAGGATGGTGAAGAGGTAGTACTTGTGCAATTCCGCGCACCCGAGTTCGCCGCCCGAGGCGCCGATCAGACAGTTACCCAGCATGAGCATGAACACCTGCAGCCGACCAACAAATACCCTCGTTTCACGGCTCCAACGTGTCATCGCGTCGTACCACGACGGGGAGTATTCCGCCGCGAGGAACATCGTCGCGATCACGAGCGAAGGGAACTGCGCGGCGAACACAGTTCCCGGGGTGACGTCCCACCCTGATCTGTTCTGGAAGCACCTCGCCGCGAACAGGGGGACGACGGTCCAGACAATCTTCGAGCTCGTGATGTGCACGTAGACCCCCGTCCTCGCGTCCATCGGCAGAGGCTCGTCGTCCGAGAACACCGGGGCGTTGTCGCGGCATCGTTCCGCCGCGCGTTTTGTCTCGCGTTTCACCGCCTTCTCGTGCTCCTCTTGATCGTCTATCTCGTCGAGGACGTCGCGCAAGAGCGCGGAGATCGCGGGGATGTGCGACGCGTGGACCATCGAGGTCAACAAGCTCGCGATATTCCTCGTCGTCGCGCGCGCGGACGGGGTGTACAACTGCCGCCGGTGACGCGCGCCGAGGAGCCACCCGAAATCCGCGAGGAACAACTCAAACGACGACGAGTCGTAGAAGCACTCGATCGGCTCGAGGATCGATTCGAACGCGTCCGAGCTGGCGCCGGTGCCTCTCTGCAGCGCGTCGAGCTCGTCCGCGACGTCGTCGTCGTCGACGATGAGCACGCGAATGAATTCCGAACCGGACGCGGAGCGCCCGGGCTTCAACACTTGGACGGACACGAACCCGGCGCCGCAATCCACCTCGTCCACGGGAATATCGATCCGCAACCGCCCTTCGCCGCAGTTCTGCGGGACGACGATCGAAAGCGGCGCTAAGCCTTGCCCGAACACGTGCACGCGATCGTTCCCGTGCAGCCCTTCGACGTACAGAGGCTCGCCGAGTCGCACGATCGGGGAAACTTTCACCCTGCGCGGGATCAAAGTCATCGGCTTCGTCCCGCGCGACAGCGGCGTGAGCGTGCTCGTGTCCATCGTGATCGTGTCCCCGCCTGGGACCTCGTACTGGTCGTCGTTTTCCTTCCACCCCACTCCGATCTGCCCCGCGCACTGCGCGCTGACGGTGACGATGGACGACCCTATGACGCCGTCGCGCGGCAGCGACGTCGCGACGTCCGCCGCGGACGGCGCCTCGCGCGCGAACCCGCCGAGATCGCGAATAGGCGCGTCCACGGACATCACCAAACGCGTGCTCCCGGGGAGCATATCGCACGTCACGTTCGCGAGGAGGTTATCGAAATCATCGTGGTTGATCGACCGCCCCTCGGTCGCGGCGGCGCCGCCGGAGAACCAGCTCGGGACGGCGTCGTTGTCGAACCCCAACAGACTCCGCGTGCTCCTCGCGTCGTTCACGCTGAGGGAGTCGAAGCTCCTGTCCCCGGAGTGTTGAGGCTCGCTCCCGCCGAACGCTTCTCCGTCGTCGGTCACGACGTCGGCGACGCTTTCGTTCCCGAACGTGCTCTTCATCGTGTTCTGCACGAACGACCACACCGGCATCTTCGCCGCGTTGATCGGGTGCGCGTCCACGGAGAACTCCATCTTCACGCCGCTCGTGGACGGCACCCAGCGGCCCTCGTTCACGGAGAGGTGCTCCTCCGCGCTCAGGGAGAGGCACGACTTGACGGACGACGACTTCTTCGCCGCGCGGATGTTCGACGCCGCTTTCTTGACGATCGCCTTCGCGACGCCGCCCGGTCCGGACATCGCGCTCGCGCTCGCGGGGGGCGACTGCGATTTCGACTTGACCCGGCCCTTGAACGACGGCCCTCTTCGCACGCCTCGCTCGCACGTCGAGAGCTTACGCGACTCGCCGATGATGCTGTTCGCGAACATGTGAAGCTCGTGCACTTTTTTGCAGAAGCAGCACCAGCGCACTGGGGACGCGCTCGCGGCGACGACGACCCCGGACGTGTCGCGTCGATGCAACGGGCAGAGCACGATCTCGCCTTGGGTGCGATTCAACACGCGCGCTTGGCACCCTTCCGCGTCGCACAACCGAGGCGGCCTCGGGCTGCTCGCGGGGCGCTTCGACTTCGCGGCCTTCCCCTGCCGTCCCGATGCCGAGTCGCCGCTGACGCTCGCGCATCCGCTCCTGCTGCCGAGGCTCCCGTCGTCGCTGTCCGTGGGCGTGGAGCGATCGTCGACGGCGTCCGCGCGGTAGCCTCCGCGCGCGGGGACCGCGGGACCGCACGTCACGACCGCGTCGTCGTGCGTGACATCGAACGTGTCGGGGGTGAGGGCCCACTCGGAGGTCTTCCACGCGAACCCGGACGTCACCGTCGTCATCGCGTCGCGCGGCGGGGACTCCGCGGTCGAGGGTTTCGGGAAAGCAGATAGATGTAGGCAGCCGGCGCTGCGCGCGAGCCTCGCGTTTTGCGTCTCGGTTTGAAACGATCTTTCATCGGAATCAGTTCACCGCGTGAAACTGCGTTTGACCGGTGAGAAGATATTATTTTCAGACTAGTAGGCCCTATGTAGAAGACTGACTGTATGTGTATTTAGTCACAAAAAAACCCCAATTTCCGGCTTCAAATTTACCCTCCTGTCAATGCCAGATACCAGAAGATACTGTACGCTCCGCATAATTTAGGGCTGTACCGAAACCGGAACCGACAAGCGTACCTTCGGCGGGGCACTTCTTCGGCGGCGAGCGCGGTCGCGACCGCCGCGCGGGCGGGGGACTGTCTAACTCGCGCGTTTCGTCGGGCTATCGTCTTTCCGTTCGTGCATGAGTGCGGCGACGCCGACGCTCACCGGCTGCGCGCGAGCGGAGACGACGACGAAATCGTCGGTTGAGGCGAACGACGACGCCACCGCCGGCGTCGAAGGTTTACGACGCAGGTCCGCGTCGAGCCCGCTCGAACAGGCTCCGTCGACGACGTCGGTGGATCCGGACGCGATTTCAGGGGATGACGAGCGCTTGGACGGCGCGCAGGGGGGAGCGCCTCCGCAGCGCGCGTTCTTGAGCGCGTTAGAAGGTGAAAAAGGGGCGCCATCGCGAGGGGACCGCGACGACGCCGGGATGACGGACTGCAACATCTGCTTCGAGGTCGCGTGCGACCCGGTCGTGACGCAGTGCGGACACCTGTATTGCTGGTCGTGCATATACAAGTGCGTCCGGACTTTTTTCCCGCGCATTCGTCGTCCCCCCGCGGAAGATACCCCGGCCGCCGCGTGTCATATCTTTCTCCTCGACGCTGACGAATCATTCTGTCGATCATCGAACGCCGCCTCCCTCGCCCCGTTCGCAGGTGGTTGCAAGTTTTCAACGAGGCGCAGTTGTGCCCGGTGTGCAAGGCGGGGGTGTGCGAGGAGCTGGTGCGTGTCGCCGCGCCGCGCGAATCCTCTTCCGACCGACGCGCTTCTTCGCCGTCGCACCCTACCGCGCGCGCCGGGCGAATCGTTCGGATTCTCGCCGACCTCTCATTTCATTTTTCTTTCCCCCGCCCCGCCTCACGCAGGTTATCCCGCTGTACGGAAGAGGGACGTCCGGGGAGGACCCTAGGCATAAGAAACTAGACGTCCCTATGCGCCCGAGCGGGTTGCGACTCTCCGCGCAGGCGCCTAGGTCGCCTCTGCGCGGCGACTACGCGGGCGGGCCGAACACCACGCCGTTTATGTTTCGCCTCGAGTCCTTGCTCGGCCTCGGGACGCAGTTCGCGACCGGGGTGAGGTCCACGTGGCGCAGGCAGATTTTGTCCCCGGAGCAAGAGCAGCAGTCGTTCTTATCGCGTCTGTTGCTCTTGCTCGGGACGTTCGTGATCATGTGTTTGCTCGTGTTTTAAACCCGAGCTCCGTAGTTCTCTAGCCTTTTTACGACCGAGTGACGTCGTGTTCACGAGCGCGTCCACGAGCGTCGCGAACGAGAACCCCGCGCGAGCGACTACGACGCGTTCTACAGTACAACTACTACATTACAGCGATAGCCTACTTCGCCGCCTCCGCGGGCGTCTTGGTCTTCAGCGACAGCGCGTGCACGCCGTCTTTGATCTCTTCGTCCAGGAGCGCGTACACCATCCGATGCCTCGCGACGGGGAGCTTCCCGCTGAACGCCTCGGACACGACCTCGACGTTGAAGTGCGTCTCCGCGTCCGGATCCCCGGATGGGTTCCCGGAGTGCCCGGCGTGCTGGAAGCTCTCGTCCTGCTTGGGAGTCGCGCGGGTAGGGTCGGTCGGGGACGACGCGCGTCAGCGGGCGATCGTCGACGGGATCTGGCTGGACGCGCGGTGCGAACGAGGGCGACGGACGACGGCGACGCACCTTGATGACGAGCGTAGCCGGCTGCAGCGCGTCCGTGAGCTTGTACTGTATCCTCCCGTATATCGGCCTCATCGCTGTGGACATCGCTCGACGAAGCATGAGCCGCGCGGGACGCAGTGAGAGCTCGTCGTCACTTCTTCTGTTACAACGAAAGAGTATTTGGTTTCGTCGCGAAGACCAGACGTCGTTCGCGCCACAGTCGATGGCGAGCGCGCTCGCGCTGACGTCCGTCCGCGGGGTCGTCCCCCCGCGCGCGAACGATGCGAACGCGCGATCGCATCGCGCGCTGTCGCGCCGACCGCGGCATCGCGCGTGGAGCGTGAGCGTCCACGCCGCGAGCGCGGGCGAGGGTTCGTCCGCGGATTCCTCCTCGCGCGCGTCCGACCCTCCCGGTCCCCCGCGCGGACGCGGACGGTCCGTCTCTCGCGGTCGACGCGGCGGCGGCGGCCGGGGCGGCAGCCGCGGTCGTGGAAGCGCCCGCGGCGGCCGCGCCCGCGGCGGAGGCCGCGGTGGACGCGGACGAGGCGAGCGCGGACGCGGCGCGGGGAGGAAAAGCGTCGACGGCGCGTCGGCGATCGCGAGCGCGGTCGAGCTCGCGACGCGTCTACGTCTCTCTCGCGGCGTGGAGTCGCTCCCGAGCGCGAGGGACGTCGGGCACTGCCTCGCGGACTGCAAAGACGTCAGGAGCGAGGAAGCGTCCGACGCCGCGTGGGAGCTGTACGTCGCCGCGCGCGACGCGGGCGTCGTCGGTCGATTCAACATCAGGGATCACAACTTCGCGTTGGGCGCAGTGTCGCAAGGCGTCGACGGTCCCTCGCGCGTGACGTCGATATGGGACGCGATCACGCGCGCGGCGGTGCCCCCGAACGGCGTCACGATGGCACTCCTCGCGCGCGGGCTGTGTCGGTCCTCCGCGGACGTCGCGTCCACGCTCGCGGTGTTGCGCGAAGGGATCGTCCGCGGCGCCGCCGTGGACGCGTACGTGTTAAACGTGCTCCTCAACTCGTGCTTACGAGACGTCTCCCGGCGCGGAAAAGAGGCGATCGAGGACGAGTCGAACGTCACCGCGGTGGATCTCGGGAAGATAAAAGAAGCCGCGCTGCTCGTGTGGGACGCGGGGAAGGACATGCACAACGAGCGGACTCTGACGAGCGTCGTGAAAGTCTTGGGCGACTGCGGCGATCACGCCTCCGCGGTGCGCACGTTCGACGAAGCGTGGGCGAAAGGCACGCCCGTGGACGTCGACTGCCTCGCGACCGCGCTGCGCGTGATGTCGTCGGCGCCCGCGGAGCTGTACACGTCCCGCGACGTCCTCGCGCTGTACAGAAGAGCGCAGAAAGAGCGCGGCATACGCCCGAACACGTTTTGCGCCAACGTCGTCCTCGCCGCGTGCAGCCGGGACGGAAACTGGAACTCCGCGCTGTCGCTGTGGCGGCACATGCTCCGAAGGTCCGCCCCGGCGCCGGACAAGGCGTCGCTCGCGAGCGTGATACTCGCCTGCGGCAGAGTCGGGAGAGGCGAGCTCGCGTTGAGGGCGTTCGAGGAAGGGAAGAGCGCCGGCGTCGAGTGCGACGTCGTCATCGTCAACGTGCTGTTGGACGCGTGCGCAAAGTCGGACCGCCCCCCAGGGGAGGCGCTGGACATCTTGATGGACGCTATCGAGAGCCGCATAGCCGTGGACGCGTGCACGATATCGTCCCTTCTCACGGCGTACTGCAGCGGGTCGAGCGTCGCGGAGCCCGGGATGCTCGACCAGGCGTTCGCGATCGTCGAGCTCGGAAGGTTCTTGCGCGTGGAGCCGACGCCGGCGGTGATAAACTCGCTCCTTCGCGCGTGCGTCGCCGCGGGGGATTTACCTCGCGCAGTGCGCGCGTTCGAAGAGGCCGCGGTCGTCGGCGCGGGACCGGATGACATCGCGGTCGCGGACAGCTCGAGCGTGAGCGTGCTCGTGGAAGGGTACGCCGCGACCGGGGACGTCGCCGCCGCGGCTTCGATGCTCGACCTCGGTCGCGACCTCGGGATCGAGATCGCGGAATCCACGGTGGTGCTGTTGATCAAGTCGTTAGTCAACGCCGGGGACGTCGAGGCGGCGACGCGCGCGTACGACGACGCGGTGAAGACACACGAGATGACGCCGACGCTTCCGATGATAAACGCGCTGCTCGCGGGTTTAGCGAGGAGCGGGAGTTGGCGCGAGGCGATTCGTCTCGTCTCCGACGACGTCATCGGCAGCGCGTCCGTCGCCGCGGACAATAAGCTCATCGCGCTGTTCACGGAAGCGTTTGAGGTTGGAGGCGAAGAGGAGCAAGCGAAGGTCGCGGCGCAGATGGGGCTGTGGCTGACCGGGTCGGACGACGCGCTCGTCGCGCACTTGATCGCTGAGGACGAGCGAGTCGGGGAGCGAGTGTAGCGCGGTGCGTTTTTTGACTGGAAATGTTCGCGAGACCAGAGATTCCAGCGATCGCGATCGAATGAATTGCGCGCCGTAGCCGCCGTTCGTCCTCTCACCGTCATAACGTCGAGCGCGCGCATCATGGCCGCGGACGATTCCGGGAAGCGGGATCGCGACGAGGAGGACGCCGCGCCCGCGGTGGGTCCCGCCCCCCCCGCGCCCGGGGACGCGGGCGATGACGAGCCCGTCGACGTCGGCCCCGCGCTACCGCCGCCGAAGAAGGCGAAGACGCTGCCGTTCGAGTCCGTGTACCTCGACTCGCTCCCATGCGCTGCGATGTACGAGAAGAGCTACATGCACCGCGACTTCGTCACCTTCGTCGCGGTCACCCCCGGGACGGACTTCTTCATCACCGCGTCGCACGACGGCCACCTGAAGATCTGGGCGAAGCGCTACGAAGGCATCGAGTTCGTGAAGCACTTTCGATCGCACATGGGACCGATACTCGGCCTGTCCGTCTCCGCTGACGGCCTGTACTGCGCGACCGTGGGTCAGGACAAGTCCGTGAAGGTGTACGACGTCGTGAACTTCGACATGACGCTCATGATCAAGCTGCCGTACATGCCGACGACGTGCGAGTTCGTGTACAGAAAGGGCGAGGCGAAGCAAAAGATCGCGGTCGCGGATCAGACTGGGAAGATCTACGTGTACGACACCCTGTCCTCGGAACAGACCCCGGTGAAGGTGCTCGAGCTCCACCGCGCGGCGGTCAGATGCATGAAGTACAACGCCGCGAGAGGGATCGTGATATCCGCGGACGACAAGGGCGTGATCGACTACTGGTCCCCGTCCACGTACGAGTTCCCGACGGACGGCGTCGACTTTCGGTTCAAGCTCGACACGGACTTGTACTCCCTCGCGAAGGCGAAGACGAAAGCGCTGACGTTGGAGGTGAGCCAGGACGGCGAGCAGTTCTCCACGACGGGGCCGGATCGCAGGGTGAGGGTGTTCCGGTTCGCGACCGGGAAGTTACGGCACGTCATCGACGAGTCGTTGGAGTCCGCGAATGACGTGCAGCGGAGCGGGAACGAAAATTACCAGCTCGAGGACATCGACTTCGGGAGGCGCCTGGCGAAAGATCGCGAGATGGAGAGCGACGGGGAGGTCGGGTACCCGAACGCGATCTTCGACGAGAGCGGAAATTTCATCCTGTACGCGACGCTGTTGGGGATCAAGGTCGTGAACTTGGTCACGAGTCGGTGCGCGCGGATCGTCGGGAAGGTTGAAAACACCGAGCGGTTCATGCAGCTCGCGATGTTCCAGGGCGTTCCGAAGAAGGACAAGCGATCGAGAGGCTCGGGGAAGGACACGAAGACGACCACGGAGAAGGACCCGACGATCGTGTGCTCCGCGTTCCAAAAGACGCGTCTGTATCTCTTCACGCGCAGGGAGCCCGAGGACGGGGACGACGCCGTCGGCGGTCGAGACGTCTTCAACGAGAAACCCCTCGCGGACGAGATGGTCGCCGCGGCTTCGCTCGCGGCGACGGCGTCCACGTCCCTCGCGAGGTCCGCGGTCATACACACGACGCTCGGGGACATCCACGTGAAGCTCTTCCCGGACGAGACCCCGAAGACGTGCGAAAACTTTACGACGCACGCGAAGAACGGGTACTACGACGGTCTCTTGTTCCACCGCGTCATCAAAGGGTTCATGCTGCAGACCGGGGACCCGCTCGGGGACGGGACCGGGGGCGTGTCCATATGGGGCGGCGAGTTCGAGGACGAGATCACCAGGGACTTACGTCACGATCGGCCGTACACGGTGTCCATGGCGAACGCGGGACCGAACACGAACGGGTCGCAGTTTTTCATAACCACGGTCGCGACGCCTTGGCTGGACGGGAAGCACACGGTGTTCGGCAGGGTCGTGAAGGGCGCGGACGTCGTGCATAGCATCGAGAAGCTGAAGACGGACAAGGGGGATAAGCCGTTGATCGACGTGAAGATGGCGAACATCACGTTGTCGTTTAATTGAATAGCAAAGCGTTCAACAACTGGTCTGGTGCGTGCGACTTCATTCAGAAGGTCCTACGATGATCACCCTCGATCGAATCAACACTCGGGAATCACTTCAGGTCGTTGATGAAGTTCCCGATCGCGTTCTTCATCCGCCGCGCGTCCTGCTTCACCTGGAAACCCACCTTGGACATGAGCTCCGCGGCGGTCAGGTCCACGTTGTCCCGTCCGCGTCCGTCGCCGTAGTAATCCGCGCTCGAGATCGACGAGGAGTTACTGAACCTCGCCATGTTGCGGTCGCCGCCGTTACCACCCATCCCCCGCGAGCCGCCTCCGCCGCCGCCTCCACCTCCGAACGACGCGGACGAGATCGACTTCGCGCCGCCGAAGCGCGCCTGCGCGGAATCGTCCCTCGCCGGCTCTGGCTTCGGCTGCGATCGCGGGTCCGCCTTTTGCGACATCGACCGGAACCCGCCCGCGCCGCCCGCCCCTCCCCGGGGAAGCTCCTTCATCGGCTCTTCCCACTTCTCCTCGTCTTCTTCCTCCTTCTCCCCGAACCCGTCGACCTGGTACGAGAACCGTCCTTGCGTCGGCGGCGCGACGTGGAACCCCCCCGCGGCGCCCTTCGGGGATTTCGGCGACGGCGCCTTCGGCGACTTCTCCGGCGACTTCGGCGCTTGCTCGAACAAGCGATCGTCGACGGCGACGGTGAGCTTCTTCGCGCCGAGCGAGAGCTTCTTCGGCTTCGACGCCATCGACCTCGCTCTTCCTCCGAGCACCGAGGACTTCACCGGCGCCGCGCGCGGGACGGACGCTTTCGCGACGACGGGCGTGGGCGCGACGGGCTTCGCGATCGAGGGCTTGACCACGGGCGGCGCGACCGCGATCGTCTCGAACTCCTTCTCGTGATCGTCGAAGAAGTTCGGCTCCCCGGGCGTGTTCGCCGCGTTCGGCGACGTCGGGGGCGACAGCGCGCTGTTCTTCGCCGCGATCTCTCGCGCGAGGAACTGCTTGTACAACCCCGCGGCTCGCGAGGTGTACTTTTGTGAGATCTGCCCGCGCTCGCTCGAGCCCCACCCGTGCTGCGCGAAGAACGTCCGCGCTTTCTGGTTCCCGCCGCTGACGCGGAACAGATCGAGCTCCTCCTTGCTCCATCGGTCCATGTTCGCGGACTTGACCTGGGATATGTGCACGCCGAGCGAGCGATGGATTCCGCTGCAGTCCAAGCACACGAACACGCCAAAGTTTTTCGACGTCCACTTCGGGTTCGGCGTCGTGCAGTCGAAGCACATCTTGTTGTCCTTCTTCGCGAGCAGCCTCCCGAAAAGGAGGTCTCGGTCCTCCTGATGCGCCATCTCGATGACAAGTGCCGCGTGCGCCGACGCGTCCGCGCGCGTTGCAGTGCGTTCGGAGACGCGATCGCGACCGACTCGGGCTCGCGAGTCTAGACGCGCCTCGACCGCTCGAATCCAGCGGAAATACCCCATAACCTAGCATATCCAAAGACAGCAAATTTGAAGCGGCTGCTGAACGGAAACAAAGCGCACCCACGTCGTGGTCACATCGACGAGCGCGCGTCGGAGGTGGACGACTCGCATCGTCCATTTTCACGGCGTCAACGCGAGTCACAGACGAGGTCGACCGTCTCGCGCGGGGCGACACGAAGCGCGTCTCTCGCGAACGCGCCGCACGGTGGGCGTGACTCGGATTGAGAACTCGCTCGAGGAAAAACTCCCACCATGACCGCGGCGACGGAGGAGAAAACCGAGCGCGAGTACGCCGCGATGGCGGAGGGGCTCGGGAAGAAGCTCAAGACCGCGATCAGCGGCGGGAAAGCGCCGCTCTTGAAGATTCTGCAGGTGCGCGTCCGCGCGAAATCGTCCCTCGCGCCGCCATCGTCCAACCGCGTGAACAACGACTGACGACGCCCTTTTTTTGAACCTCGCGCGAATCACAGGACGCGTCCGACGCGCTTTCGAGGGTAGGCCAAGGCGAAGAAGGCGGCGAGATCAAGGAGCTCCCGAAGAACCTCGTCCTTAAAGGACTTCTGAAGAACAAAGACCAGGTTCGCGCCCGCGACCGAGCGTATCCACCCCGAATCTGGGTCGCGCGACCGCGTATTCTTTCTTCGAACGTCGTCGACTGACCAGATCCTCGCGCTCGTCTCGCAGGAAGTTCGCCTGTACACCGCGCTGTGCCTCAGCGACGTGCTGCGGATCTTCGCCCCCGAGGAGCCGTTTCAGAACGACGAGACGCTCAAGGTGCGCGCCGCATTCGTCGACGCCTCCCTCGCGACCGGACGCCTCTCTCGCGCGGATACGAGCGCCCGGGGCCCCGCGACGACGCCGCTAACGCGAATTCGTTTTCCCCAACCGATGCGTCCGTCGTTCACAGGACATCTACAGCGCGTTCCTCGAAGCGCTGAAACACCTCGAGGACCCGACGAAAGTCGCCTTCCAGTGCGCGCAGTCGCTCTTACAGAACATCGCGACGATCGGTCTGTGCGTCCCGATGCTCGACCTCGAGTGCGAGGGCGCGGGCGCGCTCGTCGTGAAGCTGTTTCAAGTCTTGCTCGACGCGGTGAACCCGATGAACGCGTCGCTCGTGGAGGAAGACGCGACGAAGGTGCTGTGGACGATGCTCGAGGAGTCCGAGGACGTCGGTCCGGAGATTCTGAGCGCGATCATGGAGAGGCTCGTGCAGCCGTGTAAGACGGACAACTCCGCCGCGCACGCGTTGGCGTGCGAGCTGATTCGTAAAAACGACAGCAACTTGCAGCTCGCGGTGCAACACTTCTTGATCGACGCGCTGAAGAACAAAGGGAACGGCGAGCACGCCATGAGCAAGCGGTTCGTGGACGTCCTCGAGGCGATCGCGGTCGTGGACTCCACGTCACTCGTCACCGTGTGGCCGGTGCTCATGGACGAGCTTCACTGCGACGACGAGGATGCGCGGATGCGCGCGGTGAAGGTTTTCGGCCGCGTCCTCGCTGCGCCGGGGAGCACGGTAGCGAAGGACTTCGCGCACTACCTCACGCAGTTCCTGAGACGGTTTCAAGATAAGAAGCCGGAGGTGAGAGTCGAGATGCTGAAGTGGGCGTCCGCGTTCGTCCTGAACAGCGAGTGCGACGACGCCGCGATCGAGAACGAAGTCGTGTCGCACTTTAAAGAGCGCCTGTACGACTTCGAAGAGAAAGTGCGCGTCGCCGCCGTCGCCGCGGTGAGCGACATCGCGGAGGTGAAGCCGAACGCGATCGACGGCGAAATGTTACGGTCCCTAGGCGAGCGCATGAGGGACAAGCGCGCGAGCGTGAGACATCCGGTAATGAAGCGTCTCGGCGCGGTGTACCGAGCGTTCGCTGGTCGACACGCCGACGCGGAGACGCCCGCCGCGGAGGCGGCGCGGTTCGATTGGATCCCGAGCACGCTGCTGAAAGGGTGCGCGCAGGCGGACGTCATGCACCACGGCGTCGAGCCCGTGATCGTGGATCTGTTCCCCGCGCGCGTCTCCGTCGAGCGCCGGTCCATGTTCTGGCTCTCCGCGCTGTGCAAGCAAGACGAGCACGCGAGCAAGGCGCTGTGCTGCATCTTGCGGAACAAGACCTACGCGCAGCGGGACGTGCGAGCGTATTTGGACCTTCGAACGAAGTCCCGGGCGTCGCAGATGTCCCAGGGCACCGGGGAGGAGCTCGCGGACGTCTCCGCGGACGACTTCACGCGGGCGATTCACACGATCGCGTGCCATTTCCCGGATCAAACGAAAGCGGTCGCGAGCATGGAGAAGGTTCACGCGATGAAGGATGGGAACATCTTCCGCGGGTTCTCTTCGCTTTTAAAGCCGGAGTTGTCCGCGGCGGAGTGCACTTCGATCACGGACGACGTCCTGAAGCGCATCGGGAGCAAGAGCGCGACGTACGAGTTCGCGAAGCTGCTCATGATCAAGATCGCGCAGCAGCCGTTCGGTCGCGAGCACGTCAGAAAGGTGCTCGACATCGTCGCCGCCGCGGCGAAGCACAAAAACGCGACCGGATCGATGACCGCCGCGCTCGAGCACCTCGTGCAGCTCGCCGGGAGCGCGCCGCACATCTTCCAGGGCGTCGCGAAGGAGCTCTCGAGCTTGATCTTCCACGCGGACGCCTCCGTCGTCACCGCGGCGTGCAAAATCACCGCGGACGCGCCGAACTGCCTCGCCGGCGCGGGGTCGCGCCAGGCGAAGATTTGCGAGAGGCTCAAGCTGTTGTGCGTCGAGGGGACGCGCACGCAGGCGATGCACGCGGCGGCGACGCTCGCGAAGCTCGCGGCGATCGGCGAGAGAAACAGCGAACACGCGAACGACCTCTTCGTCGCCGTCGTCGAAGCCGCGCAGGAGGACGAGCTCCTGGACAGCAACCTCCCCGCGGTGCTCGCGACGGTGCAAGTCGTCGCGTCGAACGCGCCCGGGTTGTTTTTACGTCACCTCGAAGGCGTGGAGAGGTTCATCGTGAACGACGTCCTGAAGCGCGAGCTGCCTCGCGGTAAGAAATCTCGCGCGGCGGCGAGCTCCGTCGCGGAACTGCGCGGGTGGGGGATCGAGGCGTTAGCGAACGGCTGCTGTCGCGCGGCGTCGCTCACGGGGGAGCAGGCTGCGAGCGACGAGAGAAGAGGGTTCATCGCGCGCGTCGTGGACGTCTTGCGCGCGACGCTCTCGGAGCCGATCTCCGGGACGGAGGCGGACGCCGCGCACGTTAAGATCGCCGCGGTGAAGGCGACGCTCTTGATCGCGCGCACGGAGAACGCGTCGATCCCGGCTGACGTGTTCATCGCCGCGATGTACGCGTCGAGGTACGCCCCGGACGACGTCATCGACATGATACAGCATGGCGTCGCGAAGGAGGGGCTGCCCCACGTGTACGCGTCCGCGCTCGCGGTCCTCGCGGTGGAGTGCCGCGGGGACACGCGGAAGTTCGCGTCCGACGCGCTTCTCGCGGTCGTGGACCGCGTCCGCGCCAAGTCGGAAGCCTCCGTCGCGAGGTTGAGCCGCGTCATGAAGGACGAAGAGAAGCTCTCGCGGACGCTGCTCACGTACACGCCGGAGTACGCGCTGACGACGCTCGTGTACCTCCTCGCGCACCACCCTTCGCTCCCGAGCAAAGAAGACGGCGCGGCGAACGACGGGATCGCGTACCGCCCGTTTCAGCAGATGATCAGCGTCGCGGTGAACGCGCTCGTTCACGGCACGAACGGGGAGACGATCCCCGCGGCGTACGCGATGATGCGAGGGTTGAAACGCGCGAAGGACGCGAACGAGGAGGACGCGAACGACCACGGGATTTACGTCCTCGCGGACATCGCGCTGTTCGTGCTCAAGGACGTCGCGTCCACGAAAGGGTGGGACACCGGTCCGTACCCTGGCAAGGTGGCGTACGATCGCAAGCTGTACGTCGTCGGTCAGAGCGGGACCGCGCGAAACGACCCGCTCACGGAGGGCGGACGCCCGAGGGTCGGGGACTTTTCCCACCTCCCCGTCGGGTTCTCGCTGAAGAGCGGCAAAGCGGCCGCGGGCGGGGCGAGGACGAAACCGTCGGGAGGGAGGAACAACGAGAACGCCCTGGCGCTCGCGATGACCCCCGCGGCGAAACCCACGGCGGCGCCGTCGCGGATGATGCCGGAACGCGCCGCGAGGAAAGCCGCGATCGTGGACGACGCGGACGCGAGCGTCGAAGACGAGGACGACATCCTCCCCGAGTCGAACGACGCGGACGTCGTGAACCTGGGGCGGTATGGTATGGAGGTGATCGCGCCGCCGCTAGAGCTTCCCGCGCCGGGCGGATGGGACGACGCGCAGACGTTGGTCGGGAGCGACGAAGCCGCGACGGCGACGGAGGCGCCGACGACGGCGCCGAAAACCGCGCCGCGGCCGGCGCCGAGAAGCGCGGAGAAGTCCGACGCCGGCGGGTCTTCGCACAAGAAAAAGTTCTTGAGGCCCCTGAGCGACAAGAAGAACACGGATAACAAGCCGTCGCCGCTGACGGCGAAGACTCCGGTCGCGAAAGTCGCGAGCCCGGTGACGGCTCTGCGCAGGACGCGCAGGAGGCAGGAGAACGTGGACGAGTATGATTTTTCCCCGGAGCTCGACGTCGCGGAGGCGCCGGTGCGGGTGAGCAAGAAAGCGAAGGGAAAACGGTGAGGGGTTTCGATGGACGACGGACGCGACGATACGACGTAGTAGACGACGGGGACGCGACGACGAAGGAGACGAACGACGGACGACGACTCGACGGACGACGAATAGCACACTTGTAAACGAAACGAGGAGACGACGAAAACCCGCCAGCCTCTGCTCCACCTGCGCCATCGCATTTGACTCGACTCGAACACTTGAAAAGGCAAGTAGACGCGTCCCGTTCGGTCAGTGTAGGGCAGCGGGCGCGTGTGGACCCCGCGTGATACGCTCGTTGAGGAAAGGTGAGATGGCGGACGACGGCCACTTCCCGAGGGTGACTACGGACGACACCGCCGCGGCGACGGACACGGAGGCGTTCTTGAAGGTGCGCGACCCACCGGCACGATCGAACGTTCGCGAACAAATACGCGTCGTTTCAGCGCTCGCGTCAACCGCGGGAGGCGGGAGTTAGTTCGTCGATCGCGCTCTGCTCTGACATCTCACGCGCTCGCTCATCCGATCTCCGTCGTTGTCACATCGCAGGCGTTGAAAGTGCAAGAGGGGAAGACGGGCGAGGAGGGAAAGGACGAGCTCTCGCTCGTCACTTCCAAGGGGGCGATAAAGATTATTCTTCTCGGGGACTCAGCGGTCGGGAAGTCTAAGTTAGTAGAGCGTTTCCTCATGGACGGGTATCAACCGCAGCAGCTGTCGACGTTCGCGCTCACGCTGTTCCGGTACAACTTCAACCACCCCGACGGCCGTGTCGTCGCGGTGGATTTCTGGGACACCGCTGGGCAGGAACGGTTCAACAACTTGCACCCGTCGTACTTTTACCGCGCGCACGCGTGCATCTTAGCGTTTGACGTGACGCGGAAGGTGACGTACAAAAACTTGGACAGGTGGTACAGAGAGCTAGAAGAGTACTGCCCGGGGATTCCCACGATCGTGGTGGCGAATAAAATAGATGTGGATTATAGGGTGACCGAGCGCACGTTTGCGTTTCCGGAGCGGCGAAACTTGCCATTCGCGTTTGTGTCCGCAAGCGACGGCACGAACGTCGTGAAGACGTTTCAGCAGGCGATAATGATGGGAATTAAGCAGAAGGAGAACCCGAGTGATGATTTTTTGACGATGGCGCTGGAGCTGTTGGCGGAGTGAGCGACTTAGGAGTTCATATTAAACGACTTTTTCGCGATCGAATCTCCCACGGTGCGAGTTCCCACGTTCTTCTCAGAACCCCCACTTGTTCGTCTGCGGCTTGTCGTCGTCGCAAACCTGAGGAGGTCGTAAACGCGGCGGATCGATTCGTCAATAAGTCATGATATCTACCTGGTACTTGCTTTCTAGTACAAGACGCTGGCTGATGAACTATGAAGCCTGCCGAGTTTATCACTGCGAAGAAGTGATAAACTCGACAACCTTCCCCAAAAGCCCGGAGCCGACGTAAACGACGCCGAAAACTAAGAGGGGGTAGATCGCTTGGCTAAGAAGACCTCCTCCCCCTTCCCCGGTGCTCACCTTTGCTTCCTCGAGCGCCTCCGCCGGCGGCGTCGGGACGTACTTCACGCTGACGCTATTCACGCAGTGCCTTTCCATCGTTGGCGTCAAACCCTCGTTCTCGAAGACGTGGCCGAGATGCCCATCGCACGCCGCGCAGAGGATCTCGATGCGCTTCATCCCAAACGTCATGTCCGTCTCTGTCTTCACGCCGCCTTTGTAGCACTTGTCGAACGCGGGCCACCCGCAGCCGCTGTTGAACTTTGAATCCGCGGAGTAGAGAGGGTTGCCGCAACCTTTGCACACGAAGTGCCCTTCGTCCGGGTAGAACTTGTCGTACTCGCCGGTGCCCGCGGGTTCGGTCCCTTTCCTCCTGAGCACCTGGAACGAGGTCGGATCGAGCTCTTCTTTCCACTGCGTTTCGCTCTTCTCCACTCTCGCGGGAGTCATCGCCATCGCGATCGTGTTGCGACGAGATCCGCTTCCGGCGGCGGGGTTCACGCGAGCGGCGGGAGACGCGAGCTTGCGCAGGTGCGCGTTCGTGCTCGCGCGACTAGTGGTGCTAAGAGTCCGCGCAGTGGCGTTGACACACGATGCTGCGGCCATCGTCGCGCGTCTTGGAGAGTGCGCGTTCGGTCGATCTTGAAGATATTCAGATAACGGAATTGGCGAGATTTCCCGATTACCCGAGGAAGCTCAAGTCGAAAAATCGAGAAAATCATTTTTTTTTCAAACTATTTTTTTTGGCTAAAACTTCAACAGACGCAGTTTCTTCGGCGAAGGCGACATCGAATAGCTGTACGCCGGAGTCCTTAGGATCGAATCGAGGAACACGAGCCATCCAGTGACGAAATCGAGCACAAAGGTCCACACCGAGTTGAAGAGTTCTGGTTGAAGAGCGGCGAGGTGTTTCGTCGCGCGCTTGTGAAGCACTTTCAGCGATTTTTCGTGTCCCGACTGCGAGCTCACCGTCCTCAAAACCGCTTCCCGGCTGCACCCAGGCTGGAACGGAAGCTCCAAAACTTCTCCACCGGAACCGAGCGTCACGTGCATATGATACGCGATTTCTAAAACCGCCCCGAACTCCTTCTCGGCGAGTACGGATGCGTACTCGTGGCACGCCTTGGAACGAGCTTCCAGCGCGGCTTTCAGGAACTCATCAAGTTTAGAAACACGAGCGGAGCGCTCTTGTAAAATTTCCTCGAGCGTGCAGAAGTTAACAAGCCGGAGTCGAATGCTCTTCTTCGAATCCAAATCCGCGGCGCGATTAATCGCGCGGAAAACGACGTCTAATAACTTTGCGCACGCGTTATCGATCGCTATTTGTTTCGCCGTCGTTTTCTCGTCGACCGTCAACTCGCTCATAAAACCTTCGAAACGGTCGATAAGCGAAGGAAGAGCGCTGACTTCATTTAACACGGCGACATCGGATTTCGCGAGAACAAAAGCTTCCGCCATCGTGCGCCCACTGCCGTCCTGAGACTTAATTTCCTCCTTTGAAAAGTTTCTTTCCAGGTATTCGAACAAGTGGCGCTGAATTTTATCCTGGCACGAGATCAAAGCGTCACGCAGGGGATCATCTTGTCTCTCGCCAACACGTTCGAGCGTCCAGCCAATTTCACCGAGCATCGAAATACATCGCATGGGGTTCGAAGTTACGACCCAGTCCGCAATCCTATTTAAATCGAGCTCAACACCTTCAAGAAGCTGCTGCATCTCAGGGATATGAACGCTACGAAACCGCGCAGCAACTTCATTTTTCCTCTTAGAACTCACGCCGTCTCCCCCAAAATCCTCATCGAACACGTACGTTGCCATAAAAAAGCTAGATTCGTTCACCTAATCGACGAAAATGGAGGCTCAAAAACAAATGTTGTCGAGAAAATAAGAAAACTTACCACTAAATTCACGAAGTATTGGAGTACGAGGGCGTAACCTTCCTCCGGCGATGTCCCGATTGACGACGATTGCTCCCCTTCTTTGAATAACGCGCGCACAATTGCGATCATGTCTCTTAATTGATGCCGCAAAAGACCATTTGAGACTGAACAATGCATGCGCAATAAGTTTCTTTGAATAAAGACGCAACCAAGAAATCAGAACGTTTCAGAACTTTAGCAAATAATAAGAAGAACATTCAACATGGGGAATTCAACGCGTGTAGCTCTTGAATCACGCTCCTTACCCTGTACTTTTACCGTGTAGACGATGCATAGCGCGCATTAAATTTCCATTTTGATTCACGAGAACGTGAATGCGTTCCCAGGTTGGAGCACAAGGCATTCCTTTCGCATCGCTCTTGATTCCCAAGTCGAGCTCGCGCTCGACCGCTCCTTCGAGAAGCGATTTCAAGTGATAAGTTGATTTCCCGATAAGCTCGTCGCACAGGTTCATGCATTTCGCTTCTTGAACGGCGACGGAACGTATCCTGCGATATATTTTCATTTCGTCTTCCTCGAAACGTTTCCTGAACGCACAGACTTCGTCGATGGCTTTTACCACGTCCGCTATGTCGTCGTCTGTTTCAAACGCGGAGTTATGAATTTTTTCTTCGAGCCCTTCCGGGACTGTTATCTTCTCTATCAGCTCCGTCATAACTTTCGTCAAGACTTCGTTTTTACGCGGGCCCTTTTCCTCGTCTTTCAGGCTCAGCAAGTCCTCTATCACGCGAGCGTCTTCTTTCATGCTCAGGAGTTTCACACTGAACGTGTCCAACCACGCTTCGACGTCTTCGAGGTTCCTTTCGACCGCGTCTAGTTCCTCTTTGATCGGGCCAGCTTGTTTTGACCGTTCCATTAAGTCCCAAACCGTCGCATGATCTAGGTTTGAAAATTCGTCTCGAACCCTGGTTTCAAAGGCTTTCGCGTGGTCTCCCATTTCGATTCTGTGAGTTTCGAGGTATTTCCGCAAGTCTTCCTCTTCCAGATCTTCTTCACCGATCCTTGATTTCGGCGAATTTTCTTCCTCTTTTTTTCCATCAGTTTCGTCGATTAGTGAAAACTTTGCCCCACCTCCGCTGTTGATAGACTTGGCTTTATATGCCGAGGCCCACTCCTCGATGACTGAAGTGTCTTCTCCGACAACGGTTAAGGATTTTCGAAGCGTCTCTTTCGACGACGACGCGAGACATCCGACGAAGTTGCTCAGCTCTGCCGCGTCGTCGCACGCCCAGTGTTGCGTCTTGCCTTCAAAATACGTCACGAGTTCTCGCTCCGCAGTCGGCTTCTCCACGCACGGTTTCATCTCAACCCGAGAAAGCTGGGAGAGTTTAAAGGTATCACACATCTGCAGCTCATTAGATCCTTTTAGGACGTGCAATTTGACAATCAAACTTCTCGATTCCTGCGCGGACGAGACGTTCGTGGATGGATGACTTCAGCGGCGTACGATTTGACTCTTTATCGTTTTCGTAAACCGAGCAAACGACGCTATCGGATACACGTCGCGAAATATGCAAGATACGCGCGAGGGTCGCGCGAGCCTCACCACATGACGGAGCACGGTCACGGCTAGGACCCGAGACTTGTCGGACTCCCTTATTTTCACCCTCGCCTGCGAAGATGACGAGATCCCGTCAGTACGCATGCCCCTACGAGTCGCGGCGACCGCCTGGAGGAGGCTCTCGACGCGCACGGGCGAGCGAACGGAGAAGAAAAAAAAAAAACGGGATGAACTCACCAGCTTTGCGACACTGGTTCCTACCCCGCTCATGACTTTCTTCCCGGTCGAAAGCTTCGACACCTTGACGTAGGGACGGCGGCGACGCGGCGACGTAAATAAACGATGTTGGTTTTGTTTTGATTTGTGCTTCAAGCGAGGAGAGGGCACGAGTGGGTTCGCGCGTCGGTCTCGGCGTTCGCGCGAGGTCGCGGATTGATCTGAACGGTCCTCACCTGAAGGAAAGCCACCAGCGCATCCTCGCTCCGAGCGAAGGCGCGCTCCTGCACGGGGAGAGTCGGTGTCACGTCAGCGTTGTGCAGCGATAGTTGTGGATGAGTCGACGCGAGGCGAGGAGGGTCGCGCGAGTCCCCGGTGCTCGAGCGCTGGGTGCGATCAGCGCGAATATGCGGATACCGCGTCGTACCAGCTGAGCAGCCACGTTCATCGCGCCCACCCGGCGAGGCTCGTTGTGTCTTCCAGGTGCAGCCCCTGCGGTGCCCACCTTCGTTCTGTCGGGCAGCGGAGCAGCGCAGCGCGCGAAAAATTTCAGCTCGCGAGCGGTCGGACATTCAGTGTTACAAGCGGCGCTCGAGTCATAGCGACGCGCGCAGGTCTCACCGCGGATGCGCTGTCAACGTGGCCCGACAGCGAGCAGACCATCGCGATGAAGTGCGCCGGGCGGAGGAGGGTGCTATCGGTCGCCGTGTTGCTCGCGGTCGCGACGTTCTCGATCGCTTACCGGTACCGGAAGTCTCTCGATCTCGCGTATCGTCAACCGACGCCGTTTCGGTCTCGAGCCGTGAACGAGGACGCCCGGTCGGGGACGACAATCGTCGCCGCTCCCGTCGTCGGCGGCGTGGTCGCCGATGCGCCCGTCGCGTTGGCACCCGAAGTCGATAGCACGCCCGCGCTTCTGCGAACGCGAGCGAGACGGTGCGACGTGCAGATCGACGACGTGTTGAAACACAGCAGATCGCAACTCTTCGAAGACCAAGTGATCTCGCGCGCGTTCTTCGCCGGGTTTTGCGGAGGCTCGTACGTCGAGATCGGCGGGCTCGACGGCGTGACATACTCGAACACGCACATGTATCATCACGGTCTGCAGTGGCACGGGATACTAATAGAGCTGTCCCCGAGGAGTTTCGAGTTGTTGGAGGCGAACCGGCCGCGAGACGAGACGTTCAACGCCGCGGTGTGCGCGACGGACAACGTCTATCAATTCATCCAGAACGCGCGCATTCCAGCGGTGAACGGGATCGAAGAGTTCATGATGGAGTCGTTTAAGAAAAAATATCACGCGGAGCTCCGGGCCAGCGACACGACGAGAACGCCGATCAAGTGTCGGCCGCTGAGCGACATCCTGTACGAGAGTAAAACGCTGGGCGGGAGGGTCCACGTGGACTTGTTCAGCCTTGACGTGGAGGGCGGGGAGCTTGAGGTTCTGAAGACTGTCGATTTCAGTAAGCATCAGTTTGGGGTGATCGTATACGAAGCCGACGGTCACAATCGGAGCAAGGACGAGACGATGAAGAAGGAACTGGAGAAGAACGGGTACGTGTTCGTCGGGAGCGCGGTGAACAGTAACTTTCACGCGAACAAAAATTGGAAAGCGATCTACGGCGTCGACCACATGGACGGCGCAGGATTCGCAGCCCTCGGGCGTGAGGTTACGGAGAGGATAAAAAAACGACGTTATCAAGAAGCGTCGAGTAGCGCCGATGCGCGAGCGAACGCCAGGGCACCGATGGGTGCTGCTGCTGGAGCTAAACTACGATCGACGGAAGTCGCCGCCAGGACGGGTGCCGCGGCGGTCGCCGCGGCGGCTCCGATGAGTGATGAAACGCCATCTGACGTGACCGGTCCTGAGAAACCCTCGAAGAGTACCCCCGACAACGCGACGAAAGCGTCGAACGCGACGAAAGCGGCGAACGCGACGACGCTCGCGACGTCGACGGCGAAATCAACAGAAGTGGAGGACGGCGTCCTCACGCCCGAGCTCGTGAAGAAACACGCGATCGACAACGTCGTGATGGTCACGTGGGCGAACGATCATTACTACGACTTCGTCCGAAATTGGGTACTGAACGTGCGCAAGTGTAACGTATCCAACTTCATGGTCGGCGCCATGGACGACGACCTCCTAAAAAAACTGAAGGACGACGACGTCCCGACGTTCTCGATGCGAAGTGGTTTAACCACGGCGGACTTCGGCTGGGGCACGGAGAACTTCCACAAGATGGGACGAAAGAAGATCGATCTGATCAAAGTCTTCACGAACATGGGGTTCGATATCTTAGTCTCGGACGTGGACACGGTGTGGATGAAGAATCCGATGCCTTACGTGATGAAATATCCGGACGCGGACGTCCTCACGTCGAGCGATCATCTCGCAAGCACGGCGACCGGGGACGGCTTGGAGGATCCCCTCCGCGCGCAGTCCGCGGCGAACATCGGGATCATGCTCATACGGCACACCGCGAAAGAACTCGCGGAGGAGTGGGTGAACGTTCTCGATAAAGACGCGAAAGTGTGGGACCAGAACGCGTTTAACGATCTCATGAGGCGTGGCCGCGCCGCCGCGGGCGGCGACGACAAACTCTTTCTCGGGTACGACGGCAAACTCAAGTTCGGGATCCTCCCCGTGAGCACGTTCGCGAGCGGGCACACGTTCTTCGTGCAGCGGATGCACGAGAAACACGACGCGGATCCGTACGTCGTGCACGCGACGTTTCAGTTCTCCGGCACGGAAGGGAAGAGGCACCGAATGCGCGAGGCGAAGCTCTGGGTCGACGACGCGTCGTATTACGACCCCACCGAAGGTTTGCTCGCCTTCGCGCCGGACATCCCTTCCGAGCTCATGAACGCGTCGTGCACGACGAGGGACGAGGCGTGCGTCGCCCGACACTTCGAGCTCGTGAATCACCAGATCGTGCAAATACGAAACGCGCTCGCGATCGCGCAGAAACTCGGCCGCGTGCTCGTGATGCCGCCGCTTTACTGTCTCTTCGACCGGTGGTGGGCTCCGCACGCGGGGACGATACCCGGGTCAGAGACGCTCCTGCCGGTGCAGTGCCCGATGGACCACGTCTTCGAGGTCGAGACGTGGTCGAGCGACATGCCGCCCTCGGTCGCGGGACCGGGGATCGCGTTCAGGGAGCACAGCTTCTTCGAGAATCCAAACGTGCCCGCGTCGGTCGCGGCGTCGACCGTCGAGGTGACGTTCGTTCCGTCGTGCGGCGGCGGCGGCGGCGGCGGCGGCGGCGAGAAGTGCACGCAGGCAGAGGGCGAACCCGCGCCGAGCGGGGTGAAACGCGTCGTCGCGCCGGGGAACGCGACGGACGTCGAGATCGCGAACTTGCTCTCGAACCACGCGGGAGTCAAGGTGTTAAACTTCACGTCTACGCTCGGCGCCTTCGGCAGGCACGCGGACGCCGCGGACGCGAAAAAGTTTTCCACGCGCGTGAAACGCTACGCGGGGTTGTGGTGCTGCGTCTTCGACGCGGTTCCGGGACACATTTGGTACGACATGGAGTTCGACGTCGTGCCGCACACGGACAGGCACAACCGGGTGTGGGACACCGCGTGGGAGCCGAAGACGGGGCCTTAGGAGACGATAGACTATTCAGTCTAGGTACGAGTCGAAAAGCCACTTTTCGCTGGTCTGTTGTGAGACCGTTTAAAATAAATGCCCGCGTGCGTCGCGCCGGTAGACATCGACCCGCGCGCGGCGGGACCTGGAACGCACGCTCCCCCTCGTGCGCGAACGAAAATGGCCGACCGTTAGCATGGACGCGGACGCTCTAGACGCCGCGGTCGCGGCCGCGGACGTTAGGGTGGAGCAGCTCTTCGCGGATCTGAGACGGCAGGCGGACGGGCGGAATCCGGCGGTCCGACGCGCGTGGGACGCGGAGACCGCGGCGTCGAGTTGGCTGCGGCCGAAGCCGAGGCCGACTCAGGCGCCGCCGCCGGCGGATCGCGACGACTGGTGGTACGATCATCTGTTCGGCGACGGGAACGGCGAGCCGAGCGACTCGGACGCGGACGCGCCGGAGCCGCGACAGCCCTCGGTCGCGACGCCGGCGCCGAGGGTGCGAGGCTCGGTGAATCTCCTGACGCCGTCGCCCTGGCTGTTCAACAGCTTCGGCGGCGGCGACGTCGAGGTCGCGACGCGCTTCCAGCTGTCCGAAGGCGTCACCGCGGTCACGGATCACGTCCTCGGGAGCTCGACGCCCTCGCGCGGGAACGAGAGACGCGCGGGGACGGTTCGACGGGAAGACGACGCGGGAAGGTCGACGCGAACGCCGCGCCGACTCGCCCGGGTGAACCAATCGCTGCGACGCGCGATCGACGACATCGTCGGAGGCGAGATCGAACGACGCGACAGCGGCTTCGACGCGAGCACGCCGCGCGAGGAGCGCGACGACGTCGACGAAATGCTCGAACGAGAACGGAGGGTGACGGAAAACTTGAGAGACGGCGTCGCGGCGATGCGCGCGACGGAGCGTCGACGAGCGAGCGCGGACGCGAACGCGCGCGTCGAGGCGCGAAGGGCGAAGGAGAAGAAACAGCGCGCGAGCGAAGCGGATCGAATTATGCGCGCGGAGGCGAAGAAACCCGACCCGCCGGTGCCGCGCGCGCGCGTGGTGTTCCACCGCGCGTCGCAGACGGAGTTTTCACACCGCCGGCGCCCGGCGTCGACGCAGACTGTGTACATCCACCCGTCGCTGATCGAATCGTTCGAGAAGAGGCCGCCGTGGGGCGGCGGCGCGGGCGGGAGCAGACGTTGGCAGGTCCGGAACCAGGTCGCGGCGGTCGCGCCGAGACCGACGTTGAAACCGACGGTCGCGCGCGTCTCGGTTGGCGTCGGGTCGGACGCGCCGCCGTCGAAGTCGCCGCGGCGGGTGAAGTTCTCCCCCGAGGTTTTCCACGAGGGAGGCGGCGCGTCGGAGCTCGCCGCGGAGAGCGACGCGGTGATCGAACCGATACGCGACGCCGCGCCGTTGTCCGGGTTCGAGGAGCGATGCGCGGTCGCGATCAGCACGTACCTCGTGTCCCTCGACGCTCGGCGACGCGCGTTCGTCCTAAACGACTGGGGCGCGAGCGACGGTCGGTTCGACGGCGCGGAGCTGTGCGTCCGCGTCGACGTCCAGCCGTCCGCGGACGGCGGCATTCTCGTGCAAACGTCGAAGCACGCGCCGCCGGAGCGGTTCGTCCCGATCGATCCGCAGCCGTTGCGCGCGCTGCGTCTGTGCCTGAGCACGCCGCTGAGCAAACGACGCGGCGACGCGAACGTCGCGCCGACGTCGTTGGCGTGGATCAGGATCGATCACGACGAACACGGAGCGATGGACCTGCCGAAGCTGTGCGCGAGCATGCTGTACCGGGAGCGCGCGAAGGATGACGACGAGGGTAAATCGCTTCCGCGCGGGTATTTCGTGAACTTTTCGTTCAAAGAGCACGCGCGCGTGTTCCGCCACGCTGTGTACCTGGCTGAGCTTCGTTTGAAAGCGGCGAAGGACGCGGGGAAACCGAGCGGCGAGTGAATCGAATCGTTCGTCGACGTCTTCGTCTCGCGTGCTATTTCTTAGTCTAGTGAAACTATGTGTAGTCTAGTAGTGAGCAGCGTTCGACCTCACTCGATCATCCTCTTGTTCTCGTCCACGTCGTTTTCGTCGTCGCCGTCGTCGTCGTCCTCCCTTCCAGGGGGTCCGATCGCCGGAGGCAACATCAACCGAGGCGTCGCGTGCATCATCGGCATCGCGTGCGCGGCCAAGGACACGCGCTTCAAGATCGCCTGCTTCCTCAAATCCGACCGCGGGGATACCTCCCCGGACGGCGACGGCGGCAAGAACGCCGGCGCGCCTGCGGCGGCGGCGTCGCGGCTCTCCGCGCCGCCGCCGCCGAAAAAACCACGCGAAGACCCCACCGTCCCCGGCGGCAGTCCCTCGGGCAAACACGACGCTTCGCGTAACTGCTGCGACAGCGCCGATCTCCTTCGCGCGATCGACTCCGGGAGCACCAGCCTCGAGTGAGGCGACGGCGAGAACGCGTCCACGGACATCACGCTCACGACGCTCCCGGGCGCGGCGTCCGCGTCGTTCGCGTCGTCGAACGCGTCCTTCTCCGTGCTCATCGGCGACGCGTCGTTCCACGTCGTCAAGCGACCGTCCGCCGCCGCCGCCGCCCCGGGGCTGACCACGCCGAACGAAGACGCCCACGGGGAGGCGTCCGCGTCGATTCCTTCCCAGCTCGCCCTGGGGGTGACCGCGTGCGGCTGCGTCGTCGCCCACGCGGAGGCGGACGCGGCGGCGCCGCCGTCGAACGAATTTCGCTCGCGCACGCGCAAATCGCGCTCTCCCGCGCCGGCGGCCGCGGCGGGGGAGACGTTCAGTCGCTGGAGATCCTTCGCCATCATCTCGGAGAGCGCGCGCTTCGTCCCGGGCGACGCGCCGAACAGTCGCGTCGGCTGCACGTCGTCGTCGGACAGGTGGCTGGACGACCGCGGGCGTTTCAGCCGCGTGGACATCGACGCGCCCCCCGGTCCGAGCTCCGCGGGCTCCGCGAAGCCGTACGGGCTCCAGCGCGACCCCGCGCCGCCTCCGCCGCTTCTGGGGACGCTCCGGAACGGCGGCGAACTCACGCCGTCGTCGCGGTCGTTATCGAACGACATCCTCGACGCGGACGACGCCTTGCCGCCTCCGCCTTGCGAGTCGAAGGACATTCGCGACGTCGCGTTCGCCGGCGTCGACGACGGCTCTTGCGTCGCGGGCACGGCGTCCACGCCGACGGGCCTCCGCGGTGTCGCGAGCGGGCTCGCCCCCAGGGAGGAGAGCCCCGCGATCCCGTGGGAATCCTGCCACGCCATCATAGGCGCGGCGGAGGAGTGACCTTCGAATCCTTTCGGCGACGCGAACGCGAACAACGACCTGACCGTGACCGGCGCGGTCGGAACGCGGCGTATTGGAAATATATTTGTACTTGTCGCGGTTTTAGCGTTTCATTGGACGTTCCGATGAAGTCCGGGGTCAACAGCCTTCAAGTCTCGTTGGTGTAGTTGGTTATCACGTTCGCTTTACACGCGAAAGGTCGGCGGTTCGATCCCGTCATGAGACAGAATCGTTTTTTTGGCGTTCTCTTGCATGCGGTCATCGTCCACATGATGTGAGGAACCTCTCCACAAATTTTCAGGTCAATCGAAGCAGTTTTGAGGCGGCGACGGTCGCTCATCGACGAGCATGGTGGAGTGCACGTTTCGGAGAAAAAAGCTGAAAAAAAGTTCCGATGAAACTGAAGCCGAATCATCGATTAAAATCGAAAGCGGGAAAAATTCGAAACAACGAGCTTCTCGCCGCCGATCCCGCGCGCAGAAGAGCAGCGCGCAGCGGCCGCCTCGGTGAGCAGCGGTTCGTCTGAAGGTGGACGCGCGCGCGACACTCTCGAATTTAACGCGCGCGTCGTTCGATCGCGCGAGTCTTCCCGATGGGTCGCCCCGGACGCGCCGCGGCGAAGCGGTACGCGTTCCACACGGAGCAGAAATCGCTCGAGCGCACGTTTGAAAACATCGAGCCGTCCATCATCGCGGAGGTGCTCGCGTCGCACAACGGGAACCTGGACGCCGCGGCGACGGACTTGGTATCCATGGACTTGACCGGATACGCGCTCGCGGCGAGCGCGGGCGCGAACGGCTCGGGGAAATCGTCCCCCGACGGAGGCAGCCCGTCCGACGCCGACGGATCGAAGAAGGCACCCGGGGACGCGTCGTTCTGGAACGACGTCCTCGGCGACGACGAGACGCTCGCGGAGGGCGACGTCGACGAGGACGACGCGCCGTGCGCGACCGCGGTCGCGATCGACGGCGTCACGCCGTACGCGTCCTGGTCGCCGACGCAGTGGAGCGCACTGTCGAGCGACGCGCCAGATCTGAGTCGCGACGTCGAGAAACTCGTCGGATGGCGATTCGCCTCCTCCTCCTCCTCCTCCTCCGACGCCGCGCGCGGCGCGCCGAGCAAGAAGGCGAAGACGTCGAAGCGAACGCCGACGAAGGAGAAGGAAGACGCCGCCGACGCGACCGACGTCGTCGACGGCGACGACGTCGAGATCCTCGTGAAGTGGAGAGGACGCGCAGCGGCGCGCTGCGCGTGGGTCCCCCTCGCCGCGTTGACGTCGTCGCTCGCGCTCGCGTCGCAACGCGTCGCGAAGTTTTGGCAGAGCTACCCGCGCGCGAACGGCCCGGTCGTCGCGGTGACGCGGGAGAGCATGACGTACGACAGAGTGATCGCCGTGCGCGCGTACGAGATCGAGCCCGCGGAGGGCGCGGACGCGGACGCGTCCGCGCCGGCGGCGGAGAAGAACTACGCGCTCGTGAAATGGGGCGGGGGGTTGGGCTACGAGGAGGCGACGTGGGAGCCGGAGGACGACGTCCGCGCGGCGACCGCGTTAGGGGGCGCGGCCGCGCTGGAGAAGTACGCGGAGATTTTCTCCAGGAGAGACGCGAAGACGACCGCGCGAACCGCGACCGTGATCGAGACGAAGACGATCGGCGACGACGTCGAGTGCGCGCGCGCGTGGTACGGCGGCGAAGGCGACGTCTTGCGCGGGTACCAACGCGAGGGCGCGCGGTGGATGGCGCACAACGTCGTCGTCGCTCGGCGCGGGTGCATCCTCGCGGACGAGATGGGTTTGGGGAAGACCGCGCAGTCGCTCGCGCTCGTGGATTACATCCTGCGTTGCGAGCGCGCGACGCCGAACCCGCGCGTGGCCCCGCGCGGCCCCGCGCTCGTCGTCGTCCCGCTGAGCACGCTCGTGAACTGGGAACGCGAAGCGGCGCGGTGGGCCCCGGGCGCGTACGTCGTGTCGTACGTCGGCCCTCCCGCGGCGCGCGCGCTGGTGCGCGCGCACGAGCTGACGTACGACGACGACGAAGTCACCGAAGACGCCGAAGACGTCATGAGCGGCGCGACGTACAAGGCGGACGTCGTGTTGACGACGTACGAGATGGTGCAGGCGGATCGAAGCGCGCTGTCGAAAATACCGTGGAGCTGCCTCGTCGTGGACGAGGCGCACAGGCTCAAGAACAGCGGCGGGCGCGCGGCGAGGGATCTTCGCACGCTCGACTTCGCGGGCAGGGTCGTCCTCTTGACCGGGACGCCGCTGCAGAACGATACCGCGGAGCTGTGGAGCCTCCTGAACTTTGTCGACGCTCAGCGGTTCGCTTCGAAGGAGGATTTCGAGAAGAAGTTTGGCGCCGTGAAAGCCGCGGGTCAGGTCGAAGCGCTGCACAAGGTCTTGGCGCCTTATCTCCTTCGCCGTCTAAAGTGCGACGTCGAGCACAAACTCCCGCCGCGCGTGGAGACGCTCATCGAGTGCGAGCTCGCGCCGTTGCAGAAGAAGTGCTACCGTGCGCTGTTCGAGCGAAACTTTTCGTTTTTACGTCAAGGCTGCGGCGATGCCCGCGCGCTCGCGAACTTTACCAACCTCATGATGGAAGTCCGCAAGTGCTGCCAGCACCCGTTCCTGCTCGACGGCGTCGAGGAAGCGTTCGCGACGCAGCAAGCCGCGCGACTCGCGAAGCCGAGGACGACCGCGACCGCGGCGCAGCTCGTGAACTGCTCGGGGAAGCTCCAGCTCTTGGATAAGCTGCTCCCGCGGCTGAAAGCGGGCGGGCACCGAGCGCTCATTTTCAGCCAGATGACGCGCGTCCTGGACGTCCTCGAGGATTACTGCCGCAGCCGGAAACACTCGTACGAGCGATTGGACGGCGGTGTCACCGGACGCGCGCGCCAGGCTGCGATCGACCGGTTCTGCGACGGCGGCGGCGGCGACGGCGGCGGCGAAAACGCCGCCGGAGCCGGAGACGACGACGGCGCGTTTCTGTTCCTCCTGTCCACCAGAGCGGGCGGGCAAGGGATCAACCTCGTCGCCGCGGACACCGTCATCGTGTTCGACTCGGACTGGAATCCGCAGAACGACGCGCAAGCGCTCGCGCGCGCGCACAGGATCGGGCAAACGAAACCCGTGCAAGTGTACCGCCTCGTCATGCGCGCGACGTACGAGAGAGAGATGCTCGACCGCGCGGCCATGAAGCTCGGTTTAGAGCAAGCGATCTTTGGCATGGGCGGCGGCGATAACGGTAAGGGCGAGGACGCGAGAGACGCCGCGGGCGCGCGCGCGGAGATCGAGCGGCTCCTGAGACACGGCGCGTACGGCGCCCTGGGCGAGGACGCCGCGGAGGGCGAGAGACGAACGAACGAGTGGAACGCCGGCGGCATCGACGACATCCTCGCGAGATCCGAAAGAAGAGTCGTGGAAGCGTCCGAGGTGAGCGCGAACGCGGACGCGGACAAGAGCCTCTTCGCGACTGCGACGTTCGGCGGCGACGGCGATGAGATCGAGCTCGACGACCCGGACTTTTGGACGAAGCTCATGCCGGAGGCCGCGGCGAAGGCGGAGCGAGACGCCGCGCTCGAGGCGATTCGCGCCGCGGAGGAGGAGAAGTCCTCGAAGGAGGTTCGTAAACCCCGCGTCGTCGTGAAGAAGTTCGAGTGGTCGTGGCCGGAACGCAAACGCGTGATCCAGACGCTGTCGACCTACGGCTTCGGGCAGTGGGAGTCCGTGCGGAACGCGGCGAAGGACAAGCTCAACGCGGACAAGACGATCGCGCACGTCGCCGCGTTTTGCCGTCGGTACGCGCTCGAAGCTGCGCGGACGTTACCGGACGACGCGTGCCCTTTCCTCCTCGCCGCGGCGATGAAACCCGCGGGTTTGGACGAGACTTCGCTCCCGAACGACCGCGGCGGCGAGGAGATGCTGAACAACGTCTTCGCGGAGGTGCTGTTCGCGTCGCACGTTCGCGGTCGCGCGGCAGAGGACGTCGCGCGACTCGAGACGCTGCAGCCGCTCTCGGACGCGGTCGCGGACGCGGGGGGGATCGCGAGCGCGCTGAAGTCGACGTCGTGGCTGACGCGCAGAGCGGAGGTGAGGGAGATGTACGGTCCGCACGCGCCCGAGCCTCCGGCGGCGTGGTGGAACGAGACGTGCGATCGCGCGCTGCTCCTCGGGACGCTGAAGCACGGGTACGGAAAATTCGATTTGATTCGCGCGGACGAGACGCTCGGCCTGGGCGCGATCTGCGACGCCGCGATCGCGGCCGCGGAGGGACCGTCGACGCCGGAGAGCGAACCGATGGAGGAGGACGTCTCCCCCGGAGGGACGCGTCGGTCGAAGCGGAAGCGCGCGCCGATCGACGCGGACGCGAAGGAGAACGCGAAGGATGGAAACCAAATCCCGACCGACGACGACGGCGACGACGCAGGGAAACTGGTCGAAGACGCGCCGACGACGGTCGCGGAGTGGCCGCTCTCGCGCGTCCTGAGCCTGCGCGTGCGGCGCATGTGCTCAGCCCTCGGCGGAAAACAAGTCGCGGTGCCTCCCGCGCCGAAGCTTCCGAAGCCCCCGCGCGCGCCCAAGACGGGCGGCGGCGGGGGCGCGCGCGGCGGCGGTCCGCGCGCCAACGCGGGCGGCTCGGTCGATAAGATCGCGCGCGCGAAGGCACAGGTCGACGCGCTTCCGCGCTCTCGCGACGGCGTCGTGATCATGCCCGTCGGCCCCATTCACGGCGTCACCGTGGAATCACTCGGGGAAGTCCAGCCCCCTGATTCCGCGGGGTTCCACTCCGCGGCGTACATCCTCCCGGTCGGGTACAAGACGTCGCGGTCGTACATGCGGTGCGACGACCCGAACGGCGAGCGGACGCGGTGGACGCAGGAGATCGTCCACGGCGTCGACGGCGCGGACGGTCCTTGGTTCAAGCTGACCGCGGACGAGGGCATGGACGAGCCGATCCTCGCGAAGAGCGCGACCGCGGCGTGGGCCGAGGTCTTAAAGCGCGTCACTGCGGCGAGGGAGGCGCTGGGGGAGACGGCGAAGAAGACGGCGATCAGCGGGCCGGAATTTTTTGGGTACTCGCTCCCGCACGTCCGGCTGCTCATCGAGGAGCTTCCCGGGGCGAGCGAGTGCGCGGAGTACATGCCGCTGCTCGAACGCGCGGCGACGGTGGAGGCGGCGGGGGATGGCGCGGCCGCGGCGGTCGTGGACGAACCCGCGGCGTGACGCAACGAACGAATAAAATGTTTTGAATAATGAATGTTCTTTCGACCTCATCAGGCTACGAGTTTGACCGATTAATACGTATCCCCTCCCCCCCTACGCGAACCTAGGCGATCGCGAAGTTCGGTTCTTCCAGCGCGAGCTGCCACCACTCGTGAGCGTACTCCTCGATCCCCGCGCCATCGCGATCGGTCTGCATGCTGTCGTCGTCGCTGAGCCGGTCGTCGTCGCGCGAGTCGAAGTCGCTCGCGTCCGAGAACGCGCGCGCGGCGACCTGCTCCGACTTGGCGTTCTTCGCCGCTATCTTCTTGTTCACGAGCACCTCCGCGTGTCGTTTCTTGTAGATCGTCTGTCTGATCTTTAAGATGTGATCCGGCCACGCTTTCTTGCCGTTGTAGAAGCTGTTCAGGAGGCTCAGGTCGGACTCGAGGAGCGCGGCGTAGGTTTTGATCTCTTCCATCATGGCGCGCGCGCGCTCTTCCATGTCGACGTCGTTCCCGTCCAGCGCGCGCTTCAAGTGGACGGTGAGGTCGTAGTACAGGTTCTTGAGCGACATGAGCTTGCGGTACGGCCATCGCGCGATCCCGAGGGTGCGGCATCTGTTCGACGCGGGGTGAGCGGCGCGGCGTCGTGAGTCAGCGGGTCAGAAGACGAGTGACGCGAAAAAGACTGTGTTTTTTTCATCCAGAATCATGCACACGTGTCTCAAGCTGACGCGTTTTTGCGCGGTCGGTCTTCAACAAACACGTCGAAAGCGGTAAAGGGGTTTTGAAGGAAAAAAACCCGTTCGGGACGCGCACCTGGCCTTGAAGCGCGTCGTTCCCATGTTGAACGCGCGCGCGGCTTCGGCCTCGGTCAGCAGCGCGACGGACGCGAGGCTCGTTTTCGTCATCGTCTGCGAAAAAAACGCGGTCGCGGGGCGCGATATCGGTCAGGTTCGGACGCGCGGAGGGCGAAAAAAAGAATGCGCGGAATAGGAATGAGGTAAAGCATCCGCAAAAGCGGCGCGCGAGGGGCGAGCGACCGTCGCGCGCGCGCACCTTGCGGCCGTGTTCGGACCGATCGCACGTCTCGAGGTCGACCTCGCGGTCGCGCTTGAGCGCGCCGCCGCGGTCGCGCGCGCGTTCGTCGGCGTTCGTCGACCTGTCGTCTTCGTGGCCGCGGTAGCGGTCGGTAGAGGCCTCTTCCGATCCAGATGATGTCGTCCGCGAGATGAGAGAGCCGCTGACGTCGGACATCGTTCAGTTCTCGAGGGTTCGGCGGCGGGAGGGGCGGGGGCGGGGGAGGTTTCTTCGTGCCGAGGGGTTCGGCGTGCGCGCGCGCGTGCGTGCGTGCGTGCGGGCGTGCGCGCGGGTGTACCAGGGGCGCACCAAACTCGGTATTCCACTTTAGGCCGTAGGATTTTTCAGGAAATTTATTGGCGGCGCGTCTGAAGTCGCGCGTCAGCCAATCACGAGCCGCGGTCGGCATCCACGCTGTCTATTACGTGTCCCAGATACGCGGTTTACAGGATATTTGTGGTGGATATTTGATACTTTTACAGGATGTAAAGCACATGCCGCCGGCGCGGGGAGCGCCCGCCTGCTGACGATGACGCGTGCGTCCCAGCGCGCCGCCTCCATCCCGCGCGCGTTCGTCGCGATTCCCTCGCTCGCCGCGTCTTCGTCCGCCGCCGACGGCGGCGTCTCCGCGCGCTTCGCGTCGTCATCGCGCGCGTCGCCCAGATCCACGAAATCATTACTAACCAATTCTCGCGTCCGTCCCCCCGCGCAGCGACGATATCGTCGACGACGAGCGCATCGCGCGGCGACACCCTCGGAAGCGCGTGCGCGCGAGGCGCGGACGAGCGCGAGCGTCATCGCGCGATGCCCGCGACGCGCGCTCGCGACGGGCGTCCCGATCAGCCGCCCGCGACGACGTTCCTCGCCGACGCGAAACCGGGAAAAAAAGATCGAGTTCGGTTCGCCGAGCTCGTTCGCCTCGAATCCGCGACGATCCGCGGCGGCGCGCGCGACGACGGGTGCGTGACGTCCCCGCGGCGCTTCGACGAGCGTCGCGATCGCGACCCGGCGAAGGATTCCCCTCGCGTCGTCGCGGCCGCGGCCGGCGACGACGACGCCGCCGACGCCGTCGCGACCGTGGCGGCGGCGGCGACTGAAGGCGCGGAACCCAAAGACGCCGCCGGGGGAAAGAAACCCGTCGGCGTCTTCTCCGCGTGTAAGAAGTTCGTCACGAAGACCGCGTCGTACGCTGGGGAGAAGGACCGCGACGCGCCGCGAGCGAGCAGCATCGCGGTCCCGGCGACGCCGTCCGCGAAGAAGGCGACGACGTCGCGACGCGCGGCGGCGCGTCTCCTCGCGTGCGCGTCGGAGACGCTACCCGGCGGTCCGAGCCGCGGCGCGCGCGCGGGGTCGCCGCCGCCCCCCGCGCGGCGACGCCCGCGCCGCGCGTCGGAGAGCGTCGGCGGTGCCGTCTCCGGGGGTCCGTCGCGGGCGTCCACGCGTCCGACCCTCCGCCCCGCCGCGGCGGCGGTAGTCGACGTCGCCGCGGAGGAGGAGGAGGAGGTGGAGGAGGAGGAGGAGGAGGAGGAGGAGGAGGGCGACGGGTCAGGTTTCGGACCCGAAGCCCCTCCGTGGGTCGAGCGCGACGGCGCAGACGCCGTGAACTTGTACGTCTCCGGCGCGACGAGCATCAGCGCGGCTTTGCTCGCGATCGACGAGACGCACCGAACGCCGGCGCGGACGCGAGAGTCGAAAACCGGCCGCCGCGCCGCGCCGCTAAGCAAGCAGTCGTCCTCGGAAGCGCTCGCGCCGCGCGACGATACTTCGGCACGGAAGAGCCCGCCGTCGCTGCTGACGCCGAGGAACCCTGGCGACCACCCCGCCGGTGACGTGAAATCGTCGATGCCGACGTGGACATCCGACGCGGCGGCGCCGGCGCGCCGCGTCGACGACGGCGCCGGCGGCGCGCGCGCCGAGCGCGCGACGCCGCCGCTCCCGCCCCCGGCTCCGGCCGAGGACGACCTCGATATCGGCGTCGCCGCGGGCGGGATGCACGACGACCGCGACTTCCTGCGCATCCTGATGGAAAACGAAATCATCGAAAACGAGAGCGAGGACAGCGGGTCGGACTTGAGGGACACCGCGCCGCCGTTCGATACCCTGGAAGACGTCGTCGCGGACGTCGACGTCGGCGGGTATTTCGCGACGCGCGACGTCGTCTTCGACCCGCCGGGGTACGACTTCGCGATGATGCACCTGCTCGAGACTGCGGCGATGAGCTGACGCACCGTGCCGCGCGCGAGGCGACGCGAGTGCATGTATACGTGTAGATGATCGTGTTGGTCAACGGGCGAGCGCCCCCGCTTGCAGCCTGCTTTTTTTTTATTTTCACCTTTCTCATGAAAAGTTTTTACTCGTACAGTGTTCGATGTTCATACAAACAAACGCGCCTCGTCTCCCTCCGCGCGCGCGTCTCCCACCTCCCCACAACCCCCACGACATCACATCACATCGCATCACTCGTCCTCTTCGAGCGCGATCAGATCCAGATCCAACGCGGAACCGAACGTGTTCTCGCCGCTGTACGCGATGTACAAAAACCCGTCGTCGTCTCTGTGATCGTCGTACACCGCCGACATCAGCGCCGCCGTGGGGGGAAGGACGTTGTTCACGAACACGAAGATCGCCTTCTCGGGCGAGAGCTTGATTCGCTTGCGGATGACGTACACGAACTGTCCGACGGTGAGGTCCGCGGGGACGAGGTACCTGGGACGGGGAGGGAGCGAAAGGAGCGGACGCGTCGACGGCGAGGAAAAGGGAATATGCCAAACCAAACACGCGCGGAACGGAACGCGCGCGCGGGCGGGGCGCGCACTTCTTCTTGTCCAGGTCGGGGATGTCGCTCTTCTCAGCCTTCTCGACGATGACCTGTTCGCGAGAAAGGTAGGCGGACGAGTGAGCGCGACGTGCGGGAGAGACGACGGGCGCGACGCGACGCGGGCGGCGCCGTTATCCGCCGCCGGATAAAAAAGCACGCGTCGCGACGACGTGACGCGGCCGACGAACGTTCAAATGGTTTGAAAGGGGACGCGCGCACCGGGATCCGGTCCGGATACTTGTCCCGGATGCGCTGCGCCTCGGCCTGGCGCTTGTCTGCGAGAGCGAGAGAAGAGGCGGGGACGCGCGCGCGTCAGGAAGGCGGACGCGGCGGGTCCGGACGCGACGCGCCGCGCGGGATGAGGGGAAGGGCGCGACGACGCGCGGCTCGAATCTATCTTCTGACTCCGTCTCGCGCGCGTCTCCTCGTCCGACGAGCGCGCGCGCGTCGCGGCGTCGCGCGCGCGCCGACGACGCGGATCTGACCAGACTCCGCGCGCGGCGCGCGAACGCGATGGTCTTCTCGCGAACGATGCGGGAGGGTACGACGCGCGCGCGCGTCCGCGCGGCTGGCGCGGCGCGAGCGCGCGCGACGTCCCCTCGGAACGCGCGACGGGGAGGACGAATGAACGGGGGACCTCCGCGGGGACGCGCGCGTCGACGAAAAACGACTCGCGAAGCGGGCGCGCACCGAGCGCGTGCTCCTGCTTGAACGTGGACCGAGCCGACATCGCGGGGTTCGTTCGTTCTCTTCGCTCGCGGGGGAGGCGTCGCGTCCGTCGTCGCGCGCGCTCGTCGTTGTGACGCGCGGGACGCGCGAGTCGTTGTCGTTTTTCGAGTTGACGTCGGCGATCTTCGCGCCAAATCGACGAGTTTTTCGCGCTCCTGACCGGTCGTCTGCCGTTCTCATCGATGGCGCGATCGCGGTGATGAGAAACCAACGGCTTTATTTCTCGATCGATGGCATCGCGGCGCTGCACTCTCTGCGAAGTCGAGCGAATCGTCGCTGCCAGTCGTCCGTCAGTTTCGCTCGCGCGCGCCGCACGTCGTCGCTCGCGATGGACGACGAGTTCGCGCTCTTCGCGGCGGAGATCGGGCAGCTCGAGGAGAAGGCGAAGGATGAGCCCCCCGCGCCCGTCCCCGCGCCCGCGCCCGTCCCCGCGCCCGCGACCGCGACCGCGACCGCGACCGCCAGCGCGACGACGCGCGCCGCCCCCGCGCGAGCGACGATCGCGCGAGCGCCCGAGCACGTCCCCGCGGGCCCGTCCGCGCGCCCCGCGCACGACGCCGCCGCCCCGCCGCCGTCGCGCTCGATCCCCCCGCCGCCTTCGCACCTCGGCGGGTACGACCCGCACGCGGCGCAGGCGTTCCATCATCTTCATCATCATTCGAACCCTCCGCCGCACCACGGGGGGATCCCGCCGCCGCCGCCGACGCAGCACGAGCTGAAGCGCGCGGACGGCGACGCCACCCCGCGGTCGATGATGCCCGCGAAGAAGATCGGGAAGCCGGTGTATAGATCCGCGGCCGGGGACCGGTGGCAGGATAAGACGTTAGGGGACTGGCCGGAGAACGATTACAGAATCTTCGTCGGCGACTTGGGCACGGAGGTGAGCGACGACCATCTCGCGAGGGCGTTCGGGAAGTACGCGAGCTTTCAAAAGGCCAGAGTGGTGAAAGATAAGACGACGCAGAAGAGCCGAGGGTTCGGGTTCGTGTCGTTCATGGACAGCGCGGACTACTCCAGCGCGATGCGAGAGATGAACGGCAAGTACATCGGGAACCGCCCGTGTAAGCTGAAGAAGAGCGACTGGGCGCAGCGGAACGACACGAGGGCGGTGAAGAACCGCGTCGTCCCGAAGAAGAAGCCGTACGATAAGAGGAAACACATCGCGATAGGCCCGAGCATCGGCCCGCCGCAGAAGCGGTGAGCGGTCGCGCAGTAGTCGAATAGCAGCGCGTCGCGTGCATTAGAGGGTGGAGTACTTAGACTACTCGTAATCGGCGACTCCGCCGCGTAGTCTACTAACTTTGGGATGTCTTCGTTCACTCCGCGGCGGCGGCGCCGACGGACTTCGCCGCCTCCTTCACCCCCGCGGAGGGGACCGCCTTCTCGAGGTTCGCCGCCGCTCTCTCGAGCTGCGCCGCGGCGACCCTGAGTGCAGCCTTCTCCGCGTCGAGCGCCGCGCGTTCCTCCCGCAGCTTCCGACGCTCCTCCTCCGCGGCGGCGGCGGCGGCTTTCGCCGCGCGCGCCTCCGCCAGCCTCGCCGCGGCGGCGGCGGCTTTCGAGCTCTCCTCGAGCGGCTTCGCGACGCTCGAGGCGCGCGGCGGTTTCGCGGTCCCCCCGCCGTTCGCGTTCGCGGCGTTCACCAGCCCGGTCACCACGTCGGACAGGTGATCGAACCGCGTCGTCAACGCGCGCAACGCGTCCGTCGTCTCCGAGACGAACACCCCGACGCGGTCCAACACCGTCGCCTGCGCCGCCGCGAGGAGCTCGATCTGCGCGCGCACGTCGCCGCGACTCGCGTCGCCGGACGCGGACGGGGGGTTCAGCGTGCTCTTCCAGTCCGCGTGTTTCCGCATCGCGGCGTTCGCGACGGACGCGACGTCCGTCAGCGGGTCGACGTTTTCGCCGCCGCCGCCGCCGCCGTCGTCCAACCTCGACGCGAGCGCGACCCACGCCGGGGTCTCGTCCTCGTTCAGCTCGAAATCGTCGCGCGCCCCGCTCGGTCGCCGTCGCGGCGGCGCTCTTGGCGGGCGCGCGGGAGGGGTCAACACCGGCGGCGACGACGCGCGCGTGGACGCGTCCGGCCCGGACGGATCCTCCGAGACGCTCCCTCTCGCGACGTCGACGCTTCGGACGTCAGCAGCGTCGGAGGACCCTTTTTGCTTTTCATCCTCCTCTTCCTTTTCGCCGTCCCCGTCCCCGTCCCCGTCCCCGTCCCCGTCCCCGCCGCCGCCCGCGTCCTCTGGTTCCCCCTTCTTCGGCGGCGGCGCGGGCGTCTCCACGCCCGCGACCGCGCCGACGCCGTCTACGTCCGACGCCTTCGGCGCCGGCGTGACGACCGGCCCGTTCGTGAACGGCGGCGGCGGCGCGCCTTTGTCGGGCGCGAACACGACGTCCTCCTTCTTTTGCGCCTCTAAAAACGCCTCCGATAACTCCCCTTTCCCCCGCGGCGCGCTCCCTCTCGCCCTTCCCCCCGCGGCCCCGCGCATCTGCACCGTGCCTAACGCCCCGCGCAACGCTTGCCCGCCGCCGTTCTCGATGTCCCCCGCGAGCGCGCCGACGCCGTCGCCAACCTTATGCCGCACCCACGCGCGCCAACGCGCGACGTCGTGTTTGGGACCCTCGTACGTCGTCAGCTCTCGCGCCACCGCGGTCGCCTCCGCGACCGCGTCTCTCGCGGGTTTCACCTTGTCGAACTTCGCCGCGCTCAGCGCGCGGGATATGTGACCCATGAGAGGCACGTCCTCGATCGCGATGTCCATCGTCGGGCCCATGTGGTACATCAACGCCACGAGCGCGTCCGCGGTTTCTTTCCTCGCGTGCCAATCTTCGGATTCAAACTGCGACAACAGCCTCGCGTCCGCGAACGCTCCCGCGCGTCCCCCCTCGCCGTCCGCATCCTTCGGGATCCCTAAAATCTCCGGCAGCTGCGGCGCCATCGCGGGCGCGGCGGCGGCGAACAGACTCCCAATCGCCCGGATGAGCCCCGGCGCGGCGTGAAACGTCTTCGACTCGAGATGCCGAATCAGCCGCACGCCGAGCTTCCCCGGTCCGCCGGAAGACCCCCGACCCGCGCCCGGATCGCCGTTGTACCAGTTCACGCCCACGGGGACGCACGCGCCGCCGACGCCGGGCCCGCACCTGCGAAAAACCCTCGCGAGCGCCCTGCACGCGACGTCCTGCGGCCCGCGCGAGTTGCAGTCGCCGACGGCGTCGAGCAGCGGTCGGACGAAGAGCGGGCCCATCGCCTCCGGGCCGGCCATGACGTTCACGTTCCCCAGGTGCACGCCCGGGCGGCATCGAACCGCGAAGTGCGCGAGCGCGCCGATGGCGTCCACGCACGCGTCCTGGACCGCGGTGTCGATATCTCTGAACCGACGCGTGCACGCGGTGAGCATGCGAGGGAGGTAATACAGCGCGTGTTCGCCCTGGGTGGTGGCGACGAGCTCGAACAATCGGAGCACCTCCGCGCGCGCGATCGGCTTCGGCGACGACGACGCGTCGTCCACGAGGCACGCGACGATGATGCCGAGGTCTTCCGCGGCGACGCTCGTTATCGCGCGATTGAGCTCCTTCGCCGCGACGGCGAGCGTGTCGCGGTCCGCGAGGCGAGTCAACGAGTTCAGGACGCGGTTCTTAAGCAGCGCGGGATCCGCGCGGCGCTTGCCCGCCATGGCGTCGAACGGAGCGACGCCGACGCCGCGAGAGGCCGCGAGGGGGTTATCAGGGGTAGGCCGGAGACGCGCGCGAAGCTCTCGTCCTCCGCCGACGCCGCGGCGCTCGCGGCTGTGACGAGGGCGCGTTTGAATCGAAGCATCTCGGCTGTTCCTAGACTTTTTTTTTTTGTCCCGGTCGAATAACAGAACGTTCGATCGAGTCGACGGATCCGGCGGGCACTCCTCCGCGCACGCAACACGCTGATCATGTTCGCCCGCCGCGCCCTGCGCGCGCTCGCGAAGGCCGCGTCCACCGCGCGCGCGGCCGCGACCGCGGAATCCCACGTCCTCGCGAGCGCGGCGCGAGCTTCCGCGACCGCGCGATCTTCCGCTTCTTCAGGGAGGACGATCGCGACGTCGGCAGCCTCCGCGCTCGGGTTCGCCGCCGCGGCGTTCGCGCCGACGGCGACCGCGTTCTGCGCGGACGGCGCTCCTGTTGCGGAAGCGCCCGCCGCGGAAGGGGGCCCTCCCGTGGCGGCGGCGTCGAGCGCGGCGCACCCCTCCGTCGTCTTCGTCCTCGGCGGCCCCGGAAGCGGGAAGGGCACGCAGTGCGCGAACATCATCAACGACTTCGGGTTCGAGCACCTCAGCGCGGGCGACCTCCTTCGCGCGCACATGAAGTCCGGCTCGAAGGACGGGAACATGGTCGCGGAGATGATCAAGGCTGGGCAGATCGTCCCGAGCGAGGTCACGGTGAACCTCCTGCTCGACGCGATGCGGGCGAGCCCGAGGGACAAGTTCTTGATCGACGGATTCCCGCGGAACCAGGAGAACCGCGACGCGTGGGAGAGAACCGCGGGGTACGACTGCGACTTCGTGCTCTTCTTCGACTGCCCCGAAGAAGTCATGGAGAAGCGACTGCTGAGCCGCGGGGAGACGTCCGGGAGGACGGACGACAACATCGAGAGCATCAAGAAGCGGTTCAAGACGTTCGTGGAGTCCTCCGTGCCGGTGGTGGATTACTACCGCGGCCTGAGCAAAGTTCGCGAGGTGATGAGCGATCAGCCGCCGGAGGAAGTGTACGCGCAGACGAAGGCGCACTTCGCGCACTTCGCGTGATGAGCGCGTGTGATTATTACGGCTAATCTTAATATTTCTCGCGTTGAAAAAATGAATTTTATTCATGCTGGTACAGTGCTTGCGAACGAGATTACGTCGTGCTTCTCGTTTCTCGTGTCTTCTTCTCCACTTCTCCCGGGGATGGGATGGATCATCTCGTCGCTCACGCGACGCGCTCCTCCGCGTCCTCGGACTTCTTCGAACCCCACAACCCCGCGGCCCTGGGGTTGATGAGCAGCCGGTTCTTCATCTGGCGCTCGTGCTCCGGGTCCCAGTCGCGCTTGACCGCGTTGTTCTCGGGCCTCCCGCGCTTCGGCTTGGGCCGGTCGATCTTCTTCACGTCCCCGTGAAGCGGCGCGCCGAGGCCGACGGCGTCGAGCTCTAAGATTTCGTTCGTCCCGATCCCTCTCTCGATCCGCGGCCCGGTGGCCACGAACCCTCTCAGCTGCGACGACGACACGAACGCGGAGGTCAACATCCTCCCCGCGGATAATCCGTCCGAGAGTTCAACCTCCGCGCTGCAATCCGCGCGGCACTGCGCGTCCACCGTCTCGGCGAGCGCTCCGAGGTCCGAGGAGACGATCTCGAAGCGAGCCTTCCACAGCGTCGTCGTGAAGTTCGCGGCTTCGAGCGCTCTTCTCAGCGCCGCGGCGTCCCTCTGCGCGGCGTACACCTGCGCGTCCGCGGCGGCGTTGATCGCCGCGACTTCGCGTTCCACCGCGCTTCTCACGAGGTGCTCGCCGTCGGACGCGACGCGAAGCGCCGACGTCTCCTCGACAATCTTGATCTTCTCCTCCGCGGTCGCGCGCGCTTCCTCCGCGGCCTTCTCCGCAGCCTTGACCCTCGCCTGCAGCTGCGCGACGGCGGCGGTCGCGCGGCCCTCCCACATCACGGCCGCCTCTTGCTGCGTCGCCGCCTCCTCTCGCAGGAGTTCGATCTCCTTCTTCTTCGCGATGTGGTCTTGCTGGAGCGTGACGATCTTCGCATCCGCGGCTTCCTTCTGCGCAGCAATCTCCGCCATCTGATCGAGCAGATCACTCTGGTTCTTCAGCGTGCTCTCGTGGTGCGTCGCCTTCGCTTCCGCAGCCTCTTTCGCGGCGACGAGCGCGTCGCGGCTCTCTTTGAGCTCCGCGAGCTCCCTCGCCCTCTTCTCGAGCACCGCGCTCGTGGCGGTGTACTTCCCTTCCCACTCAGTCGTCCTCTCGACCGCGATCGCGATTTCTTCGGTCAGCGCCACGATCTCGCGCTCCTTCACCGCGAGCTTATCGGTCAACTGCGTCACTTTCAAGTCCACGGCTTCTTTCTGCGTCGCGACGTCGATCATCTCGTCGAGCTTCGCGTTCGTCTTTTCCAAGTTTGTCTCGGCGGCGACCGCTCTCAACTCCGCGGCTTCCTTCTCCTTCTTATACATCTTCGCGTCCTTCTTCGCTTGTTCCTCCGTCTCCGTTTTCACCTTCTCCGCGGCCTCGACGCACGCGGCCGCGGCTTTCAGGGTGTCCTTCACCCTGTCCTCGACCTTGATCTCCGCCGCCTCGGCGAGCGCGGTGGCTTCGTCCCTCGCCTCCGCGGCGGCTTTATACCGCGCCCGGAGCTCCTCGCCCTCCTTCGTCAGCGCCGCGATCGCCTCCTCCTTCTCCACGAGCGTCTGCTGCGCCGCGCCCTCGCTCGCGACGAGCGCCTCGAGCTTCGCGAGGATCTCGTCTTGCGCCCGCAGCTGCTGCTCCGCGGAGGCGGCTCTCGCGAGCGCGTGCTCCTTCGCCGCGTTTGCCTTCTCCGCATCCGTCTGCGCGGCGTTCAAGAGCGCGCGCGCGGCGACGTCCGCGTCCTCCGCGAAGGACTCCCTCGCGACGAGATCGAGCTGCTTCGCGGTCTCGAGGACGGCGTTCGCCTCGCGCGCGGATCTCTCCGCCTCCGCGCGCTTCTTCTTCGTCGTCGCGTCTCGCTCGATTTTGATCGCCGCGACGAGCCGCTTTTCGATCTTTCTCTCGAGCGCGACGGCGGAGTTGGCGTACTCCTTCTTCAGCTTCTCCGTCTCCATCTTCGCCTCCTCGAGCGCGACGCGGCTCGCGAACTCCGCCTCCGCGACGGTCTGGTTGAGCGACAGGCGGTGCGCGTCCGAGAGGCGGATCGCCTCTTCTTTCTGCTCCGCGAGCGCGAGCTCGAGCGACTTGTTCTTCGCCACCGACTCGTCCAGGAGCTTCGCGATCGACATGAGCTTCTCCTTGAGATCCCTGGTCGCCTCCGTGAGCGCGACGACCTCGGCGTGTTGGTCCGCGGGGCACTCTTCCGCGAGCGGCTCCGCGGACGCGATGGACGGCGCCTGGAGCGTGTCAACGTCCTCCTCGCTGCCGGTCGCGGGCGGGGAATCGTTTGAGACGGAGTCCATCCGAGCGACCGATCGCCGCTTATTCGCGAAGGGTTTGCGCGCGGTCGCGAGAAGACGCGGGCCGGGGGCGGCGACGGCGGGCCTCGCGCGCGCGCGCGAGGGGCCGTGGCCGAGCGTCGCCGCGCGGGCGGGCGCGGCCATGGCGCGAACCGCGTGCTGCATCTAACGAAGCGAGACGCGACGACGCTTCGACGGCGATATTATTTTTTGTTACTTCTCGCGCGCGGCGATGCGCGGGAGCGGTCGCGGCGGCGCGGAGCTGCGGGGGACGACGGAGACGGCGTGGGGGGGATCGGTCAGGATTGAATTCGCGCGAACGGGGCGAACGCGCGCTCGCGGCGCGGCGCGGGAGGCGAGAATCCAAAGTAGGTTACCGCCCCTGCGGGGCGAAAAAAGCCCACGGAAAAAAGCCCACGCCTGGAAAGATACGACGGCGCGACGATTCGAGCTCGCCGATCGCGGCGCGCGCGGGGACGACGCGCGGGAAGACGCACCGCGAGCGCGCGGCGAGTCGCGGCTGAGGTCTTTTTAAACGTTCGCGACGCGCGTGCGCGAGACGACGTGCGTGCGTGAGTGTCCCTCGGGGGGGATCGCGACGCGGCGGCAACGTGTCGTTTTTCGCTAACCTCGTCAGCGCCATCAAGTGGCATCCGCGCTGCCAGGTGTCCGTCGCTTTTTAAACCGTCGTTTTTGGGTCAAAGTCTCTGCTCCGACTTTCGGGCAGCAGCCCGGCTAAAATCAGCAGTAAAATCTAGGAAAAACCCGCAGAGGGGTGCAAAAAATTCGGCAAAAAATGCAAAAAAAATCAAACATAAAAAGAATTTGACTCAAAAAGCACGGTTTAAAAGTTTCGTTCCGGTCCGAAAAAAGCGGCCGGTGCACCGGCACGAGACGAGACCTATCAAACGTCGTCGTCGCCGGCGCTGCACTTCAGCCCTGCACTGCGCTCCTGCACTGCACCGCGCGATGGGGGCGTCGCCGGACGACGCGTCCGCGTCGTCCCCGCGGCCGTCGCTGCTCGTGCTGTACGGGTCCGAGACCGGGAACGCGCAGGTGCGCGCCGTCGCGGCGATCTCCCGTCGTCTCCCCCCGCGCGTCTCCCCCGGCGACGCGCGCGGCGGCAGAGTGCCTACCGCCGAGCGAGACGAGACGAGACGAGATCTTCATTCTCCTCGCCCGTCGTCGTCGTCGTCGTCGTCGTCGCGTCTTCTCCCCGCTCACCCCGACCCCGACGCTCGTCCTCTCTTCCCTCGTCCGCCCGCCAGGACGCCGCGGAGCGGATCGCGAGGGACGCGAACCGGCGCCACTACCGATGCGACGTCCTCGCGATGGACGACTACGAGGTCACCGAGCTCCCGCGCGCGTCGACGGCGCTGTTCGTGACGAGCACGATGGGCCAGGGCGACCCGCCGGCGAACATGAAGCGCTTCTGGCGGTTCCTCCTGCGCAAGTCTCTCCCCGCCGCCTCGCTCGCGGGCGTCGACTTCGCGGTGTTCGGCCTGGGGGACTCGCACTATCAAAAGTACAACGTCGCCGCGAAGAGGCTTCACAAGCGGCTGCTGAGGTGCGTTCTATCTCGCACTGGTTCCCATACGATCGCGTTGGCGTGGTGAACGCCGATCGTTAAGGACTTTTCCCGGCGCATCTCTTCGCCCACGCCTCGCTTTCAATCCCGACACACCTCGGCGCCTTTCAACTCCATCTGACGCCTTTGAACTCCACCCCGACGTTCGCTCGTACGGAACGACCCTCATTAGCCTGGGCGCGAATCCGATCGCGCCGCTGGGCCTCGGCGACGACCAGCACCCGACCGGACACGAAGCCGCGCTCGATCCGTGGCTCCGGGACGTGTGGACCTCGTTGCGCGCGAAGTATCCCCTACGCGACGGCGAGCGCGACCCCGCGGACGGGGAGGAGGCGACGGCGCTCGAGCGGTGCCGGTACTCGGTGGAGGTGGTCGACGACGCTGACGCCGCGGACGGAGTAGATAAGCGAGGTAATAAGGGGAAGTGGTGGCGGAAGCACGTCGCCAGCGAGATGCCGACGACGCCAGAGCTGTGCGCGGCGGCGGCGTTGATGGACCGCGTCGCGCGCGCGGCGGCGCGCGTGGACCCGAGAATATTGCGACGCGGCGGCGGCGGCGACGACGGCGCGTCGACGGACGACGCGCGCGCGTCGACGCGACGTTTCGGTCCGGAGAACCCGTGCTTCGAGACGACGATCTTGATGAACGCGCCGCTGACGTCGAAGGAGTCGTCGCACGAGGTTCGGCACGTCGTCATCGACGCGTCGGGGATGGGGGACGCGGGGACGACGACGACGACGACGACGGGAGGAGGAGAAGGAGGGGGGCGCTCCCCGAAAGGGTGTTTGTACTCCCCCGGGGACTCGGTCGCGGTGCTGCCGACGCCCGGGACGTCGACGGGGGGGCAAAAAGCGTGCGCGGCGGCCGCGGAGGAGCTCCTGCGGCGCGCGGGCGTTCCCTCGGACGCGTGGATCACGGTGCGACCGAACGTCGACGGGGGCGGCGACGCGCTCGAACCGGCGATGCCGGCGATGACGCTCATCATGGGGGCGTTAGATCTCACCTCCGCGTCCCCGCGACGGTACTTCTTCGAAGTCGCCGCGCACTTCGCATCGGACGCCGCGGAGAAGGAACGCCTGACGTACTTCGCCTCCGCGGAGGGCAGAGACGATTTGTACCGGTACAACGAGAGAGAACGCCGCAGCGTGATCGAGTTCTTGGACGACTTCAAGTCCGTCAACCTGCCGTTGCCGTGGGCGTTTCGAGTCGCCCCGAGACTCCGCGCGCGTCTCTTCTCGCTGTCGTCGTCGCCGTCGTCGCACGCGAACGAACTCCACTGCACCGTGTCGCTCGTGAAGTGGAAGACGCACTACGGACGCGCACGGGAAGGCTTGTGCTCCAACTACCTCGCGAGGTTAGCCCCCGGCGCGAGCGTCGCGACGTGGATCGTCCCCGGGACGCTGCGACTACCCCCGGACGCGTCCACGCCGATGATCGTGGTGTGCACCGGCAGCGGCGTCGCGCCGTTCCGTTCCTTCGCGCACGAGCGCGCGGCGATGCGAGCGCGCGGCGATAAACTCGCGCCGACGCTGGTGTTCTTCGGGTGCCGACACCGCGAGCACGATTGCCTGTACGAGCGCGAGTGGGCGGTGTTCGACGAGCCTCGCGGCGTCCTCGCCGGCGACGTCGACGTCCCCGGCGCGGCGCCCCCCGCGGACGCGCCCGCCGACGGACCCCGCTGGTTCGTCCCCGCGTTCTCGCGCGACGCGCCGGACGGGTCGAAAGACTACGTCACGCATCGAATTATCGCGCACGGCGCGCGGGTGTGGGCGATGATCGCCGCCGGCGCGAGCGTGTACGTCGCGGGGAGCACCGGGCGGATGCCGGAGGACGTGTCGGACGCGTTCGAGGCGGTGGCGGTACGACACGGCGGGCTCGACGCCGCCGCCGCGCGCGCGCACTTCGCGAGGATGGACGCGACGGGGAAATATTCCGTGGAGGCGTGGTGAGCGCGGCGCGACGTGCTGATGGACGGGTGGATGGATTTTAGCGCGTGGTGCTGTCTTCTGTACTGTCACGCTCGATAGCCGCGGCGAAAGAACCGCCGACAGGAAGAGAACTCATCAAGCCGTCTCTTCGTTGCCTCCCGTCGCGCGCGCGCGCGCGAAGTCAAAACGCGCGTCGACGTCCGAACGCTCGCGTCGACGCCGCGCACTGCGCACGCGCGCGAGCGGCACGTCGACACCTCGACGCGCGGGTTCGCATCGCACGCGCGCGAACGACGCCGACCGCGTCGCGCGACGCCGCCGCTCTCGCCCGCGCGCGTCGAGCGCGCCGCGTCGAGGCGCGTCCGAGAACGGAACGAGGGATTGTCTCAGACACTTCGAGTCATCGAACAGTCCGCGCGCGACGAACGCGATGGCCGCGAGCGCGACGAGCGACGAGCCGGTCACGAACGAGCCCAAGGGTGCGCCGCTCCTCCTCGCGCGCGCCCCCGCGTCCGCGCCGCGCGTCGACGCGACCGCCGCCTCGCTTCGCGCGCGCGATCGCC